CATTATCTGAAGCCCTTCTACGTGTGCCTCCTCCATGAGTGGTCTGGAGGGGGCAACAAGGGAAAGGGCCTTTTCTGTGGTAGCTCCCCATTTGTGGAATGCTCTCCCCAGGGAGGCTGACTGCTGCCTTCACTATATAGCTCTAGGAGCCAGGCAAAAATGTTTCTCTATAACCAGGCCTTGGGATGATTAACATTCAATAGGCTTTTAAATGTGTTTGTGGGAGGGGGAATTTGTTTTGGTTTGTTTCATTTTCATTTTGTATTTTGTGTTCTCATGTTGCATTTTGATATTGTGAACTGTTCTTTGATCTGCGGATGAAGAAAGGGGCCATGAACACACTCTGCATTAAAGGGTACCTGTCATGGAAACCACATACAGCAGGGCTGATGAACCTCTGAGCCTTCAGGTGCTGTTGAACTCAACCAGCTAGGGATGATGAAAATTGGGAGCCCAGGAACATCTGGACTCTGGATGCCCATCCCTGATCTTATGTGTGTCTTCTCTGCAAACCAGTGGGAAACTTAATATGAACGTTTTCTTTCCAAAGCAGAAAGGTTTCAGCCCTGAAGAGATGTGCCCTTAAAAGTTGACCAGCTCAGCTCCAGGGTGATTTCTTGTTAAACTCTAAGGAGGGCAATGCAGCAGAAAACAGCTGCACAACAATGTCAGCACCAGGAGCTTATCATTTGTATTAATGAAACCTGCCATACAAATATGTGACATTCAACACGTTTTCTTCCTTGGATAGATTGCAAACGCGGAGGAAAGAGAGCGGGAAAACTGCATCTGGCCTCTGCAAACTTTCCTCTCCTTGCCCTAACATGTTCGCTTTTGCTCAATCCAATAGATGTTACCTTTAGAAGTCAGAGAATGAAACAGTCCTAAAGCTCCCATTAAGCAGTGTTAAAGAGGTCTCCCTTCCCTTCCCCCCTACCAGTCAATACAAGCAGGGTCTAATGGAATGTGTGCATTTGTTGACAGAATGCGTCACTCAAGGTTCCACTCAAAGACAGTACATGTGGATCACACTTAAGCACCCTAGAGCTTTAAAGCCAAACAATGTTTCACATTTAATAGTTTAACCAGTAGTGCAGATACACAAGAGTTTTATTAGCTCATGATTCATGAATAGCCAAAGGCATTTTAAAGAAATCTTAAAAGTGCCTCAGAACACCTGCCTGGCAAACACTTAGGTTCATGTTGTCTCACTGACTTCATGGACTACATTCTCATCAGTGTTTACAGACCAGCTCCTATGTGGATAAAACAATACAGAGGTTATTTGCCTATAAATGTACAAACACTTTTTATTAGCTTTGGTTGACTCCTTTAAAGGCTATCAATATCTAAGTGTCTCTGCAGGGTTCTAGGACTAAATTAGCAACCAGGACACCTGAGCTTTTTTCGGCTTATGCTGCACAGCTGTAGAGCAAATATATTCTCATGGCTTCTTGCACATTTCATCTGTCAAAGGTCTAAAATCTAGATTTCCAGTTATCAGTTTATGGCCACGTTTCAGATGCAAAAAAGGGTGGAGGAATCCCATCACCTAACAGCTTTGGTCACTATGGACATTTGCACACAACATGCACCACAAATAAGAAGTGGCACAAATAGGAACTAGCCTAAAACATTCATAGAAAACCTTTTACTTTATTCTGACAACTCTTCCTTGGACGTTAGTCCTACAGAATCCCAAACTCTAAACAGTTTTACGGCACATCTACATGGAGAATCAGAACCATATCCAACACCCAGTTAACACACACCAAGTCCACATAAATTTGTAGTTTAGGCTGTGCTGGTTTGCCAACAGACTACGGTGATGGTGGGAGCCTGCAGCACCCATGCAATCTGAATAAGTGGGTATCTAATGGCACTGCAATTTATTTGTCCATCACCATATATGTTGGCTTTTTCAAGTTACATTTCTTTTACTTCTGGCTGTGCATTGAGCTGAAACACAGGAAGCTCCTCTGCAGAGATACTTTTAACTAGGATTTCAATGGAACTTGCACAAGCAAAGCATCTTATGAGCTATAGCCTCAGGGCCACTTCCTAAGACTTAGGGTTTCACAAGTGATGCTAAGAATGCCTTTTAGTCTGGAATGTGTCACTTGCAAATGCTAGTAATACAAGACAGAAAGCAGAAAAGAACCAATTCCAAAGTCAAAATGTACATAATATCTAACCAAGATAAGTTTTAAATTCACATTACAGAGACGGGGAATGCAAAAAAGGCACTTTAAACAAGACTCTCATGCCTTTGTCTTAAGATACATTAAATCCCATTATGTAAACTAATTAATATACCTATTTTCTGATTTAAGGCATTAGAGGGAAACTTATGATCAGCATACTGCATAAAAAATACATTTTCATACTTGAATGATATGGAGGCGGGGCGAAGTGTCTTCTCCAAGCCTGGTAGGAAGCAGATTCTGGGCAAATCCTTAACTCTGAGCACAATCTGCTGCAGAGAACCACATTTGGCCAAGTTTGTGTTTGTTTTGCAAGACTGAGAGGAACACCTTTAAATCTTGAAAATCCATACAAAGCAAGGCATGCCCCTGTGCAGTTAGTGTTAGTCAGAACACACCTTTTTCACAGAGTAAAGCATCCCAGAGAAGCAGGCTCTTTCTGCTCCACAGTTTTTAAAACGTTTGTATTCTATACCAAAGCAGTTTCTTTCATTAAGAAAAAAAAATCAGTTGAATATTACACCAAGATAAACTTAAATCCTCATTCTAACAGAGCCTCTTAAGTAATTAACCATCACAAGCACCTTTCTCTGAGATGCACTGAGAGAAAATAATTCATCAGTCTAGTATAGCATATTAAGGTGTTATTATGATGTATTAATTCACCAGCACAAGTAGTAGACTCAAGAAAAGTTTGGCTTCAGCACCTCAGGTGCACTATTTTGGTTAACCATTTAGGATATAAATTCAGGATGGAGTGGGGTGGAACCTACTCATCGGAGCCAACTCCTAGGGGCCGAGGTCCCTTCTGCCCCCCCCCCAATAAAATATTTGAGGGGGTCGGGAGTCCCCAAAGTTGATGGGCCTCGCCATTCAAATTGATTATCATGTGATCAATTATGCGGGGATAGGATTTACGCCCCCCCCCCATATTTTATTCAAGTTGGCATCCATGAACCTCACTATATCTACTCAGAACAAAGCCCCTATTTATTTCCATGGGATTTACTTGCGGGTAAACCGGGTTAGGAAGTGCAACCTGAAGCCGCTCGAAAAAGCGGCATGATGCGCCCCATCAGGGACTTTAGGAACTTCTGGAAAGGGGGAGGAGGAGGAAGAGGAAGAGCGCCTCCAAGGGAGGCTGCGGCGGAGCGGCCACTTCCCAGCCGCCCCCTGGGAGCAGGCGGCGAACTTCTCGCCGGACCTCCGGGAGGCACCGGGCGCCCTTTGTGCGCTGACAGCCCCTCGGGGCGCAACGCCGGAGGGCAGAGTCCCGGGAAGCCCCCTCGGGACGCGCATCCTGCAGGCTGCTTGAGATGAGTCCTCCTCCTCGTCCTCCTCCGCCCCCCAGGCACCGGCGGAGGGACAGGCTTCCCCTCGCCCCCCAGAGTCCTTGCCGAGAGGGGGGCAACAGGAGGTCAGCCCTCGCCGCCTCGCCGCCTTACCTCGCTGGGGCGACGCGGGCGCAGCGAGCAAGACAAAGAGCCCGAGCAGGAGCCGTGGCGGGAGACACCTGCGGGGAAAGGGTAACAGGTTATATAGAGCCGAGCCCAGCCCGCCTTCCCGCCCGCCCAGCCGCGGCCAGCGGCATTCCCGCGCTCCGCTTCGTCCCGCTCACCTGGCGCGCATGGTCGCGGCTGCGCTGCGCTGAGGCGAAAAGAAGCTGCCGCTGCCTCCTCTTGCCGGGGCAGCAAGTTCTGAGCAGGATTCGCCTCCCAGGGCGCGCTCGCTCGCTCGCTCGCTCGGTCCGGCGGCCGCGGGGTCCTAGCGCCGCACGGTGTCTAGCGGAGCAGGGGGCGCCTTGAGTTCCCCCACATCACCCAGTGCCGGATTTACGTATACGATAAACAAGCTATAGCTTAGGGCCCCACTCTCTTGGGGCCCCAAAAATATATACTACTTCTTAATTGTATTTCACTATTAATATACTTCTTAATTGTATTTCGGTTCAACAATTACTTTGATAAAATACATATTTTGTTATGTGAAAATGGCTTGAGATACCTATTAGGTCCATAAATTACCATATAGCATATATTCAACACAATTTGTTGTTGACAAAGGACAGCTGGACATATAAAGGGCCCCATTACCTAGTTTAGGGCCTCATCAAACCTAAATCCAGCCCTGATCACAGCCAAGGACTAGCAAATATTGGGGTGGGGGCTGCATGCAGAAGGTGGAGCCTCTGCTAAGAGGTTGCCAGCGACCAAGAGATCCACCTGCTGCTTTCTACTCCAGCCATGGGCAGGGGAAAGGCTCAAGAAGGGGCATGATGGAGAGACTTGTCTGCGGTTCCCTGACCCTCAGCATGTATTAAGGGTGCCACAGAACCCATGAGGTTTAAATGCACATCGCATCATCTCTCCATCTTCTGGGCAAGCAAGAGGTTCAGGGACATATTCCAGCCAGGCAGAAACACTTGAGGAGGGTGTGGGGCAGTGCCAGTGAGGGGGGTGTAACGGGGTGGAGGTAAACGGGGGCTGTCTGGGGAGAGACTCCATGTCAACATTTGACCCTCAGGTCTGCGATTCCTCACCCTTGCTTATACTCATGAGCACCACAGCACCTTCTAGCAAATTAAAGCCATAAGTTACGTATGTGTTGTGCAGTTTCTTCATGTGCCTCCTACCAATCCGTATCACTGGATCCCTCCAGGGATTGAAAGAAAAACTTTTCTACATTCTGTCTATGATCACATACCCATCTGTCTCCCATTCATGGGTGTAAGCATGAGGGGACAGCTGCCCCCCAAATCAATAAAAATCAATAAAAATAATTAACTGAGGTTCTGTCCCCCTCCCCCCAAAAAATCCTAGCTACACCAAGCCACCACTGCCATCTTTTCTTCTTAACTCAAAATCTCTAAGCTCTCTTACTTCATAGGCGCAGCGCTCCATCTTCCTGGACAGTTGCCCATTTCTGTGCCTTCCCCTCCACGGTGATCTCGGTGGGGCGATCAGAACTATAAGCATTCCAAATTACAACTCATTAGTTTGTGGTGGGAATGCTGAAGTCCCAGTTTGCATCATTTTGCACTTCTGTTGCACTTCTGCCATTCTATTGTCCATTCACCCAGTTCACAATTTATGAATAAGTTAATTGGGGGACTCCAGTGTTTACTCCCTCTTAATATGGAAAAGTGGCTCATATTCTATGCTTCCTCTCTTGGCTGGTTATTGACATACACTTGCCCACTTATCCCATCCCACAATACTTCCTTGTGTTTCTCAGCCACACTACCTGTTCTTTTTACATTTGTTTTTATTACATTATTTATGTTAACTACTCTAGGACCTGGTGGCAAAGGGTGGTATACAAAACTCTTAAATAAATAGATAAATATTTCAGCCACTCTTTCCTGCCCCTCCCCGTCCTTACCTCACTTACCTCTTAAGCTCTCTTTACCACAAAAGTCAGCATGTCCATTTCTGTTCCATGACATCATAGTAGCTCAACCAATTATAAAAGAAGAGGGCTTGCCGACACACCACCATTTCTTACATAAACAAAAGGTGCCTAATATGATGTAGAGTTCTGTGGTGCCCAATGCCTTTGCTGGTGTCAGGACCACAAATTCCTGAACTTGAGGTTTGAGAGCATCAAACCAAGATTCAGTTTATGCACCAACAACTACTTCTGGCCAAAGAAGAGAAATACAGGGAAACCACCCATATTACAAGGCAGCCTCTTGACAGGAATAAACTCCTCATCCATATCAAGATAGGCCAGGCTTCCACACTTATCAGAGCAACAAGGGAACTACAATAGTCTACATTGCCTTTGCACACACACACAGACAGACACCCAAAATTGTAGGCATGGAAGTTTTTTTTAGCAAGTCGTCTTTTAGCTCAGGTCAGAACCTGTTCCATTGTATGCAAGCTGCTTGGAACAGTCCCTTCTCATGGTAGTAGCAGCATCACTTCTGTACATCAGACGGTAAGTTATGTCTAGAATAATAAATATGGGAACCTCTTTTCCCTGGAAATAAAGTCCTAGATTGGCTGTGCTATTTATTACACTGACATCTGCTGGTAGGGTCCTTCTTCTGCATATGTTTGAAGAGGCTCATTACAACAATTCTCCCTGAAAAGTTGAACAGAACCTACTAAGGATGTTTTCCCCCATGCATTTTATTATTGCAGCAACCCTGTTAGGTAGGTTAGCCTGAAAGAAGGTGGCCAGTGAATTTCCACTAAACCTCATGGCTGAGTGGGGATTTGAACCTGGGTCTCCCCTGTTCTAATTCAACACTGTACTCTTCAGAACAATGTAATACCTTTGTTTGTTCAAGATCAATATACTACAGGAAAATAAGTTATCTTTTGTCTTGTTTTTAAAAAATATGATCCAAATATTATAGTACAGTACTTGAGTTTCAGTGAGCACAGTCCAAAGAAAGTTAGGAAAACAAAGTGTCGACAAAATATACAGGGTTTAAGCAACTGCAGCAACAAGACACCCCAAACATTTAGATTCCAATACAGTGGTACCTCGGGTTAAGAACTTAATTCGTTCCAGAGGTCTGTTTTTAACCTGAAACTGTTCTTAACCCGAGGTACCACTTTAGCTAATGGGGCCTCCCCTGCCACCGCCACACGATTTCTGTTCTCATCCTGAAGCAAAGTTCTTAACCCGAGGTACTATTTCTGGGTTAGTGGAGTCTGTAACCTGAAGCATCTGTAACCCGAGGTACCACTGTACTTTCACATGCAAGCTAGTTATCTGTATTGCACCCTCTGCATTTTCAGCACAGATCGCAGGGTAGGTATTTCTAGAATCTAGATGAAGAGAATTGGGACCTAATCTATTCCAGATTTCCAAATGATGACAGGTTTGAATGCTATTTAAGATGTTTTCGCAACTGACTTAAATGTGTTACGGATTTCTTTTGTCTATAAATGCTACATTGACAGGGAGCGGGTGGCGCTGTGATCTAAACCACTGAGCCTATTGGGCTTGCTGATGAGAAGGTTGGCAGTTCAAATCCATGTGAGCTCCTGTTGCTCTGTCCCAGCTTCTGCCAACCTAGCAGATCAAAAGCACACCAGTGCAAGTAGATAATTAGGTACCGCTGCTGTGGGAAGGCAAACAGCGTTTCTGTGCGCTCTGGTTTCCGTCACGTGTTCCATTGCACCAGAAGCGGTTTAGTCATGCTGGCCACATGACCTAGAAAGCTGTCTGTGGACAAATGCCGGCTCCCTTGGCCTGAAGCAAGATGAGCACTGCACCCCACAGTTGCTTTTGACTGGACTTAACCGTCCAGGGGTTCTTTACCTTTTTTATATTGACCAGAATGTACATTCAGTTAAAAAATGTCTTTCTTCCATTTTATAGTGCACATTAGTCAGAATAATTCCATTCCCAACCAAAAGCATGATCCTAAGTATGTTCACTGAGAAGTCCTACTGGGTTCAGTACTCAAGTACATGTGCTTAGGCTTGTGATTTAAGAATGCAATCCTATCTACACTCTACAGAGCACAGTAGGACTCATTTCTGAGTAAAGATGGACAGAAGTGTACTATAAGGTTTTGTTTGCCTTGCAAAGGATCCTGGTTATACTATTTACAATTTTGGTTTGCACACAGTGCCACAACTTCCAGATCTTCCCAGAATAAATGGCATAGTTAGCTTCAAGCTACAGATGTCTCAGATCATGCTGAATCACACTAACCAACCTCGTTGCAGACAAGGCCTCACTTTTGAAAGCAGTTGTTGTGCAATGTGTGGGACACATGTTCCCTCCTCTAATTTTAATCCCCTCCTTCCTAATCCAAGAGAGGCCGGTGCTTGCCTAGGGCCTCTGAATGGAAGCTTTTTTACATGACAATAATAATTGTTGTCTGTGACCCTGAGCTGATCACAGAATGCCAGCTCATACCAAAAGAACGCCAAGCCTGGCTAAGCTAAAATCAAATCCTTCCTCTGCCTCCCCCACCTCTTCTCCCTTTACTTTGCTGGCACAAGGAAATGTGAAGACTCTTACAAAACATCAAAGCAGGAAGGTCAAAGCCTGCTACTCTTTTTATTAACTTCAGTCATTCAGATAACCATTATGGCCAGCCTGCGAAATGAGAGTGTTGAATTCTTCATGTTGTGGTTTGGGTGGGTTATGCAGCTTTGCAGTCTCTTGCCTGATGTGAGTGGTTCAACACAGGAATTCAAATGTCTACAGAGAAACACTCAGCCCACCAGTTTAATGACCTAGGCAGCACAAGGCAGCTAGCCAAAACCTTTTTTTTTTATTGCAAATAACGCTCTTTTTCTTCAACAAGATCTAAACCACCCAGGTAGTAACATTAGTGAATGCATATGTTGCGGAGCATCTATATGTTTTTTCTGCTTAATCAACATTTGCTGTTCATGGTGTTATTCCAATACTAACAAGCAAACAAAAACAGATGATAGAAACAAGCTAGGCATTATAGAACTAGAATTTTTGTCTACAACATAATTACATACATATACTCGGTACTGAATCTGCGAGGTAAAATAATAAATTAAAACTAGCAGTGTAAAGAATGGAAGGGAAGACCATTTTTGCTCAAAGAAAATAAGAGGGTACAGAGATTTATGACAGTCTGATTTTGTTAGTCATTCTACAAGTGAGGCCTATTTTAAGCTAAGATATCTAATTGTTGCAACAGTAGGCAAATGTTTTTTTCAGATACTACAACGAATTATAAAGAAGTGACATTGTTGTAATCAAAGCAGCCCCATTAAGTTTTAGCAAAATCCTTCTGAAGATGAATAATAAAAAAGAGCACTCTAACATATCCCTGGAAAGAATAGCTAACCCGGTCTAGAGAACAATAGCAAAAGAACCTTCTGTGTGTAGTGTAGCTATAAAGGAGGATTAAAGGAGCCTAATGTAGAAGCGTATTTTGTAACTCATTTCAAATTTCTCTGCAACGGGGAAATTACCTATTATGCCACATTTGGCAAGGTTCCATCTGCTTTGCAAGTGTTTCGAGACTGAGAGACATATGCAGCCAGAACTTAAGTTTAAGTTGACAAGAGATGAAATGGAATAACTTTAAACTAGTGGCAGGGTTCTTTTTGAGGGGTATTGAACAAGATGCTGTCAGAAGGCACATCTTTCTGCTGTCACCACTGCCCATTCACTTGACCTCTCCCCTTCTGCCCAATCAATAGAGGCACAAAGAAGAGAGAGAACAAGGTGAGTGGAAGTGGCTTCTCCTCCTCCTTGCTGCTGTCACTGCTCACTTGTGGACAGGTGATCAAGCAGCAACAGCAAGGAGGACGACAAGTCAGGGGGCTCCTGGAGCTGGCAGTGTCCCCTACTAGGATATGGATGGTGATGATTATGATTATTTATTACTTATACCTTGCCCATCTGACTAGGTTGCCCTAGCCACTCTGGGGGGCTTCCAACATCATAAAAACGCAACAAAACATCAAACATTTAAACTTCCCTATACAGGGCTGCCTGTAATGGCTTCAGAAAGTTGTACTGTATATATAGCTCCTTGACATCTGATGGGAGGGCTTTCCACAGGGCAGGTGCCACTATTGAGAAGGCCCTCTGCCTGTGGAGAATGAAGCTGTTAGACTATGCTGAGTTGGATAAATTGACTGGGAAAATTAGATACCTAAGAGACCAAAAGTTCATCGAGGACTGGGGGAAATTTGTGGAATATCTGGAAAGTATAAGTGAGGGACAGATAACGCTAGAGGGGTTTAAAAAAGCACTGTGAAAAACTAAGAAGTATTGTTTAAAGAGAAAGGAAATTAAGGGTATAAACAATGACAATATAAATTATGAAATGCGCATTTAAAATAATGACTATGGATGATTTACGGAGAAGCTGAAGGAAGTCCAGAAAAGAAGCAATTTGTGAAAATTGGATGTGAAAAATTTTATGCATGTTTTGTTTTGTTGTAAATTAATAAAAAAAAATTATGAAAAAAGAAAAAAAGAGAGAGAAGGCCCTCTGCCTGGTTCTCTGTAACTTCACTTCCTGCAGTGAGGGAGCCACCAGAAGGCCCTCAGAGCTAAATCTCAGTGTCCAGGCTGAACAATGGGGGTGGAGACACTCCTTCAGGTATATAGGGCCAAGGCCATTTAGAGCTTTAAAGGTCATCACCAACATTTTTAATTGCACTCAGCAGGTGCCCAGTCATGCTGACAAACAAGCCCACAAGATAAATGCACAAAGTAAGGAAAAGTATCCTCCAGGTTGTCTTAACAACAGTGCCATAACAAAACCAGAGTCATTAGCAGCAACCCTATGCTTCAGCAAAGTGGTATTCTGAGGTAATATCAGTAATGGTGGACAGCTTACCCTCCTCTCCAGGAAGGCACTAGATGAAGGTAGGGATGTGGGTGGCACTGTGGTCTAAACCACAGAGCCTAGGGCTTGCCGATCAGAAGGTTGGCGGTTCAAATCCCCGCAACGGGGTGAGCTCCTGTTGCTCGGTCCTTGCTCCTGCCAACCTAGCAGTTCAAACGCACATCAAAGTGCAAGTAGATAAATAGGTAAACAGCATTTCCATGTGTTGCTCTGGTTCGCCAGAAGCAGCTTAGTCATGCTGGCCACATGACCCAGAAGCTGTCTGCAGACAAAACGCTGGCTCCCTTGGCCAGTAAAGCAAGATGAGCGCCACAACCCCAGAGTCGTCCATGACTGAACTTAATGGTCAGGGGTCCCTTTACCTTTAGGACATTTCCAAGTTCACAATAAGCAATGGTCACACCCAGACAGGGCACACACTAGAACATATCATCCTTTGCAATAAGAGATTTTGTAACAGACATGTTCATATGAAAAGTGGACCCCAAATCATTAATGTTGAAAGTTATACCTTTTTAGCCTAATGTGAAGCTCCGGGCTGAGCTCCACTTTGCCTTCTGAAACATTCTGAGCCTCTTAATAGCCTCTCTTCTGCACATTTGGTTGAGAGACTATCTTTCCCACCATCTCTCAGCAAACAGGCTTTCTTCCTGAGTTACCTTACCTAGCTGTAAATCACTGTCTAATTGGTATGAATGGCTAAAACCCAGAAGGAGGCCTGTATCTACAAGCCTGAGCTCATGATTAATTGGGGAAGGTGCAGCGTGTTTTTTTTACCCCGTCTGAAGTTTTATGTATGACAAAAACTTATGCTGACAAAGAGCAAAAAATGTGTCCAGAGGCAACTGACGCATTTAGAAATCTGCAGAAGGAGAAAGGTGTGCTGTGTTTAGTGAAAACTTCAGTGTCTTAGACCTGTCCGGCAATGTAATGCTCTCACTTCTGGTTTTTAAATTTTAAACTTTGGGCCCGTGTGTGGGAGTGGAGTGGATGTCTTTTCCAGTTGCACATTCGGTTTGTTTTGGTGTGTAAGGAAAGGCTGTGGCAGCCAATTAACTTCCCACACATGAAATCTCTAGGCCAAAGCCACAGCCATCTATGCCTTTTACATACTTCCTTTTGGATAACTACTGCCATAACCTGAAGAGACAGATGTTACTCCATTCAGCCCAATGTTTGTCGGAAAATATTGCTTTGTTTTCAGATCATGCCCATGTAGGGTTTCTCTTTTTGCCCCCTATTCTATGGTGCGGACCAAAGGAACAGTGGATTGTGGAGATGGAGGCACGAGGCTTTCTGTTGCTTCCTTTGCCTCAATGTATTGTAAATTGAAAGACAAGTGTATGTCTGATTAACTCCTTTGCTCAGCTGCTTCTTGGGTGGACTCAAATGAGATGACCCGTTTATGCAACAACAAAGCATAGCTCACTCCATCTTCGATCCACCACAGCAGCAGAGGCTGGAAGGGCTATCATAGATACAAGGAACAACTGGTGGAAATGTCAAACAAGGATCTCTTGCACCTCCGCAAAGTGATCCTGTAAATCTAGTCTTTGCCTGACACAACAGTTGCTTATGGGATGCAGAGAAAGGCCTCTTTTTTTACTACACAACTCTAGAATTATTATTGTTATTGTTATTGTTATTATCCTGTCTTTCCTTCCAAAAGAACTAGGACGGCCATGCAACATTACATCAAAGTCTTGCATGTCACACATCTCAAAGTTTCCATTTTAAATACAAAGCTGACATGGAAGCCCCCAAAATTTGACCTAAGCAGTGGATAGGTCCCTTCTGGTGCCATTTTCCAGATCTAAAACAAACTTCCTCCCCCCAAACCTGTTAGTTCTGCATGAGAAAAAAATGCAGGTACATGTATAACTTCCACCATGGAACTAACAGTAGTTTGAGTCAGGAAGGCGTAGACTGGAGAATAACATGGTAGTGGGAAATAATTGTCTCTCCCCATAGCTCCAGTTAAATTTGGGGCACACCTGCAGCAAATTAAAAACAAATGTTAGGACATCCAGCTATGAGTCTCAGATTTTTCATTCTGTGGTGTCCTTTTGTTTCTCATACTGAAATGATTGTCATGTAATTGCATATCCTGTATTATTTTTATGGATTCACCTTATTGGCACGTCTTTCAATATAATTTATTTGATGGGCTTCAATTAGTTTTCCTACTAGTAATAAAAAACCTCTTATGCGTGGAACTGCTACCATTGCTAAATCTTGCATAGCTCCTTCAACTAATGCTGTGTCTTGTTCCTATGCCCTGCTTTAAAATATGAAAATTGACTTTCTAAAAAAAAATAAAAATCTTCATATGTAATATTCTTTATGCTAGCAAATGTTTCAGAACATTTTCTGCTCTGGCTCTTGAACCACACTTCTTCCTTAGGCTTTGTCCCAGGCTCTTCTCTCTTATGAATTTTCTTTCCTTCTTTTAATTGCTTCTACAGACTGAGCAGTAGATTCAGCCATTTTCACTACTGGAGTTCTATTTTCAGACCAGTTATAATGGGAGAAAGAGAAGCCCCTATGTGCTGTAAACAAAGCACAACAAAAATTGTGATGCCTGCCACACTTGGCCAACAAAGAACAACTAATGAAGAAAAATGTGAAAGAATGTGAAAGAGGTAGGCTCTGGTGGTTGCAGCCTTAGCTGAAGAAAGAACACAGGCACCTGGGGACAATTGATACCTAATCCTTAGCTATTCAGATGTAAATGGTATTGCCAGGGGGGAGAGGTAGCAAGCAATTCCAAGCAGGGGAGTTGCTAATGGTAACCCATCACCACTGGGGGAGGAGAATTTGATATATTTTTCATCAACCACATCTACTGTATTATTTGACTGCACATTTATTTTTTCATTCATTCATTCAAACATTTATTTCTATGCTCACTTGTTTATTTTTAGGGTGCCTCCAGACCGACAGTATTTTGTAAGTTTGGTTCAAATGCATACCAGAACAACAGGTTTGTGCATTTAAAGTGGATTAAAGGCCTCTGTCTCCAGCTATGTGCACACCTTTAAAGCACAGTTAAAGCACACAATCCAAGCAAATCACCCCACTAGATAATCAAGATGAATGCTCAATGTCATATAACTGCCTTGCAAACAAATAAGAATGAATTGTGAATATAATCTAACCTCTGCATAAGCTTTGTACAAGCAAATCAGAATAAATACCATAAGTTGCTGGAGAAGTCCATAATCTAACCTCTGTGTCAGCTTTGAATACACAGGTTGCCTGGAGGGTTCCAGCCTACAATGCCTGAGATCCCCAGGCTGGAAGAATAAAACCATATAAAAATGAATACTACTTGCAATAAAAACAAAAAACACCAGACACTGTAGACCACCCCAAAATGACATCCAAACATTAAAAATGATCAAAGGCTTGGGGAAATGTTTTTATCTGATTGGATGAATGACAACAAAGCTGGCACCAGTCAAATTTGGGAGATGGTGGAGTTCCATAATCAGGTGCCACCACAGAGAAGGCCCTCTTTTGCTTTTTATAAATTTATGATACCTGGTGGTGGGCCTCCCTAGCAGATCTTAGCATCCAGGCAGGAGCACATAGTGAGAGATGCTCCTTCAGGTAGTTAGGTCCTAAGTAGTTCAAAGCTTTATAAATCATTGACAATACCATCAATTTTGCCCAGAAGTGTATTGTAATTCAATGCAGTTCCACAAGATAACTATAATAATAATTTATTATTTCTACCCTGCCCATCTGGCTGGATTCCCCTAGCCACTCTGGGCGGCTTCCAACAAAAGATTAAAAATACATTAAAACATCAGTCATAAAAAACTTCCCTTAACAGGGCTGCCCTAAACAAGAACTGGTGTTTTAAGGCTCCATCTAGCTACCCTGTTCAGTAGCTATATAGCTCAATATTTTGCACTAGCTGAAGTGTTCACATCCTCTTTAAGGCCACACCCACAAAGAGTATAGTACATTTTTTGAAACTGAGTGACTGTGAATTACTGTGGCCAAATTCCTATCCAGGGATGGTAGCAGCTGGTGGACCAGACAGCACTAGCCAAAGGCACTCTGCACTGCAAACAACACATGTGCCTCTGATGACAGAGCTGGACCTCAAAGTAACCCCCAGACTATATACCTGTTCCTTCAAGCGGAGTTCAACCCTCTCAACAACAGGTTCTCTTACTAATCTCTGGATCAAACGACTGCAAAGGTCCCAAGTAAAGACACTGAGCTCAGCTGCTGTAGTGCTAACTGGTGCAAATGGCTGTTTGAAGAAAGAAGAGGTCATACACAAATGATTTCACGCCATGCATGGGATTCAGCATGAAATAACGTGCTACAGAATGAGTTTTCCCATTTTCTGAAGCTGTCATCTCACGCAGTTCAAATGTTAGAGGTTGTGCTCTTTGCTACTGTTTCTTTTTCTGGGACTGACAAGATTCTGGATGAATGTACCAATAGCCATCCAGTAGCATGAAATCACATAGAGCATATTCTCAGTAAAGGTTGGAGATACTGTATTAGCATCAGTTTTGAAGTAAGACTCAACTGTCAGTCCAGTTGAATATTGTTTGTGGAACTGCGAGGGTCTGGATCTTTTCCTCTGTCTTAGCCAACAACAGGTGTAGGCAACCTAAGGCCCGGGGGCAGATGCGGCCCAATTGCCTTCTCAATCCGGCCCATGGACGGTCCGAGAATCAGCGTGTTTTTACATGTGTAGAATGTGTCCTTTTATTTAAAATGCATCTCTAGGTTATTTGTGGGGCCTGCCTGGTGTTTTTACATGAGTAGAATGTGTGCTTTTATTTAAAATGCATCTCTGGGTTATTTGTGGGGCATAGGAATTTGTTCATTATTTTTTTCCAAAATATAGTCTGGCCCACCACATGGTCTGAGGGACGGTGGACCGGCCCACAGTTGAAAAAGGTTGCTGACCCTTGGCCAACAAAATGACTTTAGGGCTAGCTCTTGGTGTTTAAGGAAGCCACTACGCCTCAGCCCTTCCCCTATCTGTGATCCAAGGTAATATTGCCTACCTTGCAACACTGTAGTAAGGATTGCAGAGATAATGTATGTGAATAACATTTAGGAAATATGTTGATTAGGTATCGATTGAACTTTGATATTGACACCAGTTATCTGGGCAGCATGTCAAGGAAGTCCTCAAGAAAATAAATTACAGATAAGTTGAACTGGCAAACACCAGCTTCAGAATATATTTTTTGGGCACATAGCCAGTCTTATTACTTAAAACCAATTTATCACACTGCTCAGAAACTCTGATCAGAATCCTGCTGTTGTTGTGCTAAACAATGTATATGCTCTGAGAAAGTCACAGATCATAACCCCAGGCGGCTTGCTATGTTGGTGGTTAATTACAATACTTTTTTATAAACAGTTATATTAATAACTTGAAGCACCAAGGACCACCAGGACCCTGCTGTGTGCTTTAGGGGCAGGAGGGAGACAGGAATAGATGCTGCTTGTCTCCAGATCCTCCCCTGCAGTGCTGGCAGGCAGTCTCTGTCTGTTTCTCAGACATTCCCTGCTTAACCTTGTTTTTCTGTCTTGCCCTGCTGTTTGTTTTCATTGGCTGTGATTTATACACGAACTTGAAACTCAAGGGAGAAGCGTCAGGACCATTAAATAAGGGCTATTGTGTTTTCTTCCTCTGCTTTCTTGCAACAAAGGAGGGTTTGCATTTATTTTCAGATGTACAAATGCTATAAAGGGTGCATGAAGAACCCTTTTCATGAATCTAAATATAAACTGGGTGAAAGGAGCCCACCTTAGAAGAAAGCACCCTCAGTCTATGCCTACCTCACCACAGCTATTGTGGTGAAGAGCAGACTGGGATGCCCAAAAGTTTACAGGTGGGACAGCTCTCCAGCACAGGGCAGCTTCTCATTTTAGTGCAAATGCAATAAAGGAGAGGAGATGATGGCAGCAGCAGCAGTGCAGGGGACAGGGCTGAAATACTGGTTACAGTTTCACCCTGAACATGATAATCAAAATGAGTTCCATGCTTTTGGAATTGGAGCCTGGGAGGCTAGAAGCCCCTAGGTGTTTTCACAAGGGAAAGGTTATAGAAACCTGTACTATACTGCTGATAGTATAATTTCAATATAAAAACAAGACTCTTGAGTTACTTGACTCTTACCAAGAAGAATAACATACCTACTTTATGTCATAAAAAGCGACAGGTAGCCCTCTCTCCTTTTTACCAGAAGTCTCGTCTTTTAATATATATTTTATATAGGTATTCTAAGTAGTTATTGGGGACACGGGTGGCACTGTGGGTTAAACCACAGAGCCTAGGCCTTGCCGATCAGAAGGTCGTCAGTTCGAATCCCCGCGACGGGGTGAGCTCCCGTTGCTCGGTCCCTGCTCCTGCCAACCTAGCAGTTCGAAAGCACATCAAAGTGCAGAAGAGGCTTAGTCATGCTGGCTACATGATCCGGAAGCTGTCTGCGGACAAACGCCGGCTCCCTCGGCCCATAGAGTGAGATGAGCGCCGCAACCCCAGAGTCGTCCACGACTGGACCTAATGGTCAGGGGTCCCTTTACCTTTAAGTAGTTATTCTGTTTTTCTCCAAAATCAGGCTGAGGCCTCTGTCAATTTTACATTTGTGGTACCAAATGAGGCAAGATTGGTTGTCACCAGAAACAGGGTCTTTTCAGTGCTGGCACCCTAGATATGGAACTTCTGGTGAAAATTCGCTCGATCTGTTCTGTTGGCCTTTTTGCAAAAGCTTTATGCTTTGCTTTATTAATTTTGAATATAGGAGCAAATATCCAATAAATTACAGTTCCCTCCTGTCATGCCCCATAACAACACCAACTACATCCAGTTGTATTAGTAATAAGAAAATAAAACATTAATGTGCCAATTTTAAAAGTGTCATTTCACAGGTTCCCATGCATCTTGGGTGGTTTATACACATGGGTGTTTTTTGGTTGGTTGGGGTTTTTTTGCTGCAAATGAAATAAAAATGGACCACGTTTTGTAAAAGTTTTGTAGATTCTCATGTTGTCTTCTTTACTGTACTCAACTTTTCCATCAAGGTTAGGTCCCAAACATAAGCATACCAAATTTCATATAAGTATGCATTCAATGTCCTCTTGCTCTTGGTGCTTAGCAACAGCAAGACATGCTGCCATTATAAGATGCATAATTAAGTCTCTGTCCCTAAGATCTTTTGCTTTATCTGCAAATATTGAAAGTAGTGCTATTTGGGGATGTGAAGTAATCAAATGAAATGTAATTTGTTCCATTTCCTGAAATATTTTTAACCCAAAGTTTTTAATTAATAGGCTTTCCCACCACATGTTCCTTCATTCCCATAGTTTCTCCAGCATTGTGGAGAATGTATTTTGTGGAGAGTTATTCTTGTCTATTTAGCCGTGTGGAATGCAGGTACCCTCTGTAGCTTTAAGGTAGTTTCTTGCACACAAGCTTGAAAAGGATTTGTGGGCCACATTCTTCTGTACAAAACATCATCATTCTCTTCCCACAAGTGTCTTTCCCATCTAGTCTGCAAATTGGAGGATTTTGATCTTGAAAAGTTTACAATAGCTTTACAAATTAAAGAAATTAAACCTTTGCTCCTAGGGTCTGTTGTATATAAAACATTTTCAAACATGGTTAATGACTTTGTGCCTTGTTTGCAAACGTCTGTGCTACTTATGAAGTGAATGATTTGATGGAGTACCATCCAATTGTGGGAGAAGTTTTGAACCATTGGTTGTTTAGCTATTCCGTACAAAGGGGTGTCTCTTTTGTAAAAGGCTTTAAGCCAGAATAGGCCCACTGTTTCCCATTTTTAAAAAGGAATGTTGTATCTTGGTACCATTATCCACTGGATCACTTCTAAGGGGATTCAGTGCCAATGAAGACAGGCTTTCCTTTCACACCACAGCCCAATGAATGAGAACAGGTCAGAACTGGAACCCCACTCTCTTGTGTTTCCCAAGCTCTGAACTAGAGCTCTTCCAGAACCTACAACCCTGCTGCCATGACTAGAATCTGACAGAGACACAAAAGCCATTGTGTAAAGCTCAACATATCTCAAGCAGATTAGTTCTTTGAATCAGTACAACTGCCCACAACCCTTCTGTTTGGACTGCTTTTCAGTTGGCACTTACCCTGAGTTTGTTATTAGACAGAGGGATGCCTTGAAGTGGGAAGCAAAACTTCAGTAGCGTCACCAGCCTGTAAGACCTGGGAAGTAATTCTTTCCCAGTCACAGTCGTTTAGGCCCAAGGTATGCAGTCAAGCCAAGTATTAAATTTTCTGAGGCAAGGCTTGTGAAGTACCATCACAGCAGGCCTACCCATCTGTGCAATAGCTCAGCTGTAGCCCCTCTGATACTGACAGGAGCGGCAGTGGAATAAAACTAGCCTAATATCTTAAGTGGGAAAAATGAGTTCCTGATCTCAATAGACCATTATTGGAAACTTTAATGGATCATTCCATGTCAGCTTCAAGAACTCAAGTTCACTTCTGTAGCCTGCATGACTGATGAACATCTGTTTGGGCTAACCTAACTCTCAGATCTCCTATTCCTGGCTTGGAATATATAAGAATTTGAAGGTAGCTCATCTGTTATGATTGTATCCCTTCATACAGCCTCAAAATATGCATGCTCAGATGACATTTGCACTTAGCAATTAGCTACCAACTGTTTCCTCTCCTTGCTCCTGTGACTCATTAACTTCTGTTGAAAATAAACACTTCTGCAAATATAAAAAGACAGCTAAAATAACAGTTTCATGGGAAAGTAAATAGGAAAAATATTTTCTAAGTGCATCATCCATTGAGTTTACAAACTTCTGGCACATTATCGGTTAGTTCTGCCTTACAGCTGTGTGTATAAATAAATCCTACCCACTTCCTTGCTGTATCTGTAAAATGTCAGTGGGAAATCTGATCAGCTAGCTGAACCTGGCAAGCCTTTACCATAGACTGACCATTGCCACATGCACATGTCACGATTAGCCATGGCTTCTGGTTTATTGTGCATGATGTGCTGATGTGCACCGCCCCATCACTTCCACCTTTGGTGCAAGCAGGAGAAATAAACCAGGAATCCACAATTAAACTTGGCTTCCTGTTATATCTGAACCCAGGACTATAATTTGTTTCTCCCTAACAAGCCAAGGTCACCAGTCGGCCTTAAGCCATAGTTTGTTATTGGCTAACAGATCCTGGCTTATTTTGGAGCAACAAACCATGATCCTGGATTCAGATGTAACAGGAAACCAAACTTGATTACATCTTCCTGGTTTATTTATTCCATTTGCACCTGGTGACAACTGAAGCGGAAGCAATTAGGCACAGTAACTCGCAGTACACCAAGACCGTGGCTTATAAGAACATGTGAATGAAGCCAATTAATGAATTTTCCAAAGCTGATATATTTGACAGTTGCATTGGTTGCAATAGAATGCACAACTTTAGCTTATGTATGACATTAGTTCCAATTTTATAAAACTGAGTTTACTCATGTGAATGTGCATTGGATTCCAGCCTCAGCTGTGTTAATCCATCTCTGGCTTGTGCTTTGTATCCACTGATTACTGGATATCCTCAAGAGGTGGCCTGCAACGTAGCCCATCAAGTCACTGTTTCTTCATCATACCCCATTTTCCTGGTGGCTGCCATTCCTATGGCCCAGCCACCATGTTTCTTGGAGGTACTGTGCACATGCACTCCACTATATAGTGATAAGCCCAGAATAACAGAGGAGGAAGAGGAATGAGAAAACTGTGTTGGCACTGAGGCAAGAGGCCAGGGGGCAAGGCCTGGACAAGGTAATTCACCTACACTAGGGAGCAGGGCTAGTGTTAGAACCTCTAAGAAAGGAGAGTCTGAGGCAGTCCTCTCTCCCTTGTTATCCAATATCTGGTAATGTCAAGAAGTTCTTCCTAATGTTTAGTCTAAGGTTGTGTACACACTCCCATTTACTCTGCTTCCAGTGCACTCCCACTGCTGGTTTGAAAAGCAGCATACACACAATAGCCACATTCCGTATCTATCCTGTCACTTATGGAATACTGTGTTTTGATGCATTTCCCTCCAAACCAGATTCGATCTGAACTGAGAAGAAGAATGACCTACTAGCTGCATTTTCAGCTGGAAATGTGTACACAGGCTAAAACTACTTTCCTTTATTTATTTTTTAACCCATTGGCTTGGGTTCTATCCTCTGGAGCAAGAGAAAACGCATTTGCTTCATTATTTTTGTGACAGCCCTTCAAGCAACTGAAGACAGCTATCATATCACCTCTTAATTATCTCCTCTCTAGGCTATTCTCAGCCTCTTCTCCTAGGACTTTGTGTCCAGGCTCCTCACCATTTATGTCACTCTCCTCTAGACACAGATTATCATGTAACTATTAGCTGGAGCTGTTAGCCTGACATTATAGGTTATTTGAAGTGATCCAAGAAAGTAACTGTGACTTACAGAGGCAACAAATGGCACATGACAGCTTTCATTTTGCCAATGAGCAGTAACTAGCAACAGCAAACACGAAGCTACCTACAATAAGTGATGACATACTGTATAAAAATCTCTGCTTACCTTTACAAAAACCAACAAAAAAAAAAGCATCAGAATATGGATGCACGTTTTTGCAAAGGATCGTAACAGGTTCGCCAGCAATAATTGGTAGATACTTTAAACTTTCAGTTGATTAATCGGGGATCTGGATATTAAGAGAAAACTTGTTGATAATCTGACACTCTTTGGGGTCATTAGGAAATGAGGAGAAAATATGAAAGATGGCTTTTTTCTTTTAAACAATGAATAGATGCTGCTTATTGAATTCTATGCTATTTTGCACTTCTTTCAATACTGATGAAAGCTCAGGACATGGAAGACCAGGGTTCAAATCCTTGCTCAGGCATTAAGCTCACTGGGGGATGTTGGACCAGTCACCGTATTTCTGCCCAACTTACATTGCAGGGTTGTTGTAAGGATCAAATACAAGGAGAGCCCTGAACACCACATTGAAAAGACATGTGTTTTGAGGTTTTGTAATAGAGACAGCCATTTAAATTTAATCATTTCCTAATACAGGGAAGGAATAGGAAGAAAAGATGGTGGAGAAGAGAATGCACACACATGGACAGATAGCCAGTACCAGTATAAAGTTATCCACAATTTAAACAACCTATTTCCCCCTTGGATCTGGCACCAGTCAAAAATAGCTTTGGACTTACAAGAAGGATTGGAAACTTGTGGTCATCCAGGTGTTGCTGAACTGCAATTCCCATTATCTTCCTTGACCACTAGTCATGAAACATCTGGAGGGCCACAGGCTCTCCATTCCTGGACTAGAATAAGTATATTAGTTGACAATAGGACTATGGGGGGTGCTGGGAGGTCCTTTTGGAGCCACAGCCTCTTCTGTTACACTTTATATTATTGTGATGCTCTAGAATAAGGGTTGACAGTTTAAAGTAAGAGGTAACTGGCTAATCTAGTGCAAACCTCAAATTACCATAGAGCAGAGGTCTTGCTCTCTCCTGGTGCATCTAACACCTGAACAGACAAAGAGGTAACATGGAGCTGGAAATTTTCCACCCACCCACCATTTTATCCATAATGAAACTGGCAGGCTCAGAATAGTGGAAAGCTAAAGACAATGGCTGAGATCATCTACTTCTTTATATTTGTGTCCCTGCTGATCCAGCACTCCCTATATCACATCTGGAGTCCATTTCCTCTTTAATGCTTTAAGACCTTCGATGCTGATTAAGCCTATTTGCTGTTGTGTTACGTAAATATAAAGCATGAAAGACTGTTGAATCAGAAGTAACCTGCTGCTCTGAAATGCCTTAAAACAAAAATACTCAAAATTAGAACTGGAGTTAGGTTGGTTTGAGTTCCAAATGTTGAAAATATACCTCATGCTGCACTCTCCTTATCCCGGGTACGTTGATGTAAACTCATATTTGGCATGTATAAAAATGGCTGACATAAGCAGCAGTTATTGCCTATGCCCATATACAGCAAACGCATATTAATTTATCTAGTGAAAACAGCTGCTTACACCATAAGGCATGGGTAGTACTAACATGCACAGCCCTGGAATAATTGCCTTTCACTTCAAGCATCTCAATATTTGCTCTGGAATGTGGAACATAAGACCCAGCCATCTGGACCCACAACTCTAATATCTCTCTATCCCAGGGGTGGAGGAATTATTTCAGCCCAAGAGCTACATTCTCTAGGGGCAAACTTGGGAGGGGGGCACATGCCGGTGGTGGGCAGGGCAAGAGAAATGATCCTTACCTTTGTACAATAGGCTACTGTCCAGCCACACACAAGTTAGAGGGTCCTACATGTACCCCTCTCCATCCAGGCCAACAAGAGGCATTACTAGAGAGCCAGTGTAGTGTAGTGGTTGGAGTGGTTAAGAGTGGTAGTCTCGTAATCTGGTGAACCAGGTTCGATTCCCCGCTCCTCCACATGCAGCTGCTGGGTGACCTTGGGCTAGTCACACTTCTCTGAAATCTCTCAGCCTCACTCACCTCACAGAGTGTTTGTTGTGGGGGAAGAATGGAAAGGAGAATGTTAGCCGCTTTGAGACTCCTTAGGGTAGTGATAAAGCGGGATATCAAATCCAAACTCTTCTTCTACTACAGTCAAGGACACATTCCATGGGGTCCAAAGAATTGGAGGAAGTATGAAGCAGCAGGGCCAATGAGGGGTGTGGCCTAGGGAGGAGAGACAGCCTCCGAGAGTCCCAAGGGCCAGACAGAGAGGCCTGGAGGGCCACACTGGGTCCCTGGGCCTGACGTTCCCCACTTCTGCCTGGTGCTTGAAAATGATACATTTTGTTCTTCAGAGATTCTGGGGAAATTGCTTCAAATATATGCTTAATATTTCTCCTTGATTCATTGCACGTTGTATGCAGACAGCTTTAACTGTTTTGTCTTCTGTTAGTACAAAGCCAGGCCCTTCCGCTTCAGGCCTCTCTGATCTGTGGCCCAGATTGCTTTGGGTTATCTGCTGGAAGCCTCAGTGCCATGTGGAACCATTTTAAGTGCTGGCGTAAGGCTGAATCATGACACACTTCATATCTGCTCTACCACCCTCTGAATTGTGTCTTTTAGCCAAGTTAATTCAAAAACAATGTGTGAAGCTGTTCAAAACCACACATTTCCTAATGTGAAATATGACACACCTTTTCTTACAAAAGGCTGAAATATAATCTGGAAGTTCTTTCTTCCATTTCCCTGCCCGCTGATTTATTGAGTGCTGATGTGATCCACTGGCCAAAGGCTAAGTTATGCGGTGTGTTAGGAAATGCTACGTTTGACTCGCAACTCAGCCACAAACAGTCAGCAAAGTTGGAGCTATCTGAGACCTTTAGTTGTTACTTCATGAGCAACTGTGTGCATATGGATTTGGGTTATGAAGGAATCCAAACACCTAAATCTCTTTCCTTGAAATGGTGTGTCCATATTTGCTTCCCTGTGCACAACATGCTTATTATGCCACTTGTTCACAAATGTGGTAGCAGCAAAAGCAAAAGGCCACCTAGAAGCAGTATGGATAGAGGGCAGGACTAGTGACAACCATTCATTTCCCTACTTAAATTTCCACTGGAGTTACAATTAGTTGGCTCTGACTATCAGTGGCTCCGGCTCCCTGCCTTCCACCCTAACAAATCCCAATGGGTGCCACAGAAATTCAGCCACCACTGAATTTATACATGCTTTTCTCTGTGGAGAAATTATCTGTGACAAAAATCAGTCAAAACATGCCCATGTGCATTTTGGCCTAGTACTCCCACAAGCCTGTTGTCATTGTTTTCAACAGCAGCAGCGCAATATATTGGTGGGGAAGGTAGGCATTCTTGCTGCTGGTGAGGGATAACCATGTTTTTCAGTTCATCACAATTTTGTGAGGGGACTGAAAATTGGCTTGTTGGGAGAGGCAGAGAGAGCACACACAACACCTCACAAGAATTAACACCAGCAGGTTCACAAAACGGTATGGTGTTGCTGAGGGAGGGTAATATAGAGTGTTTGTTTCCATTAATGCAAAATGGCAACCTGATTAGAGAAGTACCTCTGGTCCCGTCAGTGAAGGACTTTGGGGCATATGTCCAGCGCTCTGCTCAGGAGAATGAGCAGGTGGATCCCCACACATAGTGTGTGTGTGGGGGGGGGGGGTGTTTTGCCACATTTTGAAGTAAGCGATATTTAGCTGCGGTACACATACAGTTTTCCATTTCCCACAAGAGGTAGTCAGATCCAGGTTCAGCCACAATCTCCTTCCTCATGAATAGAGTATTGGAGGTGTTCTTGCGACATCTGTTTGCAAATATGCATACTGAGCATGGTGGGAGCAGGCAAGCACCAAGACGCCATAAAACAACAGCACCAGAATCAACTTCCTGTTGCACTTCCTGTTCCTCTCCCAATAAAGGCCATCCCATTAAAGGGTGACCAAAGGCCATTTCATGCTCAAAACTGGACCTGAACCCATTGGAATGGGTTTAGATAATCATCGGCATGACTTGGAGTTGTGTGAAAGGCCCCTAACCCAGGTCTTGAGCCCCAATATATAGAAATTTGTATGTGACTTTAAAACAACTTAAAGGAAGAGAATTCTCCAGCACAGTTTTTTCCCCTCATTTGAGGCATAAATGCCACACACTCTGCCTTCCTGTGTCCCAGAATAAGAACAACCTAATTCGGGATAGGAATTCTGGCTGCTTATCTAGCCGTAAAAAGTGTCCTGCTTTTTTGAAACACAGCTTCCAGCATGGCTGCAGGCCTAAGAACAGGAGTTGTACTGTCCCAGCAGAAAGAAGAAAATCCCAGCGGGAGCCCAGGGGTCTAGCCTGAAGGCAGCCAAAGATAGAATAAAAATGTCAAACTGTTAAAGAGCATTAAGTATTAAAAATTGGCTAGAGTTTCTCAGAGAGATTATTATGAACATTTGGTCTAGCTAAATAAAATGATAAATAGTTCCTGATTCAGCAGAATACATAAATTTAAATAGAACTAGTCCCACTAATCCCACAGGATGCTTCCCAGATTAAAATTACATAATGTAGACAAGAATTTTGCTCAGTGGAGTCATAAATTGCCTGGCTTTAAGAGACAGTGGACTTAGAAATAAGACCCCTTATAAAGTATGGTAAACTTCCCAGACCAGGAGGAGGCAAACTGTTTTGACTAGGAGCTGGGGAATGGGGCACAATTACCGGGTATGTTTTAAGCTTGCTTGATAGGCTGCAATATTATAATGTGCGCACACGGACTGTTCTCATATAGTAACCCATATATAGTGTTACAAGTGTGTCCATACTCTCTTAGAAAGCATGTTTAGGGTACACAGTAATGTCTGTCTGCCATTTTAGCATTAGTACTAGTAGACGTAGTTGTAGTAGTAGCAGTATACCACCCTTCATCCACAGATCACAGAGTGGTTCAAAACATAAAAATGCAACACGAGAACACAAAATACAAAACCAAACCAATAACCCCCTTCCACAAACACCTTTAAAAGGCCATAGACTCAACCAAAGGTCTGGTTACAGAAAAATGTCTGTTTTATTAGAATACAGAACACCCACATTGGCTGCCATCTTGAATTTGGATAAATTAACCCCACTATTAATCACCTAGGCCCTCCAGATGCTGCCCAGACCCCTTCACGCTCCCCCAGACCACCCCTCCAGGTATCACTTCTTGTTCCACATTTTATGTGAGACAAAGGTGGAGGGTTGGTATAACTGCTACAAAGTTGGGGGGGCGGCTTGTAGTGATCTATGGCGAGGGGAATCTAAAGAGAAGGGAAGGGCAGGGAAGTGGGGTAGACTTCTGTAAACTCTGGCCATACTAGCATATGGTGCCTGCCATATTATCCCCAAGGGAATGCAGCCCTCAGTAGAAAATAGAAATAATAGAAAATAGAAATAATAAACCCTATAGAAATAATAAGATATAATACCTGTGTGTATGAGGAATATTCTGTAAAGTTTATCACATACTCCTTCCTTCTATGCGGCAACAGTTTTTAAGGAATGTTTTGTGTGAAATTTAAGCCCATCATCCTATTCAAGATCCGCCACCCACAGTCACAATAATCCTTTGTGATGGAAAGCTTTAGATTAATAGACAAGACTTTGCTTTCTGCTGCTAGCCACTGCTAAATGGTGTTGTACCAGGGTAACATGAAAGAAAGAGAGATATTCCAACTGGTAAGCTTCAGCTGTGAATTCCAGAAATAGGTTCCTTAAAAGGCTGGCTCTGTAAATGTAATGGCAGGTGGCTTGCTCAGCGGATGACTAGCCCTTACTTGCAACCGATTCTGCTACTCAGGGCCAGTTATAGATATACAACACTTGGAGAGTTGTTAAAAAATGAGGAGTCGGGGTCTAGTCTGGGGAGGAGTCCAAGGAAGGAGAAGCTCATACCCAATTAAGGTAGGGAACCAAAGTAAGTCAATAACTCTGTAATCGCAGTGCAGGGGCTAGTCAGACCCACCCCAATAACATCTGGGACATTAGTGTATTTTCGTGCTAATGTCACAAATCTACAAATAATGGAAGCTGGCTTCCAGAGCACCATTCAAGTACAACTATCAGATTATTGAGAATCCCAGCTATCCTTTCTAAACAGCAAATATCTAGCTCTCATTACAAAGACAAGCATAAAGACTTGAAGGCAGCATTTACCTCTGAGGGGTCTGGGAGCTTCCCCCCTCCAACAGATACACAGCGTGCCCTCTTTCCTGGAATATATTCTACAAACCTTGGGGTTCACCATGGGCATAACTAATGCATCCCTCTGGTGCGGTGCTATTTCGGCTACTTAAGGATTCACCTCTGGAGAATGAGTTTGCTATTAGCACGTGTGTGTGTGTGTGTGTGTGAGAGAGAGAGAGAGAGAGAGAGAGAGAGAGAGAGAGAGAGAGAGAGACCTGCATAGATAAAGTAATTAAGCAATATGTTTTGTCAACTTGCACCATTCAATCTTCCTCACTGGAGGATTATTGTCACTTTAATCTCACAGTATTCCAGTGTCACTGCCTGACGCTAAAATCCTTCTGCTGAAACATTTAAAAAACCCACCCAAAATAACAAAAGAACTCCATACACACAAGCTTAACAAAACACCTAACAATTCATCAGACAGCTTCTTTGTGAGGAAAAAAATGTGTGGAATGTTTCTTAAAGGGCAGGTGGAATCGATCCAAGTAGTTCTATAGCGTAAATTATCCTAAATCCCCCCCCTTCTTCAAGGAATGTGTTATGTGCAAGCTTTTAAATGCTTCAGGGATATAATGTCAGTTCCACTCCATGCTGTAGCTGACAGCCTCCTTGCTGCTCTTCTGAATAAGCAGAATTTGAGAAAGTAAATACTTGCTGTGTTTGCACCTATGGATTCCTGTGACTGAGAAGGCAAGCACTTTCTTGCAAGCAGCAGTAGTGCCAAGATGTGTCAGAAGGTACAGCACACAAGCACTTTCTTCAATTTTTCTACACAATAGCTGTGCTGAGATGCTCAAAGTTTCCAGTAAAAAGAGGATAACCAGGGCCAGCCAGCCCTATCATATGGCAGGGTGAAGACTTCCACCTCAGGTAACACCATGAGGGGGTAGAATATGAAGGCAGGAACTGGTGTCTAAATATTGCCACAACACTTTTAAAAGAACTGCCTGCACTGGGCGGGGTCTGCTCTTTGGGATCTGCTTCAGTCTGCAAAATGTCTTGAGCCAGCACTGAGTGACAGCAGGAGGGACACTATAGATTTTGCTATTTAGAACATCCTTTTTAGCAGATTCACTGTCATAAATGGATACACTCTTTGTTCTTACTCTGTTTCGCTCAATATGACAATTCCCTCCTACTAAACATACCAGCTTGATCCAAATACATTTACTTTGGAGCAAATGGAACTGCAACCCCAACGTTATGGAAAGTTCCACAAAGAACCCTAAACAGTAGCATCAGTAGTACTAAGTTTCATGCAGCTTTGCCATTTCCTGATACTTTGAGAAAACATGAGCAGATAAAAAGCAGGTATTTCAATACATCTTAAAATGATTTACTATTATTAAGAATGAAAATGTAATATTAATGCATCCTCATTATTAATATAGTGGCACTGACATACATGACATTGTAATGACATTTTTTTAAAGCCATGCCCCTGCAAAGTCTGAAAAGTTTGCTTTCTAATTTTGGCATTTGGGCGAGAACGAAAGAAAGGGGAGAAAAGGGAGAGGCAAGGTTGACAATAAAAAGGGGAGGCTTATGAGCAGTGGTACGAAGTAATGAAATATAGATATAACTCTTCTTCCATTTTAAATCTATAGCATTAAAAGATGGGGTTACCCTTGGCTCAAAAAGGGAAAACAATATTAAAACACTGAAATTTATTTATCTGTTTATAGCCTTTTCTGTCCTTTTATTCAGTGGCCTGAAAGAACCTATACAGATCTTTCCTGTGGAACTTCGGTTAATTGATTGCTTGTCGTTTTTCCCAGTGAACCAAATGAAGCCCATTCTTGGAACTAGTCAGTGAATTTTCAAGCGTGGCCCAGGCAGGGGATTCCCGTTATTGAGCTCTCCAGAGACATGCCTCTGACTTTCTGCCCCAGTGATTTCATCCAAACAGGAAGGCCAGCCTGCCTGTCCCTCTGCAGGAGGTAGTCAAATCTTGCATTCCTCTCAGGGGGAAATGTTGCTGGGAGGAGCAGGCTGCTTTCTTCAGAGCTAGTCGCAACTGGTGTCCTGGTTGTCTCCTCCTCAAACTGCACAGGATGTTCTCAAACTGCACTCTAAGGAGCCGATAAACCACCAAAGAACCCTCTGGGTTCTCTTAAGGTGGCACTGCCACCTATTGACCGAATAAAGTAATATTTTAAAGCCCTGAAATTAAGAGTAAAGTGGTACCTCGGGTTAAGTACTTAATTCGTTCCGGAGGTCCGTTCTTAACCTGAAACTGTTCTTAACCTGAAGCACCACTTTAGCTAATGGGGCCTCCTGCTGCTGCCACCGCGCCGCTGGAGCAGGATTTCTGTTCTTATCCTGAAGCAAAGTTCTTAACCTGAAGCACTATTTCTGGGTTAGGAGAGTGTGTAACCTGAAGCATATGTAACCTGAAGCATATGTAACCCGAGGTACCACTGTATATACTGTATCTGTAAACTATCACAGAGAGGCATATGCTCTCCTAGTTAATGGCACTTCACAAGAAAAAGCTTCCTCATGGATATAAATTCTAAGCAGAGATGGTTAAATCAATCTTATGTGAAGCACCCCTCAAGTTGCTGGAGGCAAGGCTTCTGAGTCCTCTTCAATGGAGGGTGAGAGCTGTGTATTTTACAACTCAGCCTCCTCCCTTCATAGTCTTGGCTCCCCTAGTAACCTCTTGACAAAGCATCTGTTGGGACCCCTGGTCCTACAAACTGTCTGCTGACCCTCAATGACAACTCTTCTGGGCAGCTGTGCATGATCACCTCACAAATCCAGAGGGGTACGAAGGACCAGGGGGGAAGATGTCCCATGCCTTGAAGACCCAGGAGCTCAGTGAATTACACAGCCTGTGACCTAGACAAAATTCAGATCTAACCCGGTACAAAATGAAACCGGTGTTTAAATATTCCTGTGTATGATAGCGAGTCACAAAACGGTTTGATCCTGAAGTACACATAGTTCAAGAAATTCTTGTTCAATCCACATGGACGACCTAAACTCAACTTCCACGTTAAATGGACATGGCTGAAAGGGTATGGAGATTATTTGCTTGAATATCAAACAAATTCTCATATGCATGAGGTGGGGAAAACATGTTGTGAAGGCAAGTACTAGAAAAAAAGCGTAAAAATTGTAAGAGGGCATCCTTCAGCCCAGCATCCTGGGTACCATAAACAACAAGGTAGGGATCAGCATTTGTTCACAGTTCTGAGCCATTATATGGACACCTAAGATCCTTGCCAAATCCTTGTTTAACTTGACCTGTCAACAAAGTGCTACTGAATGGAGCTGAGCTACTGTCCAGTGGCAACATCTCTTTTGACTGCCTACTGCTGTGCTCTGTCTTCAACACATTCACAAATACCTGCACTGAGTTCCCAGTGTGTCTGTTTATTCAAGGTCTATTCATAAACAAGTCTGGCAGCAGCTGTTAGCAGAAGTGGCTAGGCAATTCGTTCCCCGACCACTAACGATGAAATGCAATTGCACCAGGAGCAGGAGGACAAGCCAATTTCTGTGTGCCGAACAAGAGTGGAGAGACTTGCATTTTGAAAATACACCGATGACTTAGGAAAGGGATTAGAACCACCTGCATCCAAGTCCCTTGGCAAACATAGAAAAGGGGAGCAGAGTTTGGTAGCCAAGGTCAGCGTCTGCCCACCACATGAGTCCGCCTGCGGTATGCCCCTGGCACCAGCAATTCCAGAGTTAATTCGGTGAAGATGGCTGTGAGACCCCATACACGGTGAGGACCGTGCAGGAAGACAGGAAGTGTGTAGCTGTAGGTACCCTTGTGGCAGAAGTTAGTGTAGCCCTGGTTCTCTTCTTGCAGCAAGTGGCGAAAAGACAGTGTGAAAACGGCCTCAACCTGCAAATCAGAGGGAAAAAAGGTGGAGGACGGGCACCACAGATCTCCCAGTTTAGCTACAGAGCCAATGGTTCCTTTTCCAACTCCCAGCTGCCCAGGAAATCACCACAATCCACTCCCTCATTCCCAGCAAGCCTTCCATCCAGACGCTTTGGGCCTAGCAAGACGTAACAGCAGGGGTAGCTCATAGGCCATATGCAGCCCGTTTTCTGTGCCCCTCAAAGCCGCCCCCCCTCTCAAAATGGCAACTCCTTTTTTCCAATTTATTATTTTTGTAATTCTTATTTTTGTAATATTGCCAATTTGTTATTTTTATGAGGTTTACCCACACCTGTGTTGTCTAGCTATCCTGTTACCAGTTTCACATTATCCAGTGTTGTTTCTAGGAAGAAGTCCCCACAAATCAGATTGCTTATAAGTAAAATGGCTATGCTAATAAAAAATGCTGTGTGTTTATTTCTGGATTCGCAGAGCTCCTGGAGCAGCACCAGTCACTACTCTGCTGCTTCAGGAGCAGTCAGGTTTCCCTGCTACTGCCACTACCACATGCTACTGTTATGCTTCGGTTGATGAGAAAAACTACGATCTTTCACGGTTTCTTTCAGGAGCAGCCAAAGGCACTGAAACTGTTAGAGCAGCAGAGGAGCGAGTCGGGAAGTGATGGTGGCTGTGGGGACAGCAGCTTTCACGGCTGAGAGCAAGTGGCAGTAGGGAGGAGGAATTAACAAGAAAGAACAAACTTGTGAGCATCCCAAACTGTTTCAGTTGCTGCAACTTGGATAGTAACTCAGGAGGGGAACTCAGGAGTAGAGGGGGAAAGTGGGGTGGTAATTGATATGAGAAAGAAATGGAAGACTAGACAGACAGACAGACACACATATATACAGTATATGTCTCTTGGGGAGGAATTAAATAAGGGCAGGGATGAAAGGCACCTTCCACCAAACGCAATGCAATTAATTTTGGGAGAAAGAGGATGAAATTGTATTACAAGACCATAAATTAGTTATTGACCATGGAAGACAATGGAAGTAGTGTGGGGTAGAGGTGAGTGTGGGTTTTTACTGTTTCTTAATGAATTAGGGGGGAAATGAAGTCGCAGATTCTTAATTACAGGGTAAGGATTCTGGGATTTTGTCAATGCCCATTTTCCTGCTTACATCACGGCCACTTTGCTATGTGGCCCCTGAGGACATTTTCAACCCCTAAAAGGGCAATCCACCCCTTCTGCGCTTTCCCCAAGCATCTCCCTGGCAACACATCCCGTAAAAAGAACATGCAAGGAGGTGTCATTGTGTTGCTTTTGCTCTTTCATTCACCTCTTGGGGATTAGGCTTCAGAGTCAGGCGCTCCAGAGGACCCAAGTTGGCTAGCACAGGCATAACCATCATTTTTGTCTGAAAGGAAACCAGAGTTTAAACCCAATGAATTCCAGACATCCCCGTTGCTTTTTTGCTGCAAGGCATGCTCCAAAGTGATAAATACTCATGCAAGCCAGATGCCTTCCCTTGCCAAACACCTTTCTGCCCCTCAGGTGAACATCCTGACCCACAGCAATACTCTCATCTGACACATCATTCCATGATCATAGCTTCTCCAGGTAAACACCCCCCCCCCCCAGCATTCTGAATATTAGTCCCAGCTCCTTAGCAAAAAACCTTCCAGTGTAAGTTTATCCTTGGAGATTCTAGAACCCCCAAATAGAGACATTACCTTATCAGGCATAGGCATCATGATTCCCCAGACGCAGTCCTCCTCTACCCGCAGGCCCAACTCTTCCTGAGTCTCCCTGAGTGCTGTGGCAATAGGATCCCGGTCAGAGCTGTCACGCTTACCACCTGGGAAACTGCAAGAGCAAAACAGAATCCTTTTATAAAGGGAAATTCAGGACCAGAACCAAGGTTGTGCCAGCAGCCTTGAGGGGAAATAGCTACGCTGTGGCAACTGCCAGGACCTCAGGAGGGTTCTGAGGTCCAGGAAAGAGCAAACGAAAAGGATGGTGGGAATTGTACTTTAAAAAGAGAGAGTATGGGGCTACCAAATACCTGACAGATCCTTTGTGCACACCAGTCAAGGTGCTGGACCTCAGCGTGTACAGGATGGCTGGGTCCCCAGCCACAGAGCACAGGGGCACCAAAACAGCTGCTGGCGCAGCTTCTTGTCTGTATCGGTTGGTAGACGCCTCAAGCTGCCCTCGGCAACGCTGCTCGTTTTCCCAGGATAAGTATCTACGAACTGGGCCCATGCTGGCTATGGACGCATGAGGCCTGCTGTGGCAGAAGTGGCGAAGCGTTGGAAGCATAATGCCCTGCAGGGAGGAAAGAGGAGGAGCTGACTTGGAAACAAGCAGCCGGCACTGAAGAAGGAAGGGGACCGTCCTGCCTCAATCCTGAACTTCACAGCGCCCAGGGAGGTTGGTTATTTTATATTCACATGGGTCCTCCCACACCATCAACTCGCCCCATCCTACTTTGTCCAGTAATGATTTTACTGTTAGGCTGTGATCCACAAGGGTCTGCTAAAGTACAAGGGGAAAGGGCAGGAGGGTGAAGGGAAATTAGTAAAATGTATTACTCAGAAAACAAGCACTGTCCTTAGACGTGGAAGCCATGTGTCTTCCTGTCAAATCTGTGCCAAGGCCAACTGCAATCATTTCAAAATCCAAGGCTGCAAAACAATAACAAAAAACCAATCTCTCCCACTTCAGCACAGATTTTTTATAGGTTTTTCAAGCAGCTACCCACAAATATAAGTAATACTGCAGCACCACCCTGGACGGCCACATATATTCACCTAATGATTAGGCTAGCCTTGCCTTAGGCAGTATTGACTGTGCCCAAAATCATTCAGATCTAGCAAAAATGATTACTGCAGATGATCTGTTATGACAAAAGATCTGTAGTCAAGGAGTCAAGAACAGGACAGAAATTTCTCTGAAGTGAAATGTCTCTGAATGAGGCATTCAATAGGGATCATTCTTGCAAAAAATGAAATAAAAATATATTTCCTGAGGTAGAACTAGATATTAGCACTGAATCTTTTTCACTCTGGAAAAAAACCTTCTCCCATATGCTAGAATTGAAATCAAGTGGCAAAGTCATTAGGTTTGCCTAGGTCTCCTATACTTTTAACAAGTGCATGGCATGCAGAAATTTAGCAGGAAAGCTGCAGCTTTCAATAAGTCCTGCTCATCATGTCCAGGACAAGGTGGCAAGTATGCCAAGCTGCTGTTTGAAATAATTTAGCACCAGGCACTCTTTCTTTTTAGAAACTCCTGATCCACTTGGAATTTGAAGACAACCCTGAAATGCCAGCTGCTCAGATGCTGGGTGCAGGACTGGAACCAGAAGTCAGCACAACTGGGCAGCTGTCAAGGCCCAGTATACACCAGGACAGCCTTTGCCAACCTTGTGCCCTTAGAATATTGTTGGACTACAACTCCCATCAGCCTCAGCCAGCACATTTTTGGATCACAACCCTCATAGTGGGGACTGTAGTCCAACGTTTGGAGGGCATCAGAATGGCCAAGGCTGACTCTGGAGGTCCTACTAATGCTAACCAGCTGTTGCTCAGGTTTAGCACACTCTGCACGTTGCACAGAAACATCTCCTCCTACCCAGGTGCTGCTCACTTGCCTGTGAACGTGGAACGGTGAGTGGCAGCTGAAAGGAACAGTCACTGCTGTTTCCCATTAGTCACCTGGCTTTTCCCTCTGGGAAGTATGGCAATAGGGAATGGGTCTGCAGTGCTGCATGGGCAAACAAAATGAGGAGGCTCCTTTCTCTGCACTGTCACCTTTGCTATCTAGGTGGCCCCACTGGGGCTTGCCAACACTGCCATGCAAGGGGGTGAAAGGCAAGAGCTCTTACTCTCCCTCTCTCCCCAAGAGGCAATATGGGCAAGACTGGGCACTACAGCACAGCCTAGAGAAGCACGAACATCTCTCTCTGCCAACTCACTCACCCTCTTTCTCAGGCAATGCAGCAGGACCCCACAGCATATGGTAGGAGCAACACCCAGCGAGCAAGTAGAAGTGGGCAGGGCAGCTGCAGGCAAGCAGGTAGGGCCTCCCAGAGGGGAAACACAAATACAGTAGGTGGTGACAGCAGCCTTGCACTGGAGGGGGGCAACTGAATGGAAGCAGCCTTACTAAGTGAGAGTGGCCTCCAGCTGCTGATCTGAGGTGTCAAATGGCAGCAAGATAGTAGTTACTTGATTTAGTATTGCATTTTTACTGCAAGGGCAGGAGGTACTTGTGAGATTTTCTGCCTCAGGTGCCAACTTGACTTGCCTGGCTTTAGGTGGAGTGGGAAGTGTTGTCGCTCAACCTTTTAGGCAGCAAAATGTCTTGGGAGATCCCCTTGGAAGGTGCTTTTTGCCTGCTTGTGACATCTCTCTGGGAGTCGAAGCAGGAAGGGTTGGGGTCACTGGGCCCAATCCCCAGGGCCATACTGCCTAGATGAGGACCCTCACCAAAGGCATGCTGCCAACACCAACATCCCCCCTCCCCACCGCTCCTCTGAAGGCAAAGCCTATGGGGGAAGAGAGATGAAGACTCCTATTACTGTACTGCAGAGTCGGAAGGGACCCCAAGGGTCACGTAGTCCAATGAAGGAATCCCAACTACATCATACATGACCGATGGCCATCCAAGCTCTGCTTAGAGGCTGAGCACTTCTGCTCCACTGCCGCCTCATGCGATGCGTTTACAGTGGTACCTCGGGTTAAGTACTTAATTCGTTCCGGAGGTCCGTTCTTAACCTGAAACTGTTCTTAACCTGAAGCACCACTTTAGCTAATGGGGCCTCCTGCTGCTGCCACGCCGCTGGAGCACGATTTCTGTTCTCATCCTGAAGCAAAGTTCTTAACCTGAAGCACTATTTCTGGGTTAGCGGAGTCTGTAACCTGAAGCGTATGTAAGCCGAGGTAGCACTGTATTTTGGAAATACTAAAACCGCAGGGAAATGCACTGGGAGAGGCGCGTTGGGCAGGTCGGGATTTGTTCGCGCCTGGTCTGGGAGGAAAAGGTCGGCTTTTAAGCCCTCGGCGGACCGCCTGCTTTGCTCTCAGCAGGGCGAAGCCTGCAGCCCCGCTTCTCCCTCTGCCCCCAAACGACCCCGCGCCTGGAAGAGCCCCGTAGCAGCGCTCGGGGAGGAACTTCCCGCCGCTCCCCATCTGCCCGTCCCCTCAACCAACATGGCGGCGCTCGGAAACGCTCCTCTCCGCGAGCGAGGAAGGGGGCGCACTTCCGCCAGGCAACAGCATGGAGGTCACCTTTCCCCGCGCCGACGAGCGTTCTTCGGTGAAAAGACGCGCTTCTTCCCTGCCGAAAATTCCGGCCGACGAGGGTGGACGGAGGCGCCCGCATCAGCCAATGGAAGCGGAGGGCCGCGGAAGCCACGCCCACGGCTGAGAGGCCGGCGGCCGCGACGACTCCCCGCCCACACTCGTCCTCGGGAGGGAGGGGAGCGGGGGAAGCGCGGTCTTATATAACGACGGATAAAAGGAATTATTACATGGGCGGCGGCACGCACGCCTCGCCTCGCCTCTCTCCCTCCCTTCGTTTTTCGGTCCCGAGGAAGAAGCAACCGTTGCCTCGGAAGGATTCCTTACCCTCTTTCTTAAGCGATTTAGGATGCAAGCCCGAAAACTTGACAAAAATCCAGACTTGGAACATTAGTCTGTGCTTGGAGACTTGTGAGGCCCGGACGGCTGACAAACACAGCCTGGCCAGACCTCTCATCCTTGGTTCAGCTTCCATTTTCAGTGAAGCATAAATTTATTTATTGAATTTATCTCTCACGCTTCCTCCTGTAGGCGAGAGAGGAAAGCACCAAATCTTGATAAGATTGTATCAAGATCAAAACTTTTTTGTGTTTTACTATACTTGAAAATATGTCTATATCCTTAAAAGCAGAATTATGATAAAAATGTGAAGTGAACTGTTGAGCACAGATCGATTTATTACATTGTAACTCACAATAGATTCTATTGATTCTACCTTTTCAATTTTTTTGCTGTTAAAAATGAAAACTGACAGCATCCCACACATTAAAAACTTTGAAACCTGCTTAATTTGAGCAGCTGAAACTACAGCCAGCGCAGTGGAGTGAATCATACTAGGTGAGCCAGGGAGAAATGGATCTAAATTCCCATTTTACAATAAGCTTACCTGGGGAAAATTGGACAACTCTCCCTCTAACCTACCTTACAGGGCTGCTGTAAGGATGAGAAAAGGATGGCCACATACACTGCTACACACACTTTGGCAAAATACAAAAAATAAAGTTATGACATAATAATAATAATAATAATAATAATAATAATAATAATAATTTATTATTTGTACCCCGCCCATCTGGCTGGGTTTCCCCAGCCACTCTGGGTGGCTTCCATAGAAACAAAAAATACAGTAAAATATCACAGATTAAAAGCTTCCCTGAACAGGGCTGCCTTAAGATGCCTTCTAAATGTCAGGTAGTTATTTATCGCTTTGACATCTGATGGGAGGGCGTTCCACAGGGCGGGCGCCACTACCGAGAAGGCCCTCTGCCTGGTTCCCTGTAGCTTTGCTTCTCGCAATGAGGGAACCGCCAGAAGGCCCTCGGTGCTGGACCTCAGCGTCCGGGCAGAACGATGGGGGTGGAGACGCTCCTTCAGGTATACTGGGCCGAGGCCGTTTAGGGCTTTGAAGGTCAACACCAACACTTTGAATTGTGCTCGGAAACGTACTGGGAGCCAATGTAGGTCTTTCAAGACCGGTGTTATGTGGTCTCGGCGGCCGCCCCCAGTCACCAGTCTAGCTGCCGCATTCTGGATTAATTGTAGCTTCCGGGTCACCTTCAAAGGTAGCCCCACGTAGAGCGCATTGCAGTAGTCCAAGCGGGAGATAACTAGAGCATGCACCACTCTGGCGAGACAGTCCGCGGGCAGGTAGGGTCTCAGCCTGCGTATCAGGTGGAGTTGGTAGACAGCTGCCCTGGATACAGAATTGACCTGCGCCTCCATGGACAGCTGTGAGTCCAAAATGACTCCCAGGCTGCGCACCTGGTCCTTCAGGGGCACAGTTACCATATTCAGGACCAGGGAGTCCTCCACACCAGCCCGCCCCCTGTCCCCCAAAAACAATACTTCTGTCTTGTCAGGATTCAACTTCAATCCATTAGCCGCCATCCATCCTCCAACCGCCTCCAGGCACTCACACAGGACCTTCACCGCCTTCACTGGTTCTGATTTGAAAGAGAGGTAGAGCTGGGTATCATCTGCATATTGATGGACACCCAGTCCAAATCCCCTGATGATCTCTCCCAGCGGCTTCATATAGATGTAAAAAGCATGGGGAGAGGACGGAACCCTGAGGCACCCCACAAGTGAGGGCCCAGGGCTCTGAACACTCATCCCCACCACCACTTTCTGAACACGGCCCAGGAGGAAGGAGCGAAACCACTGTATAACAGTGCCCCCAGCTCCCAGCCCCTCTAGACGGTCCAGAAGGATGTTATGGTCGATTGTATCAAAGGCCGCTGAGAGATCCAGCAGAACCAGGAAACAACTCTCACCTTTGTCCCTAGCTCGCCGGAGATCATCAACCAGCGCGACCAAGGCAGTTTCAGTCCCATGGTGAGGCCTGAATCCCGATTGGAAGGGATCCAAATGGTCCGCATCCTCCAGGCGTGCCTGGAGTTGTTCAGCAACCACGCGCTCAATCACCTTGCCCAAGAATGGAAGATTTGAGACTGGGCGATAGTTGGCCATACTGGCCGGGTCTAAAGATGGTTTTTAAGAAGCGGTTTAATGACCGCCTCTTTCAGCGGATCTGGGAATGTTCCCTCACAGAGGGAAGCATTCACCACCCCGCAGAGCCCATCGCCCAGCCCTTCCCGGCTTGCTTTTATTAGCCAGGATGGGCAAGGATCAAGGAGACAGGTGGTTGCTTTCACGCGTCCAAGCAGCCTGTCCACATCCTCGGGGGTAACGGATTGAAATTGATTCCATGCAACTTGACCAGACAGAGCTCTAGCACTCTCCCGCCCTGGCCCTGCTCCCACGGTGGTGTCTAGCTCCTTAGAACTGTGCTAGGCCATATTGAAAATTGCAAATAGTGCCACCCCAAGGATTATCTTTACACATTTTCTTTGCATAGCCCGTGTTTTCTCATCTCAGGATTGTGGGTCCTGGCTTTTTGCTGCTACCCCCCTTCTTCTATTGAAATGAAACCAAATGAAGTCACCTATACTCTTCCCACTTCAATAGCTCAATGGAATATCTGCATGGAGCAACAGGTGACCTGATCAAAAGCTAAGGCATACATAACAACTGAGAATATATGTTGTTTGAATACATAGACCTGGTTCTTCCTTATTAGTCCAACATACTGGATAACTGGAGTTTTATTTCAGGAACATGCAGCTCTTAAGTGCTGCTGTCTAGAAATACAGCAGAATGAGGTATGCAGATGGGAGGTAAAACTTTTGAATTTTCCCTTCTATTTTTTTTTAAAGCCCTCATACATCAAGGAGTGAGCTTGGCTGGAACATTTCTCACTGATGTGCTCAATTTCTACTTGTAGCAAACACTCTCAGGGCCATGGGTTTGAGCCCCACATTGGGTACAAAATTCCTACATTGCAGGGCGCTGGACTAGATGACCCTTATGGTCCCTTCCAATGGTGCAATTCAAAAATAGCATCCCACCTCTACAATCTGAGTGGTGCAATCCACTTTATGATCTCAGGATTCCACCATCTCTTTCTACTGCTTGATGCAAAGAGGAATGTAAGATGGTGTGGATGTGTTCAGCAGGAAGATGTGTGCACATAAATCCAAGTGCCTTGATTAAAGGATGCTTTTTTGACAAAGAAATACAGAAGCTCCCCCCCCCTTTTTTAACCCTTGAACAACTTTAAGAAATATAAAACAATTCAAAAAACATGCAACTATCCACTTTATTTTCCCTATGCTTGAAAAGTACCCAACAGACAAGAAGTAAGTCACAACCATTTAATAGATAATGTGCGTTTTAAGAAAGCAAAGCAGAACAGTAACTGAAGTAGGTTGTCACCCATCTGACGCAAATCAAGGAAGCACACTGCTCTCAATGCCCAAGCCAAAGCAGAGCTTGGCCTGTCTTCACGTGAATGTTTTTTATACAGTCAAATGTATAAAGGGGTGACTTCAGTTAGGTGTTTACCCAGATGCCTGCTGCACCTTAGATTCACTGTACTGTCTCATCCGTTCCTCCAGCTCTGGACGGAAGTGACGAATCAATCCCTGTAAGAAGGAACTAGGAATTAGCAGAACGCACACCTCTAGATATACATACATCCCTTTGCCAATTAAACATCCAGATTCTAGCATATACTGTCTCAAGCAAAACCACAAGATTCTTCAGCACATTCTTCACAAGCTAAAGAGAAGGTTGAGAGAATTACCTGTACAGGCCAAGCAGCCCCATCTCCCAGGGCACAGATTGTATGGCCCTCAATTTGCTTGCTAATCTCCCAAAGTGCATCAATCTCTGCCACTTGTGCATTGCCTTTCACAAAACGCCACATCACCTTGTTCATCCAGTCAACACCTGCACAGAGGGAATCAGTTTCAAAAGAATCAGAGGCAACTCCAATGCTTATGAAAAGATAGGTAGTCACAGAGAGAAGAAACAGACCATACATCAAGTCACAGCACAATGCTGGACCAAAAAAAAAAGAAAGAGTAAATGAAGTTTGCATACTGAACTACAGGCCTGTTGTCAATATCCTAGGAAAGTTGTTTTGCTTTCCAGAGATCTTTAAGCATCAGTTTTCCTCCCCACACTTTAATCAGGGCTTGCATATGCCAAGAGGTCTGGATTTATAGACTGTCCCAAATTCCTGATCTGGGGAGGAACTCCAGGGTGACCTTCTGCTTCAACACTCACCTTCTCGGCATGGTGTGCACTGCCCACAGCTCTCATGTTTGTAGAATTCAATGAGTCGGGCGATGGCTCGAACTATATCTGTCTAAGGTAAGAGAAGAAGGTGAAGACTCATGAAGCAGGATTACAGAGCAGTAGGGGCCAAGGGACTAGCCTTACCGATTTGTCCATGACAATGACAGCTGCTGTCCCAAGCCCAGTCTGTGCCTGCACCAACCCATCAAAGTCCATCGGCACCGTCTCACACACTGACTTGGGGATGAGGGGGGTGGATGACCCTCCAGGAATTACAGCAAGCAGGTTATCCCAGCCACCTCTAACACCACCTGGTTAGAAGGCAAGAGACAATCAGGTGTGGGTCCATGGATGCCCACCTCAGCAACAGGGGACACAAGGCTTCCCCAATAATACAAGTTATTTGAAAGAAGCTGATAGCTTCTTCCTTATGGCAAGTTAAGAACTGTTGGTTCTCACCTGCGTGTCGTTCAATCAGATCACGTAGAGGTATTGACATCTCCTCTTCTACAGTACAGGGTGTGTTGACATGGCCTGAGATATTGAAGAGTTTGGTTCCAGAGTTGCGCTCACGTCCAAAGCCGGCAAACCAGGTACCTCCTCGACGGCAGATGGTGGGTGCCACAGCGACAGTTTCCACATTTGCCACTGTAGTAGGGCAACCAAACACTCCTAAAAACAGAATGGGGAAAACGGACTTTAAAAATCTTTTCAAACTAGCTACTGGGGAGAGAAAATGGGAAAGGAAAGTGATTGGTACTAGAGATTCAGATGAACAGCCAGGTGGCAGGGGCTGCATTCATAAAATGCAGGGGGGGGGAAAGAGGGGATTATTATTTTGTTGTTTTTGTTTTAACTATTTTTGTGCTTTTACCTTGTATTTTTATATTATGAACCGCCCTGAGATCTTGTGATAAAGGGTGGTAGATAAATCTAATATATAAATAATGATACTTAAAGGCGGGGGGGGGGGGGGATCCAGCAAGATAAAGGTAACTTAGTTATTTCAGCTGGAACAGGGGTTCTTAACATGGGGTCCAAAGACCTCGAGGGGGTTCCATAAACCAGGCACAAAAGAACCACCCCCACGGCAATAAAATTAATCGTATGAAAAATTTTATGTGCATGTGGGAGGGGGGTATAGCTTTCATCGGATTCTCAAAGGAGCCTGTAAGCCACAGAAGGTTAATAACCACTGAGCTAAAGCACATAGTTTGTCACACCCGGAAATGTTATGTGCAAAGGAGAGACACAGCAAAGGCCCCCAAAGGAGCTGGGGTGGCAGATATATGTTGACAGAGATAAGAATTTGACAGCAAGGTTGGGCACCAAATCTACACCATCCACCACAGAAGGAGCATTTAAGTTGTCATACCCACGTCAGCTGGGAAGGGAGGCTTGAGGCGTGGCTTGCCCTGCTTGCCCTCAATGGATTCGATAAGTGCTGTCTCCTCGCCACAGATGTAGGCACCTGCTCCTCTTACCACAAAGACATCGAAGTCATAGCCAGAGCCACAAGCATCCTTGCCCACCAATCCGGCTTCATAGGCCTCCCTGATTGCCACCTAATGAGACAGCAAGAGTAAGCTAAGACCCATCGCTAAAAAGTGGCCTCCTTGGTTTTCAACACAAAAAATACAAGCAGGCACACAAGATGCAAAAGGCTAAGGGGGGAAATCAACTCGCTCACTTCTCATAGCAGTTCTTGCAAGGGAAAACAAGAACCCTGCTCACAACTGCACAGTGGTAAGAGTAGCAGCTCACCTGCAAGTTTGAGGCCTCGTTATAGAATTCTCCGCGAATATAAATGTAGGCAGCTCGGGCTCCCATAGCTCTCCCTGCAACTAGGCAGCCCTCCACCAGTTTATGGGGGTCATGACGCATGATCTCTCTGTCCTTACAGGTTCCTGGCTCCCCCTCATCTGCATTCACCACCAAGTACTTGGGTCTGAAACACAGGGAGAATTTGCCTGTCGGCAAAAATTAAGAATCCCAGGAAAACACATTCATCAGGAAGTATATTTTCTATTGCAATCAATACACCAGCCAATGGTTGATATTCAACTAAGTCTTACTCAGAAGCAGGCCGATTGAAAGTCATGAACATGACTTGAGTTTAGGTCCATTAATTTCAATGAGTATACTCTGCGTAAGCCTTTGTTCAAGACTAAAAAATCTATTTTGCTTCAAACTAAATACTACACAGACAGATAATTAATCAGACAAACTCTGTATCCAGTTCCCAGTGCTGACACAGACAGCGGGCAGAAGTTTAAGGTCTTAACCTCAAGTAATTCACCTGAGGAAAACGGGGAATATTTAGGTGCATGCACTTAATATATTTTATTTATTGTGACATTTGTACCCTGCCCATCTGTCAGAAACCAAGAAAAATGTTTTAGCCTCATAACCACCCAGTGAGGAAGGTTAAGAAGGCAAATAGTGACTTTCTGAACAGGACCAGCTACTGAAGTGATGCTTAAAGCTGAAGTTCCTATGTCCGTGTGCAGAATTCCACCCAATGTGCTAAACTGGCTCTGTACAAAATACAGTAGCTGTTCTTTAGTGGTCAAGAATTGGAAGTCCAGAGTTGATCTTTGGCATCTGCTGCTTTGCAGAGTCAGGCTCTCTAGATAACGTAACTTTTGAAATCAAAGGCTCAAATGACTCCAAAGTGGGCATTCCCAGCAACTAAGACACACTATTTGGAAGGTGTGAGACAGAACTGGAAGCTAGGAGTCCCAAGTTCTGATTCCCAACACCAGCATGGATAATAACCCTTGAAAGCACAAAGCTGTTTTTGAGATAACCGTGGAAACAATTGCCACTGTTCCAGAGCAAGTTCCTCCATCAGCAGAAATGCATGGTACTGAGTACAAAATCAGCCTTTAGTTTGTAACACACCTGCCATCTGGGGGTTTATTCATGAAGCTCCACTTAAGACCAGTGGGGAAACCAGCCCCCCCACGGCCTCTCAGACCTGAAGTCTTTATCTCATTCAAGATCCAATCAACACCCTTCAGCAGGATTTCCTTGGTTTTATACCAGTCACCTCGGCTCAAAGCCCCTTTCAACCTAGAAACGACAAAAGCACTGGGTAACAACAGCTATCCAAAATAATTCCATTTTGCATACACATTAACATCAGAGGACTATATCATCAGCCTTGACCCTGTATACAGAACACATAAGTAGAGAAACCTGGAATTATAATATTAATTTGTACAGTACTTCAGCAAAGCATATCCTCTATAGCAGGCATGTCCAGCTCCCAAGAGACTGCGATCTAGATTGACCAGGAACATCCCGCAATCGACCAGTAGATCGTGATTGACATGCCTGCTCTAGAGAAATACCTAGTCACAATGTGGCAGCTCTGTTGGAAAATCCTTTTGGCATCCAATCAAAAGTTAATTTACCAGTTAAAAGCAACAACAACCTGCAAACTTTCCAACTTAATCACACCCCCCCCCCTTTGTGCTGGCTTTCCTCCACTAAGTTAAAAACTGACGGCCCCACCTTAATCCTCTTTCATCATTATGCAACACACACCACCCAATTTCTCAGTTCTCACCTCCACTCATGGCGCCCATAAAGATTCGTGAAGATGCGATCCTCATCCTTGAGGGGCCCAAACTGTGTTTTTTTGGGAGGTGCCTGTGCAAGAAAGAGAGAAATGACTGAATCCTGATAAATTTGCCATCCCGGAGCCCATCCTAAACCTTGGGGGGGGGGAATGGGAGTGGAGGGGAGGGGAGAGACTAGCAGAAAAAAAGGAGAAACTGAAGCCCCGCTCCGAATCGAGGCACGGCAACTCTCAGCCCTTACAGCGAACAAGAAGCGGCAGCTGACCTGTCAAGACCTGTTCTTCGCGGCTCCTCCCCGCCCCTTCACCTGCAGTGTCTGCGCTCCTCTTTCTCCCCCGCAGCCCGTCGGAGGGAAGGGGAAAGAACTCACCGACTCCGGAGCTGCAGCGGCGGAAAGGAGACGCGCCTGAGCGCAGGCTCCGCGGAGCACCAGAGGCCGAGCCGCCAACATAGCGCCGACGGGAAGCCGGGGTCCCCCACTTAGCAATACTAGCCGACCCCGTCACCTTCGTCTGTTTTGCGCGGAGATTCTACGTCACGGCCTCGGGCGGCGCGTGTGACGTCAGCCGGCCCGAGACGAGAGGAAGCGAAGAACTCGGTCTCGGCCCGCGTCAGAGCGCAGGGGATGATGGGAGTGGTAGTTCATCAGCGCCCCTCGACTGTCCAAGCAAGTAAAGCGCCCCGCGCCTCGGTTATAGGAACTTCTCGGTGACAGCCGGGAGACCCGATATCATGGAGGTTGCATAAAACAAAATAAAAAGAGCCAGGCCGCGTTCAAGGTGCGACGGGGCGCTCGAGAAGATGCTGTTTCCTTTGGCGTCGTTTGAGGCGACTCAGACAACCTTTTTAGCAGAAATGCAGAACTAAAAAAATGCTTCAAAAATAAATGAGTAAAGGTATACAAAGATTCTGCCATAAGGAAAATTGCCAGAACTACATTTCTTTCTAAATTTAGTTCTGGTTTAGTATTATATCGCACTTCCTGCATCTTTTGAAAAAGCCTGTTTACTAATAAAAGTAGAATCACGATTTACAATGTTACAGCGGTTTTAATGCTCTGAGTAGAGAGATCGCACCACTTTTATTAAACTTGTTAGCAATCCTGTAGCATCCAGTACTAGACGAGGAACGTCTCTAACCACTGGCTGCTATGTCCCCTCTGTGGAAGTCGCGCATTGGCCTCCAGAGTCACTTGCGGACTCGCTGTTAAGACCGTGTTCATGGAAGACAATCTTCTAAGGTGCTACTGGACAAAAAAAACCCCATTTACTCGGCTACGGTGATCGCAGCAGCAGCAGCAGCTACTTCCCTCGTCTTTCTAGTGACGAATTCTGCCTCTCCAAGAGCTCCCCATAGTGTAATTTCTGGAATTTCAGGGATAGACTAAATATCTCTATCTTCAATCCAGGATTTCCATCTGTGAAAGGTGCTTTACACATTACATTTTAAAACATATTGGTTAAATGTTTTCAGCACACTGGTAAAAATAAATTTCTAAACATGACAACCACAGGTACGGTTTCTAGGGAGCTGGGATTGGACATACTTAGTTGATACGTGGAAGAAAACCACACAATGTGTATGAAGCAGCTCTGGCTATGACCAGCCACTGTTGCTATGCATGTAAGCAACCATGGGGGAGCACATTGTCTTCTAAGGTAGCCTAGAAAACTCTTGAATAAATAAATAAAACCAGACACCTCAAGAAGATTCACAAGCAACTGCACGCTAGAAGGTGAAAAAAAAATTACAGAAAGACTACAGATGATTTTCAGATTATTTAGAATGATTTTCTTAAGAATGATGGAAGAGCATGGCTATTGCCTTCAACATATTGAAGTCTATGGAGCAATATTCTGGAGTGAACATCTTTTGGCAACTCTTTGCCTTTACATAATCAATGTTGTTCCAGGGAAGGGGGAGGGACTGCATTGGGGATATTATTTTCTGTATGTTTCCTTTCTTTTTCTTTTTGTACTTTTCCATGTTTTTTGAAAATCAATATATATAATAAAAGAAAAGGAGGGAGAAGGAAGTTCACAAGCAGGACACAAAAAGAGATAAGTAAATGAATAAATATAGCCATCTCTTGATTTTTGCCATCAGTATCTGGTAATCAAAGGGGGGCACCCTTTAAAACCTATGATAATAGCCTCAACAAATTTAGTCGGTAATTTTTTTAGGCATCAAAACCCACTATAGCAATAAATCTGTTAAGAGCACTTTATATATTATTTGAAGAAGTATTTGCACGTGTATTCCCAATGCAAATTTCATTGGATATCCCCAAGTTCATGTTTTGAGTGTTACAAATATTTTTTCTCAGTACCGTTCATAGTTTTATATATATATTTATTTATTTCATAAAATGCATACACCACTTGATTGTAAAAATAAAACCTCAAAGTGATTTACAAAGAGAAAAAATAGTAAAATTACTGGTAAAACAGTTAAAAACTACTTGAAACATTCAAAAAAATTGAAATCAGCAATAAACTAAAAACACAGTAACATTCTACATATCTGTGTGAATTTGTTATATTCCCTCTCCCATCTCTAAGTTAGAAACTTTAAAAAAAATCCTTCCAGTAGCACCTTAGAGACCAACTAAGTTTGTTATTGGTATGAGCTTTTGTGTGTACACTTCTTCAGATACTTTAGAAATTTTAGATTGTTTTTTCCTCCATGGGAAAAATGTTTCACTCTTTTCTGTATCTTCTCATTCTTCAGTAATTTCTACTCTCATAGGATGCACACAGAGCACGATTGCATGTACCAAATTTGGGGTACAAGCCAGTAATACAGTACAGCAAGAAGCTTCTCCTTAGTGACAAGGGAGTATCACAGAGCAACCTAGTTGCCTCCAGATGTTTTGAGACTACAGCACACTGGCTGGGGCTGATAGGACACCAAATGGACAAAGGCTAACCAGGAGAGAAGGAAGGGCTCCCAAGCCTTCCATTTCCTTCTATTCCCAAATGTCCTGGCTTTTGCCAGTTTACCTCATTTTCAAACAGCTGTTGCAGTTGTGCTGCCAGGAGGAGGATTATGGAGCTGATCTCTCTGATCCTGTTGATTCTTGGTCTGAGAAGAATGATCTCATTACACTGGAATGGGCTGCAGGGGGTCCTCTTGGTTAGCACAGCAGCAGGGAAAAGCTGCAAGATGCATTCCCAGCACTCATTTTAAAAAAGCAATGTAGACGTGCTCAATTAGGCAGTGTAAAGTGGTCATCTCAAGCAGCAGTTGTTAGGGGGAGACAACTGCAGCCCCCCAAGTTGATTCTCCAGAGTCCCCAGCCACTCTCACCCTCTTTAGTCTCATCCTCCCCCCAGCCATAATATTTGTTTATTACTGGGCAGGTGGTCCGCCTGTCTTATCTGCTTGCCCTCTTATGTTATAGACATGCTATAGGCAAAGGGACCTGACCAAGACTACAGGCAGAGGGAGGCAGTTCACAACACCCTCCAGCAGACACTACATGTGCCCCTGAATTGCTATTCTCACACAAGACATTGGTGCTACCGTTGCTGCACTGCAGTTATTCACTTGAGGGTACAGTGAGCACAGCAGTTGTCAGGCAGCCTTGCAAGAAAATAGTGAACAAGGGGTTGGAGGACTGAGCTGTGTGTATCATGGGGCCTGTCTTCACAAGTCAGCCTGTGGACTTCAGGTGGATAAAGCTATCCCATTGCCAGTAATGAATTGAGATTCAACTGCCAAGTTCTATATGTGGAAAGGTGGGGGGAGGGGACACCATCTTGCCTTTCATCTCCAGCAGCAAAATTTATCGGGAAGAACAAGAACATGTGATTCTGGATGACAGACATCACAGCAGCCTCTATGCAGCTTCAGAAGTTGAAAGGGAACTTTTCTGAGTTACAAATCTCTGCCTGGATGTCTCTATAGAACACACACAGCCATTAGGTGGATAACCATTTCAGAAGATTGGGAGAAAGCCTTCACATACCACGAGAGCAATCAGGACCCTGTGACTGTAATCCTGTACCTAACTCAACCTCTATCGTTTCTGGAAAGAGAAAGTATTCCATGATCCAGAGATAAGAGTAGAAGAGCACCCTGAGCATTGGCAGACCTCTGGATCAAAGCAACCATCTTAACCCTCAATAAGTTAATGAGCTCACTTATCTTGCTTCAAGCCTCCTGGCTCAGCTTAGAGCAAATGGCAGCCTAGATGAGAAGATTACCCTAAGCACCCACCCCCTCCCTAAGCACAAGCCAGGGGGAAGTTTCCAGCAAAAGAGAACCATTTTGTATAACAGAATCTAATTTAATGCCATTTGTTTTATTCTTAAACTTCAGTGTACAAAATCATTACAATTCTCATTATAACTTATGCCATAGGCTAAGAAAGTGATGTGCTTAAGGCACTCCAGGGAGCTTCGTAACAGAACAGGGATTTGAATCACATTGGCCCAATGGGATCTTGCGCCTGCTGTTTCCCCAATGTGATTCAGAGAACATCTAACCTGGCTGAGCAGTGAGTCAGTTTACCAACTTGCTGTCACAAAACGCAGTGCAGGCTAAAATCTCTCAGCCACAGGCATGGCAATATATGCACACACCTACAACTGAGGATCACATCCTATGCATCTGATGAAGTGAGGTCTAGTTCACTAAAGGTTATGAGCCACTAAACTTTTTGCTGTAGAGGACTATTATGGCTACCTGTCTGGAAATTACCAAGATCAAAAGGTGGGAAGTGGAGAGCTAGAGTGCATCGAAATGAGGTGGCAAATAATATATTATTATAACTTTTAAAGGGGTGAACAGAGCTATGGGACGCTGATTCTGATCAGGGGGAAAGCATGGGGCGGGGGAATAATCACACATAGCCTCCTTCATCTAAAAGCAGGAGCTCTTGCATTTACTTCTTTTTAAAGTGGGAGATTTGATCATAAATCTCCCACCGCCTTATGTATGTTCACCCTTAGTTGTCTTGTGCTGCACTTCTGAACCCACAAAAGCTACAAATCCTAGCTTATGGCTTCACTATATATGCTACCCTGGGTTCGTTCAGGAGGGGAAATGGGATATAAATTTAACAAATAACAATAGTAACTACAACAATTATAATAAGCCACTTGGCTCTAGCAAATTAATCACATCTCCTCTTAATTGCAGTGGGCTTCTGCTGAATTTAGTTACCATACTTTCCCTACCAAGCAAAGATGTGCAGAACTCTTTATTGAAACTCGCTTCATTAACATTAGTGTATACAAAACTACAAAGCACCCAGAGGTCACCAGAAAAGCTGCAACTTGGTGAAGGAATCCATTTCATTGCTTGCCATTCCCATTGATGGGGCGCTGCTTGTGGGCATCAGACTCCAAGAAAGCTTTGAGGAGCGGTCGGGCGTTGAGCCGCTGCACATAGCTAGCCAGCAAGGGGAGGGAAGCCAGGCAGTCAGGGGCCAGGACCAAATGCACATTTAATAGATCAAGCAGATTGTAGTCAGCAAAGGAGATCTGGAGGAGGAAGAAAACAAAAGAGGCAGGTGTCAGTGGGTGAGAGAGAAAGGGCCAGTCAAGTATAAAACACCATCCTTCCTCAATACATTAGATGTAGCTTAAGCAGGGGGAAGTTCACATGGTGTGGGTGTGTCACAGCATACTATAGTAAAACACACCAGAGCATGCATGTAAACTGAATACAAGACAAGCCACTGCAGGGATAATCTCTACCACATTTTTGGCTGCACACCTCCTACAGCAGAGGCAGGATTTTTTGTGTGCAATAATTCTGTGGAATTGCAGGAAAGCACAGAAGTCAGAATTGGGTACAGAATCTCAGTTTTCTTTTAAACTGTTTTTAAAAGCAGTTCTGTCAAGTTTTGAACAGTGCGAATAGAGGTCCCAAACAACGGTTTTTCACTCCTATAATTCTGAAAATGTCCCATTTTTAATAAAAACATGAAAGCGCTTTTTTAAAAAAGCAAATGTTCTAGTTCTTATGGCTATGGTGAGAGGCTTGGAAGCATAGAGGCAACAAGTAGCAAAATCTCAGTAGCCTGAGTGAGTGGTTACATAAGGTTCTGGCAACTAGGGACGTGGTTTCAGTGGCCTGAATTGATTTTTGCCCCTCCCTTGACACAACATGCATAATTTACATAGATCCCAGAATACATCATTTATTGGTCACGGAATGTAGATTTCTGGGCAGAATCAGCATCAGCCCCTGGCACCTTTGGGCAACTGCTAGGACCACTGCAGAATATTGTTTTTCTCTGACCTGGCAAGAAAGCCCACTGGTCGAGGTGGCGGCCTAGTAGGGGACACTTTACTTGCTCTGGCAAACCTGGAGCCAGGTCTGCTGTTGAGTGACAAGACTTAATTTACAGCGGGGGGGGGGGGGGGTGAACTAGCCCATCCTTCACATGCCACATTGGACAGGTTGGGCAGGCTGGCCCATCTGTCAATCGCCTGATGTCACCTGAGTGCACTCAAAATGTGCTCCCGATTCTTCCTTTGCACCCTTAGTTTTGATTTTTTAAAAATATATACCATGGACTAGGAACAGCTCTGGATGGAGGATTGAAAACAAAGTACAAGCTGATGAAGTAAAGAACTATAGCAAGCAGAGGGATCCTTATCAGGATCATCCTCCTGAGCAAATTGGCCATCTTGTCACTCACCTGTCATCACAATGATATCAGGTGAAATATGCTTTGAAGACCTGAAAACAGCACTACAAGGCACCTTGCAAGGTGCTAGTAAAACGAAGCCTCACGCCCCTTCTTTCAGCAGGGGTTTCCATGAAAAATCTTTCCTGAGATGTGAAACCCCCTATTGGACAAGACCAACCCACGACTGGATCTCCAGCAGGCAGATTGCCTTACCTGTTTGCCTACAATGAAGGTCTTCCCACCATCATTCTGAGCCAGAAGGTTCTCAAAAGGACGCAGCTCTCCCGGCAAGGCCTTAATATAGTCAGCTTTGCCACCCTCCTGTCAAGGTACAATAATCAGATAGAGAAAAGCCTCGTTGCTTCTTCCATTCTGCTAGAAGAGAGCTCCGAGCCTGGCTGACACGACTCATTGCAGTGGAAGCAAGGAACCTGCATTTTCTTGGCTCCCAGCAGTGCTCTTTCCTTACAGCGGGAGTAGGGAATCTGTGGTCCTCCAGGGGTGTTTGACTCCAACTCCCCTCTATCTCAGCTAGCACAGCCAATGATCAAGATGATGGGAGTTGAAACCCAACAACATGCATAGGGCTATGGGTTCCCCATCCTCCTCTTACAGGAAGCACAAACAGCCATGCCCTCGGGCAAACCACTCTACTCTCTCCCAACTTGTCCCTTTTATCAAGGACCATTTGCAACTTGGGAGTGATCATCTGAACTGCACACATTTGGATTATAGGCTTGAATGTTGGGGCTGCAAGCATCTAGGCCAAGGTGGGGAACCCCGGAAGTTGTCTGACTCCAATTCCTGTCACCTAAACTGTTATGGCCAAAGGTCAGGGATTATGGGAGTTCTAGTCCAACAGGTTTTCCTCCCCTGATCAAGAACGTTCCGTCAGTAAAACCCACATGTTTAATACATCTCTCCAAAAACGATTTCCAAAAATGAAAATTTGAGGAAAAAATAAAAGGAATTAAGTTGGGAGAAAAACATATAAGGTAAGAGCATATGCAGATGATCTTATAATAACAACTGAAAACCCCAAAGAGTATCCCCACAGCAAAAAAATAAAAAATAAAAAATGGTAAACAAGCGGGATTTAGATTAAATTACAAAAAAACTAATTTGTTGGTTAAGAACATGAGCCTAGAAGAGAAGGAAGATCTACAAGAAAGCACGGGTCTAGAGATTAAGAACAATGTAAAAGACTTAGGAGTTTGGTTATCTGCTAAATGCGTAGACTTGTATCAAGAAAACTATATAAAAACATGGAATGAAATTAAGAAAAGCTTGGAAATCTGGAGAAAACTCCACCTCTCCCTTTGAGGTAGGATATTGGCAGTTAAGATGAATGTTTTACTGAAAATGATTTTCTTATTTCAAACCATTCCCATTTTAGGAGGTATGAACTGTTTTCAAAACTGGAGAAGGGACATCACAAGTTTTATATGGAATGGTAAAAGGCCAAGAATAAAACATCTTATTCTTATTGACCAGAGGGAGAGAGGGGAGTTGCTCTACCTGATTTTGAACTCTATCACGCTGTGGCTGGGCTGTCATGGATTAGAGAGTGGATCATACTTAAACATTTGGAAGTCTATTTTAGGTCTTTTTAAAATTTCTTGTATTTTTAATTTTTTTGCTGTATGGGATGGGATACAAATTGTAATATAATATATTGTTGTATAATTTTGTGAAATATATTTAATAAAGATTGGGTTTTTTTTTAAAAAAAGACATCTCTCCATCACCCTACTTAGTTGACAGATATTTCAAGAGTCTATTAAGGGGACGGAGCTCTCAATTTCAGTGTATGGAAGCAAACTCAAGCCCTCCCACACCCAAGCTCACATAGTTTTGATAGATGAGGCGGCCATATTTAATACGCAGGTCCTCCACTCCATCATTCACCATGTCCAGCAGTGTCGCTTCACGGGCATCTTGACCATAGAGTCCTGAGCAGCAAAGAAAAAGGGTCGGTGAGGGAATGTTCAAATTACTATCCAGACTCTCTCACAGGATAGTTCCACAGAGAGCAAGAGCTCTCATCTATCTGCTGCTTTCTTGAGGGGGGATATTTTAAAAAACAATACTTAATAACTACCAATTGTGCCCCATCCCCCCCCCAATGCTGCCTTCAAGTAGTGAAGGATCTGTGCCCCAATGCATTTTTGATTTCCTGTTTTATATATTACCCATTGCGGATTGTCACTTAATATAGTTTGATGTTTTTGATTCTTGTTTCTTTCCTATTACGTTATGCTTTTATTTTTGTCAGGACTTATGGCTGGTATTTATTTACTCAGAAAAATACTTGTATCATTCAAATATTAAAGTGGTGGTGGCGCTGTGGGTAAAACCTCAGTGCCTAGGACTTGCTGATCGTATGGTCGGCGGTTTGAATCCCCGCCGCGGGGTGAGCTCCCGTCGTTTGGTCCCAGCTCCTGCCCACCTAGCAGTTCGAAAGCACTCTTAAGTGCAAGTACATAAATAGGTACCGCTTTATAGCGGTAAGGTAAACAGCTTTTCTGTGTGCTGCGCTGGTCTGGCTCGCCAGCTGCAGCTTCGTCACGCTGGCCACGTGACCTGGAAGTGTCTTCGGACGGCGCCTCTAGAGCGGCCTCTAGAGCGAGATGAGCACGCAACCCTAGAGTCGGACACGACTGGCCCATACGGGCAGGGGGTACCTTTACCTTTACCTTACAATTAATATACGTCTAAATAAACACCCAAATCACAGGTGAACACAAATTAGTGCTATCTTCTGTTACCACCACTATCGCCATCTTTTCACCTGCTGACCCACCCAAGAGGCAAATTTACAGACACGCATCTCCTCCATATGCATGCAGCTCTCCCTTGGAGAGGCAACCAGCACAGATTTGCCATAAACCCAGGTCTACACACGCCACTTCTACTTGCACCCCTGCTTATCACCAACCGCACCGTGATTCCTTGCCAAGTGGCGCAGGATCGCGTTGGACTGGTACAGCAGAAAGTCTCCATCCTGAAATCTAGGCAGCTGGCCAAAGACCTGGTGAGGAAGGGGAGGAAAGGCAGAAAGGTTAGTGACTGGACATCCTATACCTATTTCTCAGTGAGAGAGGGGCCCGGTTGGCCTGTAGCTTCCAGTGTGTAGACAGAGGAGCAAAGGACCAGTGTGAAGAGCCTAGGAAAACCCATTTCTCACAAGAACAGGATTCACTGCCCACCCCCCAAAAAACCCCAAATCCTAACTCCAGAGTTTACTATTTATACTCACACAAGATTTCTTGAGGTCACCCTTGGTCCAAATCTCCATGGTTACCACATCCTCTTTCCACTCCTGCCCCTGATCAGCCAGCAACATCCTCATGGCCTCGCAGCGCCCTAGGAGAGGCAGAAACCCAAATCATCAGGTGTGAACACACAACACACTGGTTCGTTAATTCTCACAAGGTGCCTGAGGTCTGCCCACTGTGCTTTAAGAAGCACCCGCCATCTTCTCTCTCATCCTGTCCCCTTCCAGAAAACTATTCCAAAGTGAAAAACCTCACGGAGGTCAAACAGGGCTGCTTTCGAGCAATCATAATAGGCGAAGGTCCGGCTGTACTGTAAATGAATTATTCTGAGGTTGCCGCAACACTTCCTCTACTAAAGAGGGGTCCAATCCCATCATGATCATGGGGTGGGGGTGGGGCATGAATTCATCCAAGTCTTTAGCTCCGTGATTTTGCACTCACCGCGTACGGGGAAATACGTGATCGTATATTTTCCAGGCACTAGAAAAAAAGATGAAGAAAAGACAAAGCAGATCAGTTGGACTGGCACGCCCCCTTCCTTCTCTTCCCTCCGCCACCCACGCTAAACATGGCATTTTTATTTATTTTTTGCATGCTGGGGAGGGGGCTAACCGCGCGACCCTAACCACTGAAGCCCCACTGAAATCACTGGACTTACTCTCGGGTAAGTGGGAAGTAGGATCACGAAGCCCTAGCAGGTGTCGCCTTCTCGTGTCCCCAGCAGAAGCCCAGTGGAGGAGGAGGAGGATCCCGTCCCGCGTTGTATTCACTGCCGGAAATTTCCGTGAGCCAAAGAAAGCAGCTCAGCCTCTTCGGTAGAATGCTGAGTCATGCCGTGGCAGCAGCCCTTTCTTAAAGGGGCAGGAGCCACCCAGATCCTACACTGAAAGAGCGCCTCCAACGTGGCTAAGTCATCAAGCCAAGGCGGATCAAAACTTAGCCGCAGGGAACAAAGATTCTGGTGGTTTCTGTGCTACCAGGACTTCACCTGCCAAGTTAAAACAAAACAAAACAGACTGATTCTGTACATCTGCGGATGCTGAGTTCCATTGTCCTTATTGATGCTGGACCACAACCAGCTCTTATCAGGAGGATCCGGATTAGGAAGCAGGGTTTGGGGGCAGGGAGGGATATGTGTGAGGGGTGAATTGCAGTGCCCTGAATTCTTTGAATATGCTTTGAATGCATGGCAGGGGGTTGGACTAGATGATCCTCAGTGTGCCTTCCAACTCTACAGTTCTCTGATTCTATGTACTTTCAGGGTATACTGTACACAGTCTAACTGAAAAAGCTGCAACCAGTTTGCTAGGACGCAGCAAACAAGTTTGCTAGGATCCAGCTGTGCCTTGGGAGCAGAGCTTTGCCATGAAGGGAAGAGCCCAGCTGAGAGTTCTTGTGCAGAGAAGGAGGCAAAAGTTGAGGTTGAGAGTAAAGCCACTGAACCCTGAACACTCCTCTGCCAGTCTGCTGAAGCCCTGCCCTGCATATACAGATCTCCTTTCCCTAGTCTACTGCCCTCATCTCTGGACTCAAACAATTAGTGGGGACCCAGTTTTGCATCCCTCATCCCACTAGCACCCTCCACAGGGTCTGACCACCCCCTGCATGACATCTCTATGGGATTCATGACATCAGGATCAATACAGATGGTGGCTAGCTGTGTGAATGTGGCTGCAAAACTAGCAGTGGGAGTGCAGTGGATGCAGAGTAAGCAGTAACATGAACGCGCCCTCAGTCATGCTTAGATGAGACCCAGTGAAATCAGTGGGGATTCAGTTGGTCCGTATCAGTACATTTATACTCCTCCCTTCCTCTAAGGCAGGGGTCGGCAAGGTTTACCTCGCCTGGGCCGGTTCACTCCAGCAGAGATCCCTCTGTGGGTCAGATTGCGCGCACGTGTGAGCGCGTGCGCCCACGATTTCCTGCATCTTCGTAGACGCGATTTTCAGCATCTGTGCACCGCGGAAGCAAGTCCCCACACCGCGTTGCGCCGGTTTAGTGCAGCACACGGGGACACGCCGAGCAGCGGCTTGGTTCAGGGGTGGCTCATGGGCCAGTTAAAGGACCCCTGTGGGCCGCTTGTGGCCCATGGGCCTTAGGTTGCTGACCCCTGCTCTAAGGGCTCTTCAAAACTTTGCTTGCCCCATGCCTAGAAAGCGCGGGTTCAAGAGGTTTTCCACTTGCCCCAGAGGAGCCCTAAGATGCTCAAGACAGTGCACACAATTCTCACCCCATTTAACCTTAACAACTGTGTGAGGTAGGTTAGGCTGAAGGGTAGTCTCTGTCCCAAGGTTGCCTAGTGAGTTTCGTGACTGAGTGTGGATTTGAACCTGGATTTCCCTGGTCCTTATCTGATCTGAGCTGCTATACTGCACTAACAATGTTTATTTAAAGCCTTTTTACCTCTTTTTTTTGTTAGATTAGCTTCCAAAGCAGTTTACACAACAAAACACAAGGCAAGCCCATCCCTCAGGCTCACAATATTGAAAAGATATAAAGGGAAAGGGACTTTGCACCTCTTTGTTTGCAATGCCTGTAGCCATCATTCATTCCCCTTCAAAGCCCACTTCACACACACACACACACACACACACACACACAAAAAGCTTTTCCTGGATCACTATAGCTTTACTTTACAACTCTGCCTATGACTAGTCAGTCTTCTGTTACAGTACCTGCCCTGACCTTGCCACTTTTTATTATTCACTTATCTATTTTATTTATTTATATCCTGCCTTTTTCCCAGACTCAAGCCTCTCCCTATTCCTTTACCTTTTCCACCCTACTCTGCATGTAAACCTGGGCAAAGACAGGTCTTCTTCAGGAAAATGTATAGTGCCTGCACTGCCCAGCATACTCTGTTGGTGTAAAGGAAGCCTTCAACCACACAAATGAGAGCAATGCTAGCAGCAACAGGAGTGAGGAGGAGGTGGCTGGCTGCTGTAATATCAGCTGAGGACATGGATGGGAGACGGTTGCTATACACTGTTGCCTGGTCTGAGCCATGGCCATTGAGATGCGCTACCCCTTGTGAGCTCTCCATGGCTGCTGTTGCTTTCTCTTGGGCATTATGAATGCCTTCACACCTGCGTCACTTGGCATTGTTTTCTGTGCTCTTCACTGCTGCGCAGATGGTACTTCCACTGAGGGGAAGAACAAGATTCGTTCATCTAATGAACTCTTTTCAGTGTATCTGAAGAAGTGTGCATGCACACGAAAGCTTATACCAAGAACAAACTTACCGGTAGTTGGTCTCTAAAGGTGCTACTGGACAATTTTTTATTTTTATATATATTTCTTTCCCCCCCATTTGACCAATAACAAAGGAGGATGATAGCAATGTTTCCTTAGGTGTTAAAGAAGAAGAAGAGTTTGGATTTGATATCCCGCTTTATCACTACCCTAAGGAGTCTCAAAGCGGCTAACATTCTCCTTTCCCTTCCTCCCCCACAACAAACACTCTGTGAGGTGAGTGGGGCTGAGAGACTTCAGAGAAGTGTGACTAGCTCAAGGTCACCCAGCAGCTGCATGTGGAGGAGCAGAGACACGAACCCAGTTCCCCAGATTACAAGTCTACCGCTCTTAACCACTACATCACACTCACCTCCATCAGCTCTACCTCCTGCTTTCTCACCCTTTTCAAGTGCTTCAGCTTGAGTGGAATGTGTCATGGAATTGTGGTAATGCCTCTTGCTTGTCTCAATGGAGAAAGGCATGAGCATGTGTGGAAACCTCTGACTGTTGTGTAGTTGAAATGCTGCATACTGCACAAAGAGTCCCATTCAGTGCTCTGCCCACTTTTGTCTCTGGCATCACCTCCCACTGGCACACACCCAATGGTCACCCACGAGGGAATGTGGCACTCAGGCTGAAAAGTGGAACCCACTCCTTGTTTACATGCAAAATTTGGGACGGATAAAGGAAAGTGCTTCTTTGTGCAGTGCATAGTTAAACTATGGAACTCGCTCCCACAGGAGGCAGTGATGGCCACCAACTCTGATGGTTTTAAAAGAGGATTAGACAAATTCATGGAGGAGAGGGCGATCGATGGCTGGTAGCCATGATGGCTTTGCTCTGCCATCATGGTTGCAGGCAGAAATGTTTTGGAATACCAGTTGCTGGAAACCACAAGAGGGGAGAAGGATCTTGTGCTCAGGTCTTACTTGCTTCTTTCCCACAGGTTTCTGAGTGGCCACTGTGAGAACAGGATGCTTGACTAGATGGGCCATTGGCCTGATCCAGTCGTCTCTTACTGTGTTCTTTAATTACATGGGTCCCTTTGGGAGATGGGAGGTGAGACAGAAGCACTGATGGAGCGGTGAGAGAATTCACCCATCAAGTTATAATAATAATATAATAATAATTTATTATTTATACCCCGCCCATCTGGCTGGGCTTCCCCAGCCACTCTGGTGCGGCTTCCAACAAAATATTAAAATACAGTAATGCATCAAACATTAAAAGCTTCCCTAAAGTTCAGCTCTGTTGGGTTGGCACTAGAGCCAACAGTAAAGGACCCCTGACCATTAGGTCCAGTCGTGACCGACTCTGGGGTTGCAGCGCTCATTTCACTTTATTGGCCGAAGGAGCCGGTGTACAGCTTCCGGGTCATGTGGCCAGCATGACTAAGCCGCTTCTGGCGAACCAGAGCAGCACACGGAAACACCGTTTTACCTTCCTGCTGGAGCAGTACCTATTTATCTACTTGCACTTTGACGTGCTTTCGAACTGCTAGGTGGGCAGGAGCAGGGACCGAGCAACACCCCGTCGCGGGGATTCGAACTGCTGACCTTCTGATCAGCAAGTCCTAGGCTCTGTGGTTTAACCCACAGCGCCACCCGCGTCCCTGTAGAGCCAACAGAGGCACCCATTAAACATCAGTTAACATATTTCATCCCAGGGCAACAAGGTTCTAATATGTTAAACTGTGGGGATATTCCTCTTCCCAAACTGCCAGACATGCTGTGCAGATTTTGGGGGGATGTTTTGTACATGTGAAGAGGAGAGCTCATGGGACAGAGGTCTTGGTCCTTAGACCAGATAGAGAGATCTTTTTATGGGTCAAGCGTTGGGCGCAGCAACTCTGTGGCTTGTTTCCTCAATGAATAATTCTCCTTGCTTCCACTGATGTGAGCTGGGGAGTGTAAAGACTGAGCCCAGGAGCCTTGGCATTGTCTGCGCTAGCTAGGTGGGGTCTAGTTACCATTGCCACTGGAACCTCGCCAGCTTTGCATTGAATAAACCATGAGTTGTCTGCGCAACAGCCCCAGTTGCAGCGCTGCCAGGAATCGCATCTCTGCCATCCGGAGGGCCGGCGAGGTGCCAAGGACCACAGGTGGGGTCCGACTTAATTGACTTAGCCACAGAGGATCCTGCTTAGAATTGGGAGGGCTGTTGAGGATGTGTCAGGGAACAGGCCATCACGGAGTGGGAGGGCGAAAGGAAAACACCACAGGACTTGATGAGGAGAGAGCGGGGCACAGGGAAGGCACTTGTAAATGTCAAAATAAAACGAGATGCTATAGATGTCGGGCCACAGAAGAAGGAAGGCCATTTTTTTCTGAGATGCGTTGTTTCAAAACAGGCCACTGGACAAAGGAGAGCCGGGAGATGTGGGACAGAAATATTCTTTACTCCTGCCTCATTTCCCCACAGCCCTCCTTTCTAGCCCAGGGGCACACACACAGGTGATGCCATAGAACCTGTGCTCAATCTGTGTTCTGCGGCCTTTGATGCCTCTTGAGTTTCCTGCTCTAGGGGGGTTGTTTTACCTTGTTTGCAACATTAGTGAAAAGCAGAACCAGGCCGGGTCGTGTGTCTGACCTGATAAGCTCAGATTCCCTCCGCATCCTCCTGCTTCAATCTCGCTCTCCCTGCAGTAATGAGAAGATGACTTGATTAGGTTTGGATGGAGAGTGGGGGAAAGAGCTGTGGCAGGAGCAGGTGCCCCCCTCCCTCCCTCCCATGCCAGCCCAGGGACCTGGGGAGCACAAGTGTTGATCCCTTAAGCGGATTTGCCCAGGAAAGATCTCTGAGGCGGAGAGCAAAGAGGAAAGGTGCCTCAAGGAGTGAGGAGATAAGGAAGGAGCAGGGGGTCAAGAGGAGGGAAAGAGGAAGGAGCTTCAGGGGGAGGAAGATGCTGGAGGGAGGAATGTAGAACGGGAGCCAGGCAGGTATTGAAAGTGGGGGGCTGGTGGGGTACTTGTTACTTCAGAGAAAGATCCCTAGAAATATGCCAGGCAGCTAGGAGAGGCAAGCACCCATGTGAAGGAGCACATGGCTAAGTGTGGCAGCAACACAGAATAGTGCGGCAACCAGCAAGAGACAGCAAAACAGATGCATGGCTCCAGGGAGGAGAGTTTAGGCAGACCCAAGAGTGCAGTAGAGAAGGTATGTGAGGGTAGGAGCCAGAGAGACAAATCAAGGTAGTGTGGAGAGGAGCTAGGCCTTACCAGAGAGACCTCAGAGACTGTCTGCAGGAGGAAGGGATAGAGAACGTGGCCCAGCTCTTCCCCAGCTCTCAACATGTTCTTTTTCCTCCGGGAGACCCAACGGCAGAGCAGCGAGACACCGGCACTGAGAGCATCCCGGGCTCTTTCGCAAAGCGGTTCTCACCGACGCTCCAAGAGTGCGCGGACCCGCAGGACAGGCAGTCAGGCCCGGGAAGGAGACAAGCGGCTCATGGAGCCAGCCAGATCCAGGAGCACCTCGGAGGCAACCACCGCTGCTGCCGCCTCTGTGGCCCTCTATGGCACCCAACACCACCGACTGGAGGATGGAGCAACCTTGATCAGAACGGCCGATCCCAAAGACCACCTGTTGCCAGGGGTAACGGGAAGGGCCAGCTCAGCTCACGTGGAAGATGAATGCCCAAGCCTCTGGGCTATGGAGCCTGTCCTCACCTCTGTCTTTGGGCAGGTAACTGGGCCAAGGGAGGCAGGGAGGGGACAGAGAGGGCAAATGGTGAGGGGGCTGAAAATGGAGGGTTCTGTGAGAATGAGGCTCCCCAGCAGGTCATGGGCTTTTGTCGCATCCCAGGAGGATCTCACCTTCTCTTCCTGCAGAAAAAACCCCTAATCCTCTGTCCACCCCCCCCCATCTCATACATATGATGGGGGATCAACGCTTTCACCTTAAAACATGGTATGTCCCAGCCTGAAGAAAGAGCTAGTGAGAGGGGAGACCTCCAACATCTTGAGTCCCCAAACCGGGACATGTGTCTTTCCACCCATACTCCCACACAAGTTACTTGACCCATGCAAAATTATGGAGCCCAAAATATGTGGGGGGTTTTGGGGGCATTGATCACATGGTGCCCCAAAACTAATGTTTTAGGGTGCCACACAAAATCATGGCCCCCAATAAAGCACTTTTTTGAGAGGAGCACTTTTTCGGGACACAAAATTGCACGAGATCACAGCACTCAAAATGGCTGCCACGCTCTTACGTAAAAAAACAGGATGTGGCTTTTTACCATAGTTATTGATATGCAAGGTTACAGAGATAAGGTGTGTAAATACTCTCCAAGGAGCTCACTTGAAGCTGACGAGAATACAGGAAATGGCACCATCACATCTCCAGGCCCTGCTGCCTTAATGGAGCCTCATGAGCTGGATTGAGCTGTGTTCTTGGACAACACAGTCCTGAAATGGTGGGTTGACCATTTGACCATTGACAAGTTGTATAATATAATTACTTTTAAAGTGGCCAGCGCCTTGGTGAGGTGGTGCAGGAGGAAGTGATACTTGGCTTTTGGTGCTGAGCAGAGACCAGGGAGGAGTGTCCCGTGGTGGTGCTGGAGGCAGAGGAAGGCTGGATCAGCACCATCCATTTGCCCAGCTGGTAAGTGGTCGTTGGGCTGTGTGCAGGCTCTTGCACAGGGTACCAGTACTGGCAGGTCAGCAACAGTGCCCCAGGTGTTGATTCAGGCTGGTCCTGTCTCTGACACTGCCTCTTGATGTCCTCCCATAAGAATGTGGGGGCCCTTCCCTACTGGTGTTACTGGGAGTAGCAGCAGCAGGACAGGGAACACCCTATTAGTGCATGTTCAGCACCATTTTCGGCCTCAGAGGGGGGCAGAACATGGATGGAGTGGGGCAGCGGCAGAAGGGAAGGCATGGCATGACGGTGCCGATGCGCATGGTGTGTTGGCACGCAACTCCCACACAAACAGGGAGTTGCCTATACTTGGCCATCTGAACAAGGGAGGCCAGTGTCCTTTTAAAAAGTATGTAAAGGAATCCTCTCAAGGGCTGTCAGGTCTGAGTTTTGGCTTCATGATACAGAATCATAAGAATGAAGAGTGTGCAGGAGCCCTGAAGCTGTCCATCAACAGTTCAGGCAACTTCCCTACTATGGTGAGATGTATTAATTGGTGCCTGGCTGTGTTTCACTCAGGACTCTTGAGGGGCATGGCCTGGGGAGATGAGGTGTGGTGTGCATTAAGTCCCAAGGGCCACATAGGCACTGTGAAATTATCACCTTGTATATTTGATGGGACAAAAGAAGAGTGTTAAGAATGTGAATTCAATACAGTTAAAGTGATAGTTTGCAGAAGTTGAGATTTGTTGTTAAAAACCTTGAAATTTGACCTCCACCTTGGAAATGTGCGTCAGAATACTTGGCAGTCTCTTCACTTACATATAAAAAGTCGTAAGACGATCTTCACTAACCTGGTTCTCTCCAGCTATTCTGGACTACAGCTCCCATCAGCCCCAGCCAGTGGTGTGACTCATTTCTTTTATCCTATAAATCTGTAAATCCTGTATGACTAATAAAAAGGCAGCGCAGGAAAAAGTGATTGTAAATGCTTTGTACAATGACTTGCTTTATCACACCACCATTGCCAACTCTGAAATCTGTAGCCCATGAGCTGTGAAACACTTCAGATGGATCTAGACTTATTTTATATCCTGCAGTTGCCTAAGGAAGTTGTTATCTTTCTTTTAAGGGGGTGGGCAGGGGGACATTTTCAAGAAAAAAAGTAGTTAGGTCAATCTCACTTAATCCAGTTGAGCAAACTGAAGCGTGGTTTTAACATGAACTGTTAAAATTCAAATACATTTTCACAAATTATACAAGGGCTGTGTTTTCACTTCCCAAATAAGAGTCCTGAAGATCAGAACTAGCCTCTGAAAGAAAATTTCCAATTTCCCTTCTGCATTGCGGGGGGGGGGGGGCAGGCGGGGGGGAGCAACATCTGCAAGTAACGCATTAGGGATGAAGAGGAGTTCTTAACGTCACTCATGAAAATGCACTGTGAGTCTATAAATAATACAGTGGATTCTGCTAACTGGTTCACATCTTGTGGCCAACCAATAAGTCTGACTGACAATTGGTAATGCACGCTTCCCCTATCCCTATCCCCGCCCCACCCTGCCCCCACCGCACCATCTCGCTCACCCAATAATGTGGCTGGGTCTCTCAGCATCAGAGCTCAGTGGATGCAGCCACTCCCTGGAACAAAGATTTGAAAATCTCGTTGATTGTCACGGGAGATTATGGCCTCACTGCTCTGACGGGAGGGGGCATGTTGATGGGCAGCCATCCTTTTCAACCGCTTATAGACAGCATCTGAGTGGGGCTTTTGGATGTGAGTCAGGAAGGACAAGGCAGGACTGGCCCTCTCCTTCCTGGACCACTGTGGAGTTAAAATGCTTTGAAGAAGAGCTGCTTGCCTGGTCCCTGCTCTCTCTGCTTTAGCACCATCTATGATTGAGTTGCATATAATCCTGAGGATTATGGCTGTGGCCCACGCCCTCCCTCCCTCCCTCCACCCCCCTCTGTTCACTTTCCCTTAATATTCTGGATATATTCAACAATAAAAACCCTGAAAATCCCCAAAGCGTCTAAACCTCCCAGGAAGAGAATCACTTGTTACTATAAAAATATATATATCTGCCATCGGCGCCAGCTGCCTCCAGCCCCATACTGTGCTCTGTGGGATGGGGGGGACTTAGCAGCCATGGGCAACTGCACCAAAACACCGGGCAGGCGGCTCTCCAAGGTAGGGGGAGAGGACGGAGGGGAGGGTGCCCCTTTTCATCCTTACATCTTCATGCCTTTGTGTTGGAATCCCTGTGTGTGTCTGGTTCTTTGCATGTCTGTCTGTCTACTTTCCTTGCTTCCTGGAGTGTGTGCATGGATTCCTGTCAGTGGTTGAAGCCCCATGGCTGAGGTCAGTTATCCGAGGGAACATGGCGAGAATGCTAGGCCCCTGTGGTACCACTCCAGATGGGGGGTTGTGGCATCATCTCCGATTCCTACGAAGGCCAGGTTCCAATGCTCCAGGTTACTAGAATGAAGACAAATGTGTTCTTCAGAATAGTGTCTGCAGAAGGCTTCAGAGACCCCCTTTTCTCCATCTACTATGTCCCCTTTTCTCTCATCTACTTAGTCCTTCTTAGGCCAGCATCTAGATCCTCTTTGCTTTTCTTGCATCTAAGCAAACAATAACAACCTCAAACTCCTAGATTTCATTCAATGCTTCCTTCTTCTCTTGGTGTATCATACAAGGCCTGTTTGTGGATTGTGTCAATGAAGATTCAACCAGGTGAGCCTCAGTATGCTCCTGATATAATAGAAGTTCTATGGGTATTGGGTGTCACAATGTATGGTATCTCTCATATTCTTGCATGTCATTGTATGGTATGTATTGCCACCAGTGCCTGAGCAGAGAAGGCACATGACCAGTGGCAGATCTATGGTCTGGGGGACCTTTGGGAGGGGCCCCAGTTCATTCACTTAAATAAATGTGACCACGTCTGAAAATATGAAGGAGATAAATAATGAGTTAATTCATTACATGGATTATCCTTTTTTTTCTTTTTTCTTTTGCTATTGTTACAGATCTGGGGTAACAAAGTTTGAGGGTGTAAGGGCACCCATAACTGCTAGAGTTAGTGAATGTTAGAATTAAATAAAGTGTTAGAATTTAGATAATATTTAGCATATTGAAGGAAAGATGCCAGGCCGGTAGAAAAATACAGGCTAAGCTCCTTTTCCAGGCCAGGGGCTCACCTGGCATAGAAGCTGTTAAGCATGACAAAATGTGTTGGCGGCCCATCACAGGAAAATCCTTGGGTCTCTTCCAGTGGAGGTTGTCACTGTTACACTGAGCGATGAAGATGATGGAGCTCACAGGAAAATGGTCACCTTTTAAGACTAGGCTTGGAATAGCAGGTAGAAAGGGGACAAGCAGACAGAAGGGGAGAAGTTTCTTGGCAAGGGTTTTTTTTCTGGGAAGGAGAAGCAGGAAGGAGAGAACTCCATGTGGCGCTGGCTGAAAGATGCTGCACTGAAAGGCCAGGGGTGTAGCGTGGTGCATTTTCCTGGGGTGGAGTACGCTGCTCACACCACCCTCCCCAAGTCAGCCATGTGCCACTTTGCAAGGCGGGGTCATTCCAGCCTCACAAAGCGGCTTGGGGCTGGAGTGCTGCTTTTGCCCTCCATGTCCTGCCCCCCCCCCCGGCACTCACATGCCCTGGACGCTGTTCAAGCATTCTCCGCCACTGCCAGGGGCCATGACTGGGTGCTACTTTAGACCCAAGCTCACTGTAGCTATGAGAAGGGCAATGAGGGACACTCTTGGGGTGTAATGTTCTGCCTCCCCTCTATTGAAGGCTTCAGATGTAAATATGTGTAAAATGAAACTTCCACTTCCCTCCTCCTCGTGTCCGTCACTGCCAAAAAGGCAGAATTGGTGTGAGGTGTGTGGTGACAGCAGAGCAGGACAGTTGTTGGGGAGCTGCCCTAGTCTGTCCTTGGCATGAGCCCCATAGAGATACAGTGGTACCTCGGGTTACAACAAACACCTCGGGTTACAAACACTTCAGGTTACAGACTCCGCTAACCCGGAAGTAGTACCTCGGGTTAAGAACTTTACCTCAGGATGAGAACAGAAATCGTGCAGCAGCAGCTAGAGGTCCCATTAGCTAAAGTGGTACCTCAGGTTAAGAACGGTTTCAGGTTAAGAATGGACCTCCAGAACAAATCAAGTTCGTAACCAGAGGTACCACTGTATCCTGGTGGGATTGGTCAGATGAGGGGGAAGAGTGGGAAGAAACCAGAGAACTGGAGGACAGCGGCCCACAGAAGGGGCCCAGCAAGCTGGGAGGCAGTGGTTAAGATCTGTGAGAGATCTCCAACCCTGCAAATGTTAGAAAGCATTTTGCCCCCATTTTTGTATATATCAATATTATTGAATTTAACTCTGTGTGTGTGTGTGTGTGTGTGTGTGTGTGTGAGAGAGAGAGAGAGAGAGAGAGAGAGAGAGAGAATACAACAGTAATAGCCACATTACCACAGTATAACCACATGAGGGACCCATCAACTATATCATCCAACCATATGGGTGAGGAGAATGTTGCTATACATATAGTCCTCTTTTCCAGGGGCTGTGTGTGCAGTCCCCCCTAGTGAATTAGCACTGGGTAGAGGTTCATCTGTATTTACTCAGAGTTAAGGGATATTAGCACTGCAAAGCTACATCAGTTTTATTCAGCTGTCATGACTTATCCCAAATAATGAGTTTAGGGAAATGCTGAGAATTCTGGTAAAGATCTCTGTGTAAAACCGCAGTTCTCTGGGAGTCCTTAGGGAGGGAAAAGGACTATTTAATAAAATGTAAGTCTGTGGTGCAGATGTGTACGGAAAGATACAGAGGGACTGCCAAGAAATGTAGCAATTGTGCTAGTGCATGTTTCTTGTTGTTAGAGCATATGTGCCATTGCTTTGTGTGTTAGTGTGTGTGAGAGAGAGCAAGAGAGCTAATTGTGGCATCTCTCTCTGTATAGTATGTGGAGACATTTCCCCTAGGAGGACTCAGATTCAGATGACTCACAGGCCATCTCATTGGGGGGGGGGGGAGCCCTGGGCATTCCCTTCTTCAATGTCCTGGCAGTGGTGGATTTAGGACAGCACAACTGGTCGGGGGGGGGGGGAGGGAGGCCAAGGGGTCATCTTCCAACCTTCTCAAAGCCTAGTAAGTGCTGGGCTTTGGGAAGGAGGCATGAGAGCTCTGAGAGGGTCCTAGAGTCCTCCCACCTCCTTCTCAAAGCCGAGTTAGCACTTGCCCAGCTATGGGAAGGAGTCAGGAGGACTCTAGGACCCTGCCAGATCCCTGTGCCTCCTTCACAGCCTGGCACCTCCCTTACCTGGTTTTGGGAAGGCGACTTGGGGCTTTGAGGGCGTCAAATTTTGGCCCCACACAGGGCACCATTATTACCATAATGCCTGCGAATTTCCTGTAGCTTTCCCTTTAAGACTTGCCAACAGCTGTCCTGGGGGCAGAGCCAATGGAAGGCAAGTTGTTGCCAACTTTCTTAAGCCTTCTGATAATTCTTGTTCTTTGTTGCTAGGCTGGCCTGCAGGACCAAGTTTCAGCTTATTAGCAAGACAAGACACAGATCCTTATGAATTTTTATGGTTTTTACATAGGATTACAACAAAACCACAAAAAATCCCAGAACCCATATTTGAAAATAGAGACGTTACCTATGATTTGATGGTTGTTTTTTGGGGAACTCTTACAACAACAACTATTATTATTATTATTATTATTATTATTATTATTACTATTAATACCCCGCCCATCTGGCATGGTTTCCCCAGCCACTCTGGGCGGCTTCCAACAGAATATTAAAATACAATAGTCTGTCAAACATTAAATGCTTCCCTAAACAGGGCTGCCTTCAGATGTCTTCTAAAAGTCTGGTAGTTGTTTTTCTCTTTGACATCTGGTGGGAGGGCATTCCACAGGGTGGGTGCCACTACTGAGAAGGTAGTGCCTTGGATCCATAAGGATTGCCCTGGAAGACACTGTATCTCTGATTTTTATGGGGCGGTCAATGAGGATAGAGGAGTTCAATGATTTGGGGATGGTTTTGCAGGAGAGGGGGAACTCACATTGAAATCACACAGTTTTAAGAGGCTTCATTTTGTTGGATCTAATGTGTATTCATTTGAACATGCATTCTTCCACCTCATAGTTGCTCTCTTTCCCTCTTACAAATTCCTTCCCTTTCTCTGCTACGTTACTGGTTGCTTTACTTTCTGTCCATCTGCTCAGGTGCCAACCTGAACTTTGAAAAGCTCTTTGAACTGAGAGAGGAAGCAAGAGGTAGTGTCGCTCTTTCAACTTCCTCCTTCAGCTTCATGAACTTTTCAGTGAGAAAAATGGTAATTATCCTCACCATCTCATGACAAAGGGGGCAGTGGGTGATGTGGGGGTAGGGAGCTTAAAGGCTTTGTGGCCACCAGAGGAAGACCTTGAGGGTCCCAGGTTGGGGACCCCAGCATTGTGGAGATGGAGGTCTGCCTAATTGTGGCAATTGCCCAGTGAGCAGAGATGCTGAGCCATTGAGACAAATTTAAGGATGAGAAAAGTGGGCTTCATTTAGGGGGGAAATTGTGTTATTTCTCTAGGATATGTCTTGTTTCCCCCTTTGTTGCTCCCCTTCCCATACTCTCCATTATCAGATACCCTGCTTCCCTAAAACTTCCCAGAAGCCTGGGCCTTAAACACCCAGGTCCTGACAGAGGGGGAAATCGGGGTCTCTAACTGTACTTAGCTAATTGCAAGCTATGCTACAGGAGAATAAGCAGCCCTCCTCCGAGGCTCCTGGCTCCCCTGCCTCTACCAGCAACGACATGGACGAAGGGGCTGACGGCACACAGTATCCGCCATTGCAGAATTACTCGGTCCTGCATGGCTTGGTGGGGCCAGCCTGCATCTTCTTGCGCCAGAGCATCGCCATCACGCAAATCGTATGTATTGCACATCTACTGCTGCACCATTTATACTGAGCGTGAGAGTGTAGCTGCCCCTTCTCTGTTTGCATGGACTGCCCTGCTCCTCAAACCTTCAGTATGCCCCTGTGCTGGAACATAGCTTGGGCCTGTTGTTGTTGCTATTTATTAAATTTGTGCACCACCCTATACGCGTAGATCTCAGGGCGGCTCACAACATAAAATCACAATATAAAAAACAGAAAACACATAATAAAAGCAAAAACAAAGACAACCCAATAATTAAATCTTACTCTTTCCTCCCTGCGGAGTAATCTTCATTGAGGAATAAACATGGATAAGGTGGCATAAGAAATCAAACATAAGTGTTATATTTTGCTACAGGTATACAAATTGGGAGGTTGATGTGCACCACTGCTGTTCAATCCATGGACTCATCGAAGAGAAATCGTTCATGCCATGATCTAAAACCATGCAGATTGTGTTTTGCAGTATATAAACTAATTCCTACATGGAAATAGGCTAGTGAAAGGGTGCCTTCACTGAGTCCATGTTGCATAGGTTAACAGCCAGGCAATGAGGCAATGTTGGTAATGATCGGCATCTTTGTTTACGGCTTTAAATGGTACAAAGCTCTTCACATACATTATCTTATTGCAATTCTTACCCTGTAAGGTGGGATAGTATTAAATACCTATATATTAACAGATATGGGGGGGGCAGGCTGTGGTTGACAGTGCGAGCGATTTCCTTAAGGTCTTCTAGTGAGTTCATGGAAAAGCCATGGCAAAGGGCTTCCTGAAACAGGGGCCATTCAGATGCCCTTTCTTTGGTGCATCCATGATTATTTGTGCTCATTACGGTATCCTATTGGGGCCGTAAAGTACATTCCTGCTTTCAATACTGTTTGCGCCTGGGAAGGTTTCACTTCCATTCAGTGTATGTCCCATAACATCCTTCTGCAACCACACAACGTTTTTATACCACAAATATTCTGGCTTATTTCTGCCCTGCTTTTGTTGTGCTGTAGCCTTTCTTGACAGTAACAATGTGAGAGCATTGGAGCAACATTGCAGAACAAACTAAAAGCAGAACTGTATAATTAATGCACTTTCATTGTGGCAAGAACATGTTGCAAAATGCACCCATGTAGAGCATTCGCCTGAGGGGGCTGTTAATAATCTCTTAGCCACTGAAACGCACCAGCCTTTGGGCTGCATTACACAAACACCAAGCCTAGGGAACTGTCACTGGAAGAACAACTCTTGCCCCTATTGCCTTTCTGCAGGGAGCCAGAAGGGCTTTCCTCCAGGGAATTTGTAGCCACAGTATTCTGACACAATATTTGCATGGAATCCAACAGTGATGCAGCATGACTTGGTGGGAAGCACCTTTAAGCATAGTGGGACTTATTTTGAAGTAAGCACACACAGAATCAGGCAGCACGGAGTAACCGTTTTTTTCTGTTCGTAGAGTGGGCAAGGAAGACTTCCTTAATCTGGGACAGCTTCTGACTAAGAGATCAGTAGATTGGATGTGGGCAGGCAAAGCAGATAGATAGATAGATAGATAGATAGATAGATAGATAGATAGATGATATCTGTTTTATCAACCTCTACTCTCTTTGTTTCCCCAGGACAGAGAGCTGCGACCAGAGGAGATTGAAGGTAAAAAGAAAATTGATGCTCAACATTACCTCTTAAGGTAGGGTTAGCCAACATGGTGCCCTCCAGATGTTCATGGCCTACAACACCCATCATCCCTGATAATTGGCCATTCTGGCTGGTGCTAATGGGATGTGTAGTCCAAGAACATCCGGAGGCCACTGTGTTGGCTAACCCTGACTTTGGGGAACCTCATGGATCCTGCCTTGCTCTTTAGTCATTAGTCTAACCAACGAGAAGTCTACTGCATCTGCTTAGCTTCACTAAGCTTCTTTGGTTTCGCTTAATGCTCTGCCTTGTTGCTTTGTCAACTTGCCTCTGGCTTCCTTATGCTTTGCTCCCATGTCTAGATGTATGAATCCCTTGCTTTGCTTCCCCCCTTTGCCTCTCCTGGGCCCACCACCCCATCTAGAGGGCAGCTATCAGATATCCAGTTCAGTTCCTTGACTCTAATTATGGACTCAGCCCTCATACGAAAGTTCTGATTGGACTAGCATTGAAAATCCCTCTAGTGGCATTTCTGTTGTTGTTGTTGCTGCTGCTGTTGTTAATATGCCACTATCTGACTGGGTTGTCCCAGCCACTCTGGACAGCTTCCAACAAATTAAAACATCAAACACAGTAGAACATCAAACTTTAAAAACTTCCCTATACTGGGCTGTGTTCAGATGTCTTCTAAAAGTCAGATAGTTGTTTATTTCCTTGACATCTGATGGGAGGGCCTACCACAGGGTGGGCACGACTGCCAAGAAGGCCCTCTGCCTGGTTCCCTGTAACCTCACTCCTCGCAGTGAGGAAACCGCCAGAAGGCCCCCAATGCTAGATATCAGTATCCAGGCTGGACATATGTCTCTGGAGCTGAACCCCAAAAGTGAGGAAGGGCTGTTGGTGAAACATATCAGCTCCTTCATTCTGTAGCAAATCAGATGCTAACTCCATCACTCCCTTCTCACTTACTTGGTGTTTGCAAGACACAGATGCATTACCTGCTTTCCAGGGGGATTCTTATTGCTTCCCTTCTCTTTCCAGAGCTAAAGGAGGCCTTCCGAGAGTTTGACAAGGACCATGACGGCTACATCAGCTACAAAGACCTGGGGGAATGTATGCGAACCATGGGCTACATGCCCACTGAGATGGAGCTCATTGAATTGTCTCAGCAGATCAGTATGTGCCTAGCATTACTGAGTTAAATACTACAGTATGATGTTTCAGGGGGAAGAAATGGATTTTCACAGTTGCTGGATTCAAGCAAAATGACCACACACAAAAAGGGGGAGGGGAGGATGCAAACACTTCTTGGATATCTCTCCTTAGAGTAGAGGTAGGGAACCTGCGGCCCTCCAGATGTTGTTGGAGTCCAGATCCCATTAGCTGCAGCCAGCATGGCCATTGATCCGTGATGTTAGAAGTTATAATCCAGCAATAGTTGGATGGCCATGAGTTTCCCACAGAAATGTCAGAGGGGATGAGGGGACAGCACTAGACTGTGGCCTAATAATAAATAGTGTTTAAGCATCTGTATAGGGTGTTCAAAGCATTTCGCACATTATCATCTCAGTAATCCTTACGACCACCCTGTAAGGTAAGAGATGTTTATTACTGGAGATGCCTGGTTCGATCGATCAGTTACTTTGCATGTACAGTGGTACCTCGGGTTAAGAACTTAATTCGTTCTGGAGGTCTGTTCTTAACCTGAAACTGTTCTTAACCTGAAGCACCACTTTAGCTAATGGGGCCTCCTGCTGCCATTGTGCCGCCAGAGCACAATTTCTGTTCTCATCCTGAAGCAAAGTTCTTAACCAAGGTGCTATTTCTGGGTTAGCAGAGTCTGTAACCTGAAGCATATGTAACCCGAGGTACCACTGTATAATAAACTCAGTTTGGCAGGAGCAGCACCTAACTACCAAGTGCAAAATGGTGGTGTGAATCAGCTGATGCAAGGACATGTCATCAGCTGTGTGGCTTTTCTGAAAGGACTCAAGAGTTTGCATTCATGGGAGCCTATTCACTCTCCTGGTTTGCTGCATAAGCAGATAAATTCCACACAAGAAGTGGCAGCGGAGAGGGTAGGGATAGGAACGGCAGCACAAATGGGAAAATTCTTCCATTATGTTGGTTGTGAATTGTCCCAGAGTATAATTATATATACTATAATATCTAACCCGGCACTGTCTGGCTCTGGCTGAAACTGTTTTTCTGCATCTATAGCTGGAGGGAAGGTGGATTTTGATGACTTTGTGGAACTGATGGGCCCCAAGATGCTGGCAGAAACTGCAGACATGATTGGGGTGAAAGAACTGCGGGATGCCTTCCGAGAGGTGAGAGTCACGTGACTCAACTTGCGGGACCAGAGGAGGGTAGCATCAGATGGTGGGTGGGTAGGTGGTATATTGAGGAATCTTATTTCTCATTCTGCTGTCCTGTCTTCTCATATAGTGGTTCTCCCAGGCATTACAAAACACAAACGTAGGGTTACTATATTCCCAAAAGTGAAAATCCAGACAAAGTTGGCTTTCTTTTGGTCAAAGTTTTTGAGCTTTAGGGGGGTGCTTTTTTTTTTTTAACAGCATTTTTCCTTAAAAATTGCCATAGTTGCCGTATGTCTGGGTTTCCCTGGACATGTTGCCAGTTGGGCAAAAGTCCGCCCAGAATGATGCCATTTTGACAGTCCGATTCCGGGAAAACCTGGATGTATTGCAGCCCTACACAAACAGTTCTCAGCTGCTTCATTTGATTTCATCAGTGCCACTTAAAGCACTTCACTCTTGCTGTTGGTGTACATGTGTGGATGTCAGTGGCAATCATGAAGGAAAGTGGATTGACACTGTCACTTCAGCCTTCCTGAAGTTTTCCTGCCACCTGCGAACAGTGCACCCATCCACCCATCATTCTGTGATTTGGACTCCTCCAGAAGATGGGGTTGTTCAGCATTCATCCTGATTTGCTTGCACAAAGTTTAAGCCATGGTTAGACTAGTCTTTATGGAGCATTTGTTTAGATTTCATGGAATCTGAGTAGACAGGGGCCCCAAGGGTCATCTAGTACAACCTCCTGCCATACAGGAATCTCAACCAGATCATACATGACAGATGGCCATCCAAACTCTGCTTAAAAACCTCCAAGGAAGGAGAGTCCACCACCTCTCATGGGAGTCTGTTCCACTGTCCAACAGCTATTACCGTCAGAAAGTTCTTCCTGATGTTTAGTCGGAATCTCCTTTCTTGTTGTTTGTTAACAGGGTAATTATATAAGAATCAGCCTTCGTCCTGATTTTCTTACAGGGTGTTTACATGTCTTCCCAGTAAGCATTCATTCATCCCACACTTTTTAATGTGTTTTTCTACTACTTTCCAAATTGCAAAAAGTCTTCTTCTTTTTATAAAAAAAGTGGTTTTGTCGTTCCAAGAGAACAATATGCTTCCATCTACTTCAGCTGCACTCAGGGAGGTGAGCACAAGAGACTGGAGAATTGTGTGGATATGGTAGATGGTTAAACAAGGTGCTGGAATCAGGGTTGTTTATTTGTTTCCTTCCAGTTTGACGCAAATGGCGATGGACAGATCAGCATAGCTGAACTAAGGGAAGCCATGCGCAAACTCTTGGGACAGCAGCTGAACTACCGTGAGGTGGATGAGATACTCAAAGATGTTGATCTGAATGGGGATGGCCTTGTGGACTTTGAAGGTATCAGGAAAGCCCTTCCTTTGAGGGATGATGATGATGATTTGCTTTTTCTAACTGGGAAAGAAGTGAGGATTTAGGCTGGGAGGGGGATCTCATCCTGCTTTTGAAAACGAATGCAGGATGTAGAGTAGAGGTGGGTAACAATTTTGGCTCTTTGGGCCAAATCCTTATCTGACTGCCCCCATGGGCCAACTTTGAATGATGGATGGGACAACTCGCCTGTTGAATCACAGGATGCCATTATGACATCAAATGATTTGACAGGTGGGTTTTCCTCCCGACCTGCTAAAATCCAGTGAGCAGTATCCCCAAATGCCCAACAGGTTGCTGAATGTTGGAAACACTATTCTTGCCACTTTGAGAAGCCCCAGGCATAGGGCTTTGTGAGTCCTGCCAAACCAGTTTGAAGTCTGGCTTTTACAGGTATTGATGGTGTGAGCAAGTTGCCTGCAGGGAACTCGTATACAGCTACCTCAGCAGGCCTTGACTTTGCCACCCATCAGCTGGTGCTTGAAGCTTGCTTTCCCTCGCCCATGCACTATTGCAGCCTTCTTGAAGTCTTACAGTGCACTGGCAGCCACATCTCTACCTGCCCCACACCTGATGTCACTGTGGGGCAGGTGGGCATGATTTGGGCAAAAACAGCCTTATGGGCCACATTTGAACCCCTGGGTTGGGCCCAATTTTGGCCCCTGTTCCAGAAATTCCATACCTGCTATAGATCCTTGATGCAGGAAAGAAAAGGAAGAAAGTCAAGACTGGATTTAGGAGGAGTCACTTCTAATTTTGAGGGGATAGTTGGGAATCGGATCATAAAGATAACATTTGGAAGCCAGGGTTCCTAGGTTTTATTTTAAACCAGAGGCTTATTAATATGCTAATATATTCCACGCTCTGTATGCAGTTCCTTTCAGTTGAAGTTGCACAACTGAATGACAGAATCAGGTTTTGCCTGTACAGTGATGGTGTCTTCAGTGACAGCACTCTTCCTTTCCCCATGCCCTTATGGGAGAAAGTTAATATGTTTATTATTCAGGGACATCACTACAGCAAAGTCCAAATCAATTTGCACTCTGTGAAGCAAGGAAAGGGTTGAGCAGGTTTTGCCCTTCCTCAACAGTGTTGCTTCTCACCGCTGATTTACATTTTTAAATGTTTTATTGAAAGATTTCTGTAAGTAACAAAAGTACATTCAGTGCCTCTCTTTTTAAATTATAGCATCCTTCATACCAATCAATTACAGTTGGTCTGAGACTTTTTTTGTTGTAGACAATGTGGGGTTGGGGGGGGAAGAGAGGAGAGGGGAGAAAGTAGAGAAAGAGAAAGTTAGGAGGGGGAAGTAGGGGAGATGAGAGTCATTAAACTTTCATTCTTTGCAAAATATTGTTCTGTTAAGCTCAATGGGAATTTAGTGAGCCTCAATCTGCATAGCCCTGTCCTGGATTGTATTTCATGGTCATACTAGAGCAGCCTCCCCCAACTACGTACACTTCAGATGTTTTGCACTACATCTCTCATCATCCCTGACCATTGTCCATTGGCCATGCTGGGGCCGATGGGAATTGTAGTTCAAAACATCTGGAAGGCACCAGGTTGGGGAAGGATGCTCTGAAATGTGACAGAATGTTAGAAGAGTGGGATGGGATATATGGAACTGAGCTGGATGGATGGACAGACAGACAGACAGAGAGACGGTGGTTCCCATACGTTCTCTAGTTATCTATAAAAGAAGTCCCTCTTCTGGGCCAGCAGCAGATGGAAAATGCTTTTCTCTCCCCTCCTGATGACATATTTGGGTCCCCTTCCTGCAGAGTTTGTACGGATGATGTCTCGCTGAGAGCAGCCAGCAGCAGCCCAAGGCTGAAGTGCCTTACGGAGAGGAGAGACTTCAAGCTGCCATATATCCTGATCTAACCATCAGGAGCAGTGGCAGCATGCGAGAACTTCCTACACATCCTGTGTACCCTGCTTGGAGCCAAACAGCCACTCCTAAAGTCCAGAGACTTGCATCAGCTTCAGCACCTTCAGTGACATCCTTGACTAGATCTCAAGACTGATACCCCATCTACTGTTTTAGAGACAGCCAAGACCGCAAGCTCTCAGGCTCTGGATGTCATTGTACCTTGCCTTTACTCTGTTCTCTGTAACACTGACCTTTCACCCCAAGCATACCTTAAGAAGGAACAATCAACCAACAAATCTCCCTTAAATATTCTGCATGCAATGGTGTGACAATATTTGAAACGCTTCACCGTCCTATTCCAACAGTGGCTGCTTTTCTTTCCTTTTTCCCTCTCTAAATGGTGTTTGTTTTTAAAAGTACATTGTTCTCTACTGTGGCATGCTCACCCCCATCTCTGACATCCTTTCTAAGTACAGTGGAATAATGGCAAGGAGTTGGCTTGTGGTCCCAAACAGAACAGGGATTGTTCTGGAAACTGGATGGGCTGGCGCTCACTGCCTGCTATTAAGCCAACCTTTGTGACTTAATGGGATCTATGGTGCATGAATGTTCATTAGGTTTACTGGAAGTGGCAGCTGTGTGATCCAGACGTGTTCAGCCCTCAAAAGATCTGGGAATCTGACATTCAAAACCTTTGACTCCCAAAACCCAGGGACTGCTTCTGTCTCTACAAACGACAAGCTGCTTTATAGATTGCCCTTCAGCTATCTGACTATGGCATATTCAGTGACCATATTTCCATCCATATTTGGGCCTGGACTCCCCATCTACTTGTGATTTTCAAACTGTGTTCTGGAGAACCCCTGGGGTTCCTTAGAAGCTTAACAGAGGCTACTCAATGAGAATGTCAGGACGGATTTTCCAGCTTGCCCATTACTACCAACTGTCTTCTGAACTATGCAGCCTCAGGGGAGAGTTGGGTGAGCTCCAAGTGAACACCTGAGAATCCTTTGCCAAAATAAGAAGATTCAGTAGCAGACAAAGTTGATGTGGGCAGAGTTGTCCGAAGTTAGAAAATCCCAGTGCTCTATTGCTGGAAACATATTTTCACTTTCCTATTGAAAAGCAAACTGTTTATTTTCTGTCAATTCAAATTCTTGTTTCAGATGAAAAGACCAGTGCATTGGAGGGAAGATGATGGCCTCAAACCTACATTTCCCTCTGTTGTGAATGTGACTCATATTGTTTATTTTTTTCTCACATATGTAATACCATACATTTAGCTGTATCCAAACACTTACTCAAGCAAGCTCAATAAATCCAGATTTGTGCATTTGGTTCATGCATATTATCCCTATTTTTTGTAGCTTCCTGGTAGACACAAAGATTAATCTTAGCTATGATCATACAAAGACCTACTGATTTTGTCTATTTTATCTATGTTAGGGCTATCACCAGAGTAAAGAAATCTTATCATTTGTTTTCTGTGTCACAGTTGGCATTGTCTTAGAGATATTCTGTCCTGTGTGAGGAAGAACAAGGAATGCCTGAAAGAAGTGCCTCCTGCTAGTGATTAGCAGAATGGATTCAGCTAAGTTGATGTGCACACAGAATGAGGACCACTCGTGCAATAGGACCTTCCCTCCTCTCCTCCCCAGTCTGCTCTGGAGTGTTGGGGGAACCCACAGAACAGGATTAGGGAGCGTGTAGGGGGAGAAGAGGGGGAAAAGACTCATTGCACAAGCAGACCTAGCTCCACACATGTACACCCTACTTAGTGCTATGTTGAATTCCACCCTATATATGTATTTTAAATGGGGGTGGGGTGGGGGTGGTGACCTGTTGCTGGACTCCTATTCCATGCAGCCCTAGTGGTCAGAGATTATGAGAGCTATAGTCCAACAACATCTGAAAGACCACAGACTCCCTACCCTTGGTGAAATACTTCTTTAAAATCCACTGTTTGATTAATTAGGGACACATTTTAAATAATTTTAAAACCTTTTTATTTAGTATCTTATTGACCAATTAACTAAACAGTCTAGAAAGAAAGATATTGTCTCCCAATTGTTAAATTCTACAAATGGGAAATTGTGTTCAAATGTACCTGGGAGGCACATCTCCTAATCTGGAAGATCTGCTTGAAGTCCCATATGTCTGGTGTGAAAAGTGGCTACACTGTGGTGAAGGAAATGCGTGTTGCACTTGCTTAGAGCCACTCTTAGTTCATTGACCATGTTCTAGGGCAGAGCCCTGGTAATCCCTGGCTCCTTCAGTTTGGGGTGTCATTAATGAGATGTACCCCCAAGTATGCAGGTGTAGGATTGCAGCTTAATTGATTCTGCTGAATTACTTTTATGTTACTGTTGATTTAAAAAAAATGCTTGTAGTGAAATCCAGCAGTTTAGAACCAATATTGAGAAGGAACATTTGTCTATAAAGACTGTGCTTTCAAAAAGTATTGAGACTTCTTTTCCCAAAGGCATTTCTTTACTGTTCTTGAAAATATGTCACATATTAGTATTGCTAGTATTTTCTTATCCCAATATCCTGCTACTGCTACCATTTGTGGAGGCAGTGGCACACCTGCAGTTTGGGGGCCCTGAAGCTAGAACTGTTACGGGGGGGGAGGGGCTTCACAACTAGCAACGAGGTCTGGCTAACCAGTGTTATCTTCTTCAGTGGGGTTGTTTACAATGCCCTTTACAACATCTGTGCTACTGACTCTCAAACTTTGGGATTGTTGAAATATACACAACGAAAAAACAATCAATTTGAGTCATGCAACTCAAACTGCATCTACTAGATGCAATGTGGGCTAGTCAACTCTGGGGCCCTGAAGTTTAAGCTTCAATAGTTTCATAGTAGATCTGCCCCAGGGGGGGTCAAAAAGAAAAGTGTTTTACCCCACACCACTTCCCCTGTCCTTGTGCCTGCAGCAACAAGCAAAGGAGAGAAAGACTTAATTCTCCACTGTGAGTAGCAGCAGCAGCAGCAAGATCTTGGGATTGGCACAATCGTGGGGAAGGAGCATTTTTGGGTGATCTGTGTGAAGAGAGGAATTGACAACTGGGTAAGTGTCACAGGTAGGTGGGGATGGCTGGAGGTTAGAAGGCGTTGTAGGGGGATGGCTGGGAGTGGAAGGAGCTGTTGGGAGCTGAAGGGTTTGGGTGAGCTGTAAAGTGGGGGTTGGCAAGATGGGGGTGTAAGAGGGTTGGCAGGCGACATGAGCAGAGACAGCAGACCTTAGTAAACAAATAAGATTTCAAAAAGCTGCATGGAACATTTACTGAGCCAACAAGGTGTTGAGAATCCAAACTGTGTTTCAGGGCATGCATCCTTTCTTCAGGGGAATGCATTACATAACCAATGAAGCTGCAGGCAAGAAACGTGCAGTTAGGCATAACCCCTTTGGTCAAAATAGTCCATCGTCCTGACCTCATCCTGACACATGGTTAGTTTTAATGAATCCTCTCCAAATGTTGCCAGCACCTCACAATTGGCTCAGGGCTAACATCCATTGTTCACAGCGCTCCTCCGATAGTTTTCTCTATAAAAAACAAAAATCCTGCTCTGGTACAAGCTATCAAGCCCCACCAATTTAAAGCTGTGTAGATTTAGTAGAGGCTGCTTAACCTTTGCCTTCCTCTACGCTAGAGTGAATAGTTTTTCATTATCACTGCGGAACACAAATAAATCATCTTAATCCTTTCTAAATACAGCTCAAATACATTCCTGGAATATTGGCCTTTTTGCTTGCTTGTTGCATCACAACTGTCCCATTTTGGCATTCCTTGTTTAATCCCAACATTTCTTCTCCATTATGCTTAACCAAGTGGAAAGGTCCACTGAAAGGTTTAATTCTAACTAGTCAGGAGCAGAGTGCACAGGACTGAAGGTTTCATAATAAAATCTCTTTATGACCTCAAACAGCACCACAATTTTACAACATCGCTCTCCTTTGTTACACATAGAGAAGCACTTTAGCACATAAAATAAAATCAAGGTCTGAGGGAAATAATGGCTATTGTTGCCATAAACTGAAATGTGTGGTAGTTTTCAGCAAATGATTAGTACCCCTTTACAGGCCTCTTTAAAGTTGATAGTCTGCTATGTACATTAAAAGCTTTGAAAATGCAGATATAAGGGAAATGAATTTTAGGCTATTCCTATGCTAGCACTTGGGCTCCTTTAAAACTGAAGAAAGTTCCTGAGTCTTGAATCTGCTGGTATATTGGGCAGATATGGGTGGAAGGTAAGAGATGGGAGAAAATCCCAAACTGGACTGACAATTCCAAACTAATTCCTTCGTGGGACCACTGGGACTCCAGACATCCTTCCATGTAGTCCTTTGCTATGAAGATCCTGGTGTTAGGATTCTTGCTCCGTGTTTGCAGTCATGAGATTGTTGTCTATCACATGACGGTGTATGTTTTCATTCCACAGTTTGAGAAGTGACGGAGACAGGGTGTTTATGTTACTGTGTTCTATGAAGTGGGACTATTGTCCTTTGCTCTTTCTCTCTTTGCTGTCTGATGAGAAAGAGGAAGGAGCTAAGTCAGAATGCTCCGAATGTATTACATGTAAATAAAACTAGATTAGCCAAAATGCTGATCTATTGAGTCTGTTACGTGAACTGCAAATACTCTGCAGGATCATAAGTGTGCTGATGCTTCTTGGTATCAGTCGCTCTGATGTTCGGGCTGAAGAAAGCTTTTGAAGCTCCCGACTGACCAGGAGGGAGAGAACCAGGGCTGGATTTAGATGAAGAGAGGCCCTAGGCTACTCCACTTGTGAAAATGGAAGAGTGTTATAAACAAAATTGAGTGAAGCCAAGGATGATGACGGATATTTAAAATTCTACAATCCACAATTTATCCTCTAAAGGACATAAGATATTATTGTTAAATACCATGGTGATTTTAAAAAATGCATAAAATTAACACTGAAAAACTTTTGCAATAACTGAATTTTGTAAACCTTTTGTGGCCTGGGTAGGCCTGGAACTAGTTCCCATGTCTTGTTTCTCTCTCTAAGGAATCAAGTTCAGCCTTCATGGCATTTAACCGTGGCTCAGCATCCTCTGAAGTTAAGCTTAGGACCTCTTGGAAGTTTGAAGGTTCCCAAACCTTCTCTCAGTTACTAACAACAGCTGTATCTGCTATGACTGTTTTAGCAAACTCTTCAGCATACCTTTTGGGTAGTTTACCCTTTGTGGCCCTTTCAGATCTGAGTACTATACACAAGCCTTCCATGCTAGGCTTCTCCTCTTTAGAAGAAGGGCAGGCCGGGTCGTTCTCTTATATACCTGCTGGGATTGACAAGGCATCTGACCCTCACCTGAATCTCATAGCTCTCCTGTAGCTGCCTCCGATTACTTATTTAACTCTTGGGGAAAATAATTAGCATCACACGTCATGTGCATGGAAGTTGCCTAACCAATTAACCAACTAGAAGGATTACTGTCAATAGCACCAGTTTTCCTATAACTTGATATTGCTGGATAGTTTTGGTGAACTGTAAAAGCATTTTCAGTTTGCTTTATGTTGCCACCCTGGAACTTTTCTTTATTAGTGCCACTTTGTGTTGTACGATTCCTTGCAAATGAAGGAAAACAACTTTTCTGCTTGTATATGTTGATAATATAATTTTGGTTACTGACCTCGGGGTTTGGGGAAGAAGAGGGGACAAAACTGATTTCCAATAAGTGCCCCCCCTTTATTTCCATAACAAGTCCTTGAGTCTGTACTCGAATGGTGACGCCAGGGACCTAGAAGGTGCAGGGCTTGCCAGTCAACCCCTGCACAGTCTCATCACGGCTGACCTTAAGGCAATTGGAGCAATTGGGCCAAATTGGGCCACTCCTAAGGGAGCCCCTGCACCAGGGCAATCTAGATGGATTTTATTTATATCTATAAGATTTTGCAGACTTTGGCTGTGAACTCGAGCCCTACAAAAAAAAAATACAAAAAAAAAATTCAAGTTGCACCCCACTGCTTCATATTGGGCCCCGCTGGCTAGCCCTGAGTCTAATAGTTGCTGGGCCTGAGTCGCCCTGCCCTCGCATGAAGTCTTGGGTTTACAATTTTGGGAGGGGGAGACTGTGGCACTGGGGAGAGGGCAGGCTGGTGAGGCCCCCTAGATTTAGAGGCCTGAGTTGCCCTGCCCTCACATGAAGTCTTGGGTTTGCAATTTGGGGAGGGGGAGACTGCCAGCTGGGGAGTGGGAGGGCTGGCAAGGCCCTAGGCTTCAGCCTTTGCCTATACATAAATCCGACACGGGAGAGAACATGCCAGTCGGGCATGTGTCTCTACCAAGGTCTTACACAAGAGTAGGGCGATCCTAACACCTGAATGGTGTTCAATATTAGAGATCTACTTGAAATTAATATACATGACTAATATAGGTTCATTAATTTCTGTGGGTTTACTCTGAGCATAACTTAATTGAATGCAACTCATTGCATTATTTTGTTTCTGGAAAATGCGACTGCCCTCAGACCAGTGTATCCGTTACAATATTGTGTTGTATGAAATGTGGTTGTACAAGTGTCACAGGACAGAGGAAACCATTATATCCTCCTCATTTGCTGGAGACAAATGGAAGAAGCATTGCTGTATCACTTGGGCTTGTTGTGTATCACATGACTCCATCATTTCCTTTATGCTTTTCACACCTATATGCAACTGCTGAAAAAGATTAGCAGTTTGGAGGATTGTGTAGTAACATCCAGTTATATTTGTTTTATGTTTGCATCAGATCCAGGGGCTGCGGTTCAGTCCTTGAATGACTCCTGGAGTGCAGTTGTGGGCTAGATGAGGATTAATGAGTTGAAGTTTAATCCAGACAAGATAGAGATGAGAGTGGTGGGTCAACCTAGCATGAATAAGGCAAGGGTGAGTAACCTTTCTGGCCTGAGAGCTGCACTGAGGATTGGCCAACATTTTGAGGGACACATGCCAGTGTGCACATCTTCTGTTCAAATGTACCAATCCACACACACATCTACGCACACCGTACATGTGCACACACACTCACACTCATTAGAGGCTTCTCCATACAGCCCGTTTATTGAGCATCTTGATTTGCTTGCACAAAGATAGATTATGTCTGGGCTTTCCTGAGCATTTGTTCTTATTTGTTTGCACCATGAAGGAGGGTTCATTCTCATTTGTTTGCAGGGTCTTTATATGTTCCCTTTAATCAGTCATTCTGCCCCCCCCCCCCCATTTAGTGCCTTTTCCCAATCACTTTCCTAACCCCAAAAAAGTCTGTTTTGTTTTTAAAGCTGATTTGTTGCACTATGATGACAGAGCACTTTAATTCACTTAAATCATGCCAAGCTACATTTCCAGTATGTGACTGAATCCCTTCCACAAAACAGCCTCACTCACTCAGAGACTGGGTGGTGGTGGCAGGAAGCAAGCAGATTCACACATCAGTATATTCTGCAACATGCTTTTGACAAAATGCCCCCACCCAGACATCCTTTTTATTATGCATTCATGATACTATTGGGGTAGTCATATGTGATCCCACTTTGTTGTTCATTTCCAACTACCACATAAGCCTGTAACTTCCTGCTGAAATCCCTTAACTTTTTATTTCACAAATAATCCAGTTTTTGTTGTGCTATACTGTCCCCATAAAGCAAAAATGTGGTTCCATTGGGGAAGCAACACAGAATAAATCCACCACTACTAATGCATTTTAATTGTGCCCAGAACATTTTGCAAAATACACCTATAATACATATAACATCGGTCTAGATGGACCAGCCCAACAGGCATGACAGGTACCAGCAAACCATTGGAATGTATGGACTGAATTACCTGTTAGCCTTGTTCGCCCTCTGATCTCTAATATAAATACAGTGGTACCTCTAGTTACAAACTTAATTCGTTCCAGAGGTCCGTTCTTAACCTGAAACTGTACTTAAGTAGAGGTGTGCTTTTGCTAATGGGGCCTCTTGCTGCTGCTGCACCACCGGCACACAATTTCTGTTTTCATCCTGGGGCAAAGTTCTCAACTTGAGGCAACTCTTCCAGGTTAGCGGAGTTTGTAACCTGAAGCATTTGTGACCTGAGGCGGTTGTGTAATGTTTAAAATAGATTGCTTTTATTTGCATTTTGTCAACCTACATTATATGCAATGCTGCATTTGTCCCACAGGTGGTGCTAGTGCAACATCCCTTGATTTTGTGCATCTGACAGGGTCAGGTTGCTTTTGTCAGTAATCTGAAAGACTGATACTGTATATATACTGTAATTCTTTGAACCGATTTCAAAAGAATGTGGAATCTGAACCTTTGAATCTGCCCCACCCACCATCCAAAGAATAACTAATTTGGAGATGATATGTTGCTTAATTAAAACCACTCATGAATAGACATACATGAGAGCTCAAATTACCAGCACATGGCAATTTGTGTTGAGTACAGCCATATTCCCTTCCCACCCATCCAGAGTCATAAGTGTTGTGGATCATAATCACTACATTTTTTTTCTAAGATCAGTTTTGGTTGGCTTGTTTACATCCAGCCAGATACCACAGCTGAGTATCCTCTAAGACTGCAGGTCTAGAATTGGGAAGAAGGAGAGATAAATCAGCTTCTGGATTATATCCCTTCCACTGTAGTTTGTAACTTCAAACACAGTGAGCAGTGGAGGTAGCTTAGGGGGCAGTTTAGAGGTTTCACAGTGGCTTGCAGAAGGACTCCACAGGAAGGGTCCAGGACATGGAGAACTACTGTCTACTCCCTTATTCGATGGAACGAACCTACTAAAAAACAGGCCCACTAGGTACCACTGTCATGTCACTAACGCATCATAATCAAGTGCCAAAGGTCAGAGGAAAATCCAACTAAGTAGGCCAATGTGTATGCTGTAGTTTTTATATTTCTTTTATTCAAATAAATATTCGTAGGAATCTAATCCCCTTCCAAAATAACATCATTGCCCACTTGTCCCCATGGCCACTCTTTAGTCATGCAGATGGGGGTTCTTACAGGCCCTACTAGTGCCATTATCTTAACCAAGACACTGGATTGCCCCCTTCAGTGATTCCCTTCTACTACAAACTCCCATCTCGCAGATACGACGACGCAAGTTTGGTTGGAACCCACTGGCATAAACCAAACCAGAATTTGGCAGCTTGCATGCTAGCACTCGACTATGTATTTCAGCAGTGCTGAAAGAACTAAACTGGCTGCCAATCGTTATTGTTGACATACATGCCCCCCAACTACTCAGGGCCTGCCTGAGCACCAGCTGATCTGCCTTCCTAATTACACCCATCTGAACCTTAAGATTTTCAGAGGAGACCCCTTTTAATGGTTGCTCAAGAGCCGGCCTTCTCTCAGAGTCATTGATCCTCTGCAATGCTTACTGTCTGAGAAGCACCAAAGGTAATGAACTTCAAGCGACAGTTGAAAGCTGTTCCGTTTCCACAGGCTTCCTTTAACTCTTAAAGTGTTTTAAAGCAGGCTATGTTTGCTTTCTCGCTATTGTATTGTTTTATACGGCACGGGTGTCTTTTAATTTCACCCTCTCCCCTACACTCAGGCAACGAGGGCACCGCAGGGGGTGGAGAGACAGCGGAGACGGCCCCGATCCCACCATCCGCTTAACGGCCGCACAGAGCTAGCCTAGCGCCGCGGCGGGGGACTAGGAGCAAAGAGGGTCCCCGACTAGGCCGCAGCCAGGCCCTCTCGTCGCTATGGCGACAGACGAGAAGGGTGTTATGCTGCGCGGTGAGGTCACAGGGGGAGGGAGCGGGACACGTAGGCGCGGGCCGAGGGCGTCATCGGCAGCGGCCGCTCCGCTGGGCTCTGCTTGTTGGCTCGAGAGGAGAGGAAGGGGGGTCGGAGGCGCGCGTGCTCGCTCCTCTCAGGGTCAGTCCTCCCGGAACAGTGGGCGCGAGGACCGCGGCGAAGGCACGCTCTGAGGGGGCGGGGAGGGGGGAGAGCGGGCGCCTCCGGCTGTGAAACGCGCGTGCGCGCGCGCGCCTCCTCGGGCCGCCAGGAAGGAGCCCTCTCTTCGCCGGGGACCAAGCCGGGACAAGGCAGGAGACGAGGGAGGGAGGAGGAGGAGGAGTGGGAGACGGACGCGGCCAATTGGGAGGTGGGAGCGAGGGGGTCTGCCACCAATCGGCTGAGGCGGAGGACAGAACCCTGCCAGCCGGGGGGAGTGCTTGCGGGAGCCTCCCCGCCAATCCGAGGAGCGGCAGCCGCGGCCGGAGCCGGAGCAGCGCGCCAATCGCGGGCCAGCCAGCACCAGAGAGCGCGGAGTCGGGGATGTCCTACAAGCCCATCGCGCCTGCCCCCACCAGCTCCGGAGCCGCCGGCACCAGCAGCAGCAGCAGCAGCGCCAGCCCCGCCCCCGGAGCCCCGCCGGTCGGTAAGAGACACCCCCCCTCTCCCCGCCGGCCCCGTCTGCCGGCTCCGCCTGGCCCCCGGGCAGAGCGAGGGCGCGGAGGCGGCACGGCGGAGTCGCCTGGGCCGTGGCCGGCGCTTCCGAGTCTCCTCCTCCTCCTCCTCGTCTTCTCTCTGTGTCTCTTCCTCTCCCCAACCCCGGCAGGGTTTTCCCGGCCTTTTACAGCTGCTTTGCAATACAGGACTCCGGTCTCCTCGCCGCCAAAGGAGAGATGTGCATCCTGGAATTAGGATTTACTGTGTACTTGATTTATAAAAAGGGGAAAAAAAGGGACACCCTAACTCATTCCAGACCGTGCGAATGTGCTTTACTCGTCACTGCGTTCTTCCTATGTAGGAAGCGCAGCAGCTGTTCGGGGAATCCTGCCGGGGAAAACAAAACGAAAGTTGAATTCTTAGGAAAGGCGTGTGTGAGGCGGAAAGGCGTGTTTAGAGTGAATCAGCAAACCCCCTTCTCTACCCAGAAATATGCCCCGCTGTGTTCATGGCTGTTGTCGCCTGAGTGTCGGGTGAATGACTTCTCCTTGGATAAGCAAGGAGGGGTGAAACTAGAGAGAGTAGCGGCGCGGCAGGTTCCTCTGTCTTTCTGTAACTTCGGTTTCCTTCTTGGGTGGAGCATCCTCTAGCAAGGGTGGGGAAACGCCAGGTTTCCCGGATCTTCTTCAGTCTTTACCAAAACTCCCAAGACTCACCATCTAACAGTACTGTTAGAATTAAGGAGCAGGATGCTTCAGAGCTTATGGGCAGACCTAGGATTTGTTTTCAGTATCAGAATTGTCCTACAAAACCCACTCCTTGTTTTCCCTCCCCCTTAGCTTTCTTAATCTCCACAGCCTCATTCAGAAGAATTTTTAAAATCACATTTTTTTTGCTTCTGTTAAACCTGTGGATTCTGGGCTATCTTCTGCCTACCCCAGCCTTTTAGCATGTGGCAATCCACTAGGAAAAAAATATTGATAGGGATAGTAATTCCTGAAAGTGTTTGGATCCTAGTATCGGGGCTTAGATTTAGTTTCAATTTTTTTACATTTTGTGATTTGAAAGATACTGAATTTCACTCAGAGCCTGCCTGCCTGCCACAGTTGGGTAATGGGAAGGATTTATTCCCAGGAACATTGGCTTTTAAGCCGCCTCTTTTATGTATCTTGGCTTGCTTCCAGGAGATCTCTGAAGCTACTTGCTATGCCAGCACCTTTCTCCAGTACACATTCCCGTTTTTGGCACACTTCTATCTGAAATCTGTAGGTCAAGAGACTAGGGTGGGTGGGTGTGATTCCATTTATCAGAAGCCTGGGATCTAGCTCCCTTGACCTGCTGAATGTGTAGCAATTTAAAGCACTTTTGCGCGCGCACACACACACACACGTTACATTTGTGGTTGCTGCTGCTTTTGGCTAAAACCTTGAGAGTAAGGTAAGAAAGGCCAGCACCTGCTCTTGGTGTGAAGCCATTGGCTGTACATCATTGAAGAGTTAATAGAATACCACCTTTATTAACAGTTTAAAGAAAACTGGCTATATATTATTTTTGTATTAGCTTTTGAAAACTATTGTGAAGGAGCACTTACCTTAACAGAGTTCTACAGGAAGCATCTGCAATGTTGTGTGTGGTTTTGGTGGCTTTGCTTGTGACAGCTGTAAGTGCATCTGTTGCACAAACAAAAGCACACAACTAAATGGGGCAGAAAATGTAGGCTCAACTTTACAGTAACAAATAGGGTTAGCTAATAATCTCTATAATGGCCCAGTCTCTGATTCAATGAAGTAATCCTCTTAATAAAGTAGCTGCTGTTCTTCTCTTTCTGGAACTCTCAAATCAAAATAATTAACTTGCTTTCAATCTCCTTTCCCCCGACAAATTGACTCCAGATGCTTCACAAACTACATACTTAAACTCTTATTACTGGCACAACAGCTCCCACTCTGCTTGTAAAGAATCTGAAAACGGGAATTTTCTCAATTAAGGGCTCAATGTTTTCAGACTTTCTATTTTTAGAAACTCTATCAGAGTTTAATAGTTTCAGTGGTTTTTAGTCTGATTAATAGCATGTGCACACGCCCTTCATGCATGCATAATATATTTATTTATTAACAGTATTTATTTGCTGATTTATAACATCAATTGTACAAGTGATGGATTGCTGCTATTGGCTGATGCTCGCATGGGTGGGGTGAGAAATGCACAATGAGGGGGGCAGCAAGGAATGGTGGTGGAATTCAAACTAATGGAGGATAGTGACATATTCTTACCAACCTGTGGAGGTGGCTTCTCTTTTAGCTCCCTTAAGAGAACAACTGTTGCCTTTATACGTTGGGCTGCAGGAAGCTAAGGCAAAACCACAAGCTTCTGTGGTCAGCACTGAAAAAGCCTGGGGAAAGTGCTGAGCGTTCATTTGATCAGTACATTTTAATTGTTCAAGCTGTTCTGTCTTTAAAAAGTCTTGTTGACATTTTCAAGGAAAAATAAATAAAGCAAGATCACACCTAGATGCAATTCTATATTAGAATCTAAAGTGAGAGACAAGTTGTTGTGAGGGCAGGGGATTGCTTTTAGTTCAGGCCTAACAAAGAAAGCTCGGTTATTAAAACACAGGTGTGCATGAGCAACATTTCCAGACTGGCAAAAATGGATAGGAGTAAACTAGACATTCTTTAACTGCATTCAGATCTAACACCCCAGATATGGTATACGTAGTTCTCTAATACCATATGTGTGCCAATGAATTGACTGGCTATATTTTTTTTTTACAACTTTCATTGCATTCATGGTTACTAATATGATTTCCCCTCTTTCTGTGTGAAGGGAAAGGCCATACACTTTATTCTGAGGTAGCAGTACAGCATTTTAAAAACAAACAAAAAACACACCATATACCGTATTTTTTGCTCCATAACACTCACTTTTTTCCTCCTAGAAAGTAAGGGGAAATGTCTGTGCGTGTTATGGAGCGAATGCCTACGGATGGCGGGGGGATCTGCAGTCGTGAGCAGAGGATCCATGGTTCCCCTTCCTTCCCTCCTCCGTGGCTCGCTTTGAAACAGCAAAGCGGAAGAAGAGCCGCTGAGTGGGGAGGAGAGAGGGACAGAGAGCCTGCTTGCTTTAAAGGAGCAAAGCGGGAGAGGAGAGGAGCCTTCTCCTCTTATACCCCTCTTCTGCATTATTAGCAGCATCCTTCTCCACCCACCCCACACGTGCTCCTTGTCCCTTGAGTGCTTTTCCTTCCCTTCCCCCTTAAAACGTGGTTACAAAGCACGGATCTACATGGATCCTCAGGATTTTTGCACTGGGTCACCCAAATTCACCATCAGATCACATAGCATGTTCATGGCTACAGCTTGCACCAAAAAAATCATGCACCCACTATTGCTTGGGGCCACAGTGGTGCAAAAACGTGGTTACAAAGCATGGATCCACATGGATCCTCAGGATTTTTGCATTGGGCTACCCCAAACTCACCGTCAGATCACATCTGTGGCCACAGCATGATCCAAAAAAATCATACATCCACTGTTTCGTTTAGAATATTTTTTTTCTTGGTTTCCTCCTCTAAAAACTATGCGCGTGTTATGGTCGGGTGCGTGTTATAGAGCGAAAAATATGGTATTTCAGGTAATCCCAATTCCCCATCACAGGCCTAAACAGTCTCTTTTGTTCAGACATAGGCAACCTCGGCCCTCCAGAGGTTTTGGAACTACAACTCCCAACATCCCTAGCTAACAGTTCCAGTGGTCAGGGATGATGGGAGTTGTAGTCCCAAAACATCTGGAGGGCTGAGTTTGCCTATGCCTGCTCTTGTTAGTGGAAGGAGAATGAATGAATGAATGAAGTGTTTGTTGATGGTGTACATGAAAACTTGATGTCCTGTCAACCTTTGTAGGAAAATACTAGCCAGGAATATTTTTATAGTCACCATCATCATGTTATATAATTTCCAGTTGGCCACTCTTGCAAATAAATCCCCCAAAGTTGCTACCTGCATTTTTGTGCATGCTTGTGTAATCACTTGTGATATATAGCTATCTGGGAAAGAAAGCATGTGTACATTTTTTAAACTTCATGGGAAGATGGTTGTGAATTAGTTTGTCCTGTTTTGCAATTGAAGTGGGTGATACAAACCCTGCATTTTAATGGTTAAGAGCCTGTGATGTGTGTCTAGGACTGGCAGTGTATTAATCCCTGATTTAGGAACCACACCCAGTCCCCTTTGCCCTACTGTAGACTTCCAGGACAAGTTACAACAAAAATAACTCCTCTTCTTTTTCCAGCTGTGCAATTTGTGCCAACCATATTGCATAAGTGTTCAGGGAGAAGCTAGGATGGTCATTTGAGGATCAGGAGCAGCAGCTTTCAGTCCATGGAGTGTTTGAAAGGCATATAAGTCAGGCACTGCCCAGCAAAGCCCCTTGACTGGCAGTGGCCATGCCCACACTGGAAAGGCAGGGAAGGACACAGTATCTTCTTAGAGCATGGTGCTGATAATGCCAAGATGGCAGGTTCAATCCCTGTATGGGACAGCTGCATGTTCCTGGGCAGGATAATCCTCGGGGTCCCTTCTAACTCTGTGATTCTATGATTCTATACCCCTCTTACAGTGGTATCTTGCTTCTCAGGCTTAATCCGTTCCACAAGTCTGTTCCAAAACTAAGGTGCTCCAAAACCGAGGCGCGCTTCCCATAGAAAGTAATGCAAAATGAATTAATCCATTCCAGACAATTAAAAACAACTCCTAAAATAGCAATTTAACGTGAATTTTACTATCTAACAAGATCATTGATCCATAAAATGAAAGCAATAGACCAGGCTGCAGTCTACTACCCAGTATAAAAAACTGGCAGTGATCTACCCATTGCCATTGGAGGGACGAGCGTGTGGGGTGCATGAAGGAGAAGTTCAAGGGGTGGGGAGGAAAGGGAGGCAAAAGTTCTCTCTCTGAGGAGCCAGTCGGCTTATCTCCCCCTGCCACCCTTTCTGGATCCTTCCCCCCCCCACACACACCCAGCACCCCTTCCTCACCTTCTTCAGGGCTGGCACAAGCAGCCCCCGCCACTTGGGTGCGTTCTCCTCACTGAAGAACTCTTACTGCAGCGGTGGCACCAGCATCCTGCCCATGCCGTCCCGTGCCCTGTGAGGGGATGCTGCAGTAGTCACTTCTGGGGCCGAGCTGCTTGGCGTTGCTCTGGGGCCTGGAGCGGCGGCCATGGGCGACACCCGGTACTGGAGGAAGGGGTGGTTGCTGCGGCGGCACGGCCTTCCCTCGCTCAGCATTGGCCGTGGCTGCTTCCGGGTGTTGCCAGTGGCCAGCGCGGCCTGCGCTGAGTAAGAGAAGCCCAGGTCGGGTTGCAAGTGAGCAGGCAACAGAAGTATGGCACTCAAAATGGAAGTGCAGCCCCCCCCCCCGAACGGAGTACATTCGGGTTCCAAAAAAATTTCGGGTTTGAAGCATTCTGGTTCCCAGTAGTTCGTGAACTAAGCTGTTCGAAAACCAAGGTACCACTGTAATGAGCCTTGTTAAGTCTGGTATAGGAGAGAACCCAGGACACTGTTGACTAAATTCCCCATCTCTTCTCATATTGCTTTCAGCCACGAGTGTCCCATCTCCATCTGGAGCCATCTCTGGAGCTTCTGCCCCCTTCCGACCTCTCTTCAACGATTTTGGGCCCCCTTCGATGGGCTACGTGCAGGTGAGTTTCTACTTTGGAATTGAGGGGGGATCTTGCTGGCTGGTGGAACTAATTGGGAAAACATGGTGCAATGACAAGCATTCAATCTGTGCAAGCATTGCAGCCTGTCGGACATAACAGCCCCTCTTTTACTCCTACTGTGTGCCGTTCTGGGTGTTCACCCCACCAGTCAATTTAGGGAGGCGTGGGGAGAGGAGATGGGAGGAAAGGCCTGCTGCACAAGCGGAAGCCCTTCTTCAGGCCTATCCACTGACGGGGCTCGTTGGGGGAATCCTGCCCAGAGTGCCTTTCACTTTTTCCCTGTCCTTGATCTTACAGGCTATGAAGCCACCAGGTGCCCAAGGCTCCCAGAGCACATACACAGACTTGCTTTCAGTCATTGAGGAGATGGGCAAGGAGATTCGACCTACCTACGCAGGCAGCAAGAGTGCTATGGAGAGGCTGAAGCGAGGTAGGAAGCTTCCTGAGAGATGAGTGCCTTCTGGTCATGGGATGTGGGAGCACATGAAATAAGTCATTCTCGCCCTGCAAGGTCTACGTAAGCCTGGAACTGAGCGAATTTATGAAGTCCCAAATGTAACCTAACCTTCCAAAATGCTCTAGAAACAATGACTCACAAATCAGACATGACACTTGTCCTTTTTTCTGGGCGGGGGGGCGGGGGTAGAATTACTTGTTTGTTAAATTTGTAGCCTGGCTTTCCTCCAAATGCTTCTCAAGGCAGCTAACACCCATAAAACATAATACTCCAGTAAGAAGGCAATAAAAACATTAAAAACTGGTAAGCAAAACAATAAAAATAGCCAGTTAAAACCAATTACAGTTTATTTACACATCAGCTTCTTGACCAAAGATCTATCTATATAAAAAGAATGTTGCCTGCTGGCAGGTCAATGAGAGGCAGTCCCTCTCAGAGCCTGGGAGCAGCCATCAAGAAGGCCCTGTTGTGATTTCTTAAATGTTACTTGCTGTTGTTCATAGCTATAGATTTTGTGAATGACTGGTTTAGCAATATCATCCAATTAACCCTTCATATCAAATTCTTTACCCTTGGAAAGTTAGTTTCAAGCTCTCTGCTTGCCCAGCAGAAATTGAGGGGGAAGTGTCTCCCTTGCCTTAAAGACAACTCCCAATGTAATGGGTCAACTCTGCAATTTTGAATGCAGGTAGCTGCATTATACTGGGAACAGGTAGAACCTGCTGGATTAGCATTTCTGTACCCTTGCTTACAGTAAGGTGTTGACCTACTTTTGCAAGTGGGTTGTCTAGCTGTCCTTTGTACCTTGCTCTGCCTTCCTGCTTGTACCTTTCCTTCTTTTATACAAGCACATTTGTATAAAAGGCTGCACGATACACTTTTTCTACATGAATTAAACTTCAGCATGCATGTGATGACATACACAAAAGCCTGGCATGGGCAAGATATGCTGCAGTTGTCAATTTTGGCAAACAAGGGACTGATGAGTTGGTGCAATGAAACTGATTGCTCAGTGTGTCTTAAGTCTTGTGCCTTTCCTTCGCAGGAATTATTCATGCCCGGGCGCTGGTTAGAGAGTGTCTGGCAGAGACAGAGCGCAATGCCCGAACGTAACAGTCGCTTCCTCCTGGCGCTGCCCCTGGAGGACCCTGGCACTTTCTGGCCAATCAACATTTTGGAATCTGGAGATTTCCCCCCACCCTCACCCCTTCAAATCTTTCCACCAATCAGTGTCTCAAGTCCTAGAACTGTGATCACCTTCAAAGACCTTTACACCAATTGGCGCCTAATAATCTGAAGCTTCTACTGCATCACAGAACTTCCCACCAATTGGCACTCTGGGAGTAGATGCAGAAAAGAGGTTGTTGCTTACACCTTCTGGTCAACTGATGAGAATAATGGCTGGTAGCAAGTCTATGTCTTTATAAATGCAAGGTTTTTTAAAATAAATAAATAAAAGGAAAAGGTTGGAATTTGGATTACCTATTCTTCGCTGTGGTTTTCTATTTTTGCCCCCCATGTGGTGGTGAAGGAAGTAGTCTCTTCCTCACTAAGACATTACCGAGGGCCCATAGTGGAAGATGTGCTTTTTTAGTAAAGCAGCACAAGGCCTTCCCTACCACTTGTAAAAGAAGCCTCAGCCAGCAGTCACTGAGCCTGTATTGGGAAACTTGTAATAAAATATTTCTACTCCTATCTAATCTGTCTGTGCTGTTATTACTGTGTCAAAGCTCCAATCTCTCATGCTGTTCTGTAAAGTTGTCCCAAATTCCTCCTCCTCCATTTTTGTTGGTTTTTGAGGGTATTGTTGTTAAGTTTCCGGTTGCTTCTGCTTTTAACCAAGGAAAACCAAGCCAGGTTCTTTAGAAGAGGCCTAACTTGATGCCTGTTTTCGCACTCGGTACCTTCATTGCAGAAGTGATTATCTCCAAACCAGAAATGAAACTAGCCTTAGTGTCTCAGTACAAAATTGGTTTTTGTTTCATATGACTCTTACTCAGGATTATACTGGCCTCCTGTTTCATTCCCAAGGTTGTTACTGGGACAAGGCTGGATGCTATGAGCATAGCTAGGTTCTATGAATGGAGCATGGGTCTCCAAAGCAAGGTGTGTCCGAGATTTGCATGTAAGAAGTGGCTAAGAGTGGCTTGCTCATGCCTGCTAGCTGTAGAAAAAGAAGGTTGGCATGAGGATTGAGCAAGAATCTATGAGTAAGTAAGCACTCTCTTTCTATCTGGATTCTCTTTCACAAATGGCCTGCCTTCACGTTAAAGCTGGGAGGTAAACTTTGGTTGTGTGTTTGCTGGCGTAAAGTGTCCTTCAGCCCTTAAGGCTACTACGGACTGGTAATTCACGATGTGCCCAAAGGTGAGATGAGAAGGTGCGTTGTTCTTGAGGAATACCTAGTCTGGGCCACCTTAGAAAAAGGCAGAGGGTGGCAAATATTCCAAACCCGTTTGGCCTAAAATGCCCCTTTTGTTTTCTAGAGACTTTTGGCCACTTGAAAAATGCAGAACAGGGTTGCACATTTGGTCCAAGAATACTTGCTAAGTCTTAAAAGCTTTTATTAGAACTGAAGGGGGATTAAGAGATTTTTATACTGCTTCTTGTAATAGTCTTGAGGTGGTGTAAACAATTTAAAATGCAATACAATGCAGTAAAATAAATGCAGCTGAAAGCAATTAAATCAGATGCTGGAGCTAAGCAACAGCAAAGGTTAGGAAACACGTTTTAAGCAGGTGCAGAAATAACATTTTTTCTTTTTAATGCTTTTTTTAAATAAAAAAGTTGAATTATGAACACAGTTTGGTTGGTATAATCCTACTTTGCAAGTAAGCTCTGTTCAGATAACTAAGGCTTACCTGTAAGTAGAGGTGTGTAAAAATGGGTCTAAGGAGTCATCCGAGTAGTTTTGGCTTTTGTGTTTGATAAATTGTCTGACTGTGCAGTAGTATAAACAATATTAAATGCTACCCTTTGAGACTCGCCTTAAGAATGCCCATTTGTACTTTGCCTGCCTTTAATGAGAAGATGCATCCTAGGCATAGTAGGTGAAACAAAATCTCTATTTTGAAAGCTTTTTAAAGATAGCCCTTTTTTTGTGCAGTAGGTTCGCGTTCTGGGGGGTTCTCCTGACCCTCTGGAGCAGATGTGGGGAAGGAGAGCCCCGTTGTGCTGGTGGGATCCCTTGCACTGGCTTCTCTCAGCACACCAGGTTAGTTGAATCCAGGCCTCTGTGTGCAAGTATCTGGGGTAGACCTGTCTCCTGTCGCTCATAATATAGTATCATAGAATCAGAATCTTAAGAGTTGGATGGGACCCCAGGGGCAATCTAGTCCAACCCCCTGTCATGCAGGAATATCAGAACTAGATAATTCCATACCTATATCCACATGGAAGTCAGTACAGTGGTACCTCGGGTTAAGTACTTGTTTCGTTCCGGAGGTCCATTCTTAACCTGAAGCACCACTTTAGCTAATGGGGCCTCCTGCTGCCGCGCCGCCGATGCACGATTTCTGTTTTCATCCTGAAGCAAAGTTCTTAACCCGAGGTACTATTTCTGGGTTAGCAGAGTCTGTAACCTGAAGCGTATGTAACCCGAGGTACCACTGTATCAAAAAATTTCACAGAGGTGGGATGAAGTAATAGTTCCTTTGGCTTGTGACATCCTTTGAGAGTTTGGGAAATGTGAGTTTCCTGCGGCGAAAGCTTAACCTTGAGAGAAACATGCAAGGGACTGCAAAACAAAGTGATAGGCAATATTGTGTAAAAGCCTGAAGGATACAGCTGCAGTTAAATATTTTTCATTAACCAGGCTACAGTGCTAAGCCAAAAATCTATGTTCTATGAGATCAATGAGAACCACTACTCTCTTCTTCGATCATTGCATATTGCAGGAAGAAACTCTTTAATATACAAGCAGCCTCTGAATGTGAAATAAAATGTACATGTAGGATTTAATTTCTAGAATGTTAATATTGGATGGAGTAAAATGGTGCTGTTTTAAGTCTTAATGGTGTTACATTAACTGCACTTAATCATTTTGTTAGCTGTTTAGTTTTGGGAAAGAATGTTAGGAAAGGAATGAGGTCACGTGGCTCTTAAGTGAACTGTTTATACTGAGTCGTGATTTGTAGAAATTTGAGATTGGAGGAGGGAGAGAGATGCAAAACGTGTGTACCTTAACCTAAGGAGCAATATTTCCGACTCTGTACACTTATCAGAGACTGAGTCCTGTTTAAATCTGTGAGGTTTATTGATCAAGGTGCAAAGGATCACCCCTCTCAGCCAGTGTTTCTTCCAGGAGTAGGAAGCCTGTGGCCCAGCAGATGTTTTTGGGACTCCCAACTCTCATCAGCCCCACCATGGCCAATAGGTGGAGAAAATAAGAGCTGCAGTATAGCCAGAAGTTACCTGCTGCTGGTGTGTGTGTGTGCACACGCACATTCAGTGAAACAAGTTGTGGACCTTGAAGAATGAATCCTTTGTTAGCAGCAGTTTGAAACAAAGAAATGGGAAGCTGAAATTAGTAGCAAACTGGAATATACCACAGTACATAACAAAATGACCTGCCAAACTATGCCACCACAAAGAACACTATAAAACTAATAGGGATAAAAACAAGATTGTGCTGGAATGTGAATATCCCAGCTTGCAACATTCTGAATCCAGATATACCATAGATTTTGATAAAGGAGTTGTATTGGCAGTTTTCCTTTTACCCTCTTCCTAGTTCTAAAGGTACTCTTGTTCACTTCTGTGTAAACGTGAAGGTCAGGCTGCTTGCTTAGATCCCTTTCCTAAGTACCATAGCTACAAAAAAACTGGAGCTCAGCTGGGTGTGGTGTTTTGAGCAAAAATACTCTGGATACAAGGGCTAAATGTGAAAACATAAATTCCTTGGGAAGTGGCAATGTACTAAATATGCAAAAGGTTGGATCTAAATTGAACCTTGCCTAGTAATGTAAGTGTATTTACTCTGAAAAGGGACTTGCTGTTAAAAGAGTTGCCCATTACCAAATTGGAATGCTGTAGTTCTGAAATCAGCTGAACTGGCATTCAGTGGAGGTTAAAATAATGTGCTTTTGTTCTCTATTGTCCTCAACAATAATAGGAAGGTGAATGAGAAGAATATAGGCTTGTTATTTTTCTTTTTAAGTATTTGCAAAAAAGAAAAAGAAAAAAGCTGTACTATATGGTGGGAAATATGACAGTAAGTTGTATGGCAGCTTGTTCCTTCATCTGGCATAAACACTGGGGCTGTTATTGGACATGGGATATATGTCTGAATGCTGGATTAATGGAAAAAGTGATATTTCTGTTACTTACACAACAGTATGAGTGTAATGCTTGTTTTGCTAATCTTCTACAACCTCTCATACACATAAACGCTGCAAGGCTTATTGGAGACCTTCAGTGCACTCAGTGGGATGGAGGGGCGCTGTGATTCTAAGCAGGCAGGGGGTGTGCGGGGCTTTGTCAGAGCGATGAAAGCTGCATCTAAAAGTCAGCGAGAGAGACAATCTGCTGGCGATCAATTCCATTTTGACAGTTCAAATGTGGGTCTAACGCAAAAGTCTTCCAGAGCTGAGTGCGGCTTAAAAAAAAATAAACCATGGGTGTTTTTTAAATATATATAATGTCGATCATTGGGGGACTTGCGCACAAATATGTTCTGGAGCCTTCTTTAGCTGCGACGCCGCTCCACAGCTGCCCGTTCTTTTGGGTTATTGGCGTCACCAGCATCTTGACGTCATTGGCGTTTCCCGGGTAATGAGCTGTGATGTCACAGGAGGAGGGGTGGGAGAGAAGAACGCGCGCGCTGAGTTCCCCCCGCCCCGCCTTCCGAGCTACGGGGCGCAGTTTCTATGGAAACCTCCGCCTGTGCTAAAAAAGGACTGGGTTGGCAAGCGGCCTCGCTCGCTCCTACGAGTCTCGAATCCAAAGCCTGGAGGGAACCCCGGGGCTTAGGCATCCTCCCGCGGCCCCCGCTTGCGCGCTGCTGGATTGCATTGCTGCTTCGCGACACCTCCTCGGCTGCGTGGTGTGTGCTTGCATCCCAAGCTCTGCGCATAATAAACGTGACTCTACCGCCGCCGGCCCGTCCCCTCTACCTGGAAAGATCCCCGCCCTCGAGGCGCCACACTGCAACTGCTCCCCCCGCTTCTCCGCCGCCTTGCACGGAGCCTGCCTCCTCCCGCTGCCCCCACCACCTCTGCACTCCTTCACACGAGCCGCGTTTCCTTCCCCTGCCCGATCCCCTCCCAGTCACGCTCTCTCCTCCCCCCTCCTCCCCAAGCAAGGACGGCGAGACTGCGGCTGAGCGGGCGCGCTTCTCTGCTGCGGCGACGCGGACGGCCCGGCTAGCTTCGCCTGTCCCTGCCCGGACGAGACCCCCGCCTGCCTCCCGGGCCGCCCCCATCGCCCGCCCAGCCCCACATCATGATCCCGCCGCGGGAGCCGATGCCCGGCCGCGCGCGAGTAGCGCGGAACAGCGCGAGGATGGGAGCGGGGGGGCAGACTCTGTGAGGCCGGCGCTCCCGGCTCCTTCGCCCCCGAGCCCCGTCGCAGGCAGCATACCGCTGCTCACCCCGCCGCCGGCAGCCCTCCAGCGAGCCACAGGTCTGGGCCCGGGAGCGGGTGGCGGCCGTGTGGGTCCACGCAGGGCAGGGAGGCGAGGGAGCGGGACTGGGAGCCCGGGAAGAGGCGTGTGCATGCTTGGGGTGCAGAAGGAGCGCGGGGAGCTGCAGAAGGCGCTACGGGGGGCCCCGCAGGGAGAAGTGGGCGCGCTGCCTCCTGGGCCCCTGAAAGTGAAACCATGTGGCCCAGCGCGTCTTCCCCACTTCTGGAAACCGCTGTAGGGTAGGATTGGAACTCAGTGCCGACCGCTCTGTGGGGCTTAGGTGGCCCCGTTCTGCCGCGTCTGGGAGGATCTCTGCCCTGCGTGAAGGGATGTGGCGCTAAACGACGTACATTCAGCCTGGCTTCTCTGGCTCGCCCTGTGAGTTTGTGGGCTTTGCTGAGGCTTGCCTCGAGCCTTGGTTCAAATGTTTGCTGGAGTTTCGCTACTCGAAGCCTGGGCTTAACGGAATCTTGGCTGCTGGGCGGGGATGCGCTTGAACTGCTGCCTCTTGAGTTGCTCTGTCAGGTTGCCATCATGTGCCTTGTATGTCCTAAAATGAACGCAGGAGCTGAAGGCTTCGCAAGCGGTTGGGTAAACAGCACCTTCTAACTTCGACTGTGCTAGGATTAATGAAGGTGTCGTGGGAAAGGGATAGCGACACTTTATTTTTTTGGTCAGGGCAAGCATATTGAAACCCCGGCTGTTAGGTGGGAGTGAGCTCAGTGTTTCTTGAGGCGAGTGTGCTTTGTGGCAGCTTTGCTTCCGTTCTCCTTCATGAGGAGAAAAACATCGATTTGGAGCTCAGTACGCCAAGAGGCAAACAAAAATTCATAGCGTCCTGAGTTTAGGGCTAAACTACTGAAGACCCTGCAATAAAATCCTGCATATGTTTACTCAGAAGTATGTCAGATGGATGCTAGTGTAGACTTTCCCCCAGCAAGTGTGCTTAGTAAACTGCAGTTCTGCAGCCGAATCCCAATGCATAAGTAATGTTGCAATCCTAAGCCCTAACTCCACTTACCTGGGTGTATACTGCTCGGGATTGAGCAGACAGGGTGAAGATGGCACTCCAAGTGTATTTAGGATTGAACCTTAAACATATTCCATCCTGTTATCTATCATCTTTCTACTCACCATTTAAATGCTGACAGTTATTTGGTCTGGATAAAAAGAGAGCATGTTCCCAACAAGTGTGTGTGCATATGTGCATGTGTAGGCTGGAATTTGAACTGCTGAGGCTGGGAGATTTGCAGAAGAAAACAAGATGCATATTAAATGCGTAGCTGGCCAAGGGGATTGCTTGCATCTGAGACATGAGAGTGCTTGGGCATGAAGTTATTGCTGGACATGACTTTATAAGGGAATATGAAATTCTGTTAAGAGGCATGCTGGTACAATTTGTGGGAACAAACCAACTTCATATGAAACATGAATAGGGCACTGTGTTCACTCTTTAATCTTTTGACTCAGGCATGGTTCCACCCCATTCTCCCCCAAAACAATAATTTCTCTCCAAGGTCTCAGGTGATCACAACTGGAGATGAGAATATTGTGTGAAATGCACATGAAGAAGTTTCTCTGGTGGTGCTTCAGTGGAAGGGTTTTGTTTTCAAGCTCAGAATCTTAAATACTGAGCCTTGGAAGAAGTAGGGCTTGCAAATGATTATTGGGTAGTGAAGGAGCCTGGGGTAGGATGTCACCTCCCCTTGGAGCCAGCAACACAGCAGGGATGCCTTTGAGCTGCCTCCATGTGTTATGCTCAGCCCACCTTTTCCCATACAGACATCTCTGGCAATGCTACAAGTTGCTGACTAGTGCTTACTGCCCATGCTGCGTTATTTTGAATACGATGGTGGGCAGTCTTCTGACAACTCACAGCGCTGTTTTCAGGATCTGGAGTGCAAGGATTTGTGAGGACTGATGTAGTGTAGCAGATAAAGTGTGAGATGTGAGTCAAACACCTCTTCCTGCAACTTCAACTCTTCGTATGCATGGGGATTATAACACTGGACAGCCTTGCAGGGCTGTTGCTTAGATTACTGAGATAATTTATGTTATGTTTTGAAATGCTTTAAATGTGCTACATAAATGCTTAAGTATTCTTAAGGAAAGCTGAGTATTGGTGCAAAGTGCAAGGGCCAAGAGGCAGAGCAGGAGGATGTGTGGGCATGGCAGGGAACATACAGGAGAACTGTCCACTATTAAAGTTGCAGACTTTTTTTCCTGGCAGGACTCCTGTGCCTTTAAAGGTTTCATGATAGACAGAGATTTGGGCTGCACACACACCCCTGCCAAGAATCCTGGGAACTGTAGTTTGTTAAGGGTGCTGAGAATTGTAGCTCTGTGAGGGGTAAACTATAGTGCCCGGGATTCTTTGGAGGGGGAGGGATGTGATTAGAACAGGGGTCAGCAAACTTTTTTAGGAGGGGGCCGGTTCACCTCCCCTCAGACCTTGTGGTGGGGCGGACTGTGCGCATGCATGTGTGCATGCAGCGGAGGGAGGCATCTCTCTCCCCCCTCCTCTCCCCCTGCTTTCCTACCTCCTCCGCCACTCTGCCTGCGGTTGGGAGCCAGTGGCCGTGGCGGCACCCCTCCTATCCAGGCCACATTTCCTGGGCGCCAGGTGCGGGGCCAGCTACACTGGTTTTATTTCTGCCTGCCATGCGGTTGTAAAAGCCATAGGAGGAGACAAAAAGATGGTGATTCTAAGTCTTTGCCAAGGTGGTTTACAACGTGCCACAAAGCAAGAACTTGAAGTGCAAGGTTTGGATTTGTAGGGCAGTCCTATACATGTTTTAACACCACTGGGATAGTTCAGTCAGTAGAGCAGGAGACTCTTAATCTCAGGTCGTGGGTTCGAGCCCCACTTTGGGCAACTCTACAATTCTATGGTTCTAAGAGGTGCTCCGTAATGAACATGTTTAGGATTGATGGCAAGGTACATTCATGACTTGAGCAACTCCATACTGTGTGGGAAGGCAGAAGACCCCAGCCTTAGAGAAACAAGCAGTTTGAAGTTTGCTGATGTAGTAACAGAGGTAAACATAAGTGTAAGGGCAGTGTGGAGATGCATAGGCGGGAGGAGTGGAGAGTGTGTTGGATCTGCCTGTTGCATAGGCAGGTTGGAGCAAGCTAGGTGGACTTCAAACCTATGGGATCTGCTGTGTTTTTTTACTAGAACCCCAAAATCCACCAACCAGTGCCAGGTACAACTAGTGGCTCAGCCAGGTGGACATATGCTAAGGATGGAGGAATAGGGTGCTTTGTCTGAACGCATGCTCAGCACAGGAATTAGCAATCAGTACCAAAACCTAGCACAGAAGTCCTTTCACACAAAATTCCACCCCTCGGTCCCCACATAAACAACTACCTGACTTTTAGAAGACATCTGAAGGCAGCCCTGTATAGGGAGGTTTTTAATGTTTTATGTTTTACTGTGCTTTTATCATTTGTTGAACGCTGCCCAGAGTGGCTGGGGCAACCCAGTCAGATGGGCAGCACATAAATTTATTATTATTAACATTAATATCCAAGAACCTAATGTAAGGGTGAGATGAGGGACTTTTTACTTCTTGCTATTATTAGACAACTGTGAGTCAGAAACCTTTGCCAGTCAACCAGAGAACTGGTAAGTGCTGCTGATATGCTCTCTGCTCACCCTGGGGTTAAAGGACTCCAGCGTCCAGCAAGGAGTGGAGCGTCAAAATGGTGGCACTTCTCTCTGGCTCCCCACCGCATTTCCTTTCCAGTGTGTTGAAACTCCCTAGCCCCTCATTGGCCTACAGTTACTATGGAAACCTACCCAGTGGGTTGTAGTTTGGAATAAGGTCAAATGGGGATTTCTTTCAGGCTTCTCTCCTTCTGAGGAAGCGAGAACATAGTTAAGCGATGCCACCTTTTGTCAGAGAATCCTTGTCACCCTCATATGTAGGTAGTAATTCATCTCAACACATGCCTGTTTCCTCACAGGCTGAACTGAAGCAAAACAAAGCGCCTGTGTGGGGTTCATGAAATTATTCAGATAGGTGAAAAAGCAAAAACATTGACACAGTGCATGGGACAAAATGTCCCCCTCAAAGGAAATGAGATCTCTGTGGTAGATGTTCTGGGAGGCACTATTGTTCACATCTCAGTTGCCTTCAGCTGCCTTAACCTCACCTTCCCAGTTGAACCACATTTCCTCTCTAGGAAGCTGCCATACCTTGAGTCAGATCATCAGACCATTGCTCCATCTAGTTCAGTATTGTCAACACTGACTGGCAGAAGCTCTCCAGGGTTTCAGGGAGGCCTCCGAGCCCTACCTGGAGCTGCTGGGAATTGAACCTGGGACTGTAACTAGATCCCTCAGTGCACAGTGGCCACTCACATAGCTCTCCCATCTCTGTCCTGGCTGCGTGTACTTACACCCTGCTCTGCTTCGACTCACAGAGCCTGACTGCCAAAATGCTGATCAAGGAATATCACATTCTGCTGCCCATGAGCCTGACAGAGTACCAAGTGGCTCAGCTCTACATGATTCAGGTAACCTCGGTGTTGAATGAGCTGGTGGGTGCCTGCGTCAGATGGGTGTGGCTCAAGCCCTGTGATCGACAGGGCTGGGTGGGTGGGGGTCAGAAGCTGAGCAGGGCTGAGTGATGCAAGAGTGGGGTTGTAGGGTGAGGGATGTTGTGGGGCACAGGCTGAGCAGAGCTGGCTCTCGTGCTCCCTAGAAGAAGAGCCGTGAGGAGTCGAGCGGCGAGGGCAGTGGGGTGGAGATCCTGTCCAACCGGCCCTACAGCGATGGCCCAGGCGGCAGCGGTCAGTATACACACAAGATCTACCATGTGGGCTCTCACATCCCTAGCTGGTTCCGTGCCCTCCTACCCAAGGCAGCTCTGCAAGTGGAGGAAGAGTCCTGGAATGCCTATCCTTACACGCGCACCAGGTAAAATGGGGGCAAACCTTGGCAGGGGAGGGGGAAAGCTGAGGGGGCTGTATCCTGACCAGAGGCTGGGGCCTGAGAGCTCAAGGCAGGTGGGGGCAAGGCTGCCAGTTTCACCGCCTTCCCCCTGCAGATACACCTGCCCCTTTGTGGAGAAGTTTTCTATTGAGATTGAGACCTATTACCGACCAGACGCTGGGAAACAGAACAATGTCTTCAACCTGAGTGCTGTGGAACGCAGGCAAAGGATTCTGGGTGAGTGTTCAGAGATGGGGCATCCCCTCCCCTTTTTGTGTTATGGAGGATGTTGCTGGACATGTTGGTGCTGCCATACAGAGTACCTGGGGCAGGGCAGGTGGGTGAGGCTAGTGAGGGATCTCTGGTGATGTTTTGTGGTGAGGCGATTTAGGTTCAGGTTTAGTTCATTGCATGTAGTGTGTCTTTCCTGTAGGGGATGGGTGGGGAACCTCCCCTGCCTTGCCCCACCAGGTTCCCTTGGGGGAAGGTGGTCAGCACATACAAGCAGAAGACAGGGCTAAATGCATACGCAAGTGCACACCCTGTTCTCCCTGGCTCTCACACTCACACGCCCCATTCATGTGCACACATGTTAAGAATTCAGGACCGGAAGGAGGAAAACGGGACTCCTAACAGAAGGTGTTCAGGAGGAAGAGGCAAAGGAATGTCTTTGCTAGGGGTCTGAGCAGACTCTGGGACTTGGGAGGGAAGGGCAGGCTCCACATCGGAAGGAAATCTGTCTTACTTTCTGACGGAGGCCGGGGGCTTGCTTCCAACTCACCCCCCCCTCTGCTTACTCACAGACACAATTGACATTGTGCGGGACCCCATCTCACCCGGCGAATACAAGGCGGAGGAAGACCCACGGCTTTACCACTCAGCCAAAACAGGACGTGGGCCTTTGGGAGATGACTGGCTGGAGAATGCAGCCGCGGGACCACTCATGTGCGCCTACAAGCTTTGCAAGGTGGAGTTTCGCTACTGGGGCATGCAGTCCAAGATTGAGCAGTTCATCCATGATGTAGGTAAGCTTATGAGGATGCTGCCCACTTTCCCGTCTGCTACAGACTTACCAACGAGTGGGTTGGGCTAGGGCAGCAGTGGGGAACCTGTGGACCTCTTGAGGTTGCTGAACTCCCATCATCCCTGACCACTGGTACCATTTCCTCACACTGGCAGTATTCAGTCAGTACTTCTCAGCTGAACTGTCCCTTCTGTTCACACTTCACCAAAGCTGTTTTGGTGTGAAATTGGGTTTAATAACTGCCCAAAGATCCAGCAGCAATTCCAAGCGTCTCTTGGAAAACTTGCATTGAAGGAGTAATTTGGGATGTTTCAATATTCAGTGTAATTTTGTTTATCTGATATGAAAAGGAATGATTGGATTGCCTGTTATTTTCAAAGGCAGCATCCTCTCCATATTCCTCTACTAGTTGCAAGGGATAATGCAAGTGTTTATTTGTGGCCCACACCTTCTAAACCAGGCTTCCTCAACCTCAGCCCTCCAGATGTTTTTGGCCTACAACTCCCATGATCCCTAGCTAGCAGGACCAGTGGTCAGGGATGCTGGGAATTGTAGTCTCAAAACATCTGGAGGGCTGAGGTTGAGGAAGCCTGTTCTAAACAAGTGGGAACCATAACTGCAATTCCTGTGGTCTCCGTTGAGATGATGGGCTGCCTTTCTTCACACCACTGCCACAAGTACTGGCCAGTCTGCCTCTGCCAAAGCTCTGGAGTTAGCCTCAAGATCTGGCTGAACCAAGGGCCAAGCGAGGGATCTGATTTGTTTGCTCTTTGGTGTGTGGGATGCACTTCCTGATGCTGCTGTTCTCCAAGTGTTGTGCAGCCCCACCCCTCAACAAATTGGAGGTGGTATCCCAGTGAGCTGCTCATGTCCTGGGAGAAAGCAGGCAGGTAGTTGAAGAAGGACATTGCGAGAGAGGCAGCAAGAGTACCTGTGACTTAGAGAGAGAGAGAGAGAGAGAGAGAGAGAGAGAGAGTCATGCTGACAAAAGAGGGACTGGTGCCAAGAGCACAATTAAAGTAGGGCTCAAAGTGCAAAAGTCTCTAGGAAAGGTGGCAGGACAGAGGTGCCATAAAATAGTAATTGGCTATTAAGCTCAGACACAGTTTGTGGGACCCTTGCTTAGGTCATGCTATGGGATATGCTATAGAAAATCTCATCAAAACTGTGTGGTAGGCTCATAAAGGAAAACTGTGCGTAACAAATGAAGCAGAGTTAGAATCTGTCCTTTTTTAGAAACACTATGCAAATTAGTTCCTGGCGTGTCCTGAATTTGAATTTGTGTTTAATCTTGCACCAGCAACTTCCAGCTTTGAAGTGGTGCCTAACCTTGCACCAGCAAACACCCCACTGCTTGCTTGCTTGCTTAGCTTGGTCCCTGCATGCTACAATGATGTTAGTGGTGTGAAGAATTATGAGGGAGGCAAACTGTCTCCATGGACTGTGTATAGATTTTTCACTTGGTTTGGAGCGCAGAGCTCTGAATTTCCGAGACAGAGACTTCAGATTGAAATAATTATCTGTGAGAAATTTTGTTCACTCTAAATGTGAAGCTGGATTGCCAAAAGTTTTATCTCACTTGAACTTAAATGAAACTCTTTTCATTATGATTTTCAAACAGTACAAATACAATTAATACTCAAACGAAAACTAAAAGGGGAAAATAAAAATAGGGAAAGGGGACACGAGGAAGATAGATGGGTTAAAGTGCTTGACCATACAAATGGGAAAGATAAATAGTAAAGAACCGCTGGCTACAATACATAAGTCTCAAGAAAAGCTGACTAAATGTTCTTGTATTTATCTTCTTTGCGTTTGGTGTTGATAAATTGCCAGTTCATAGGAGGGCAAGGGAGTGTTAATCCATTGTTATGTGAAAAGCAGCAACTGCTTCCCGTGTTAAAGCACTATGTACTTGACTGACCCTAATGTATGCATAATCCATAGTCCATGGCATAATAATAAATTCTAAGATGTGTGGATGTTATTCCTGAGGAGTTGCTGGGTTAGCCTCTTGCAGCAAAAACAACAGAGCCATGTGGCATCTTAAAGACTAACAAATTTACTGTGTCAATGCTGGACCCTTTCATGCATCTGATGAACTGGACACTAGTCCACTAAACCTTGTGCCACAATGAATGTGTGAGTCTTTGAGATGCATATCTTTGAAATGTAGTGAGATTTCCAGGACTAAATTATCAATTGCCAAGATTTCACTCCAAAGGGCTTATAACTGGGTAGGTTTGCAGCCTGTGGATAAGGAATCCAATTTCTGTCCCACATCTCCAGCACCTCTGGTATGAGTTTCTGCTCAGTGATAAAGTTGGGAAAAATTGAAACTTTCCCCCTAGTAATTCCCTTAAGGAAAAATCATGGTTTAGCTCCAATCTACATGGAATCTCAGTTTTACAACACTTAACTTTGTCGCACAAATTTAGTGCATATGTGTGTGAATTGGGTCTAAGTCTTCTTTGATATTCCATGAAAGCCTGCCCAAATTCAACTGTACTATATTGTCAGAATACTTTTTGATGCCAGTGTTTCCAAGTAAGTAAGGGAAACAGCAATTCAGTTGTCATGTCGGGGGTGGGGGTGGGGGACTCCACAGGGGAGTGCAAAACCAAAGGCACAAGATCTGATTTGCTCCACTTAACAGAATAGCCTGATGATGTAGCTGAATTCTTGAATGGAGCCTGTTGAAGCAAGAATTGCTTTTGTCAGATCTGAAACAAAAACCAGTGCACTATCTGCATGTAATCCCAACTTGAATTCCTCCCATACCGGCCCCCAAATTTAAGCCCTTGGTCTCATCAAAATTTCAAATGGCCAATGGTTCCAGGAATAAATTTAAAAAAAGGTGTAAATGACCATCCCAGTTGAGTAACCCTTTGCAGCAAAAACGGTTGTGAACAGATGCCATTTGTGATGACACAGGTGTTAGGTGTGGTATAAAGAGTTTCTATCTATGCAGAAATTCTTTTTGGAGGGTGGGGAGTCCAAAGGCTGACAGGATGGCTTGTATGGATTTCCAATTGATTTGGTGGAATGCCTTTGGAGGATGGATGGCGGCTAATGGATTGAAGTTGAATCCTGACAAGACAGAAGTACTGTTTTTGGGGGACAGGGGGCGGGCTGGTGTGGAGGACTCCCTGGTCCTGAATAGGGTAACTGTGCCCCTGAAGGACCAGGTGTGCAGCCTGGGAGTCATTTTGGACTCACAGCTGTCCATGAAGGCGCAGGTCAATTCTGTATCCAGGGCAGCTGTCTACCAACTCCACCTGATACGCAGGCTGAGACCCTACCTGCCCGCGGACTGTCTCGCCAGAGTGGTGCATGCTCTAGTTATCTCCCGCTTGGACTACTGCAATGCGCTCTACGTGGGGCTACCTTTGAAGGTGACTAGGAAACTACAACTAATCCAGAATGCGGCAGCTAAACTAGTGACTGGGGGCGGCCGCCAAGACCACATAACACCGGTCTTGAAAGACCTACATTGGCTCCCAGTACGTTTCCGAGCACAATTCAAAGTGCTGGTGTTGACCTTTAAAGCCCTAAACGGCCTCGGCCCAGTATACCTGAAGGAGCGTCTCCACCCCCATCGTTCTGCCCGGACACTGAGGTCCAGCGCCGAGGGCCTTCTGGCGGTTCCCTCATTGCGAGAAGCAAAGCTACAGGGAACCAGGCAGAGGGCCTTCTTGGTAGTGGCGCCCGCCCTGTGGAACGCCCTCCCATCAGATGTCAAAGCGATAAACAACTACCTGACATTTAGAAGACATCTTAAGGCAGCCCTGTTCAGGGAAGTTTTTAATGTGTGATATTTTAGTGTATTTTTGGTTTCTATGAAAGCCGCCCACCCAGCCAGATGGGCGGGGTACAAATAATAATAATAATAATAATAATAATAATTCTCTGTATCTATCGACAAAATTGCTTCTTTTTATTATCTCAGCAAAGGGTTATCAGATCTTTTAGCAGCTTTGTGTTGTCTGTGCCTTGGCATTACGGATTGCCTGCTTCTTCAGGGGGAACTGAAAGTAGAAGCAGCCTGCTGCAGGCGTTTAGCTAAGATGTCAAGGTTTTATTTATTAAAGAAATAGACTGATCATTCACATATGACAATAGATCCTTCATGACTTGATGAAGCACCAAAATATAAGCTTCTCTGAGTGATGGTTCCTTTATGAACCATCCGACCAGATGGTTCCTTGCCAGAAGCAGTACGCTTAATTTGCTTTTGCATTGTTTATTAATTGCCTCCAGGGAAATGTTGGGTGAGGTGATAGGGTGGTGAAAAGGAAGGCATGGCATTGTCAGATAAGAGTTTCTTCCAGTATGACAGACAGGATTCCTGCCTGCTTTTACCCATAGATATTTCCTGCAAAAACAGTGTGGTTATTGGATTTTGGCTTAGGCTTATTCCTTTTTCAGACTCACTACTGAACTCAGAATTGGGATTGGGCTGTGAGGGTTATGCATGCCTTCTCGCTTCCCTCTCCTGCATTTTACTAGCGAAGGCTGAGGCAAGCTGATATATCATTCACACAGTTAACAATTGCATAAATGGTTTTTAGAACGTGAGTTGCAAGTGCAGGAAGCCCAATCCAGAATGGAGCCCTCGTTCGCGGTGGGGTGGTGACAGCGGCAGGGGTATACCTTTGACCCTTGTTACAGTCCGGAGTGGGGCACCCATGCCTGCTATTTACATTGGTATGGGAAATTTCCCCCCCAATGCAAATTGCTGGCCTAGAACCCCACCCCCACCCCCAATTCAGATTGCGGCTTTAGGCAGGGACAAAGGGTTATAGCCCCACATAGTCTCCATGCCAGAGTTCTGATCTGGAGGAAACCCCCCCCCCCTTTACTTAAAAAATAAATTCACAGTTGCAGATTGAATGGATCTAACTTGGCACTTAACTTTCTGTGCTTTGGGGTTTGGTTTTAAAACCAGCCTTTCAAAAGGAGAGCAGATTCATTCCTAGTCACAATTTTAACCAGGGTTGATGATGGCTGAAATATAATGGCAAGATGAGATAGAGAAGGATAGGTGCGTGCAGCGCTGGTCTGCCCATGAGGTTGAGTGAAGCAGCCACCTTGGGCACCAGAAACCCCTGGTGGAGTGGTTCCCATGCACCCCTGGAAAAGTGGTGCCAGCATTGGTGCTGATTTCTGGCAAGATCTCATCAATCCCGCCAGCAACATGCAACCTAGGAAAGGGATGCTTTGGCAGCATTAGGTCAGGCCGGCACTTCCTGTTTGGCTTCAAGCAGCGAAGCTGAATGTGTGAGTGGGATCCACACACAAGCAGGGATAGGGCATTTAATCCAATGGCCTCCCAATTTTCTAAATTTGGTTTATCTTGTTAATCTGAACTGGACCTTAATGCTTTCCTTAGCTTTGAGGGAAATGGGCGATGGAAACATTTAAAGGTATAATATCTAATGCTGGTATTGTCTCATAATGCACTGGGAGCTGGAGCTAGGCCTGATGATAAAGAAAGCTAATGGTTCCTGGGGGGAGAAGAGCAAGTGGCCCCATGGTTTGTGGCATCCCCTGTAGGTCTGCGGAAGGTGATGCTCCGGGCCCACCGCCAGGCCTGGTGCTGGCAGGATGAATGGATAGATCTCACCATGGACGACATCCGGAGGCTGGAGGAAGAGACGGCACTCATGCTGGCTCAGAAAATGGCCAAGTGCATTGAGCCCGACGCAGGGCCTGCAGTGCCCAGTCCTGAGAGCCCGGCTGAGCTGGGTGGCTGCGAGAAGCAGGACCGAGTCGACAACCTAAGGGCTCCTGATTCCTCTCCAGATGATCCATTTGCCAAGCAGTGGTCGTCGTCTTCTCGGTCATCGTATTCTTCTCAGCATGCTGGTGAGCAGTCATTTCCAGCAAATGGAGGGAGCAAATGGCAGTGTAGCGGGAAGGTGTGAGGAGGATATAGAGGGTTTTCCCTCCTGCCCCTTCTTTTGGGTGTAAGAGAGTTATACTGCTGCTGGAGGTAGGCTTTTGGATGGGCATATTGGAGAGTGTCCATTTTAGTGACACACTTTTTCTCTCTCTCCTTTCCTTTCCTTTCCTCTCCTCTCCCTCATACACCCCAATATTGTGTGTGTGTGTTCACACCCTAAAAGTATGGGGAGACATATCTCCATATGCACGCTTGTACATTTTAAAAGGAAAAAAGTGTAACGGTTCCCTTCTGAAATAAATTTTACCTGCCGTTGTTTGTAATTAAGCTTAATCAATTTCATGGCTCGTTCTCTTGTACTAGATGAACAGTAGCTGCTGCTGCTTTTTTAAATTAGGAAAACAGAGAGGGCAGACTTCCTATTGTGAAACTTCCTCTTCTTAGTCATACAGTAGTAAGCAACCGATGCTGAGTGTCGGAGCTGCAGTAAGGGTGAAATTGCCCCCATTGTTCCACATACATAATCTCCTATATATACCCTAGGATAAGAAGCTAACTGTTGCTTGCATGGGGAAAACTTTGGGGTTATTTTTTAATGTCAGCATTGGGAGCAAGTTAAGCTTGCTTTAGATATGAGGATAGTTTTTGGTTTTTTTACCTCTTGGTCATAAACTCTATGCTTGATGCCCCTACAGCTGGAGTATCTCCTCACAGCTTATCAGAGTGGCGGATGCAAAATATTGCACGGGATTCTGAAAACAGCTCTGAAGAGGAATTCTTTGATGCTCATGGTATGCAGTACTGGGTACAGGAGGGTTCTGTGCACGCATCTGTTTTTGAGAGGGCTGAGAGCTATGGGTGTCTGTTGCTGTTGGTTCTGACAGTTGCCACTGCAAGCATGTGGAGGCTGGTCTACAGGGACCTGTGTGACCCGGCCCTCTGTGGGCTTGGAGTTGTGTTTGTTTATATTTATCTTTCAATCACCTTCCCAGATTCATCCGACTTGTGTAGATTGGGGAAGATAAAAATCTCTGGTTTTTTTACTCTCTAAAGAGGAATGCACACACATGCAAAGGCAGACCTTTTTGTTCATAGGAAACGTGCATGTTTTGCATGTGTAATGCTCCAAGTTTATAGGAAACATAGGAAGCTCCCTTCCACTGAGACACACCATTGGCCCATATTGCTCAGTATTTACACCAGAGATTTTCAACCTTTTTGAGTCCATGACTCCCTTGACCAACTACCTTCTTCCTGTGGCACCCCTGTGGGGCTCAGGAGCCTAGTTATGTCACCCTTTGCCTGCAGAGCTAGCAGCCTCTCACCCTTTTTCAAACACCCTCCCTTGTGGAGTCTTCCCTCAGCCTCCTCTCCTCTCCCCTCTCATTGGGATTCCTCTGCCACTGGTCTCTGAGCTGCCCCCCCCGCCCCAAAGAGAGGTGCCTCCTCACACTGCCCAACAGGGGCCTGGGAAGCATCCCTTGGCCAGCCCCAGAAGCACCATTTGCCTGGGGAGCTTGTAGCCAGGGCTGCTGTAACAAACCGCCACGCAAGCCTTTGGGAGGCAGAGACGTGAGAGGGCATCAGCAGAGAGAGGGAAGGAAAGAGGAACAGAGGGCAGTGTTTCCTGCTGTATCCCTGGGTAACACCCTGGGTGACACCCCAGGGTGTCACAGCACACTGATTGAAAACCACTGGTCTACCTGATGGGCGCAGATCTCCTGTTTGTGAACTTTGGCGCAGTCCTGTTAAACATGGCAGTTTGTTCAGTGTCTGCAGTGCACTTGCCTCTCAATGAGTTTTCCTTTCCTAGAAGACTTCTCCGACAGTGATGATGTTTTTGCCAAGGAAATCACCAAGTGGAACTCAAATGACTTTCTCGACACTCTAGAGCGACCCATTGAGCCAGATGATGTTCTTGGTAAGAGAGCGGTTCAGGTGTTCCATGCAGAATAGAGTCTGCTCATGGTGTGAGTGAATTTGTGCATGGAGGAATATCCACTGGTCTTTGGTAGTGCTTCTGGAGATGCTAAGAAATCTCAAACTCCATAACTGCACATCTCAGATTCTGAAAATGACCTATGTTCTACACCAAGAGTCTCCAACTTCTATGGGCCTGGGGGCATATGTGAAAATCTAAGAAACTGCCATAGGCACCACAGAATATTCATTTCACAGAGCAAAATCTGGAGCTTTTCAGAACCCCCTCCCCCCAAAAACAACAGACAGAACACACACAAACACTTGAAAACAAATAAAGAACAAGCAAAAACAAGCACATCCTCCACACACACAAAAACATCCAACCCACACCCCCTCAAACCAACCAAACCAATAAAACCTAATTTGAAAAAATAATACCAGGGTGGTATTGAAGCATAATCGTTTTCATGCAGAGCTCTAGACTTCTCTGCTTATTGCTACAAGATCATGGGGCACTGGCAGTATAATTCTGTCCCTTGAAGTACAGGTAACTCAGAGCTTATGCAAGTTTTCAGTTCTAGGGGGTCTACTTGTAAAAATGAAATTGTGTAAAGTCAGGACCCCAGGAACTGGCCTCCCTGCAAGGTGGAGCACTGCTTACCAGGCTTTGAGAAGGAGGGACAAGGGCTCTGGGATGCTGCTAGAGCCCTCATACCACTTTCCCAAAATTTGATAAGTGAGGTGCTTTGCTTACTGGCCTTTGGGAGCTTTGCAGGGCCCTCCTGTGACTTTCCCAGATCCCAGTAAGCAAGAAAAACCCACTGGAATGTGTGGCAATGAATAAATGGAAAATGGGGAACAGTGGGTTCTCCCCTCCATTTATTTATGTATTCCCCCTCATGAGTGCATAGCTGCAATCTTGTAAGTGAAAGCAGTACAAGTTGTCAATTACCTGTGAAGGCCATTCCCGTTCCATTTGTGATTTCTATCCTTCGTGCCTCCCATTGCTTTCTCTCTTCCTTCTCTGCCTGGTGCCATTAACTAAAACAATGTTGTCTTTGCAGTTGATGCTGTGGCTGCCAAGCCAGACAGTGATGGTGTCGTGGCACCTGGCCCACCAGAGGTGAGTGAACCCCTCGTCATCATACTGCCTTCCCACGTGGGTACCTTCAGAACCATGGCGCCAAGTCATGGGAGTGGGCTTGTGGTTACAGGACCATTGTTGTTGTCTCCCAAGTCACTTTTCCAGAACCTCAACTTGACACCAGACCCAGTTCTACATGTCTCTTTCCATAGGCTGGCTCAGAAGGCAACTCCGGGACATGCCGTATCCATGCGCTTTTCCTGATCCTCCACAGCGGCAACATCCTGGACCAGGGCGTGGGAGAGCCGGGCTCCAAACAGGCCGATGTGCACACGCTCAGCGCCACCTTGGACACAGTCACCCGCCTACACTTCCCCGAGGCACTGGGGCACATTGCGCTGCGCCTGGTGCCTTGCCCGCCTATCTGTGCTGCTGCCTACGCCCTCGTCTCCAAGTAGGAAGCGTGTTCTGTCAGGCTCAAGAGCGCTTGGTGGGAGCAGGACTGTTCCCTTCTGACTGGGCTTTGGGCAGTTGATTGTGCAGGAGCTCAAGGAGAGCGCTGGTGCCTTCTCCAGGCAGCTTGGATGAGGAGCTATCCCAAGCACTTTATTCGGGGTGGGTGGGTGTTTTGGAGAAGTGGGTGAGGCGTGTGGTAGTGTATGGTGCCTAGCGACATGCAAAGGGTTCAGTGTGAATAATGTGCTACTGTGGATAAGGGCCGAACTAGGGATTGTGGTTTGGGTGAAGTATTGAGACTTTGACGAGAGATCTTAGAGCAGGATTTTCATGAGGTAATTCTGTTCCCTTTTTTCATAGGCCACCATTGTATATATATTAGGGTGGAAAACAGTAATTAAAAAGTATGTGCATATATATATATATATATATATGTATGTATGCTTTCCCCCAAAGTTCCCATTTGCTGGCAGGTCATCAGGGAGAAACCGTTGGCCCAAGATCTCTTTTTAAACTGTGGTCAGAAAAGGGGCCTCCCTTTCTGAATGGGCTGCCTGAAACTTCCTTAGGTTCTAGCCCTTAAATCCAGAAGGTAATCTGGAGTCACCTCCTGGGCTCAGTACCAAGATCTGGGTGTTGTGAGAATGATCAGACCCTTGGTCTGAGAGCGTGTCTTGATCGTTTCTCTCATGGTCTCCTTTTCCAGACTCAGCCCCTACAGTCATGACGGCGACAGTCTGTCCAGCAGCCAGGACCACATTCCATTGGCCGCTTTGCCTCTCCTGGCCACCTCCTCAGGCAGCTACCAGAATGCCGTCGCAACCGTCATTTCCCGTACCAACCAGGCCTATGCCAATTTCATCCACTCTCCTGATGGTGCAGGCTTCTGTGGCCAGGTCAGAGGGTCTGGAATCTGAAATAACTTTGAGGGGAAACCCTCTGTGCTCCAGTTGGAACAAGCATTTTACCCTCTGTGCTATGGTTTTGTTTTGCTTTATCGTCTTTTAAAAATAGAATTAGGGTCTTTGCGGGAGGGGGGGGAGGAATACTAGATAAAAAAATATATATTTTGTTTTGTGAAGGTTCTGAGACATCTCCATCACACAACCCCATTCTTTTATAAAACTGCTGCCCCCAATATTCCTTGGCTTTCAACCACATTGGTTAAAGCAGTGCAGTCTCCACTGGATGCACTTCTCAGCTGTAGGAAAGGAGTGGGAATGCAAGGCCTTGTTTAAGAGGCTGGCTTAAGCTTCATGCTTCCTCTGATTAAGCAATGACTGCGGGGACGTTCCTTTCATCAGTGGGGAACTAACTCTGTTCACGTCCCCCTTTATAGGTGCTGTTGATTGGGGACTGTGTTGGTGGAATCCTGGCCTTTGATGCCCTCTGCCACAGCCGTGCTGGTGGGTCAGGGAGTCGTGGGAGCAGTCGCCGTGGCAGCATGGTCAGTTACTGAGCTGTGGTCCATCCCTTCCTTTATGCATTTATAATCAGCTTTTTTCCTTACTTGAGCTCTGAGGGTTCTGGGGAGGAACAGGGATTTGACATGGGAGGGATGAGGGATTCTTCTGATTTGGCTAGCAAGTATTGCTTGCCCAAAAGTTCCTGAAGAGTTTGAATTTGATATCCCGCTTTATCACTACCCTAAGGAGTCTCAAAGCGGCTAACATTCTCCTTTCCCTTCCTCCCCCACAACAAACACTCTGTGAGGTGAGTGGGGCTGAGAGACTTCAGAGAAGTGTGACTAGCCCAAGGTCACCCAGCAGCTGCATGTGGAGGAGTGGAGATGCGAACCTGGTTCACCAGATTACAAATCCACCGCTCTTAACCACTACACCACACTGGCTCTCCTGCCCTAGTATATAGCAGGTCAAGCCCAGCATCCACCCCATTTCCTCTTCGAGGCCTAGTAGGTTCTGTTACCAGAAGAAGGCCCTCCCTCTTTTAACATTCGCTTACAAATAGCAAAGGCTTTTGGATCTCCTCAGTAGAACAGAGATACACACTTGCTGATATTTTCCTTTTTCTTCAGAGTACTGAGCTGCTTTCTCCGGAGACTTCTGTTGTGCGAGACCCCCTGCTTGAGAGGGCAGAAGTGTGTGGAGTGGGCCGCGCCAGTCCTGAGCCCGGGGCACTTCCCTCCATCCAGAAACCCAGTGACAACGTGACGCAGGAGGGCGATTCCTCACAACAACAACAGCAGCAGTTCTTGACCAGGTGAGGCAATGTGGGAATTTGGTCTGCAAAGCAGACTGTCCTATTAGGTTAAAAGAATTGGTTACAATTAGACTAGTGCCCATTGGGGTTGAAAGTGTGGTCAAATGTGCACCCATTCATAGCATAGCGCTTCTGACACCCAGGACCTGATAAGGAGCTTCCTCTACCCCACCAGAACAGCCTCAGAGCATCTCCTTTTATCCAAAACCCCGCACCCCTTAGGGAAACTCAAACTGCTGCCAAGTGTACAAATAAAAGCTAAATCCTTCCCAACACCTACGGCAAATCGTCAAACAATTATAAACAGCAAAAACAATAATAGCGAAGATACAATTCATAAAATGCTACTAACCACACAAAAAGGTTGTTGGAGCGTAGATCCTCGTGCCTTATAAAATTAGAAAAGGCACAAATATAGCTGACAATATTACTAACAAGGATTACTCTTTCCTTCCTATCTTGGTGTTAATCCTCACATGTAACCCTATCATACGCACTTTTTCTGCCCCACAATTGCCTTCTTGGGTCTCCTTAAGATTATTTTATACTAAAACAATGTTAAAGTTGTGTGACTGCACTTGCGTTCATAAACCTTTCCTGATAAATTAGAGGCAGTGTGTCCCCCTGTCTGAAAAGAGAGGAAGGTGAAATATTGATCTAAATTAATGAAATAGGAGGGCTCTCAGATATAGAAATAGCTGGCTTTGTGTCTGCTAAAAGAAATTTACAAGCTGTCTAAAGCTGAATGGGTGCACACACAAAAATGCCACGTATTCACAATTTTTTTTCTTTTTTAAAAAGAGGGAAAATAAAGGCGACTCTGATTTTGGGTGGTAGGGGTGGGTGACATCTGAGAAGTGGGGACGGCACAAGTCCATTTATGCTTCTTTGCATGGGGAGAGGAAACAAAGAGATCATGTGATCTTTCAGGCAACAGAGAAAAATGCTGGCCTGGTGGAAACCTACATATAGGCCCTTCACAGGGAAGGTGGTTCTGGTGGGGGAGAGAGAGCGTAGGAGCTGTGGGCTGTTTCCTGGCAGTGATGGAAGTCTTCTCCTGCCATCTCCAGCCTGCAGGCTGGCATGCCTGCCTCGGAGGCAGAAGGAGACCCTCGACGTAGCAGCAACTCGTCATCCTCGATGATAGAGACCTTTGAGGGGCCAAGCACAGTTGGGAAGCTGGAGTTCAAGGTGTCTGGTTTCTTCTTGTTTGGCTCGCCCCTGGGGCTGGTTCTTGCACTCCGCAAGACGGTGATGCCAGCACTGGACGGTAAGGGTCCTTTCCCCCTCCCTTGTCTTCCTTTCGCCTTTCCCCTTCTGCCGAAGCAGGATTCCTTACCCTTTCTCTTTCCCCTCTTCAGTGGCCCAGATGCACCCAGCCTGCGAGCAGGTCTACAACTTGTTTCACGCGGCTGACCCCTGCGCCTCGCGCCTGGAGCCTCTGCTGGCCCGCCAGTTCCATGCCGTGCCGCCCTTTGGCATACCCCGTTACCAGAAATATCCACTGGGCGACGGATCGTCCACGTCACTGGGTGAGAAGAGACGCCAAGACTAGCCTTGGACATGCTTGGGAAATGTGGTGTCCCTTTGGGGAGTATGGGGGAGTGTGGAAGGAAATGCTACAGTATCTTGATCTTCAAATGGTGGGTTGTGGGATCCCTTCCTGGGGTGCAGCCTGATCTGAGATGAGTTGCAGCAGCAGCAGCCCTACCCTAATACAAATGTGTGTATAATTAAGAAGTCGGTCCCAGAATGCACATTTTGACTAAATATGGGTTCTGAATTGGAAGAGTCCTGCTACAGCAGGAGTGAGATATGGGAGCTCAGTGATGCTGGGACTTTTGGAGATGTGACATTGGGTGGTCTCCCATGTTCATTTGTGTTGAAGAACGCCAGGCTGGAATTGCACGGGGGCAGTACTGGGGTGGTGGAAAAGTTATTTTTATTTTGAAATATGGGGTACCCTGGGTGGGTATCAGTTCTAGGGAGCACTAGCATTCTGTGAAGAAGTAAAGGAAGTCATGCATTCAGCCACGCACAGAATTTCAGCAGGGGCAACTATTCAAAAGGCTGGGCATCAATGGACAAATTGCACCTGCCTTGGCCTAAAACTGTTTCAGAGCAGGATGGCTGGATGGTTTGAGTCACGGTAGGGGAGGGTAACATTTATTTCAAGCATTTTACTCTGCTGCTCAGCCAAAAAGGCTCCCAGAACTGATCAGCAGTAAACAAGACAGTCTCCACCTGCAGGAAGGGCTGGCTTGCCACAAAGGCTGAGGTGAGAGCAAGAGGCAGCAGCTGTTGTGGGAGCAGCAGCCGCAGCCCCTGGCTGTTCCTCTTGAGTCCTGCTTTCCACCTGTCCGTCTGCTACAGGCGGTTTGAATGGCTGCTGCTACAGGACAGTTGAGGGATGAAAGGGCCCAATAGAGCTGGTTTCCCAGCGGAGCCAACAGTGCAGTCCCTGCTTCCCACTCCTTCCTTTGCAGCAGCCAGATGGAATGGCTCCATGTTCCCCTACACCAAATGCTCCCTGCAAATAGAAAACTAGCCTAAAAGCCCAGAAAAGGTGGGCTAGATCCTTTCTGTGCTGCACTGGTATTTGCATAGATTTTTGTATGTTTCATTTTTAAATGCATTTTTACATGGTCTGCAGTTTGAAGTGACACGACCCATTCTACGGCTTGTTCCCGCCTCATTTGACTGCATGCATAGACCCAGCCTTAGTCCTCATCCTCAGCATAAAAACATATTCTTCTATGAGTGGTGTGGTATACATGCCCATATATGGGTGGCCACCCCTGGCACAGCTAGTGTCTCGAAAGCTTCAACCGTTAGGCTCAAGGAGGAAGTACCCCTCCCACCTTGTAGGAGGGGAAGTTCCTCTGTTCTTTTTCAGACGCAAACCACACAAATTATGAACCTCTGTTCTCCTTCTGCTCTGAGAGCAGTAATATAATGAAGCATATAGGTTTTGTTCAGTCATTCCCCCCCCTTTTAGCTTTGAATAATTTTGTTGTTCATCTGTGTTTGTATTATATGCTGGGAGCTATGCCTGTGATCATTCCACTTGTCAACCCCGCTTTGATTTAGCTGCCTACGAGATGGAGCTGAATCCTTCATGATTTATTTTTTTAAATATTCATGGAACAGGGCAAACAGGAATGTGAGAATTGGCAGGATTGAGCACTCAAATGACTGTAAATACACACACACACGCTGTGCTGCTCCTCCTTCTGCTTGCCAATCCCCTGCCATGCCCGCGCCTTCTCCTTGCTTATATTCCGCAGCCCCCTTTGTGCACACCCCCATGATGATATCTTTAAGACAAATAGAATCTGAATACCAAGCCTGTCAGCTTGTTCAGTCGCAGAAGGCGATAAGTTCTGTTGGTGGGTGTTGTGTATGTATGGGTGTTTGCTAGTTAATAAAATACCTGTTCTGAATTAATACAACGAATCCAGAACTTCCATGTTAAAGACAACACATGGTACCAGGAGTGGCATACAATGTGTAGAGGTACTAAGGGATATTTGAGGGCTCTGCATCCTTTATTTCTGTCACATGAGACAGCTGAAGAATGGAAGACAGTGAAGTTTGAATATAGCAGGAAGGGAGAGACACCAAAAGGAGAAAAAAAGGGGCTGTTCTAAACAAGGGGAGAAGTTTAAGTAAAGGTGGGGATAGAGAGAGACACTGAGAGGAAAATGATGGGTTTAAAGAACAGCAGAGGTTTTAGTAAAGCAGGGATGAAGCGACTTTGAGAGGGGGGGAATAGTGATTTTAAACAGTGGCAAGTCGGCATTTCTTCAGAGGCACAGTACTTGGAGGGCACCGCACACAAGACCAGTGGAAGGCTGGGAGGGATTGGGGGATGTGTTATAATTGCCATACTCACCTCTGTTTACCTTTCCATTTGGCCTAGCTGAGGCCTTGCAGAGTCACTCTTCCCTCTTCATGGATGAATTAGACCTTGTGACACCACCCACTCCAACTAGTGCTTTTGGGGGTTTCTGGAAAGGGAATGAGGCAACCACGTGTGAGACTACTATAACCAGCACCAATGAAGTTGTGAAGAGTAAGTTACATGTTGTTTGTCCTCACCCCCCCCCCCAATTTCTATGCAAACACAGTTAAATTTGGCTTCCTGTCTACTTTTCATCCAAGTGCATTTATGAGGCCATTTGAGGAGGGAAAGTTAGGGCTTTTCTCTCCTTAATGTTTAAAAATCCGTGTTTGTTTTCTTGTTTTTTAAAATGATGCTCATTACTTTTTGCACCAGAAATTAATCAGCTCTTTCTGTTTTAAACACTGCAAACAGTTGATTCTAACAAAGTGTTACACACATCCGTTTGGTTGAAGTACTTGTAACATATTGCCTGTATGGTCACTAACAATCTGTGGGGGTGTCTTTCCTGTGCTCCCCTCATAACTTAAAATGTTGGTGCATAAAGCTCTTCCTTGATGCTCAGCAGCTCAAAAAGTGTATTAGGCCGGCTTTTCTGAATTCATGAACTGAATCCTAACTGCAGATTCAGACTGGAACCCTGAACAATGTTTCTTGTGTCTGTGAGTCAAATGAGTTCATTTTGCAAGGATTGAATATTTGCTGTGCTGCCAAGAAAAGGCTTGTTCTTTGACTGGCCACCCAAATTTGACATTGCTACCATAGCCTGGGCATATTGTGGCCTTTTGTGTCACTTGTGATCCCACATTCTGAACTGAAGTGCTTTCACACTCTTCTGGCTCTGCCAAGCCACTGAGCTAGTGCCTGACATACTAATAAATCCAAAATCTGAATTATAATGAACAAAGAGTAAAAGGCTGTATTCCTGTGCGCAGCCAGTTTGCTTAAATTCTAGTGAAGTAGAATTGAAAGAGCCCACTGAAATGAATGGAATTTAAAGATTACAGGCCAAGATAGTATTTGCATTTAATGTTCGGGGCTTCTTCTTTTTTAAAATGCAAATACAGTGGAATCAGCACTCAAGGGAGTAGTTGATGATTGGCATTTGCTTTGTAGGGGAAATCTCAATTTCAGAGGAGGGTTTATTTTTAGGACTGCAGCAGTTGAGGAACAAGTTAAATTCACCTGCTGTGATCCCAATAATTATTTGTGCCCCAAACTGACCTGATTTCTGGTTTTTTGTAAACAACAACAAACAAACAAAGCTGCATGTTAAATGCAAAGATGAAACATGTACATAATAAAATATTTTGGCCCTTTGGAAACCTGTTCTCTCTAGTTTTCCCCCTGCATCCATTTCCTTCCCTTCCTTTGGGGGATGGGGGTGTTATCTAGGGGCAGAGGAATCTAGCACCATATCCCAAGCCCTGTTGTCTTGCTTTGGCCAGGGAAGAAGGTCTCTACAGGGCAGTTCTTTTTATTTTATTGCTACACGAGCCCCAGGCTGGTGTCCTGAGGATTGGGATTCTCAGGTCTTTGGCCCTCATGCCTGTCCTTGAAAACACCCTGTATCAAGGCTTTTCTCCTGCTACCACTGGCGGGAGAACTGCCAGCAGCAGTTCTTTGTCTGCCAGGGCATAGCTGGGACCTCTGTTGTGGCGCAGGCCCCCCCTACCCCAAGAGCACTACTCCCCAGTAGCAGAAACCAGCAGAGAGGCCATCAACGTAGGCAGGCAGGGCTGTGCTCTTAGACTGTGAAGGACTGGTTGATGATGCAGATGTTGCCATATCCCTAGCAGTGCCAGTGTTATTATTGTCTGACGGACTTGAGGCCTCGGAGAATGTGACGAGTAGGACTTGTTTATTTGTTGGGGAGGAAGTAAAGGTAACAGGAAATGGGCAGACAAAGTACAAGCAGCCGCATGAGTGTAGTTCACAGCTGAAGTGAGGAGACAAATGGGGCCACCCTAACAACCGTTTCTCTTCCCTCCATGTCTAGTTCTGGATCGTTGGTGGGGTGCTAAACGCATTGACTACTCTCTCTATTGCCCCGAGGCATTGACGGCCTTCCCCACCATCACCCTCCCTCACCTTTTCCATGCCAGCTATTGGGAAAGTGCCGATGTGGCGGCTTTCATCCTGCGCCAGGTACCAGGGCTGTGGGCAGGTGGAAATGTCGCTGTGCTGGGGAACAGGGTGTGGTGGGCTCTAATTGTTCCTCTAATGGGAAACTGGCATCTAAAAATAGGTTTGTGCAGTAGAGGGGAGGGGCATATAGGAGGAAACCTAACCCAGGCAGGGGACATGGGAGTAGAAATAGAGACTTGGGTGGATAAAATTTGCACAGGCACCTTTGGTGGTAGGTGAGTGCTACCTTGCATAGTTAAGTGCAACTGCGATGTAAATTTTGGAGTGGATGTGGATTTTGAGGAGGATTCTTTTCTTTCGGTACCTGGGTGGATTATGGAACAAGATGTTGGATCAGCTGAACACTTTGCAAGGAGATCCTAACTGCTGGGTAAAGGCTTGTTTTGTTATGCAGAGCAAAACAGAGCACAGCCCCCATGTGCTAGGGGCAGGCATGGACTCCTGGTTTGGAGAAACCAAACCAAAAACAACACAGGAGTTTGTAGGAGTGGCTCACCAGTAGAGCACAAGCTTCGCATGCAGAAGGTCTTGGGTTCGATCCCTGTCATCTCCTAGGTAGAAGGGATCAAATAATGGGAAAGGCCTGTGACTGAGACCCTGAAGAGCTGCTGCCAGCCAGAGTGGACAACACTGGGCTAGATGGACTATTAGGCTAATGATATTTTTGTGTCACATGCCAGCAAATTCAGGTTAATAATAATAATAATACTTTATTATTTCTACCCCGCCCATCTGGCTGGGTTTTCCCAGCCACTCTGAGCGGCTTCCAACAAAATATTAAAATACAATAGTCCTTCAGATATTAAAAGCTTCCCTAAACAGGGCTGCCTTCAGATGTGCAATTAAAGGTTGTGCAATTAAAGCTGATTTGGACTTCCCCAAAGATCTGACTTTTTGCAATAAGGAAGGTGACAGGAAAATGTGCTGGAAAATGTATCACAATGTAGCCTACCCTTCCCTGAAGCAAATTGGAGGAAAAGGCTCATTAAATAGCCTACACTGTGTATAACCTTCCTTCAAACTAATCAGGATGACTTCTCAGTCAGGATGCCATTTGGAAGTGCCCTTAGTATGCTCTGTTGCGAAGCAGCTAGAGGTTCACATTTTGAATCTATTTAGGAAGGATATAACAGACAAAGGGAGCAATGAAACTGTCCACTTTAATCTGCCCAGTGTCTGTATATTATGATTGTGGCTGAAACTCTAGGAGTTGGTGCCTGTGAATGGCACTCCTGAAGCCTGGCCCTGATGTTCCTATGTGTTTGCAGGTGATTGAGACAGAGCAGCCCCAAGTGACAGAGAATGAGGAGAGTTCCATCTACAGCCCAGCATTTCCTCGTGAAAAGTGGCAGCGGAAACGAACACAAGTGAAGATCCGGGTATGGAGCTCTGTCCCCCACGGTGGCTACCTTGCCTCTAACTCACACGTGCAAGTGGGAAATGGGACTCTGGCTTGGGCTGGGGCACTGTGTCTTCAGGGAAAGGAATATGAGCTGATCCTATTCCTTCCACAGCTAATAGCCTTCAGGATAACTTCATGGATGCTACCATATCATCACAGCTGTTGTCTCTCTTCCTGCCTCGCCCTCTGCCACTTGCCAAAAACATGGTTGCCGTTTTCATTCACAAAGGAAATCACACCATTTTATGTAGAAACACATCTTTTTGCAAGATCCATTTGGAGCATAAGATTTAGGTTTTCTTGCTTTAAAATTGAGGGTGGGGAGGACAACTTTATTAGCTTGTGCTGGTGGTGCTGTGGTCTAAACTACTGAGCTTCTTGGGCTTGCTGATTGGAAGGTTGGTGGTTCGAATCCCTGTGACGGGGTGAGCTCCCGTTGTTCTGTCCCAGCTCCTGCCAACCTAGCAGTTCAAAAGTACACAAGTGCAAATAGATAAATAGGTACCACTGCGTCGGGAAGGTAAACAGTGTTTCCGTGTGCTCCGGCTTCTGTCACTGTGTTCCATGCTGGCCACATGACCTGGAAAGCAGTTTGTGGACAAAAGCCGGCTCCCTCAGCCTGAAAGCGAGATGAGTGCCGCACCCCATAGTCACCTTTGACTGGACTTAACCGCTTTCACAAACACCTGCCTGGCTTGTCATGTTAGGTGATGCTAATGAAGCCTTTGAACAACAAAGAGACGTCTTGTCGTTTTTTGCTCTAGGTCTAGGAGACAAATGCTGCTGCTCTTTTAAAGGTTCAGGTGCTGCTCCATGACAGTGTAGTGAGAAATGGGCAGGCACCTGTCTGGGTGGGGCTGAGATGGGTTTGGGTACTAGGACTTGGAGGAAGTATGGCAGCTCAGGGCTGTGTAGGTTGCAGAGCTAAATGCAAAACTCTAATAGCAGGTTGTAATGCATAATTCAGAACATGAATGTAGGTGGTATTTGAATGAAGTTTCCCTCAAGCAATTGTGATGATTTTGAAGGTTTGACAATTGTTCCAGGGAACAAGATCATTCAATAAGAAGCAAATACTCTTTTATGTTTGTTACTGCTTAAAACGTTTTTGTTTAGGCAAGCCTATCCAGACTTGTAGATGTTGACGTGCTTTAATTTATTTTACTGTTGGTTTTAATTACCTTACTGGTTGTAATTCAACATTGTGCTCTTCCAATTGTTCCATCTGGACCAGCATTTCAGCTTACCAGATGGAACGATCTCCATTTCCTCCCTCCATGTGTTGTTCTGGGCGTTCTCTGAACTCCCACCCAGAGCCAATTTGTGGGGGACGACACAGGGGTGAGGGGGGAAGCCGCATTGTAGAAGTCAAAATCCTTGTGTAGGGTTTCCACTGATGGCACTGGTTAGGTGAATCCTGCCTTCAACGTTTTTAATTGTTTTAACCGTTTTTTATTGGTCATTTTAATATTTCTTGTAAACCACTTAGATGTTTTACTGCAATCAAGTGGTATATAAATTGTGTTAAATAATAATAAAAAACACCTCACAGAGGAAGGGTGATTGCTGCCTTTTCCTGTCAAGTACAGTGTAAGGTGGTTTTGCTTTTAATATGGCAACCTCAGCACAAGAAAAAATTGTGGTTTTTGTTACTGGTTCCTACAAATGCACTCCCACATTGCCTAGAAGACACCCCAACCAGGGAAAGGGGCACTGTTCCCACAGCTGTATTTCTGATTCACTATGTAGGAATGCATGCAGAGCAGGGTGGGGAACCTGTATCCCTCCAGATGTTGTTGAACTCCAGGCAGCTCCCATCAGGCCCAGCTAGAACAACCAATGGCTAAGGAAGATGGGAGTTGTAGTCCCAACATTTGGAGGGCTGCAGGTTCTCCATCCTTGTTTTATAGGAGTAGATAGCCACCATATGGTGAGATTTCCCTGCCCCCTCAAAAGCAATGTAAATTTCCTCTCATGAGTGCATGTTAGAATTGCTGCGTTCTGTAGCCAGCAGTGTTCTCTAGCCCAGATCCAATTCCTGTGTTTTAATGTCCCCTTTTGCTGAGGTGAAATTAGTAAAAACTGCTTTACCCCTTTGGTTTACAGAATGTGACAGCAAACCACCGCGCCAGTGATGTCATTGTGTGTGAGGGGCGACCCCAGGTCTTCAGTGGGCGCTTCATGTATGGCCCACTGGATGTGGTGACTCTGACTGGGGAGAAGGTAACAAAAAGCGTAGCTACAAGGGGGTTCGGGGGCATTCTGAAGACATCAGCAGTAAAAGCAGTAGGGGGCAGCAGACCAGAATGGAGCAGGCCATATGGGTGGAAATTATGGAGGAGGAACAAGTACAGGCCACATGAGGGCCATGGGCCATGTCACAATGAGTCCTGAGGAGGCAGGGCATGGATATTTCCCATAGGGGCTGAGGAGCTGTAAGGAAAAGGGGATAAAATTAGTGTTAAATCAAAATGAAGCAGGGAACTTTCAGATGGGGTGTGTGGGATGAAGGATATGAACAGCACCTGCTGTCAGGGATTAAGGGGGAAATCATGCCTCTCCCCCTTCAGACTCGGAAAAGGTAATGACTCACCAACCCTTAGAGATTAGCTGAGCTTGGGGACAGGTAACGCAGTATAAGAGGATTGTGCAGTGAAGTGAACATTGCTGCTCCCCTTGATCTCTTCCCGAAGGTGGATATCTACATCATGGCACAGCCACTGTCAGGAAAATGGGTGCACTATGGCACAGAGGTGACAAGTGGCAGTGGCAGACTCTCCTACACCCTCCCTGAGGAGAAGATGCTGGGCATTGGCATGTACCCTGTCCGAATGGTAGTGAGGTGAGTGTGTGGTGAACCCTGTCCTGTGGTTGACCTTTTGGAGCAGAAATCCTATCCTCAGTCCAGCCTGGCTTATGACCACAAGACCTCAAGGATGGCCTCTCTCCATATGAACCAACCTGGAACCTGTGGTCATCATCGGAGGCCCTTCTTCACGTGCCTCCTCAATGAGAGGTCCAGAGGGTGGCAACACGAGAACAGGCCTTTTCTGCAGTGGCTCCCCACTTGTGCAATGCTCTCCCCAGGGAGGGTCGTCTGGCGCCTTCATGTTTTGGCTCCTCCGATAGACTCACCGGCCACCCCCAATTCCTCTACGCTGGCGGTGCTGGCAGCAGCAGTCCTGGCAGCCCGGGAGTCAGCCAGACAGAGCCGTTTACTCTGGCTGGCTTCAGGAGCTGTTTTCTGCCATTGCAGCCGCCATGACCGTCTGGCGCCTTCATTACATATATTTAGGCAACAAGCAAAAACATTCCTCTTGTCCCAGGCCGTTGGCTAATTAAACCATCTATGGCCTTTTAAACTGGTGTGTGTGTGTGTTGTTTATTCCTATGTTATGTATTTTTGTGTCTTTATATTGTCAACCACCCAGTGATCCTTGGATGAAGGGCGGTATAGCAATTTAATAATAATAATAATAGAGATTCTGGCTCTGGGACCAAGTGGATCACCATTTGTTCCTGGCAGAGGCCTTATACATGGTTCACATTGGTAGGATGTCTCATTTGCCATAGTTGAACTGCTTGACCTGCCTCTTCCTTGGTTTTCTGAAGCTATAGGGAGAAGCCCCACCAGCCTTCTGGGGTCAGTCATCTCTGTCCCTGTGTAGGGTCTTTGAGTGTGGTGGCTATGCACTGGCGATTCTGAGAGGAGGGGCACTTGCTGGTGGGTTTCCTTCGTTGTGCTTCTCTCCACAGGGGTGACCACACCTATGCCGAGTGCTTCCTAACTGTGGTAGCGAAGTCCACACCATGTGTTGTTTTTAGTATTGATGGCTCCTTCACGGCCAGTGTCTCTATTATGGGCAGCGACCCCAAGGTGCGCGCTGGTGCTGTTGATGTAGTAAGGTAGGTAATAGCCCTTCCTGGGGATCTCATACCTCTCCCTGACCTGGTTGTCACTTCCCCCTTTCCTATTGACTCTGAAGGGTGGGGGGGTGTTGATGATAATCTCTCCACAACGCTGTCTTCTGGACTTATTTATTTCTTCAAAATTCGCTTTATCACAATTCATCAAGAATTTTGAGCTGCAGAGACTGGTATGTGAATGCTCAGCAGAGTAAGAAATCAAACTTGACAGCATTCATGTCCCCCACCACCATCCTTGAGTCTGCTTAACTGTGAAAGTTCAGTTTTCTCAGCAGAGTGAAAATGTGTAAAATAAATTTTAAATCCTCACTCTTCAAGACTTAATAAAAGCTTGAAGCACCAATTATGGAAACAACTCTACTCCCCGCCCCCAAATTGTCATATCTACATCTGTATATCTCAGTGCCAAAATGCTGTCAAGGTGGATTTATTGAAAGAAGGTTTTGTCGGATGACTGGATTTTATTTTGATACTCACATTTGGCTAAACTAGAGTTGATGTCTGATAGGTGATGAAGTTTATAAGGAGATATTTCTGCAGATCACATTGGCTGCATCCCCTCAAAATACATCTGGTACATTGTGCCACTTCACTCTTAACCTTGTTGTACAAAAGGAAATCACTTCTTCATGCAGCAAACAACATGAGAAGTGGAGAGGGCTTGACATTAAAAAAAAGAGCGAGATTAGTCCTACACCCCAGAAGGCACCCTGAATGAATGAATGAATGAATGAGCCACCCAATTGCCACAAATAATCCTTCTTTGCCCCTTTAGGCATTGGCAGGACTCTGGTTACATGATCATCTACGTGACGGGGCGTCCAGACATGCAGAAGCACCGTGTGGTGGCCTGGCTTACCCAGCATAACTTTCCCCATGGGGCCGTCTCTTTCTGTGATGGGCTCACGCATGACCCTCTTCGACAGAAGGCTGCCTTTCTACAGGGCCTTCAGCAGGAGGTATGTAAGCGTTCACCAAGGGTTCAGATATAATTTTGGGAAGGGCTGCAGCACAACTGAGAGAGGCCCATGCGTGTGACTCTGACACACCTTGCAGTGCCTCTGAGTGCAGTGGAAAGAGCACCACAGGAGAAAAAGTGTGGGAGAGAAGTCACCGATGTCTTCATCCATTTATTGCAGGCAGAGGTGACCATAGTGGCTGGCTATGGATCCACCAAGGATATTTCAGTCTACAGTTCTCTAGGGCTTCCCGCATCTCAAATCTACATTGTGGGCCGGGCTGTGAAAAAACTGCAAAGCCAGTGCCAGGTATGGAGTTTTGTTTCACAAAAAGCGTTGCCTCAGCTGCAGGCTGGGGGCTCCTCAGGCTCTGGGGCCTACAGGGCTTGTTGCTCCCTCAGGGAGGGGAGGTGAAGAACAGAGCAAGCGTCAGCTGCGTTCTCCTTTCTCCTTGCAGTTCCTGTCAGACGGCTACGTGGCACACCTGGCACAGCTGGAAGCGTCATCTCTTGCCCACTCACCGAAGGGGACGACAAGGCCCACGCTGGGCAAAGGCAGCTACGGCTGCCCTGCTCCCGTCGACTTCCTGCGCAAGCAGAGCCAGCTGCTGCGTTCAAGGGGGCAGAGTCAGGCCGAGCGAGAGGGGCAAGGGAACGCCCAGCCCCGAGCCAAGACGCGCAGCGTTAGCCTGAAGTTGGAGAGTGAGGAGTGAGCCCGCCGTGGGGTAGTCTCTGCATTTTCTGACTCGCAGTGGCTGGTGCCAGGGCTGGGCCTGTGAGAGGCCACAGTTGTGAGAGAAAGGGGCCAAGAATACTAGGTATGGTTGGTCAGGGGGAAGAGTGAGAGAGGGGGCTCTGCCCAGCAGAGGCCGCAAGCTGGCATACAGTGCCACAAGGATACGGAGGAGAGAACTTCTATATAATCCCAATAATGGGATTGCTTCCATTCCCATTAGTTCCAACTCCTGCCTGTTCTGTTTTGTGGTCTCTTCTGACCTGCAGTTCAGCCAGTGTTCCTCAAATCATACCCTCTGGGGATTATGGGGTGGGAGGGGGGGGGGAAAGGGACAAATGGGGGTGGGGATGTTCATATTACCCTGACTTAAAAGTGTGCTACGTTGCTTGTGAATTGACTGTTCACATTCCTCCCCCTTTTCAAATTATTGAGGTCTGGGATATATAGTATTCCACTCTCCCCATTTGATGCCACGTGAGGCAGTAGTGGGTCCAGCCCCAACCATCTCCCAGGTCTTCCTATATCCCTCTGTGGCTAAGGTTAGGGTGGGTGGTTAGGGAAATATATACATCAGGGATCCCAGCTGCCCCTTTCCTGCAGAGGTTGAGCGCCTTGCTCCAGTCCCTAGTGCCGTTTCTCAGTCCAATCCTGCCTGTGCCCCGGTCTTTGGGTGTCTGCATGATACTGCCCTCCTGTGCATGTATTGTGTCCAGTGTGAGAGCACAGGATAGCCATGAATAAGGATGAATCCATACTTCCTTCCTGACAAAGGAGGGCTTGGTATTTATTTCAATGTGTCAGAATTGCCGGGAAGTCGAATCCTGTTTTGGAGGATTTGTGGGGGTTTTACATTTATCTTTAAATGTGTTATAAAACTGAACAAATAAAATAAAATCAAAAAGTGAAGAGTGAATGTGTGTTTGGAGGTAGCAGTTGAGGGATGGGTTAGTTTGGTACAGTTATGTGCCACCCACATCTCCGAGCGGTGTGGGATATCAGCCTTTATTCTCCCAATGACTCCCATCCAGCCATCTCTGCTGAGCTGGCCTGGCTTCTTAGCAGAAACTAAATGGGGGAGGGGGCATGTTTGACATAGTTTAATCAAAATTTGATTAATTTTAACATTCACTAAATCCAAGAATTTTGGGTCACTCTGGTACCCAGCACTTATAACAGTACCCTCTTAGATTTGAGGGGTGGGGGCAGGCTTGACAGCTGATGCGTACACAAGGCCAGTTGCAAAGTCACACCATGAGTGGAGGACCTGCTCTGACAATTGCTCTGTGGGTCTTGATCTTAAGGATACTGATCAAGCTAAATCCTAGAAGAAAGTGTCAAGGTAGGACATTTTATTTTATCTGGTGCTGGAGTGACTTCAAAGCAATCCATTAAAATCTATTGCAGCCTTGGATAATTATAAAAAATAATAAACAATGTCATCACTTTTTTAAAAAAATAATAATCTATGGCTGTCTAATAGGATGGCCCCTCTGGAATTTGTCACACACACACAAATTTGTAAATATGTCTGTGCTTGGCTACCCAGAGCTTAAATACACGGCGTTTCACACACCTTTTCAAACACATGCATTTGGAGAGATTCTCTAACTTGGCAGAGAGAGAGTACTTGAAATACAGGTCAAACTGTATCAATACAGGACATAGCATTTTACATTAAAATACGGTGCAATCCTGTATTATACAAGACAGGTGGCAACTCTAAAGGTAAAAAAAAGGTAAAGGACCCTGGATGGTTAAGTCCAGTCAAAGGCGACTATGGGGTTGCGGCTCTCATCTCGCTTTCAGGCCAAGGTGTTTGTCCACAAATAGCTTTCTGGGTCATGTGGCCAGCATGACTAAACCGCTTCTGGCGCAACGAAACACCGTGACAGAAACCAGAGCGCATGGAAACGCAGTTTACCTTCCTGCCACAGCAGTACCTATTTATCTATACTTGCCTCGGTATGTTTTCGAACTGCTAAGTTGGCAGGAGCTGGAACAGAGCAATGGGAGCTCACCCCATTGTGGGGGTTCGAACCTCCGAACTTCTGATTGGCAAGCCCAAGAGGCTCAGTGGTTTTTTTTGTTGTTTTTTTTTTATAAATAATTTTTATTAAAGTTTTAAACAACAAAAAAAGAAAAGAAAAAACATACACAATGCATATCTCAAAAAAAAGATCACAAAAAACACACAAAAAAACAACACAATTCATCAATAAAAAACAAAAAACATAACAATTAAAAACAATATCTCTTTTCCATTTCCGTTTTTTTAGTTTACTTATTTTCTGGACTTCCTCATACCTCCTTCTTTTGTATTCCAATCCAAATTGTTTGTCCGGCAGTTTCTTTTCAACTTTTTTAATCCCAATCTTTCACTTTAATATAATATTGTAATATATAACTTCAACTTCTTTAAACCTAATCTTTAATCTTAATATAATATAACATTAAAATTTTCCCTCTTAATTGTCAAATTTCCATTTCTTTAAACATCATTAATCCTAATCTTAATCTTAGTCTATCATTAACTTTAACCTGTACAGCTGGAAGCCGCTTATTTTCAGTCCAACATCACACTAACATTCTTTAATTTTGCAATGTTTCTGAAGATAGTCTTTGAATTTCTTCCAATCTTCCTCCACCGACTCTTCTCCCTGGTCACGGATTCTACCAGTCATTTCAGCCAGTTCCATATAGTCCATAAGTTTCATCTGCCATTCCTCCAGCGTGGGAAGTTCTTGTGTCTTCCAATGCTTTGCGATGAGTATTCTTGCTGCTGTTGTTGCATACATAAAGAAAGTTCTATCCTTTTTTAACACCATTTGGCCGACTATGCCCAGGAGAAAGGCCTCTGGTTTCTTAGGGAAGGTATACTTAAATACCTTTTTAAATTCATTATATATCATTTCCCAGAAAGCCTTAATCTTTGGGCACGTCCACCAAAGGTGAAAAAATGTACCTTCAGTTTCTTTACATTTCCAACATTTGTTATCGGGCAAGTGGTAAATTTTTGCAAGCTTGACTGGGGTTATGTACCACCTGTATATCATTTTCATAATATTCTCTCTTAAGGCATTACATGCCGTAAATTTCATACCTGTGGTCCATAACTGTTCCCAGTCAGCAAACATAATGTTATGTCCAACGTCCTGTGCCCATTTAATCATAGCCGATTTTACCGTTTCATCCTGGGTATTCCATTTCAGCAGCAAGTTATACATTCTTGACAAATTCTTAGTTTTGGGTTCTAACAGTTCTGTTTCTAATTTAGATCTTTCCACCTGGAAGCCAATTTTCTTGTCCAATTTAAATGCCTCCATTATCTGATAATAATGAAGCCAGTCTCGCACTTTGTTTTTTAATTTTTCAAAGCTCTGCAATTTCAGTCTATCTCCGTCTTGTTCCAAAATTTCCCAATAAGAGGCTCAGTGGTTTAGACCACAGTGCCACCCGCGACCTACTTACGACTGAACCCCAGGCACTATTACATGGTACTGAAGAGATGCAATGGTGATTTACTGTCTTTTTCACAACCATTTTCTAACAGTTTGCTTTATTAGCAGAGTAAGGCACTAGAAAGCCATACAGCTCTAATTTTTCCATAACAGCACAATACAGTAGAAATAAGGGAAGTCCAGGTTTCTAAACAACACAAGAAAGAAAACCCACGTCCAGCCTCTCTGTTCTCTCTCCTCTGCCTCCACAATGTTCTTAGAGCAAAAGGCAGCCATCTTTCAAGGTGGTTTGCACTGATTTATTGGTGCATCAGTGATAAATAATAATGGATATGGCAGATCAAGATGGCAGATAATGATAAATACTGTGAATTCTTAATGTAGCCACGCATTATAAAAACAAACAAAAAAAATGCTTGAAACCTTACAATCAAACATCAACAAAGCAAAAAAGAGTGGTGACGATTAAAAATCCAACTTTATCCAGTGTGTGGCTCATAACTGGCAGCATAGCGGGGCCTACAGACAGAGAAAGAAGAAAGGAATGTGTAAGAGGGTGCCAAATGGATGTGGGGGTGGGGATAAGAGTCCTGGGTTTTGGTGGAAAAAACAACACGGAAGCAATGAAATAATATATACAGTATAGGGGAAGGCAATAACTCAGTGGTAGAGCACATGCTTTGCAATCCAAAGGTTCCAAGATGAATCCCCAGCATATGCAGGTAGAATTGCAAAGGATCTGAGTGTGAAACCCCAGACAGCTACAGCAAGTCAGTGTAGGGTAGGCAGACTTCAGGCTTGTTAGAATGGTTTTGTTTTCTACTGGATCTACCAGTCGGATCCAGATATGAAACACTCAACAGTTAGAATTAAAGAACACGAGTGCCTGACATTCTGAGCCTAGTTATTTGTTTCCAGTACCAAAACTGAACTGAGCTCGCAGTCATTCACATAAGAGTCCATTACTGGTTCTCTTTTATCACTGCAGCAGCCTAACGTACTTAGATGGGGAGAAATAGTTTTGTTGCTGCTATTATATAACTGGGAGTCAGAAACGTTGCCAATTTATGGCAAATTGCCCAGAAGATTCCGATCTGCCTTGGTGGGCATCTCTGCTATAGACGTTCCTGGACCAACAGAGGCATCAATGGTCTGACTCTACCATTGTAACTTCTTACATGTTGGTTCCAGGTTTTGAGGGGCTCTTGGGCAAGTTGCCCACAGTAGGCCCTTGACTTGGCCACCCCACCCCATTCCCCTGCCTTCTTCCTCTGGGGTTAAGCTCCTGCTCCTGCCTCATGTCTCAGCTCTTTTATTCAGAGTGTGGGAATTTGCAGTCAAACAACCAGCAATCTTGGAGCTACTTAATGCATGAAGGGGTTAAGAGCACAGAATTGTATTCCTAGACCCAATTAGGTCTCTGGTGAAGAAAGAAGTGAAGCTTCTTTCTTCACTCTCTTCCACCATATGAAGCCAGCTCCCATGGATGAATAACCAAGGTTAACCATAACTTGATGCCATTGGTCACTTGAGAGAGGAATGTATGGAGAGAAGAGCAACCTCTCTAGCCAGGAATGGAAAACCCCGTGACACAAACTATGTGTTTCAGTCTCAGAGGAGAGCCCAAATGGTGGTTTGTTTCAGATGTAACAAAGAGGGACATATATCCAAATTTTGTAAGCTCTCAAACCAGCAAAATCCCTTTCATTTAAGTGACCAAGTCAAAATAAAGGGAACAAGGAAAAACTTTTTTTTCTGCATGAGGAGAATGTAACTGTAAACAGTTGTGATTCAAAATTAAACAGATGGATAATTGATTCTGGATGTTCTTCACATATGAGTTATGATTAAGACTTCTTTGGAAACATTGACAATATTAATCAATCTGTGGATAGCAATATTCAAATTGCAAATGGTGTAAGCATGAAGATATGTGGTACAGGTTTAGGAACCTTAAACTGCAAGCTAAGCAATCAGTTGAAAGAAAACTGATTGAATTGCAACGTGATCTGTGTGTCCACCTCAGACAGAAAAGGTTTACTTATACAATCTGGGAATGGTAAATGCTAAGTTACCTAAAATGGCAAATTATATGCTGAAGCATGTTTGATTAATGGTGTCTACAAGACTAATCTGTCAGAACTGTGTACTGCAAATGTGGCACACATTCACCAGAAGGATGAAGCAGATCCAGAACTCTGGCACAGAAGGTTTGGTCATAGAGACACCAAGGCCATTGTGGAACTGCAACGCAAGGAACTTGCAACAGGGAAGAAGGTAAACCTCAAATCTTCTTTCCCTCCATGTCTTGAACAGAGAAGCACCAGAGTGCTAGATATAGTCTCTACATCTCTGTGTGGTCCAATTAATATTCCCTTCCTAGGGAAGAATAAGTACTATTTTTTCTGGATGATTTCTCAGGGTCATTGTGTGGTACACTTTCTAAAGGGGAAAAGTAAAACACTGCAGGTGTTCAGAAAATACATCCTCATGGTGAGCAATAAGAAACAGGAAGGAAGAGGAGCATTGTGGTCAGGAGGCCCTGGAGGATGAATAGGCAATGTAAATGTTGTTGAACTATAACTCCTATCATCCCTGACCAGTGGCCACGTTGGCTAGGGCTGATGGGAGTTGGAGTGCAACCACACTGGAGAGCTGCAAGTTCCCCATCCTTGGTGTAGAGACTGATAGAGCCACCCCCCCTCCCCACCCAGTGGACATAGGGCTTGGCAGGTGCCCAACAATTTGAGCCCTGCCTAAACTCTTATTCATAACGGAGAATGAGCTCCACTTTCTTCACTCTTGCAAAGGACTCACCAGTCTGTCTGTGTGTTTCCAGGGATGCTTTCAGGAAGCTGTGAGTATCTACAAAATGAAGGTTCAAACGTTAACGTGACGCAAGGGTGACCCAAGTTTTGTTCATCACGAGATTGCTAATTTCCCCTTTTTAAACTGGCCCTGCTCCTGTTCCCTTAACAACATCCTGATAACACAGAAAAGAAGCAGGTGGAACTTTGCCATCTACAGAGAGATACACATATGGGGGTGGGGACAAAGTTGGGACAAGAACTCAGAAAGCATCTGCTTGGAGCAGAATGCACAGGTCCCCTCTGATGCATCACCCAGGGCTTGCAAAACAAAATAGCTCCCTGTGTTGCTTAGGACTGGAAGTTGAAGGCTGGGTTTATCTTCTAGTTCAGGGTTCCTCAGTCTTGGCCCTCCAGATGTTTTTGGCCTACAACACCCATGATCCCTAGCTAGCAGGACCAGTAGTCAGGGATGATGGGAATTGTAGTCTCAAAACTTCTGGAGGGCCAAGGTTGAGGAAGCCTGTTCTAGTTCGACAGGATTCTCACCTGTTTGCTTCTGTTGCAGTGTACTGTGGTGGGTCAGGAACTCCGTTTGCATAGTGTGGCTGTGGGAGTGATGTCAACGCAACATTTTGTTCTTCATTGTCTGATCTGTGCTTCTTTTTGTCCTGAAAGAAAATGTGCCACCCATCAGTTTCCGTGCCTGTTCGTTCTCCCTTCACCACTGCTCCCCGGGTGTTTGAATTGCTATTTACCAGCCACACACGCTCCCAGTTAGCAAACCCTAGTATTTTTCCTTCCACCCTAACTATTGTGGTTCCCTGGTTCAATCTGCAAAGCCGCAGGATTGAGACAAGTGAACCAACTTAAAAAATGGAGGGCAGTGACCTCATGTGCCCTTGCTTCCTTCTTTTGCTGCATTGATCTTGTAAAATTTGTGCAACTAGGGTCAGAGCTTGGTTTGCCCCTTTCCTTAACACTAAATAAGTTGGAGTTCTTGTTATTAAACATACCAAGAAAAAAGCACACTAAGCTTTTTTCCCTAGCACAGCATTTCCCTACTCCAGCTGTGTACCTCCTCTTAAGTCATGTGGGATCCACATAAGTGAAAACTTCAACTCTGGGCCAAGGCTTGGATAGGACTCCAGATTTGCAACTGCACTGCCCAACCATTTCCCTCTTCTAGTTGGAGGCTGGCTGCTGTTACTTGGTGCCTGCGCTCTGGGGAAGCTAACTCATTTGCTCCATCTAAATCCGTGGTTCCCAACGTGGGACACATGCCCCACAGGGGGGCAAATAGATTTTTAAGGGGGGCAATTCGAGAATGAGTTATTAACAGTTAATGGCCCTTTAAGCTTCCTCCACGTGAATAGGACTTCACTTTTTGAATAATAAGAATTATATATCACCAGAGGGGGGGATCAAAATATTAGAGATGCTTAGGTGGGGCATGGCCAAAAAAAAAGATTGGGAACCACTGATCTAGATCAGCGTCTGCACTGACTGGCAGTGGCTCTCGAAGGGTCTCCGGCAGGAGTCTTCCAGTCCTACCTGAAGATGTTGAGATGTTGAATTTGGGGCCTCCTGAAGGCAAGGAAGATGCTCTGCCACTGAACTATAGCCCTTCCCAAGGGGGTTTCCAAGGGGTGCCCCTAGAAAGGATTATTTCTTCTGGGATAAGACATGCAGAACTATAACTGGTTTCTCTCACTGGCATAGTCCTCCTTGCTCGCTCACTTCTGCTGAGAGGGTGATTTTAAGAAGATGGGCAAAGATTTCCAGCTGTCAAATCACTGTAGAACAGCAACAACAAAGCGACATTCCTCCCCATTTGTTGAAATGAAGGTGGTGGGGAAAATCCAGAATTTGTATGGGGAAGGACTGTGAGAGCAGCTTCTGGTACTCAAAACAAACTCTTGGGTTCAGAATGATGGCTTTAATTCTCAGTCTTTTGCACCTGGCTCTGTTTGCTGGATCTTGGAATTACATTAAAACAACAACACAGATCCTGCAAGTCTGAAGTCCTCCCCTGTTAAGCCCCATGTATGAAAACACCCTCATGTCAGCTTTGCATTGTGTTGGAGGGGCTCTAACAACAACTATTATTATTATTATTATTATTATTATTATTATTATTAATACCTCACCCATCTGGCTGGGTTTCCCACTTGTTCCATGTTCTGTGATGATAACCATTTCATACCTACATGCCATCATGGGAGACTAAAGTCATCAGGTGATAAACATGAATGTGTGAATTCAGCCTAGTGAGCCTAGTAAGCCAGTCTTGTTTTGCAAGCCACTTAGCATACCACTAAATAAACATACAACAAAAGGACGGGAGGCAGAATACTCTCTTATATTTTTGCTTATATTATGAGCTACTGGATCCTCACCCTGCTATTGTAGAGAACTGAAAAAGCAGTTGTAGCCTCGAGGAAAGAGAAGAAAAGCATCACACACAGAATTCCCTGCAAAAAACAACAACCAGCCAGTTAAAAATATCAAACATTAATGCAAGGAGAATGATCTCATTCTCAGCTTTAGGGTGACACTCACACAAGAAGCTTTGTGCAGGAGAATACAACACAAGGAACTTAAGATTAAGTCACTTTCAGAGCTCAGAATAACAGTCCTATAACAATATATTCTATATTTTGTCCAATCAACGGCTTATCCACGCTTCTGCGGATTATCCCATGCCTAGAAAGCATGGGTCCAAGAGGTTTTCCGCTTGTCCTGTGCTTCCTAGGCATGGGTCTGAGCACTTTCTTGTTTGCCCTACTGTTTTCCCTGGGAAAACTTTCTCTTTACTGCTTAATTGGAGCAAACAGCACTCCGTTGAAAATCTGATTGCCGCTTGTTCCTATTCAGCAGTAAAGAGTGTATTCTCCCAGGGGAAAGCTGAGGGGCAAATAGAAGTATGAATGAGCCCTAATATTAGGTTTTTTACTTGCTTGACATCCAGCAAGTCATAAATGACATCAACCATTTATGATTGACACCAGTCATAAATCTCCCCCTGCAAAAGTCTCAACACTAGAGGAAGTGAGGAGATCTATGCCACAAGAGTGGGGTTGCCTTTCTCTCCATCCTGCCTTTTCAACTCTGTGTATGCTTGGTGGTCTGTTTAAGTTCAGCTACCTTGCCTGGTGCTGGTGGATCTGTATGAAAGGGAAAGGAATAATGGGGAGAGGAGAATGTGTCAGGAGGAGGAGGGCAAGAGGATCAGTGGGACCGGATGCAGGAGGGTCAAAGAGAGGTCAGGATGGGTCACCAGTGGCCCTTAGGATGTGTGTAGCACTGTGTAAAGCTGTAGAGGCCAGCCTCTCTCTCCAGGCACTTAAAGGATTGAGACACAGGGCCAGACTGGATGTGATGGGTAGCCACATTTGTCGCCACACAGTCTATCCCATTCAAATATAATGCAGAGGGTGAGAAGGGAATTGCTATTTTCATTGCAGCAGCAGCAGCAAGGAGATGAATTCTATCCCTCTCTCCTCCTTACCTCCCCACGAACATTTTCTCAGGCACTTCTCTCCAGCCCACCTTGACCACCACGTGAACAGAACTTGGTGCTCTGCTGCTACCTGTCTCATCCCTTTAATATATTCTGGCCTACCACTCCTAGTAGCTCTAGGTGGCTGGATTTAGCCCCCTGTTTGGTTTCCTGCCTTGGCATCGTTGTGAGGCACTCTGGAAATTTAAAGGCATGGCATTGGTTGGCATGCTGTTGCCACAGTGACGTAAGCTTGGGAGGGCCAACTAACAGAGGAAGGGAACCACCAAAGAACACCTTGGCCAGGGCCTCCTTAAACCTGGAACTAGCCTTGTATGGAATCCAGGAACTTACCATTTCATATGCCCCAGTGGTCTTGCAATAGTTTGAAATATTAGGAATTTGTGGAAGAAGATATTTGGATATAAAGTGAGATGTCTCCGTAACTGCATAAGAGTTTCTCTCTCTATTTTTTATTACATCAATCAGCAAAAGACACATTCCAGCGATTGCACCGAGGCCACTAAGAGTGTTAAAGAGGTAACTGAATGCTCTCTGGAAGAGAAAGAGAAAGTTTTGCTTAATTAATTTATGGGTTGGGTGGGGATATGGGTGAGACGGGGAGAATGATCTCAGCAACCAAACCTGACCCTCGCCTTTGCCAGCTCTGACTATGGGAGCACGAGGGAGGGGATTGATTCTGGTAAGAATGAGGCACCCTACATACTGTCGCTTGTCTAAGAGGCTTTCAGAACATCAAAGACCCAGCAGAAATGCAAAATGTGGGAGATTCAGGTTACAGAGTTATAGGAGGTTCCAGTAACATAGCACGTCATGGAGGAAAAAAACAGGGCAAGTATAGGGGACAACTAGTATAAATTAACCTAGCCAAAGCAGCCACCAAGCCACCAGAGGAATGTGTGGAAAAGCAACCTGATGTTTTATGCATTGGCTCTGTCCTTCTGTTGCCTTCTCCACATGGAGTGCCATGGGATGTCAGTGATTTAGTCCACAAAAATTTATGCCACACAATAAATCCACGAATCTTCAAGGTGCCACCAAAAATATTTGGGTCATATCCAGCAACGGTCATACTCAAAGTAGACTCATTGAAATTAATGGACACAAATTACTTACCGTAGGTACAGTGGTACCTCGGTTCAAGATCACTCCTATCTATGAACAATTTGGTTTATAATTTGCTATTTTACTTGGCAAATCCCCCTGGAAAGTCTGAATACCGATTGATCACGTATGCAAGTGAGATTGTATTGTATTGTAATATTGATATAATTTTGATTTAATTATTAACTGTGTGGGAAAAGATTTAAGAAGCTTTACAACTAATTTGGAAGGACTGTTAAGAGTGGAAGATGGGAATGGAGGCTTCTGACCAAAGTACAGGCTAATTTGTTCTGGCATGAATTGAAACGGAGAGGTTTGGACATTTGCCTGGAATAATTGGCAGAAAGCCAGATTTCCTCCATTTTGGGATGCACGTGTCGCATGGGATACAGGCATGGTGAAGAATCAAAAGTGAAAGACAAGGATGAAATAAACAACCACACAGAAACATATTGTTTTGATATAACTCGCTTGCAGGCTGTGAAAACAAATGAAGGATTAACATCAGACTGATTTATGGGAAACACCTGGACTAATTAAGAAAGCAGTGCAAATGTGAGATGATCGCAATCCTCCGACCTAACAGTATGGGAAGTCAAAAAAAGATTTATGATTATGATTTGGCTTAATATTTGGTCTGATTGATTATTTTATAATTTGGAATATCTTTAATGTGGCCTTTATTGGATTGTTAATTTGGAAAATGTAATAAATATTATTAAAATAAATAAATAAACCAGCAGTGGGAGCGCACAGGATACAGAGTAAACAGGAGTGTGTAAATGGCCTTCTTTTATCTTTCCTGAAACAACTTTGTGAATGCTTCTAATGAAATCTCTCTTTCAATAAGTGTACAGAGTGGGTTATTTCGAGAGTACCACTCTTTTAGTTTGAACAGCTGCCTTATTTCTCCAACTTCCCTTATCATAATCCTTAACAAAACCTTTTTTGTTTTCCTAAAAAATTTGGAACTTGGGGTCATTTGCCTGTTTGACCTCCTGAGGAGAATTCACCACAACCACATGCCGGGTTGCACTCTGCATGTTACATGTGTGTAAAGGGGCAACAGAGTCAACTCTTTCTAGCAGGTGGCTGAGGGTGTTAGCTAAGAGTTACTCTGAGGTACACACCTGTAGGTTCTGGTGTTCCCTTGGCTCCAAAATAAAAGGGTGTTGATAATGAACCTTAACTCAAGGAGCCATACTCTAGCTCAGTTCCACACCCCAGGGCAGGTGGACAGCCACAATACATTTGTTTGTCTTTTCTAAGGGGTTACAATGGTCTTCGTTGTTTGTGTGAAGTGGGCTAGGCGGCCAAATGCTACACAGTGAGCTTAATGTTTCTTAATGGTTAACCAGTTCCGAGAGATCTGCATTGGCTCCCAGTACGTTTCCGAGCACAATTCAAAGTGTTGGTGCTGACCTTTAAAGCCCTAAACGGCCTTGGTCCTGTATACCTGAAGGAGCGTCTCCACCCCCATCGTTCAGCCCGGACACTGAGATCCAGCGCCGAGGGCCTTCTGGCGGTTCCCTCATTGCGAGAAGTGAGGCTACAGGGAACCAGGCAGAGGGCCTTCTCGGTAGTGGCGCCCTCCCTGTGGAACGCCCTCCCATCAGATGTCAAAGAGATAAACAACTACCTGACATTCAGAAGACATCTTAAGGCAGCCCTGTTCAGGGAAGTTTTTAATATGTAACGCTGTACTGTTTTTAACACTTGATTGGGAGCCGCCCAGAGTGGCTGGCGAAACTCAGCCAGATGGGCGGAGTATAAATAAATTATTATTATTATTATTATTATTATTATTATATGGTGGAGCCGCGTTTGAACCAGTGGCAGCAAGCGAGAGGCAATCTGTTACCCCCTTCAAAGTTGAAAGCAACTTGAAAGAGAGACTGCTGCTGGTGTGATGGATGCATCTATCAATTTTGCATCCGGCAAACAGATTTTGCAAATATTTTTATCTTTTAGCTACCTGAAAAATCTATATGACCTGAGAGGGGGGGAAAGTGTGTATACACATCCTTCAAAGCCAACTTTCCATTCTCTTAGGGACTATTGTGTGCCTTGGGCTATGGCAGGGGTAGGGAACCTCAAGCCTGTGGGCCAGTCTTGCTCCGCCAGAGGTTCTAGTTTGGCTCATGGGGCCATTTCCTGTAAACCACAGCAATCTGTCAATCAGTTGGTGTCACTTGGAATAGCGTTTGGCATCATCTAAAGGGTGGGTTCCCCTCTCCATCCTGCTTGGTTTGGCCGCACGCATTAATTATGTCTGAGGGACTAGTATGTGCAATTGATCCCTGAGAAAAAGGAGCTCGATTTGGTTGTGTGGGGGAATCCCCTGCAGGGAGTTCCCTTGCATACCCACAGCCTGCAGAAAGCAGGATTGAACCCATCCCAGTTCTACGGGCAGAGTTCAATCCTGCTTGCTATCTTCCCCCACATCTGTAGCCCAACTTTGACAGATGGGTGTGACCAGCCACCTGTCAATCAACTGGCATCTTTTGGGCATGAGATGATTGATGGGTGGGTGTCATGGTTGGCTGGATGCAGGTGACAAAGATCTGGCTTCCCAGGTCAAAAAAGTTTACCTAATTCTGGGCTATGGAAACAAACGGTACCTTTTCATCTGATAGTCCTGGATTGTTGGTTGTTTTAACAATTAAAAACACAGCAGGGTTAAGTCACATCAACCTACCAGACCTGCAACTGATTTTCTTGTCACTGCTGATGAAAGGCATCCTGAAATTAAGAACTGGAGAGAGAAAAACCGAAAATAGTAGACAGTAAGAAGTATGTTACTTACATTATCAGGCTCTTTAAAACAGAAACAAACAAAAACCACCCTCCATTTAGACCAGTGGTGTCCAAACTTTTTTCAAAGAGGGCCAGATTTGATGAAGTGAAGGGCCATGAGGGCCCACCAAAGGGCCAACCAAAGTTGTTGATTAAACCGACCAGTGGGCCGGATTAGGCCCCTGAAACGGACTTTGGACATGCCTGACTTAGACATTTCTACATATTTAATACCATTCAACACTGCCTTTCCACCCAATTTTGGGTCAAGTGCAACACAATCCTATGCATGCCTACTCAGAAGTAATTCACAGTACGCTTCAAAATACCCTGTTAAATATTCACTTTGTACGAAAGGTTTCAGAAGAAAAGGAATGTGTTTGGAATGGTGGCAAGTGTGACCTGGTTTTATACTATTCTGGGACAAAACCATTTAAAAAATATCTACACTCATAACATTTCATTTTTCTTTTTCTTTTAGTAATATGAAAATTTGCTTCATTATTAATCAAGCTATACTTTTCAAAGGGCTTTACCTCAGTTTTCTCATTGAGTCTTATGACAGTCCTGTGAGGCAAAGGCATTAGTATCCTAATTAACCAATGGGGGACAGAGGATGCCTCCAGGCTGTCAGTATTTTGTAAGAGTGATTCCATCATATACCAGAACTTTTGAGTTTGTGTGTTTAAAGAAGATTAAGAGGCTGTTCTGCCTAGTGCGATACCCACTTTTGCTGTTTGGAAACTGATGAAGAAATTCACTGAAATGTTTGGGATGAACAAACGACTAGTGAGGAAGACATGTAAACACTCTGCAAGCATGTCAGGGTGAACCTGGGATTGTCATTGTTATCCAACAACTGGTGTATGCCAGTGTTTCTCAAACATTGGTTTGGGACCCACCAGCGGGTCTTGGGCCACTTTCATGGGGGCCTCTCTTTTCTATGGAGAAACAGCCAGTTGAAGGAAATAAAAGAGTGAAATAAATTGTTGTTCTTGAGAATAACTCAGAATAGAAAGGAAGAGCATAAAAAGGGGAAACTGTTATAGGTGGAAGAACTGGGTATTAAAGGGTTGGGGATGAAAAAAATAGGAGAAATCAGGTACAAATGGAGTGTGAAAGGAGAACAGGAGAATATATTACAGGAGATGGATAAAATGCTTTGAGGGTCACACAGGGGTGTGTGAAGGGAGAAGTATATCAGAAAGAGGAGTATATCAGAAAAAGAGCTCCAGAGCCAATGTATGTACTTATCTTGAGGAAAGATGATCTATGGAACTGCTTGCCAAAATGCTGTGACAAAGAATGCAGCAATTTCCAAAGATGGATCTGATATCAGTAGAAAATGTTAGTAACTGTCATGGGTGTAGCCAGGATTTTTGTTAAGGGGATGGACAGGCCTTTTGTTGCGGGGGGGGGGGGGAGCTCAGCTATGCATTTTTATTGATTTTTATCAATGGGGGGGGGGGAGCTGTCCCTCCCTGCCCACCTTTGGCTATGTCCATGGTAACTGCTGATTATGCCAAGCTCTCCCTGTATCGGCTGCCATCTTGTGAATGGTTTTCTGTATGGTGGACCTCAACAGCTTTTAGCCATCTCAAGTAGGCCCTGGAAGCAGAAAGTTAAAAAACCCCTGCTGGCATAAGCAAATCAGGATGAATGGTCAATAAATAATTGCTTGAAGGGGTGATGAATGATTTGTCCCCCAAAAGGAATTTGACACAGACAACACTATTCTACAGCCACACTCTCTTCAAGAAAACATGATATTGCGATGAATCAACAACAATACTATTCATTCTACTTACAAGGGCACCCCCCCAGAAGGGATACCAGACAGTCATGATCCATGTGTCACAATCCTTTGATGAAAAGAGCAAAATGCCTCCAAGACCAAGATGTATCATAGCAATAACCACCTGCATAGCCTTTAGGAAGATGACAAAATTAGAAAAAGATTAAATAAAACAGCTGGCTTAGAGACCATGTCATATGCACACTATTAACTGAACTTCACAAGCCCCATATAATCCATATTGTCCTCCTCAAAACTACAGCACTATCATAAAATCACAAATGACTATACAGTATAGAACAGTGGGGGGAACCTTTCCACATTGATGGAACTGTGAGAATACGTAGAATTTAATAAACGACAGCTACCACCAATGTTTCAAAGGGAAGGGCATATTCAGTGTTCTTTCCCCTCCCATTCTCTATTACAACACACACCAGAATCTAAATAGCCTAAATGAAATGAAATTGTCTTTAAATCTCAGCACAACACACATGAGAGTTCAAGTTGATTAATCATACAGTTAAATCTATGAAAGAGACACCTCACTACAAAGCTTTCTCAGCAGAAAGAGAACCCACTGTTTCTTAAAAATTGATTTATACTCTTCTTCTGCCACCTTCAGAAGGAAAAAGGAAAGTCTCCTGGCAGAGCGCTTGGATTGAGATTGAGTTTGAGACTTGGAGTGTGGCCCTTATCTGCAGCCAGAAGGAGGAAAATTGCAATCCATCTAAGGCTGGATCTACACCCACATTTTAAACATTATTAAACATCCAGTTCACTTTAATTTAAACATGAAGGCGTTGGTTTCCTTTTCCACATTTTAATAACACATTATTAATGTTTAAAAAGAACGTCATATGGCTATATGCAGTGCTTTTTGTTCTTAAAAAATGTTTAGGGGTACTCTCATTTTGACTCAAGAAAACCACCATTTTATAGTTCAAATCGGGGAAAATAAGTACAGTAAATGGACACAAGTACAAAGATTCACAAAATGTTTAGGGGTACAGTGGTGCCTCGCAAGACGAAATTAATCCGTTCCGCGAGAGTCTTCGTCTAGCGGTTTTTTCGTCTTGCGAAGCAACCCTATTAGCGGCTTAACGGATTAGCGCTATTAGCGGTTTAGCGGCTATTAAAGGCTTAAAGGCTTAGCGGATTAGCTGCTAAAAGGCTATTAAAGGCTATTAAAGGTTTAGCAGATTAGATAAGGGGGGGGGGAAGCGAAAAAAAAATCTCAAGACTTGCAAGGCATTTTCGTCTTGCGAAGCAAGCCCATAGGGAAATTCGTCCTACGAAGCAACTCAAAAACGGAAAACCCTTTCGTCTAGCGGGTTTTCCGTCTTGCGAGGCATTCGTCTTGCGGGGCACCACTGTATGTGTAACCCTGCGTCCCATCAGAAAAAAGCACTGGCTATACACGGTTATCAGAAACCCATTTTTAGTGTTAGTGTTTAGAGTATAGATCCGCCCTAAGAGAAGAAGGATGGTGCTAAACAGGCCCAGGGATCCCACACACATACAAAATTTAAACAAGTACTTGTCATAGCACCCTCTGCAAAAAATTGGGGAAACCAAAATTGAGAAAAAATGCTGGGAATCCTTCTGCCCTTGATGGAACTACTAGTTCCTTGGTTAGCATACCGTTATATAGACCATATCTTACATTGGCCCAAGAGGGTGAATCCTGAAAGGAAGGGTCATAGCTCAGTGGTAGAGCTCAAACACTGCCTGCTGGAAGTCCCAGGCTCAATCCCCCAGCAGCTCCAGTCAGGGCTGGAAAAGACTGGAGAGCTACTGCCCCTCCGTGTAGACAATACTGAGCCTGATGGATCAATAGACACAGTGCAAGGCAGCTTCTTATGTTCCTGAGATGATGTTTGTATATATTTTTCTATGGTGTTTTGTGTTTCTATGGTGTTTTGTGTTTTGTATATATTTTTCTATGGTGTTTTGCATCCCATGGACTGCAAGAAGATCAAACGCATCCATTCTTAAGGAAATCAGCCCTGAGTGGTCACTGGAAGGACAGATCATGAAGCTGAGGCTCCAATACTTTGGCCACCTCATGAGAAGAGAAGACTCCCTGGAAAAGACCCTGATGTTGGGAAAGATGGAGGGCACAAGGAGAAGGGGACGACAGAGTACGAGATGGTTGGACGGTGTTCTCGAAGCTACAAACATGAGTCTGACCAAACTGCGGGAGGCAGTGGAAGACAGGAGGGCCTGGCGTGCTCTGGTCCATGGGGTCACGAAGAGTCGGACACGACTAAACGACTAAACACATGGTGTTTTGTACCCATACACCACATTCACAGCCTTTCCCTTTGCTTAGCCCAAGCATACAGGTATTTAGGGAAAATGCAATCTTACCCCCAGAGCATCATTTTCCTCTATGAGTTTCTTCTGTCCTGCACCAACGTGGCTTGGAGGGACAACCACCACAACGTTGCCTGGGTAAGGTGCTTGTGGAGCCAGCCTGTATTGATCCATTCTGCAGATAAATCAATATTGAGAAATTATGGCTGCAGTGTTGCATGCACTTTGATCCTTTCTGCAGCAGGGTTCTTCGTTGCTGCTTAGGCATTGCCCCCGCTCAGAATAAGTTATTAAAATGTAAAATTAAACGAGATAGCCTAGCAAAAGCACTGACACCAACAGGTGGCCAGGTTGAGGCCACATGAAAGCAGTTTTAAAAGCTTCTTGATATCATATATTCCAGTGCAATTGTATTACAGCATGCTGCTGAGGAGTGAAAAATATGCCACCTGTAATGAGTATGGGTTGCTCGTGCGTAAGTTGCCGCCTCTCCTGGCTTTGTTGCCTTGCTAAACCTTTCAGTCTGGGCAGCCCTTCACTTCGTGGCTGCCTCAGTCGCTAGCAGAATCCGTCAGTGGGCGTTTCTTAAATCTCTTCCAACATAAAAGTTGTTTGACACCCAGTCTCCTCCTACTCTCTCTGCGCGGAAGTCTTCTGCGCAGGGAGGGCGTGGGTAGAGGAGGACCCGTGCTCTCCCCGCTGGTGTCCAGTGAAGAGTCCTGGAGCCCTCTTGCCGATTCCCCCATCAGCCCCCCTTTATCCCTGGTGTTGCGCTGATTTGCTTCCCCATCTGCGGAGCTGCCTCTCTCCCTGCTGGGCCCTTCTCCAGCATCATTTGAGAGCCTTCCCTCCGCCTCTAGCTCTGATGTCAGTTCCCTGACACCACCCTTTCACCTGCCTTCTGGTGTCAAGGGGATGGCTTATTCTAGCCAAAGCTAAACACATTTTTAAGTTAATCACATGCTCTGTTAAGGCTGCACCACAACTTTGTGGGTGGTTCTCTAGGTACACACCGCTAAGTTTCCTCTAGCAGATACACCGTCTGTTCCCACCCAACTTCCTGTGAAATAAATTCACTGTAAATGGTCTGTCGTGGGACCAGAGCCACTGTAAGACATTGCTGTCCCCAATTCCTATTTCTGTCCAAGGAAGAAACCATGGCCAATTGCATCCAAAGTTGCAGAGAGACTGAGAAGCAGGAGCAAAGTCCCACTTCCTTTGTCTTCCACACTCCCAAGGCCTCCTGAAGCTGTACTATTCTTCCATCTCATCAAAATCGCTTCCTGCTCATTTCCTCCTTATACTTCCTAGCATTTAAAAAGTGATACCCTATAGCTTTTGATATAGGTTAAGAATGGAATGGAAGTGACAGCATTTTATGAGATAAAAATAAGTCAGGCTTTTTCTCCTGGTTGCAGAAAAGAAGCCGTCTGAGAACACACTGATCCAATTCAAACTGTGTGTGTTTTATAGCACTAAAGAGTCAGAAAAAGCATTATGTTGCTTTCCAGAACAGTAGCTCAACAGTATTGTTCTGTTGTAATAATACAAAATAACTGTATAGTTCTTTGAGAGCAACACTCTCAAACCCACTTACTTACTTCCAAGAAAATATGCATAGGATTCAGCCTTTTAATCCAATACAGTACTGGTTAATCCAGAACATTTGTGATCCACTTGGAAGCCTATATTGGCATTAAATTAATATATCATCATTATCACCATCTCTGACACTGCCTATGCAGCTGCATTTGATGTATCAATGTGGAGTCACCCTCGCTTGCCCAAACATTCTTACCGTGGATAGAAAAGAGAGCCAGGTGTGGTCTCCATAGATGGCACTTCTGCTTCGAGCTGACTGAGGAGGGCTTAAAGAAAACAGGTGGCTGTGGTGAAAGGGATACTGTGTTTGGGAACAGGAGAAGAATGAAGAGCAGGCCTGAAGGACGGAGCTACGCAGCTACATCCTTTTCAGACTTAGCTTCCTCCCCTTAGCTAATGCATAGCCAATTATGTTGTGGTTATATGTGGTCACCTGATTTCTGAGAAATGTCAGCAAGCAAATAAGAGAATTTCGGTTTCTAGAAACCGAAAGAAAAGGCATTTGACGAGGTGAAACACGTGTTTTCAGCAGCGCCCTAAATACCCCATCTAACTTGCCAGTGCCAAGATCTTCCCAGGACAACCCAACCTCTGAGGGGTGGTGCACAACACCCCAATCTGCCAGTGGTGCAAGATTTCAGGGGGTTCCAGGCAGTCTTAGCCATAGTCCATGTTTTCTTTTGGAAATGAGGCACAATGGAGACTGTGGTGTCTTTCTGAGGCTCACAGCATTAACACTCCAAGAGGGTCTTGCTTCTCCCATAGCAGCTGCCTTTTATGAGGCTTATAGGTTAGAGCTATGGCTTACCAATGAGAAAGGATGCTTGTATAATTCCTTTTATTAGACTCTGCCCAGAAGAGAGTTTTCTAATTGTAGTCCCTGGAAGATGAATCTGTTTAAGTTCACATCAGTCCCAGGAACATAGACAGAAGTGGCTCAGAGGAAGCAAAAATTGTTTTACTATAATTGAGGCCTCAGAATGTTGACAAGGCAGAGCAGGGCAGAGACATGTACCATGGACTCCAAATGTGGTATTTTAAGAATTAGAAGAAAGATAGCACCACTCAGTTATTTTTATCTGAAAAGGGAATTCTGAATGGCAAGGAAATTAATGGCTTGCAGGCAATTGCATTTTTGTTGCAGAATAATGAGTTTGTTCTTCAACTTCATTTCCATTTCCATGCTCACATCTGTATAACTTTAAATCACCATTATTACCATTAGAGTAGTGTGAGCTATTACTGTGTGGTGCCAGAGGTGTCTGTCCCTCTCTTTGGGCTACATTGAGATAGAAATGTGTGGACATCACAAGATCACATTGTTATAACAACAACAATAACATTTATTTATTATTTATACCCCGTCCATCTGGCTGGGTTTCCCCAGCCACTCTGGGCAGCTCCAACAGAATTAATGATAATAATAAAATAAAAAGCGATAAAACATCAGACATCAAAAACTTCCCTAGGATAGGTACTTGGTTTACAAGACATTTAGAAAAACAACACAGGACCAGGGGAAAACATCTTTTTTATTAGGACCAACCGAAGTTCACAGTGAGGTATGCAAAGTTTCAGATTTCATAGAACTCTTCCTTAGGCTGGTGTTTGAAACTAAACTTAATAAAGAGATTTTTTTAAAAGGATGATATTTCTTGGTGAGAACATAGTGCCTGCTGTTTGTATCAAGATTAAGAGAGTAATGACATAAGTTATTACAACAAAAAAGTTTAGAATGGTATTCTGAGCAAAAGAGCAAGGACTACACAGAGCTATGCTGGGATTTGTCATTGGAAATGCAAAAGAAGCAATTAGATAATGGAAATTATATATGACATTTAAAGGTAAAGGTAAAGGACCCCTGACAGTTAAGTTCAGTCGTGAACGACTCTGGGGTTGTGGCGCTCATCTCGCTTTACTGGCCGAGGGAACCGACGTTTGTCCGCGGACAGTTTTTCCGGGTCATGTGGCCAGCATGATTAAGCCACTTCTGGCGAAACCAGAGCAGTGCACAGAAACGCCGTTTACCTTCCCGCTGGAAGGTATCTACTTGAATTTTGATGTGCTTTCGAACTGCTAGGTGGGCAGGAGCTGGGACCGAGCAACGGGAGCTCACCCTGTCACGGGGATTCAAACCGCCGACCTTCTGATCGGCAAGCCCAAGAGACTCAGTGGTTTAGGCCACAGCGCCACCCGTATCCCTAAATATGACATTTAGACCTGACTAAATCTCTGGCCACTGTGCCATAATCTTTGTAGTACATTGGTTTCAATGCAACATAGTGCATTTTTATCCTAGGATAAGATGGGGAACTTGTCCAGATGTTGTGGGACTCCACTTCCCACCAACTCTACCAACATGGCCAGTGGTCAGGGATGATGGGAGCTCTAGTCCAACAACTTATGGAGAATATAAAAAAATAGTCCTGCTGGATCACAAAAAGTCCCATATAATCCAGCATCCTTTTCTGACAGTGGCCAACCAGAGTACAACAGCACTTTCCCTGTCTGCAGTTCCCAGCAGCCGGTGCTCACAGGCATACAACCTCTGACACAGAAAGTAGAATATAACTATCATGACTGGTAGTCATTGATAGCTTTCTCTTCCATGAATTTGTCTCATTCTCTTTTAAAGCCATCCAAGCTGGTTGTCACCACTACATCTTGTGGCAGCAAATTTCGTCCTACATTCAACTTCATTGGATTGGCCCCGGGTTTTAGTATTCTGAGGGAGAACCCTTGTCCTCGAAAGGCAAGTGAGAGTGATGAAATAGTACACAGTCTAAAGTTAATATCCAAGAGTTTGGTGAGCATAATAAACAATGGAGGGGGGAAGGGCAAAATCACAGTGTGTGCTCTTAAGTGGGTGGGTGGGAAGTCACTAGTCTCCACAAAGGGAGTTTGTGGAGTTAGTACCTGAAGGAACTGAAGTTCCTTCAGGTACTAAGGATTTAGGCTCAGGGCAAAAAAGTCTAGTTGCAGCTTTCTGTTTGACTTCAATGGAACTGAGGAAATGCCGGGCAACCATTCCATTCCATTCATGCCTCAAGAGGAAACAGGCTGTGAAGGAAAACAGAAACTCAGGTTCTTCTCATAAGCAGTCAGCAGTCAGCCTTGTTGTCCCAGCCTTTTTGCATCTCCTCCTCCCTTCCCCCTTCATGTCTGATTTAAATGCTAGAGCCTGCCTAAAAATGCCTTATCTGTGGCCACCACACCATGAGTGTAACCTTTAAGCATATTTACTTCCCAAACAGGGCCATTGTACTGAGAGGGGGATACACATTTACATCTTCCTTCCTTCCTTCCTTCCTTCCTTCCTTCCTTCCTTCCTTCCTTCCTAGTAAGTCAATTGGACTCTTATAAAGAAAGTTATAAAGGAAAATGTGCAGGCAAGCCTTAACCTTCTAAGTCAGATAGGCCAGCCTGGAGTGTTTTTCTTATTCAATCTCTGTAGGGTCCCCCCTGTCACGGCTAAACTGGCCGCTGTTTCTTTAATGCAAATACAGCTGGGTCAGCATGACTCAGCGGCCTGCAGCAGGTTGTATATATAAGTGAGAAATGTTAGTTTGCGCTGAGGCTGGTGTTTGGGTTGGTTGGTTAGTGCTGGTGTGTATAGTTATTCAGTCGTGTTTTGCACAAGGACTTTTAAGAATAAAACTCTGCAAGGATATTCTCGTGGACTCTTTTTGTGCCGACAAGGAGACTGAGGAGATAAAGGGAGGTCAGAACCCTTTCCTTCTTTTTTTGCTTTTTACAAACACTGACACCCCCCCGCCTACAGAAATGCAGCAGTACAGTGCAGTCCCCTACCTGTGTTCACAGTTAATCATATTTTATTATATTCCATCACTTGTATGAGTCTGGGATGTGATGGTGTTTGGTGCAGGGCATTAGTGACCAAAATAGCATGTGCCTCTATCACTGTCTCCAGCCTCCTCTTCTCCAACTCACGACTCTCTGACCTTGCTGTTTCCTACATCACCTGGCACCTGCTTCCTCCCATAATAGAAGACTAGCAAACTTACCGCATCCTAATCAGCGGTGGTCTATCTACGACACACAGCTTTGCATCCAAAGGCTGCCATGGAACTGCAAATAAAGAATCCTAGGGAAGTTAAAACCAGGAGATTGTTACGCATGACTGTACAACACTCCTTCAAAATAGAGCATGAGACAGTGAATGAGATGGTTGTTCTGTTACCCTCTGCTCAAAGGAGAGCCTTATTGACAGCTGACTCTGAGGTACAGTACATTTACTTAGATGTGAGTCCCATTGATTTTAAGGTACTGGAAACACAGGTCTGCAAGCCTTGCAATTCTAGATCATAGGAACAACATAGGAAACCATGGTTCATCTAGTTTAATATTGTTTACATTGACTGGCAGAGTCACTCCAGGGTTTCAATGTAGGGGGAAAATCACACAGAAGCATATTGCAGCCAGAAAAGGCAAAAGAAACAAAAAACATATGGCACAGTAGCTGAGGCACATGCTGCTTCTGTGGCTGAAGATATTTGTACAGTACAGACTTAAACAGTACAATTCCAGGGAAGCTGAAAAGTGCAATTCTGGAGGGAAGCTAGGCATCTCTATAGAAGAATTCCTAGGACTTTCATCAGAGTATGGCTGCTTCCCGGTGGGTGGTTCCTAGTGCTACCCTATTGCTTTTCCATTGTAAGCTACCAGCAGATGACAGCATCAGGAGCACTGAGTTTTTTCTAGATGTGCATCCTGCTTTTTTATGTTCACACCAGTAGGCGCAGCATGACATATCTGCTATGGGTGGGACATTTGCAGCTCAGCACATGTTCATTGTTGTTGTTTTTTAAATAATTTTTTTTATTAGGAATTCCAACATGACAATTTTAACAAAAGTACATAATCCCCATTATCCCCCCATTTCCCAATTTTACTTTCATGTTAACTTGTCGTTTTAGGGGTTGTTTTTAAAAGTCTGGAATGGATGAATCCATGTTGCATTCATTTCTATGGGAAAGTGCGCCTTGGTTTTGGAACGCTTTGGTTTTGGAACGGACTTCTGGAATGGATTAAGTTCAAGGACCACTGTAGTGCATTTGCACCTAGATGCTTTGACCCCAGAAAATGAATTTTCTTCTTGTAGAATGTAACTTGTGGGTGCGCGCATGCTATTTATTGTATGCATCTAAACAATAATAATATAATAATAATAATAATAATAATAATAATAATAATAATTTATTATTTGTACCCCGCCCATCTGGCTGGGTTTCCCCAGCCACTCTGGGCGGCTTCCATAGAAACAAAAAATACAGTAAAATATTACAGATTAAAAGCTTCCCTTAAGATGTCTTCTAAATGTCAGGTAGTTATTTATCGCTTTGACATCTGATGGGAGGGCGTTCCACAGGGCGGGCGCCACTACCGAGAAGGCCCTCTGCCTGGTTCCCTGTAGCTTTGCTTCTCGCAATGAGGGAACCGCCAGAAGGCCCTCGGCGCTGGACCTCAGTGTCCGGGCAGAACGATGTGGGTGGAGACGCTCCTTCAGGTATACTGGGCCGAGGCCGTTTAGGGCTTTAAAGGTCAACACCAGCACTTTGAATTGTGCTCGGAAACATACTGGGAGCCAATGTAGGTCTTTCAAGACCAGTGTTATGTGGTCTCGGCGGCCGCCCCCAGTCACCAGTCTAGCTGCCTCATTCTGGATTAGTTGTAGTTTCCGAGTCACCTTCAAAGGTAGCCCCACGTAGAGCGCATTGCAGTAGTCCAAGCGGGAGATAACTAGAGCATGCACCACTCTGGAGAGGGTGCCCAGCATTATACTGGCAATTAATAACTCCCTACCCACCACCCCTCCGATGCAGCTTCCACATCTGTATGTCAGTAGCACTGTTTATTCTAAAGTAGTTTTCATGGAGGAAACAGAGACCTGGCTTGGACCCTGGAAGTACTCACTGCAACCTGATGCCCCATTTCACAGTACTCCTCAATTCTACTGCACCTCAAGTTCCCATAACGGGGATTGAACGGTATGTCTTCCAAGTAGAAAACATTGATCACAGCCACCACAATTGTGCAGGTAATGTAGATGACAAGACAGGCTCTCACCTGAAAGAGAAGGGCGAATGGTGCCACTTCTAGGAATGTGGTTACCCAAGAACTTTATTGACTCCCGCCCACCCGCACCAGACCTATGTGTGGCCTAAGTGAAGCAGTACTGCCACACAGTGGCGATGCTGGTGCTGAGCAAGCCAAGAAGGAAGCACAGGCAGGGATTTCTGCTGCTGGCACAGGGCATGTTCCCAGCACCGGTGCTTTTCTGCCCAGTGTAAAAAGAGGTTCCACCATGGGTGGTGGGTCAGCCCCAGAGGAGCAACACCAAAGGGCATTTCACCTTTGGCGCATCACGTCAAGGAGATCTTTGGGTGAAGGACGGTATATAAATTTAATAAATAATAATGATAATAATTTTCAATCCTGCATGTTCAGTTAGGAATTGAGCAGGGGAAAGTGACCTGCCTCTATGTGTGATCTCCCTTTAAAACAAAGCATGTGTTTGGGTAATTTGGGTTAATTTGTTACCCAGTGCCAGATCTAGGATGGTGTGGTTGGTTCTGCTGATTGGGGTGCCAAGCTACGGGGGCACAAAATTGAGGATCCATTTGGGGGCACCAAATTTTGGCCTCACACAGTGCACCATATTATGAAAGATTACCCAAGTCCACTCCTGTGTTACCAAATATTTGTATGGTGGTAATGCTGCTGTTGCAAATCCACTTCAAATCAGGCTGCAATCTGGTAGTGGGGCCCAGCCCACCAGACATAGATCAAGCAATAGAGCATATTTGGCTGCTGGTGGCATAGCAGCTTTGTACCTGCTAGCTGTGATGATGGGTGATGGAGGAAGAACACAAGGCAAGTTTGATGGAGACCTCACACTGACCAATTGGTGGGTGGGGCTGCAGAACTACATAGGTAGGCTGTCTGGTAAGTGGCCTGGGGGATTTAAGCTGTGTACACATTACCATTTGTTCTGGCTCGGTATTCTCCCATTGCTGGTATTTGAAGCATGACATTAGTCACAATCCATATCTACCCTGTAACCACATGACCTGGAAAGCTGTCTGTGGACAAACGCCGGCTCCCTCGGCCTGAAAGCAAGATGAGCGCTGCATCCCATAGTCACCTTTGACTGGACTTAACCGTCCACAGGTCCTTTACCTTTTGCCTTTACCTACCCTATAGTTCCTTGAGAAATACTGCTATTGGATGCCTTCTTCCCCTCAAATTAGCTTCCATCCAAAGGTAAGGCACATTCGTGTCACAATTAAGCAGAAGAGTACACCTTTGAGATAGTCATTGCATATGCACATCAAAAGCAGAATAAGTTGGGACAAGGAACTTCCTTGTCACAGGCAATCCTGCTGTTATTATTCTGTGCCTCTCTGCTGCCACCTGTTCCTCAAGCTGTTTATCCAAAGTAACCTCAGATGACACATTTTGTGGTTTGGAAGCATAAAATTAAACTGCTTACTCAAAGTGGTTTTGTTTTATTTACAATGATAGAGAAAGTAGGGGGGTTTGCTTTATTTATTATGACAGACATTTAAACAAGAGAAAGAAGTGAGATAGCAACAGGCAGGGAGAAAGGGATGGGTGAGGAGTGATTTGCAAATCCTCCCCTTTAGCACCAGTAACTTCTATTCCTGATGCTCCTCAAAGCATTAGCATGTTGTTGGTTTTCCTCAGCTGGTCTTCATTGGGGGAAGGCTCATTTTAAAGTGAGAAAGGACTGCAGAGGAACAGCATTCCCACCCTACCAATATCTCCTGACTGCTACCCCACATTAGTGTTACATGACAAAGGCAGGTTGGGAACTCCTCTTATTAGTCCCCCTAATTTGTAGTTATTGTGTCCTGATTAGCTGACTCAGTGGAAGAGAGCAGCAAGTTAGGAACTTAAAACAGTTTACAAGAGAAAGCGGCCATGTTTGTTTCTTGTGGCAAAGATCCCGTGGGTCTGCCTATCTTCCATCTTGCATATCTAAAGAAGCATACACATGATCACATAGAAATATGAGTGGGTGATGTAAAATTCATAATGACCTCCAAAAATGGGTGGGCAAATCTGTCAATTTTGATTTCTTTCCATTTCACTTTTTCCAAATACAGTGGTACCTCGGGTTAAGAACTTAATTCGTTCTGGAAGTCCGTTCTTAACCTGAAACTGTTCTTAACCTGAGGTACCACTTTAGCTAATGGGGCCTCCCGCTACCACTGCACCGCCACCACGTGATTTCTGTTCTCATCCTGAAGCAAAGTTCTTAACCCAAGGTACTATTTCTGGGTTGGCAGAGTCTGTAACCTGAAGCGTCTAACCCAAGGTACCACTGTATTTAAATCAGCATGCAAAAAAAAAAAAAAAAGTCCCCATGAAAACCCATCAGCATGTTAGTGCAATTTTCTCCTAATATACACAGATTTGTATGCAATTTTCCCATCTAGGCACAGTTTTCATAGCACAATTTCCCCCAATATACTTTTTTTGCATGTTATTTTCACTCATATATGCACTATTATGCACAAATTACTTCACTGGAGAACCGCATTGCAAAATTTGGGCAAGAGTGAATTTCAAAGGATGGCACTGCTTTAGAACTCGTATAATTTCAGGAAGTGTGAATTTGGTAGGTTCACCTTTAAATGCAAACTGAATCACATTTCTCCCTCATTACTTTCCAATTTCGAAACGGTCCTAAGGTCTTTCACAGGCACCACTAGTCAAGCAATTTCTAGAGAGCAAAGGAATACATCCATGGGCCTGCCCTTCCATTTTTGTTTTTAACTCTCCACTTAAAACCCTTGTGTACAGTTTTTAATAAAATACCACCACACTTTTGTGTTTTTGCACTGTCAATCATTTATTTGTTAAACAGCTGAATCTTCGGAGAGAAGCCATTTGCCCACTAGCTGCTGGCTACTCTCCTGTCAGGTCTCTTGGAGATAGCTCTGGATTTCCCAGAGGAAACAACAGCTACTGAGCCAGTTGCTGCAGGTGCCATGGCAACGGCACTAACTTCCACCAAAGCTGCACGGATGGTCTTCATGCGATATCCACGACGGGACCGTCTGCTGGAGCAGTAACAGCCCATAATCGACAGAAATATAATGAAGGCACAGGTAGTTATTATGACCATGGTGGCAATGGAGAAGGGGAAATGGAGGAAGAACCCTATTAGCGGAAGGGAGGGAAAAGAGGAGTGTCAACAGAGGCAGTTCACAGAGATGTTATAAAGCTGGTTGTTCCTTACTTCATCCACATCACAGAACTATTTGTACTTCAAAATTTAGAAAGGCACTGTGCAATAAAATACAGAGCTTACTGGGTGTCAAGGCTTTCAGACCTACAGGCCTCCAGTCTCAAAGTAACTGGTTGTTGCTTTTCAGTGGCAAGGAAAGTATACTCTGCCGATGCTAAAAGGCACTTTTGCTGGGGGCAAATACAGGTTTCGGATCTGAGCCCAGGCTCAAATCAAGCCTTACAGAAAGGGGACGTCATCTACTGCATCGACAACAGACCCTTCTCCACACAGCAGTTTATTGCGGAGTTGGTGCTGTTCACACCTAGTTGTCTTGCACCATGTCTACACAAAACAATGCCATCCCATATGGCCCAAGTGACAGAACCTTGTTCAAATCTCATGGAATTCCTAGGTGACAAACTGAAGGGCCTGTCCCCCTGCTATAAAATGCAAGAGGGCTATTTTTTTATTCCATCTTATTTCACTCCTAAATATTATGGCCAAAACCATGCCAGGATTTTGTGCAGCTCAATTTGGTTGTTTCATGTTAACATACATAATTAGTCTTGTCAGTTTAAGTCATTGCTGTGCTGAAAAATTTATCATTGTGTTTGGACCATTCTCTATCAATTCTGAAGCTCTTACCAGATCCTTCCTTCACTCTCTCCCTCACGATAATAGTCACCCTCTGGTTAGCAGGCAACTCAGCAGCCTGGGGAGCCTTGAGTGTGGCATAGCTGGTCACCACAGACATCGTCTCAGAAGTGCTGATGTCATTCAGTGTGGAGGAGCTGTTTGTTGGCTTTCCTTTCAGTGCAAGGGGACCAAGCTTGAGGTTGGCTTCTCCAGACAATCCTGCAAGGAGGAAGCACAAATCAAAGGCTCACGAATACAGACCTACTCGCCCATTTGTTGTCACCCCACTGCCTTAACACAGTATTTTCAGCCTTCTCTGTACAGCTCTTGTATAGAAATGAACAGGGCAAGCTGTTTTAACTCTCCTCCAAATATAGGTCATGGTTGGAAATGTTGTTCCCAGCATTTATGGTGAAACGAGCGAGTGAAGCCATACAAGTTACAAATAAGTGGCTGCTTCTGTTTGGGCGCCAAATGGAACCAGTTGACCAGTGGAAGTCAACATGGTGTCCTTCAGACGTAGACTACAATTTCCATCCATCCCTGACCACTGACCATTGTGACTTGGGAATACTGGAAGTTGGAGTCCAACTGCATCTCTGCAGTAGGCAGTCATTCTTTTGAACCTTTTGATTAGCAGGTACATAAAGTCAATGATACAAAATAGGTTTTAGGGAGAGGATTTCACCTTTCTTCTGCTGTTGCCTTCTCTTCCTCTTCTTGCTCTCACACCCACTAGGAGAACCACAACAGGAGCAATCTCCTCCTTCATAGGAACTCCATGATGCAGTAGTGAGGTCATAGGAGCATGCCTTGTTGCGAGGGTCCGCAGAGCCAACAGGCACCGCCTTCAAGTGACATATGAGGTAGATCTAGACAATCAAATTAGGTTGTACATTAGGTTGTCACTCTGTTCCTAGCATTTGTAGGCTAGGGAGGACCTTGCAAAACTAAATCTGACACACACAAGGGCAGGTTCATCAACCCAGTGGCAGAGTGCAAATGCCTGGCATGGAGACTCAGACTCTCACTAGCACCGCCAAAACTAAGATGCATCTGATATTGTGGATGTGCCATTCAAGCCCCTTGTGAGATAAATGGGAGGGGAAACAACACAGCCCATGGGCCCTCACAGGATGGGAAAATTGGAATGCTAACAGAAGGATGCCCTCATCACTCACGCAGAGTCATTGACGTGAGGCAATGTCTCATCCATAAAGTTGACATTAGATTTTCCACATGCTTACTAACTCCACTGTCCCCCCAAACAGCAGTTGACCATAAAACTAGTGTAGTACTAGTCCCATATCGGAGGTTCAGTTCCCTTCCCCCCCCCCTTCCCCCTCAACCTGGTGGTTGGAGGCCCCAATGAAGGTGAATGTGTCCAGCTGGAGGCGGCTGATTCCATCTTCCTGCGTGGGGAGGAAACGGGAGTTGCTTTGCTGCCCATCTACAAGGCACCTGCAATACAGACAGAAGCAGGCATGAATGATCCAATTTCCTCCGTCCTATTATTAATATGAGTGCCACACTCATGGCAGAGCTGGTCAATTTCTAAACAAGCTAAACATCTATCTTTCAAGAAAAAAGAAGTGAATGTACTCTTATTTCAACAGGCATATAGTGTTTAATATCTCTTCCTTTCTTTTGCACAACAACAGTTTGTAGCAAACTCTGGATCCAGCTAAACACAATGGTGGCGGCAGCGCATGGCTCTGCTGGTCAGCGCTGAAGGGAGCTGCCCTCCAAAAACATCTGGAGGGCCCACAGCTTTGCCACCCCTAGCTTAGAAGAGCTTTGCCACCCCTAGCTCAAGTCCCATTTTCAATTAACTTCAGTGTTGAATGTGGTCACAGCCATAGAACTGATTCCAGTTTTCTTTTCCCCTGTTGCCATTCCCCCATGCCTGGGCCTGCCACTCCCCATCTCCTACCCATGATTTGTGATGACTTCGTATTTCACAGAGGACTCAGCGTTTGGCCGGGCAACACACTCATCAATGTAGATCTTCAGAGGAACGTGGCTGCCCTTCCTTACTGATGCTTGGATGTTGATTAGATCCCCAAGATAGTAAGTGGGGTCAGACCTAGGTGCTGACCAGGTACCTGGAAGGAAGAACATAGAATCATTACATACACGTCAGTAAGAAGCAAGCCAAGAGCCACATAACTACAAGCTCCCTTGCTAGAACACAGCACTTCACCTGCCAGTATTACTTCCAGGTTATTTGGAAGGACTTGGGTAAGATTTCTTTAATGGGCCCCTTCTGTGTAAGCCATTTCCTCCTTGCTGCTGTCCCTTCTCCATTTTAAAACAAATTTCTATTGGTTTTTAAACAAATACAATAACCATTAAACACTTAGCAAGCAGCACATCTAATGGTGTTTGTTTTATCCGCTGTCTCTAGTCATACACTTACACATTCAACATTCAAACATACTGCATAATGTAACCTCTCCACTGACTGATCAGCTGAGGAGGGGCCTATGTGTCTGTGCATGTATGTGTTCTGCAGGAGCATGAGGTGCCCATGCCCAGCCCTGGCAATTAGCCCCTAGTGCAGTGGTTTTCAACCAGTGTACGGTGGCACCCTGGGGTGCCTTGAATGATGGCCAGGGGTGCCACAGGCCACAGTGGCCTCCAGCCCTCTCTTTCCTCCCCTCCCTCCTCTGATGCCTTCTCAAGTCTCTGCTTCTCAAAGGCTTGCACAGCTGTTTATTGCACCAGCCCTGGCCACAAGCTCCCCAGGTGAATGGGGCCTCTGGGGCTGGCCAGGGGGTACTGGTTGCCAGGAGCTGAAGTGGCCTTGGAGTAAGCAAGTGGGCGAGGGAGTCCAGCCAGCCAGTCCACCATCCCTTGCTGTTGGGAATGGACAGACAAGTGGGAGGCCGGACAGGCAGGTAGGCAGACAGGCATTGCACTGGCCTTGTGTTTGCTGTGTAAGGCCTGCCTGTGAGCTGAGTGCCGGGTGCTGAAGGGGAGCCTTTCCACCATGCTGGCCTGGTGGCACCCACCGCTGCCTCCCAAGGTGAGAAAGATGGTGGCCTCACATTCACCTTCAGCCAGTCTCCATTGTGCTGCTAAGGCTTGAGGCATCCTCTTCCCAGGCTCCTGTGGGGCGGCATGAGGCGGCACCTTTCTTTGGGGTGGGGGTGGGGCAGTGGCTGCCCAGAGGACTCCCAAGGAGAGTGGAGAGGAGAGGGAACATTCCACGAGGGAGGGTTTTCGAAAAAGAGTGAGAGGCTGCCAGCTCTGAAGGCAAGGGGTGACATTACTGGGCTCCTGAGTGCCACAGGGGTGCCACAGAAAGAAGGTAGTTGGTCAAGGGAGCCATGGACTCAAAAAGGTTGAAATATTAATAAATGATGGCCATGATGATTTATTTATACCCCGCCCATCTGGCTAGGTTTCCCCAGCCACTCTGGGCGGCTTCCAACAAAATATTAAAATACAATAATTCATTGAATATTAAAAGCTTCCCTAAACAGGGCTGCCTTCAGATGTCTTCTAAAAGTCAGATAGTTGTTTATTTCTTTGACATCTGGTGGGAGGGCATTCCACAGGGCGGATGCCACTACCGAGAAGGCCCTCTGCCTGGTTCCCTGTAACTTTGCTTCTCACAGTGAGGGAACCGCCTAAAGGCCCTCGGCACTGGACCTCAGTGTCCAGGCAGAACAATGGGGGTGAAGACGCTCCTTCAGGTATACTGGGCCGAGGCCAAGGGAACTGGCCAAGGGTGAATGCAGCCTGTGAGCCAAAGACCACCAGCCATTACTGTATAAAAGCTTACAAAACCCCCCAAAAAACCTTGCAGAGGTGCAAATGGAACACGTGTCCACCAGAAGCAAACGACCCTATAAGAAAACACCTTTTGTTTCCCAAATAAACTATTGTCACCTCTCTCCAACCAATGTTTAATCAAGTGGGCAACTCTGTTCCTAGGTTTAACTAATATTGCAGCTTACTGTAAATTGGAGAGAGGCATGCTAGCCAGCTGACTAAGAGCACTCACTGTCATAGACTTCAAGGGCAAACTCCAAGCGCTGATTTTCCATCACGGTGGATCTGAAAGGGATCCATGTGGGCTGTATTCCAAGTGAGGAGACATTCCATGACCTAGAAGAGAAACCAGGTTTCATCTACTTCCTTCTTATATAATTCAGAAGGCTTATTGCTCTTTCTGTAGGACAGATCTTATGCATCACATGCCTCTTCTTTCTTTTTGCATGCTGTTATTATCCTTGTAGGCCCCCAAAGTACATGGTGTTTTAGCAGCTGCAGACTAAATTGCCACACTTTGCTAAGGATCAAACCTCAGGGATAGACACCAAGACATCTCAACATCTCCTTAACACAATCCATCCATTAAAACATTCTTCCTAGAATGAAAGATGCTACCTTGGCCAGATAGCCAATGGGAGAAGCTAGATCCACACATTTAAGTATTTGGAGACCAGATGTGATCAAAAGCATAAGAGGCATGCTGCCGGAGGCGTTGCAGACCCCTCAGACTTTGCATCTGTTTTGGGGCTGTTTGTGATTCATATGACAAAACAATTTCATGGTTGGCACATTCCTACTAAACATGATTTTATCTGGAGACATTTATGAGTCCTGGATATATTTTGTATACATATGAACCTTTTATCCTATGACTGAATATATGCTACACATTTATGCTACTCATTCTTTTTCTAGCTCTTTTATTTTTATTCTCCTCGGGGCTTTTTTTTCAGCCAGAACTCTCCGGAACTCAGTTCTGGCACCTCTCAGGTGGGTGCCATGGCCATTCTAAGAGAACGAGCGAGGCGTTCATGGGGAGTTCCAGCACCTCCTTTTCTAGAAAACCAGCACTGATTCTCCTTACCATTATGACTGGGGGTTTTTTTATTTTAAAAATGTATTTTAGTTTGCTGCTTTGCTTATTGTCTTTTGCAAATCTGAAGAAGAAGAAGAAGAAGAAGAAGAAGAAGAAGGCGGCCCCACCTTCTTTTCTTACATTAATGGGATAGTCCAGCATCTCTCACTTGCACAATATTCCTTCCAGAACCAAGACTTACCTTAGGTAGAAACAATCTATGGGATGTGAGAACTGACTGGTCCGGATCACACCATTTGCAGCAGAAGGCATGTAGTAGAGAACATTTCTATAGTGGATACTGTCTGGGAGGAACTAGGAGCCAGATATAAGTTGTAAGTCTTTAGGATCTTTTACAAGACTGTGAAAGAGATAGCATTTCAGGAAAACCCAATGTTATCGAGCCTATATAAACTCCCAGTCTTCTTACCACCCAGCTGTTCAAAGCAGAAATCAAAGCTATGCAGTACAGAGGCAAGTGCAAACCCCCCAAAGTCCACTGAAGCTGTCATCTACACAGCATAATGCTAGAATGTTAAATTTATATTTTGGTGTCAAACTGCTATGACACAATCAGGTTAGATTTCATGAAAGAGCATTTAAAGAAATTCTGCTCATCACCCTTTGCCCCCCCCCATTCAGTTCATCCTCTATTTAAAACCCCATTCAACGCATCCTCTATTTAAAACCTTTTCTTATGAGGCAATAATCAATATTTTATTTATAGACATATTTATGGATATATTTTTAGCCAATTTTGCGCCCCCCTCGCCTGCGCCCCTGGTGGGGGCTCACCTCACCACCCCTTAGCTACAGCTCTGTATATAACCCAGACAAGTCACAAAGGATCCTGGAATCCTAGATTTGGAAGGGATCTTTGAGATCCATCTAGTCCAGCTTCCTCAATTCTGTGTAGGCTTTTCTTACTTCTCTGATGGCTCCACATGCATGGAGAGGGTATTCCAGCTGCAGCACATCTTGATAAACAGCAGTCACGGAACAGCCAGATCCCAGGGTCAGTTCATGAACGCCAACAGCCACGCCCGTCCCAAAGAGATCCACCGGCACTGTGATCAATACGTGCGAGCTGCCGCATGACACAGACACTGCAGAAAGCACAGGGACGGGTCATTTACTGAACACTGACACACATCATTTTACGGTCATGAACGGAACCAATATGTTACTGTAAAGAATATGGCAGCTAGTAGGCCAAGCACCCTCTCAGCCCTGCATCTTGCTTTCCACAGTGGCTAACCAGACGCCTATTGAAATCCCTGAAATAGGATGCCAGAGAGAGTAGCAGGTGATGGGGGAAGCAGCAAACATCACCACCTTGGTTGGCCTAGTATGGCCATGCTATGACACACTGGGGTTGTCACACCATCCTCCCTTCCTTCTTAATTTTAAGAATTTGTAGTTAGGGAACAGTTGGAGAGATACGTACACAGTTATAGATGCTTCTTTTGTTTGTTTTTTACTTTTAAAAAGTTCTCTTTTTCTAAAATAAAACAGACCTGTTGCCAAGTAAATGGGTTCAGCATCAGGTCAGCAGAAGCAAACCCCAATGTATTCCTGTGCTCTTGGTAGTGCTATCATTCATCAAGCAAGTTTCAGCTTAAAACATGAAACTGCACATGTTCAGAGAATTGCTTAAAAAACACACAAAAAAAACCTGAGGGGAACTTGGCCCATCAGGCTGAAAAGTTTCCCAGAAAGTCACAAAGTCAACTTTAAGGACTCAGACATTTGTTAATTACTTTTGACATTATATTTAATAACATCCTATGGTAACATTTTGACTCCCCCACCCCAGATGGGCCTACAATTTGTGCGTGTTTTGGAGAATGGAAAGTTTAGCCTATCAAGAGAAGCAGTGTGTGTGTGTTTGAAGAAGAAAAAAGGCGCTGGTACTCACTATGAAGTTGTTACAATAAGTGCCACATCATTGATTTTCTCAGTGGTGGCTATCTAGTCTTTTATATATTGTATGTGTTTGGATTATTAATGTATTTGGATGATTTTGTATGATTTCATTGTTTAAACTTATGCCAATAAAGGCTGAGTGGCTGGGGAAACCCAGCCAGATGGGCGGGGTATAAATAATAAAATATTATTAATTAACAATAACAAGTGCTACACTTTTAACATTTGGGGGGGAAGTTACTGGTGCTGCATACCTTTGAGTAGCCCCAGAAAAGAAAACACTGAAGAGAAGTATGCTAGAAGCAGAGGATTATCACCTGCCACCTTCGGGTGGGCCCTCCAGCCACTAGGCAAAACTACCCAAAGGAATGGGTTTTCTTCACACCCTCCAAGCACTAGCCAATAATACCCGATTTAGCTTCTATCTACCTAGTGCACCACCTAAAATCTATCTTCAGCTTTATTAATATAAAGGCTACCACATATTTCTCTTGAGGTCTGCCTCATGGCAATTCAATGGATTCTGCTTCTGGCTGGACTAGAACCTAAGTAACTTCTGGCATTTAAGTTTTCAAAATGATTGTGGGGAATGGCTCCTTTTGTTGCTTTGTCCAAGTTGTCCAGTGTGCAACTGGAAACCTGGTGCAGTCCAGTCTAATTAATGGGCTTCCTCTTTGTATGCTTCCTCAGAGAGGAAGCCCCACAGAGGTCACAGCCCTTACCCAAGCCTGATTCAACAGAAAGCTGCTGCTGCCCCACCTTTCAGTGACCTTTGGGCTCTTTCTTCATGGCCAGTTTCCCCACTTCTCATTTTGTGAAACATACCATAGTTTTACGTGTATAAGATGCCCCCATGTATAAGACGGGCCCCAATTTTAAACCTAATTTTTTGGGGGGGAAATCTAGTCTTATACATGGAAAAATGTGGTAACTCATCACACCCTGGTTACTCCATCCAATAACATTCTGGTATTTCTATCATAAAGGGCTTTTCTCTTCCTCAATCCACATCCACCCCCCATTTTGAATAACAGCCTGTCTGAAGAGGAGTTCTGGAAGATTCAAATGTTTTACCTCACCCATTTTAGTTAGCCCTAGCTAGTAAAGCTAGCCTGCTAGCATGAAACAGCCCCCACCCCATGAATTCAATGCAAGTTAAAGAAAGTTGTCCAGCTATCTCCACTTACATCAATCAATCAATCCAGGCCAGTACCAGGCAGTAAGCATTTGCCACCAACCACTGCCCAGACTAGTTTTTTAATGACGTTATACCTTGGCTGGTTTCATAACAGGAGGAATTTCCTCTAAGAACAACACAAAGCATCTAACAGCAAAGACAAAGTCAACACCTATTAAAACCAACCCCATGAGAGTTAGCATACCATTACAAAAAAAAAGTTTCAACAGTTCCTAGTTAACCCTTCCACACAAGAGAATTTCAATTTCCCCTTCTTCCCCCAGCATTTACCAGAGTTATTTTGGGCAGAAACAGCAGCAGCTAAAAGAAATAAAGCCCACAGCCGTAGGTGGTTCTCCATCCTTCACAGCTACAACCAGCCAGGTGGGAAAGAAAGTGTCCTCCTCTCCCATTGGCTCCATTTATAGTCCATGCATTGCTCAGGTGTCTCTGCATCCTCCAATGGAACCTGCTCATTCATGGTTCTATTTCCCTTTCTAAACTGGGTAGCCATTTCCTAGCAATTCATTATGAAACAATTATAATAACCTCAGAGGCACTGTCCTATGCAAACCGCCTGTGAAAGTTTATCATTGATAATTTGTATATGGAAGACTTGGTGAGTCCTTCATTCTCAGGCTTGAGGACCAAATGGGGGAGCATGTTGAATCATGGCATATACATATACAACCACTTGGTTGTTTACAGCAATGGAGAGGGGCAGATGCAATCCTAAATGTACTTATCTGGGAGTATGCTCCATTGAGTCCAATAGGACTAGGATGCATGGTTGGGATTGCAGTCCAAGTCTAACTGTGTTCAGTGGGGCTTACTCCCTAGTAAATGGTAGTAATTGAAGCTGTGCAGCACAAGCCTAAGCATGTCTACTTAGAAGTAAGGCCCACTGAGTTAATTAAGGCTTCAGCCCAGGTGTGTGAATGGGATTACAGTCTTAATCATGGGCAGCTGTTGAGAAGTCAAATGTGTGTAAGATTATTCTGATGTTCCTTTTCAGTTTTTTTCACCACTTTTGCTTCTTGCTCTTGAGTACTCAAGTTATAGAATATTGTGTAAATCAAGAGTTATAGTCTGGTTGAATTTGTATTTCTCTGCTGCCATTATCTTATATCCAGAAATTTCAGCTTACTTTAGTAGCATGAAATAATACTTCACCATTCCCTTATACATCCTAAAATACTGTATTTTATTTACTTATTTCACTTATTAGTCACCTTTTAAAAACAAAAAGTAACTGAAAGCCGCATACAAAATAGTACAAAGATTAAAACATGTTTGAAGCTAAAACTGAATAAAAACCTAAAAACATATTAAAACATGTGAAAGCCAGGTGTAACACATTCCATCCACTGAAAGAGGCCACAAATATATTGTTGGACGCTACTCCAATCTCTGAGCGGTGAGAGATTCCAGGGGTTCCGGGCACTTACCCAGAGTCTGTGTTTCCTTTTGGAATGAGGCACAATGGACACTGTGGTGTCTTTATGATATGTGGTTTATTTAAAAATATATAAGCCCTACACAAGACAGAAGTGCCTGGCGTGCTCTGGTCCATAGGGTCACGAAGAGTCGGACACTAAACGACTAAACAACAACAAATGCTCTACACAAATCTTGAGTGCCTCAGGTGGTTGGATGGCATCTTGTATGTCCCCTTCCAGTAACTCCTGCAGCCATGCTAGTGCCAAATGTATTGCTCTGCTTTCCTTTGGACCACATCAGCGAGGCTGAGAGGGGGTGTCTTGTGGTCTGGGTGGCCCAGGACCTCCACATACACTGCCCAGGCTTGCACTTCGGGGAGGTCATTTCAGTGCTGCTAACACAGCAGTTTGACTTCACTCATGGAAGTGCGCTTCATTGTCTCTAGACACAGATAGATGCCAACAACCATTTACACATATTTGCAAGCTGTGTGTACGATGGAGGGGTTCACATCATTAACACCTGAAGAAGGTCCTGCTTCTCCCACAGCCACAGCCTTGTATTCCAGTAGAAATGTGACCAATAAGCATACAAAGCCCAGTACCCTAATCTTAAACGTTCACTTGGATTAAGCCATATTGGTTTCAATAAACCTTCCTTCCAAGTAAGTATGTTTATGATTGTGACTTGTGGCTATGTGTGTGGGGGATGCCCTTCTATCCTGGAATAACTGACAGCCTGTGCCTGCGCAAATGTTCTCACCCTTGCTTGTTCAATGGAATAATAATAATAATAATAATAATAATAATAATAATAATAATAATAATATTTATACCCCACCCATCTGGCTGGGTCTCCCCAGCCACTCTGGGTGGCTCCCAACAGAATATTAAAACATGATAAAACATCAAACATTAAAAACTTCCCTAAACAGGGAAGTTTCTACCTGTTTCTACTTTATTAAGAACTGTCATTCTGTCAATCTGTACTTTCCTGCAGGGCAGGGACACACATCTACGCACATTACTTAGCATTGCTCAATATCTCTTTCTTGCTATGGGGAAGCAACATGATAAGGGAGGAGTCCCTTGTACCTACCTCTTTGTCACTGCTTGGTTCCTGGTTGTAGTGCTCACATCCCAAGAGCAACCAAGAGGCACATACTGCATCTGAGTAATGATGATGGGACCTCTGCTGGGATTGGTGTTTCTGCTTCTCATCCAAGGACAATGCTGCCTGGACTGTAGTAAGTAGGAAAAGTCTGTCAACTGAATTTCACTCTCTTTAGGTCATAATGATACAGTGCTTCCAAATCTCATTTATTTTCAGGGATATTTTTTTTTATGTCCCAGAATGGCAGAAATTTGCAGCTTCCCTATAACACTTCACATCAGATCAAATATTTCATTGGTCTCCCTCTTGTGTCTCTTCTTTTGTCTCCCTTTTAGTCCTTCTCTTTGTCTCTGCTTTGCACTTCTTCATCTTTGAAATCAGGTTGCCGGCTTTTGTACTGGTCCAGCAGCAAATACCAGGGGATATAAAAGATAAAAGAAGCTGTGTTGGCCCCTAAGAAAAATCCAAAATCCATATTAGCCAATCAAAATGTCACAAAATAGTATGCAAGCTTTTGAGCTCTCCAGAACCCTGCACCATTTCTAAGGTCTTCCTCCCTTGCTGCACTGCTGCCCCATCTTGTCATTCTGCTATCGGGATGGGGAAACTGCTGCTGCTAGACTTCAACTCCTATCATCCTTGACCATTGGCCATGCTGGATGGGGCTGATGGGAGCTGGAGTCCAACAACATCTAGAAAGCCACAGGCTCCCAATCCCTGCCCTATCGCAGATCACATGGCCTCAGGGTGAGGTTGTAATTGTATGATACTTCTTCAGGTAACACACAGGTTGGCACAACAGCAATATAAAATGGATGAGTTTTATTTTTGTATTTATTTGTTTTAACACAGTCCTTTTATCCAATTACTTCAGGGCAGTTTACAATAACAGCTTGTTAAACTCCATAGCACAATCATTCCTCTGTGCCTCTTATTCTTGGAAATATATACAGTGGTACCTCAGTTTTCAAACGTCTCCATTGTCAAACATTTCAGTTTTTGAACACCGTAAACCCAGAAGTAAATGCTTCGGTTTTCGAACATGACTCAGAAATCAAACATGCCAAGCAGCTTCCACTGAGTGCAAGATCCTGAGGCCTAGCTGTCAGCTATTGAGTTTTTGGTTTTCAAACGTTTCAGAACTCGAACGGTCTTCTGGAAAGGATTACATTTGAAAACCGATGGACAGTGGTACCTCGGATTAAGAACTTAATTTGTTCAGGAGGTCTGTTCTTAACCTGAAGCTGTTCTTAACCTAAGGTACCACTTTAGCTAATGGGGCCTCCTGCTGCTGCTGCATGATTTCTGTTCTCATCCTGAAGCAAAGTTCTTAACCCAAGGTACTATTTCTGGGTTAGCAGAGTCTGTAACCTGAAGCGTTTGTAACCTTAAGCATCTGCAACCCGAGGTACCCCTGTACCACTGTATATAGACAACATCATTTGTGCTTTTCACATTAGCATCTTGCTGTTAGGTGAATAATGCAAATGGTCCAGTGAAAGGGAAGCTCCTAAAATGAGAGCAGCACAAAAAAAGTCTGTAGAGGGATGAAGAGGAAGATTTCTTTGTTTTGAAATATGCTGGGTTGGGTTTTCCACATCCTTCTATGGACATAGTTGTGTTGCTCTTAATTAGTGGTATGCAGTCAGTCAGTGGCATGTGTGTTTTAGAAGTTATCCCTGGGGAAGATGGCATTAGTTCTGAGTTTTCAAAGAAAGCTACTCCTACAGAGGCAAGGATGATGGTTTCGAATTATCAGCTTCTTATTAGGGTTAAATATCTGTTCTCCAGAACCCAGTGCAGAACATGGGTTAAGAAGCAGACCTCTCCCTCAGAATTGATAAAATGAGCTGACAATCGCTATGTATCTTGGGAGAGAGAACTCTGCCTTGGTAAGGCTTTTCATCCTGCTGCTTCCAGAGTTGCCAACTTTTTTTAAAAAAACAAACTGATTCCTACTCCTGTAATTTTTACAGCAACTTAATCTGCAGACCTTAGCAAGGTGATGATAATGGTGACCTCTTTTCCATTCTTAGTTTTACATGTGGACTTGTGCAAACCAAGTTGCTGTTTAATAAGTAACAGGAGGCCAGACTGGATTTTTTTCGGATCAGCTGGCAATCCTAGCTGCTACTATTTACAAGGAAGTAAAACGCAACAAAATAGCTATTACTAAAGGTCATCACACAGCTTCTCTTGGCTTAGAGAGAGCATAATGTATCTTCCTGCTTGCTTTATTATTGTTATATTCACCCCAGCTCTCCACATGATGGAAAATTCCAGGAGTGCAGTGATTACCCAGGAGGGGTGCCAACACAAATAAAATATTGTGGGGGGCCAGGTGTCACATGACACAGTGCATGCACACCATTTGAATCAGAATGTCCATCAACTTTGTGGGAGCCTGGCCACCTCAAATATTTTATTGTGGGGTCTGAAGCCCCCAAGGCCCCTAGGAGTTGACTCCTGTTGACTCCCAGGTTTGGTTCCCTTTGGAAGAAGGCCTCTGAAGGCTTTTTGATATTTTGTACTATTTGTGTATTTTAAAAAAATACCTAGGTTGACATAGGCCATTGAGGTTCAGCATCCAATAGACAGCACCACAAATACTGTTAGTTTATAGAGTCCAGATTCAGCCTACAAGGTACTTACAGATATTAACAGATACTTACAGATACTATTGATACTCCTTTGTCAGGTCCAAGTATTGTGTCAGGGCAAAACAAACTACCCAGACACAACCCAGACTGTCATTTTCTGGAGGTATCCAAGCCCATACCAGAAATTTAAAAATGCAAAGGCATGTATTTCATCCCTCTAATAATATTAATAGGTCACGATTGCATTCAAAGGAGAAATACAAAAGAAAAAAAGGGCACAGTATGGCGCAAAATAATTACAATTAATTTATTAAAGCTGAGGCAGAATCAGAGGTGAGTAAGGCAAGGATTAATGTCAACTTGCATTCCACATAGGACCAATGGACATACAGGTTTTGAAGATCTGCTCTTTCAAAGTGGCTTACAACTCAATTAAAATAAACATGAATTACAGATGAGGGTTAGGGGTGAGTATGTAATGAGACTTTAGCTATATCATGATTCAGCACTAACTTATCCCATTGATTTAAAGGGAAATGAAGTTCAGCTCGACAGTCAGGGAAGCAGGGCCCAGAGTGAACTGTGGGTTGTCTTGTCTGCATCATTCCAAAGTATAGAGCTACTGAAGGACTATACTATAGTCCATCCCTCCCATTTTCTCTTCAGGATAAGTATTGGGAGAGTGGGGAAAAGGCTCCTCGTGTGATTATTGGTCCCCCATTAGCTGTGAGTGAGGAATGGCTCCTCCTGGTGACTGATCTACTGAGTAAGATGATGCATTCAGCCACAGCCTATCACAAATCCACCACATGTGAATGTAATCTCATGACATGTTGATGGATCTTCACGGGGACTTTATTTAATTGCAAAAATGATTCAGAAATGTAAGGAACTGAACTTAAGACTAGAAAAAGGAGAAATAAAGACACTGAAATTGACATATTTGTACATCTCCAGTAACCACAGTCATTGTTTCAAAATTATGTGCAATCCCTGATGTTTCCGGTTAAAGACTGCCAATAACTAGGCACAGGAAATGCCCCTGCCTGTTACTCAGGAGAGCTGGTGCTGTTTACTGGAGTAAGCAGTCCAGAGCATTCCATACTAAGTGTTTAGCGTGGAATTGCCACGCTTGGATCACACACCTTTTACGGAGCATACACACAAATTATTTATCCAGCCACCCATCCTTCTTTCAGACTGCAAATGATCCATCTTAAAAAACACACAAAAAACCCCTTAAGTGAACAGTAGCACCATCTCTCCAGGTGAGCTTGCAGAACTACTCTGCTGCTTTTTTAAAGGTGCCTGTTTCCGCAGCCCTCTCCCAATTCTCCAACTAAGCATATGTTTGCCATTTCTTTCACTGTTGAGAGCTCCTAATATTTTATTCATCCCTAACTCACTCCACCTATCTCTGCCCTGCAACTGCACTCCACAAATGGGGCCCTGTCGCAAGTACTGCATGCCTCAGAGGTGCACTTAGCTTGTACTAGAAAGTGGGCTTTTAGTGCTGAAGCTCCAGTCCTCTGGAATCAATTACCAGCCAGACTTGGGCAGGTGCCTTGTGTCATGATGATTAGGTATCTACTGAAGGCATTTTTAAATATATATTTTTTACTTAACAAAGCTTTCACTGAAAGGTGACCCAGGCATTTATGGAATATTAATTGTGTATCTGCAGAAATGTATTTATTGTTTTTTAAAATAATCTGTGGATACGGTTCTTCTTGCTTTTAGAGCTTGTGTTTTATTCTACTTTTGTCCACTTGGATCATTTCATGCTGTGAAGTGGTTTATAAATTTGTTTTAAAGATTAACAAGTAAATAAGAAATCATGGAATTTGGCCCAGGAGACAATTTTGCAGGACAGTATTTCCTTCCTAACAAACAGAAGGCTGAGAAGGTTCTGTGGGAGAGATGCCAGTGGGCTTAATTTCAGCCACTTCCCAGATGTCATGCCCAATGCTGAATGCAGGCAGCACCACCTGGTCTCTGTAAGGAACGTGTCACACTTCACAAACAAATGACCATTTCCCCACGAATGGTGATTAACCTTCACTTTCACTGGTATCACCTTGTGGAAGTCACAGAGATAAACAAATTAAATAATACCAGAGATGAGGTGGCAATTGAAAAGCAAAAGGTTGGGAGGGAGGGAACCGGAGCTGCACTTGCAGGTTATATAAAGGAAGCCCAAACAGGCTTTCGACCTGCGCCAACTTCTGGTGTTCTTGGAAACGTCAAAGAAAGACAGACTCACTCCAGTCCAAAATGTCCCTCTTGGCTGTTGTCCTTTTGTGCATGTTCTGCACCGTGACCAATGAGGCTTGCGGTGAGTATTAAAAAGCTTAGGGTGCTTCCAGAGGGAAGCCAATGGGTTGTTGAGGTTTCACAAGCAGGTTGTTGGAGACAAGGTCTTCAGAAACCAAATGGATTTCCTACTGGGAAGGGTAAATCTGGACTAAATGGTGTGTGTGTGTGTGACATGGGTGGGCTAGCATTTTATGATAACAGTGTTGCAAGGATGCTGCAAAAAACCTTGAATCAATGAGGAGCACTTGTCCCATGATATATACCTGTCTGTAAGCACCCTTAGTTACCACAGAGCCCCATTCAATGTGGGTAGGATTTAAAAGGTGCTTCCACAATACTTATAGTGCTGATAGAAGTGGCAGAAGTCATTCCTGCATTCTTTTAGATGTATCTCAAAAACACTGGGGACGCGGGTGGCGCTGTGGGTAAAACCTCAGTGCCTAGGACTTGCTGATCGTATGGTCGGCGGTTCAAATCCCCGCGGCGGGGTGAGCTCCCGTCGTTCGGTCCCAGCTCCTGCCCACCTAGCAGTTCGAAAGCACCCTTAAGTGCAAGTAGATAAATAGGTACCGCTTTATAGCGGGAAGGTAAACAGTGTTTCCGTGTGCTGCGCTGGTGCTGGCTCGCCAGCTGCAGCTTCATCACGCTGGCCACGTGACCCGGAAGTGTCTTTGGACGGCACCGGCTCACGGCCTCTTGAGCGAGATGAGCACGCAACCCTAGAGTCGGACACAACTGGCCCTTACGGGCAGGGGTACCTTTACAAAAACACTAGTGTTCAATCTACTAGGGAACATGATTTATTTTCATTAGCCAGTTTATTAGCATGCTCCTGATGTTTTTACTGAAGCTATTATAGTAGTATTGTACTTTTATATTTTCCATGAGATTGCAGTTTATAAATGTTTAAATAACATTAAAAAAAAATGTGTGTTGTCATAAGTTGAAAAATTAGGTAAGTGCTCTGGGGACAGTTGTTGCTTCTTCATGAACATCTGTTTTTCTTGGTTCCAGCTGTCCCCAGTGCTCAGCAGTGGCTGGTTACAGGTCTCCAGACACAGCTAGAAAATGGCGTGAAGCAGCAGAGTTCACCCAGTCCAAGCGTCGTGATGGCTTTGAACCTGGCTAGGGGTCGAGATTCCACAGCAACAAAGCGGTTGATCCAGGATATCAAGGGCATAAAAGGTAGGATGTCGAGAATGAGAGGTGTCAGCTTCCCCTAGTTGTCCAACTGGAGCACTAGAGGTTTGTGAACCAAGCCATGTTTGTTTGGAGACACATTATCTGTCTTTCCCCATCTCTTTCTGCAGAGATGACCTCTGGCAAAGTGGCGCTTTATGTCCTATCTCTCCAATCATCCTGTGTGGATCCGAAGGATGTCCCCACAGCAGGGGGACATGTCAACGTGGTCAGTGCCTTGGAAGAAAAAACCAATGAAGAGATCAAACATTACTGTAAGAAGACAAATGCCTGCTGAACTCCTCCCATCCTTCCAATGTTAGGCTGTGTCCTCTCCCAGCTCTTGCATGGATGGTGGCTCTCAGCTGACTGGGTTTGAGATGCCCGAATCCTTCAGGAATGTCTCCCTGATATGCTACCAATAAAATGCCCTTGGATGTGCTCCCAAAACACTGGCTACTTACAACAACCTAGTGCAGTGGCTCCCAATGGGTGGTCCACAGATGCCAGGGGGGTCCGTGTAACCCACCCAGGGGTCCATGGCACCATTCACAGAACAACAACTACCATAGAGGTATCAACATTTTCAAAAGCAGGGGGTCCATGGCTTGGCTTTTGGAAAACAGGGGGCCCACTGTACTTAGCTAATTGGAAACCACTGACCTAGTGTGACTGAAGCTAGCACCCATCTTTGCCATTTGAGGATAGCCACATCCCTAGACATTATAAGGACCCCAAAGAGCATTGGGCTGAGCATGGCAGCCTGCTGTGGTCAGGAAGCAGCTGCAATGGATAATACACAGCTATGTTTGTTGCAGATGACACTGGAACCCCCAAGACTACCAACTATCAACTGGCTCTAGATATCCTGGCCCTGTGTGTGGAAAAGAGTCCGGATGCCAAAAATGCTGCCGCCACCCTCATTAAGATCGTCAAAGGCTGCCAGAGCAAGGGCTGCTTCGACGTAGGTAAGATTACCACACTTGTACATATTTTTTTTAAAAAGTAATTTTCAGTTTTACATTTATTCTGCCCTTTCTCCAAGACGTTTAGTCAGGACAGTGTACACACTTATCCTTGCAATAAGTAAGCCACAGTGGGGTGAGATGGTGACTTGCCCAAGGTCACACATGGGGAGTTTCATGGCTTAGTGGGGTTTGAGAGTCAGGGACTCCTAGTGCAAAATCCTGCCGTGCGGTGCAATTTGACCTGCTTCCTCCCAGCACCTGCTTTTCAGCAGCTTTCATGCTCAGCAGCTGCAGGGCTGACCTCCTTCACCTTGCCTAGTGTCCCTTCCGTGGGTCATCCTTTGCTGAGCAGGACATCAGAAAGAGAGATTTGCCCTGGTGCTCCCTATAGTCTCAGTAGGCAAGGCTATTTGTCTAGAAAAAAGAGGTGACGGAACTTGCCGTGAACACCTACTTCGTTCTCTTAGAATGGCAATGGTGCCCACCTGAGAGGTGCCAGGACTGAGTTCTGGCAAGTTCCGGTTGAATAAAAGCTCTGTCGGTAGGCAATGATGACGTGTGATTTGCAGATACTGCCGCCATGGTGGCTTTGGCACTGACTTGTGTGCATGACGGAATGAGCAAGGGGAGCAAGATGGAGGGAGCCATTACTGAGACGCTACATGTGATCACAGCACAAATCCTTGACTCACAACAGGAGAGTGGCATCATTGGAAACATCTATAGCACTGGGCTGGCAATGCAGGTATGTCTCTTGCCGTGCATCAGAAGATGAAGCAAGGAGTGTGTGTGTGTCCCATTGCCTTCTCTCCACTGCAAGCTTCTCTCTCTTGCTTGCTTTCCAGGCACTCAGTGTTACCACTGAGTTCTATCCTGCTGGGGCATGGAAATGCACCAAGACCATCGATGAAGTGCTGAGGAAGATGTATGAGGGAGCCTTTACTAATCCTGAGGCGGGTTCTCAAATCCTGCCTTCTCTAGTGGGCAAAACATACTTGGATGTTGCGACTCTGAATTGCTTCTCAGGTAAGGCTGCACCTCGCTGAGTGTTGACCTGAGCCAATGCAAGAGCAGCATACAAGTTCCTAAAGGTCTTGAACTGCATATAGGAAAGGCATATAGGAAAGACAAGGCCTAAATTAATCTGTTTTCTGTTTTCCAACATAACCTTTTCATGCTGCTATGAAAAAAGCCAAGTCGGGTTGTCAGCTTTTTTCCTTGACATATCTCCTGCACCTCTAACAGCTGCATGGCAAATCTAGTTTCCCTATCATCACTAAATTTCCTTGATAGAAAAACTTGCACTGTATCTGTCGAGCAATGAATAAAGGCACTGTGAGAAGTGAAGTTACAGGGAACCAGGCAGAGGGCCTTCTTGGCAGTGGTGTCTGCCCTGGTGGAATGCCCTCCCATCATTGTCTTCTAAAAGTCAAACAGGGAGCTTTTTTTAATGTTTGATGTTTTTAATATTCTGTTGGGAGCCGCCCAGAGTGGCTGGGGCAACCCAGTCAGATAGGTGGCATATAAATAATAAAATTACTTTTACTACTACACAATAAGTATGTTTGATATGCAAATGTTGGAAGTGGCATTGGGGATAGTCCTTTCATGCACGCCCCTCCTGCACCTGTTCGCTTGAATGCATGTGCAGAGCTTATGACAAGAAAAGGCACTAATAGTGCAGTGGTAAAGCTTCAGCTCATTTTCCCAACAAGGCTTAGATCATGTCATGGGCTCCCCTCTAGCTCTGGGACTACAGGACTGGCTTTAGGTATTAAGGGCATCATGAGGTATCTGCTTTCTCCTGTCTTTTTGCACAGATCCTAACATTACAGTGCACTACACTGTAATCAATCAGCTAATAGGACCCTATTTCAACTACTCCATAACAGTGAAGGTGCCCAAGGGCTCCATACTGCTTGCTGCCTTGGAAGCTGCTCAGCGTGTTAATCCCACTATATTCAGGTAAAGAAGGGAGGCCTGGCAGGGGTGTGTGAGCGAGTGTGTCAACTCTAACATTTCATGGGGGCGGTGAAACCCAGGATGCAAAATTGTGAAAATTTATTCTTTAAAAATAAGCTAATACCATGATTTGAGGGACACTGAATATCATTTTTAAACACTAGATTTTGGTGAATTGTTTCCCACATTTCTGAAACTTTTGGGACACTTCCCTTAAAAATTTATTTCGGAAATTTATTCCCCCTTAAATGATAGATTTCCCCTTTTAACTTACAGCTTTCAAACAGAATCAACTTCCTGGGGGCCCATGGTTATTTCTATCCATGGTGTCAATGGCAGCACCGATGACAAGACCTACTGGCAGTTCTTGAGTGGCGACAAACCCCTTGACCAAGGTGGAGTGTCTGATGAAGAAATCTTTTGACTCTAAAGAAATACAAAATGGCCGTTTGCAGTCACAAGGGAGCATGTTCTCCAGATAACTTCTGCAATTAATGGCAGTATTTCCTCTATTATGTTTGAATTGTTAGTAGGACAGAGAGCAAAACCAGCAGCAGGGCTATACCTGTGTTGTTCATATATACAATTAAAGTGGCAAGGAGCAAGGGGGACCATTAATATTCAAATCTCACCTATTAATAAATGGTGAGACGCAAGACAAGATCAAGGGAGTTGCCTTGGCAGTGACTGGAGTCCATGGGTACAGGCTAAAGAAGGAGGTTAGGGAGACAGATGCTTTAGTGAGGTTACCAGCTCAAAAGCTGGTGTTGCTCAGGAGCTGGATTTGAATGATATCCGAGATAACTTTTATTATTATTTATTTCATTTATAAATTGCTTCCCATGAGTCACTGTGAAGTGATTTACAAAATCATAACATGTTATGTGTGATGTAAAAAGAGATAAAATTGATAACAGATATAAAAAATAATTACTAGAAAGTTTAATATAACAACAGTACATACAAATAACAATACAATTCAGATCTAGAACAGATACCAACTTGTATAAAGAGATTAGAAGACTTGATTAAAGAGGACATCTGATATCCAATGGGAGTCAAAGTCAGATATGAATACTAAGCTGAGGCTTGAGGTACAGTAGCAAGGCAAAAAGGATATGACATAGAGAAGGCTGTGAAGCAGAACTGGGATAATAAATTTATTTATGTAGTTCACCTTTCATGTGCTCTCCCCGCAGTGGCAGGTTCTCTGTTTTTCATCTTCAGCTGATGGTACACATCCAGCATAAAACAAGCATGTGCTAGCTACAATGTTGAAGGCAGTAGTCAACAAATGTATCTGATGGGAAACTGACTCCTATGCCTGCAGATTCCTGCATTTCAGGGGGTTGGGCTAGATGACCCTTGGGGTCCCTTCCAATTCTATTGTTTTATGAAAAAGCTGTATTTCCAAGCTGTAGAGCACTACTTACTTTTCAACATCACCGCTTTGTGTCTCCAGGTGTTGGCAGCTACAAGCCCACGGACAATGAACATATTGTGGCCAAATTCAGTACATACTGAGCAACCAGCTGCCAATAGGAAGAACTACTTCAAATAAATATTTACCAAAGTATAGTTCCTGCTCCAGGTTAAAGAGATGTGTCAGCTTATTTGAAGATGCAACATTCAGCCATGCTGCATGCTACATAAGAACATATGCACTATCTTGTAGTTCTGACAAGTTATAAATAAAGCAGTTGGATTCCTGTGTATCATACTGTGCATATTTCAGATTGTTCTACACCTTGTTATCAATTTCAGTTAAGCACTGATTTCATTTATATTCACAAAGTAAGAATGGTCTATGCCAGACAAAAATAGGAGTAAATATGATTTCTGTCTTTTGCTTCCTTCTATATTGGACAAGATAGTATGCAGATATGGAAAAACTACTCTACCTGTCAATTTTTAACCAATAGATAGACACCAAAATCAATGAAGAAAAGTTGCCATGGAATGCTTCTGTTACGAGTAGGAAATGCTTTTCTATTCAAAATACAAAAAAGTTGAATAATAACAATGATACAACCAACAAGAGTAACTCTTGTCAGAACTCTGAAGCAGCAGTAATATGAAAACTAATGAGCTAACTACACCAAGGTACGCTCTCTCAAACTGTCAAGTTTTAATGATTTGGCAGAAAAGTATCTGGATGGCCACAAGGCACATTTCCCTAGACAAGGGAGCTCCAAAGAGTTAGCTCAAGATCTGAAAAGGGCCTGCTCCAAATTCCTGCCCATCTCATGTTGGATGTGAAGTTCTTTTTTCTTCCAGTGGGAAACAGGGTAATGCCCAAAGAGCACATTGTACAGAAACGAATATTGGGGAATAAAAATACATAAAAAGCCACGAAGGGGCTATTATTACTTGCAAGGATTACCATACGCAGGACTTAAATTAAGTACAGACATTGCTGTACCCTACCCTAGCACACCTAAATTCCACCAGTGCTCTAATTAGCATTTTACTGCATAATCGCAGCGGTCCTGTCCTGAATGCAGGGCATTTCCATGTGAGAGGAGATCATAGCTACCATTCTGGTTTCTGAGGTCTTAGATGAATATTACTAAAGATCACCTTGGTGCATGGGCGTAGCTGCCCCCCCAAATCAATAAAAATACATAACAAACTGAGGTTCTACCCCCCAACAAAAGGCTTGCCCCCCCAAATCCTGGCTACGCCCATGACTTGGTGCCCTGAATCTAGAACCCAAAAACTATTTCAAGAAAAAGAAAGAAGGAAAATGTTTGAAGAGGATAAGGGTCCCCTACTTAAAACGAAGCTGCTCCCGGTGACTTTTAATGTGCCACCAGGTTCTTTGCTGCGACGGAGGCCGCAAGCTAAGCTGTGCCCCGTAAACTCTCCCCGGCTTTTTCTAGCCACTGGGCAGCCAGGAACCAACCTTGTCCCAGGGAAGAGCCAGAAAGAACCCCTGGGATCATTTATTCGCCGGAACTAAACCGTGTGGCCGCTCGTTTCCGTACGTCCCCTTCTCACTAACACCCTCCCTACCAGAAGTGGAGCCGTACACTTCCGTCGCGCTTTGGGATCAGAGGCTCGAGGTCAGGCGGAGCTTCTCTGCGGGAGAGCCACCCGCGCCCACCCTTCTGGTCCTCACGGCAGCGTCGCACGATGTGGAAGCAGCTGGGGCGCCCTTTGCTCGGCCTCCGCGGGACCCTGGCAGGTGAGGCGGCCTGTTTCGGAGGGGCGAGCAGCCGGGGCGGAGCAGCCGGGGAAACGCGCGCGGCTCGCCGGTGCCCTCGCTTCGCCGTCGTCCCCCCCCCAGGCGGCTGGCTGGGCGCGGCGGGAGCAGGAGGCTGGGTCGGGTGGGCTTCGGGCTTGATCCGGCCCCGCTCTTGGCTGTGCTCTTAGCAGCCTCTCTCGCAGGAGGAGGAGCAAGGATCACCCCGGAATTTTCTGCGGTAGGAAGTCGAGGGAGAGGGGCCGCGTTGCTCGTAGTTCCCGCTATGGGGATAATAAAGCGAAGATCCTGCCTCTGGTGAGCAGAGATGCAGAAGGCAGAGCTCCTGTAGCAATCATGCAAAAGGGGAAACTTCGAGAAGGTGCAGTTTGTGTCACGCAAGACTGCAAACATACCTGTACCAAAAGATTCGCTGTTTTACATGATCTAATGACAGAGCGTTTGGGGGCCCCTGTTCTCTGAATCTGGTCCTCCTCATCTTGCCACTAGGAGGTCAGCAACGCTGGTGATGAACACCAGCTTCGATGGCTTTAGAAGGGGTTTAGAGTGCTAGGGTTAGCCATATGTCCTCTCCCTCCCCCCCTCCCCCGACACATCTTTTCCGTGGGTATGTAAAATGAGAGTTCACAGCTAAAAGTAGAAGTCTTGCTCTTCAAAATATAACAATCCTAGTTAGACACGTTCATAGAGGATGGAGCTATCCATGGCAGCTAGTAAAAAGGACTATGCACTACTTTTGGAATTGGAGACACCATACCTCTGAATTCTAGTCACAGGGGAATAACTGCACAAGATCACTCAACTAGAGGATACTGAAATGAGATAAGCCTTCAGTCAAATCCAGCAGGACTCTTCTAACGCACCCACCCCTCCTTTGTGTCCATAGTGTCATCATTTCTAAGCTCTAGTAGAAACCCTGAATGGGTGTGGCATTCAGTTGAATGTGGAAAGAGAAGTCAATTTTTTTGTCTCTGAGCATTCTTTGGGCTGCTGTTGTTTGTAATGTGAAATTGTACCCCTTCCCATGTATGGACCAATTGATTAAGAATGTTGAGGTGTGGTGCATCTTCTCTGAAATCAAAGGGAAATTAGCAACCAAAAGGCTATCAAGTATAGGAGACCTTTGGCCCTCCTGATGTTGCTGAACTACATCTCCCATCATCAGTTGCTAGGGCTTTTGGGAGTTGTAGTTCAGCATCTGGAGGTCCAAAGGTTCTTCACGCCAGAGCTAGATGGTCCACAGCATGATGTCTTTGAAGAAACCATAACAAATTATAACTCAGATTGCCTCTGCAGCACTTAGATACCCCCATTTTTGGCAGCTTCTCTTCAAAGTATACATTTTTGTGACGTTATCAGATACCATGATTTGCTGTGTTAGAGTGGATGTGTGTTTCTGCTTGACAATAAATTTAAGCACTATGCCTTCTGTTTCTTCTAGATTCCAGTGGAACCAAAATTTTGACCGCTGGCTTGAAGCAGTATAAACTTCCACCAGATTACAGTGGTATGTTGAGAAATAAGGGAGAGTGTTAATAAAAGTATGAAATGGATGTTTGATAATGAGTGCTTTATGGCAGGATGAAGTGTGGTAAGCATAATTGGTATTCACTCGGAGATGTTCTACATTGGAAGAATAAATCAGGAATTAACGTAGGTGGCGATGTGGTCTAAACCACAGAGCCTAGGGCTTGCTGATCAGAAGGTTGGCGGTTCAAATCCCCGCAACGGGGTAAGCTCCTGTTGTTTTGTTTCAACTCCTGCCCACCTAGCAGTTCGAAAGCACGTCAAAGTGCAAGTAGATAAATAGGTACCACTCCAGCGGGGAGCTAAACGGCGTTTCCGTGCGCTGCTCTGGTTCGCCAGAAGCAACTTAGTCATGCTGGCCACATGACCCGGAAGCTGTCAGCGGACAAACACCGGCTCCCTCGGCCTATAGAGCGAGATGAGTGTGCAACCCCAGAGTACGTTTACCTTTACATGAAATATCATGGAATGAAACACTGGGGTAGTATTGTTCCCAAAAGAAAGATTCTCTTCTCTAGAGAGCTGTTGCCAGAACATGTAGCCATTACACCTGGAGAACTCGCCCATCTCCTCCCCAATACAGCAAAGACACTGTGCACAAAGAAGTAGCCTTCCAGGTATGCAGCCTCAGCTAGCTAGGAAATGCCAAGCATTTGAAGATCCCACTGCTGGCTTTCTTCATCCAGCAACAACGACCACATAGGCACTGAAATGCAGTCTTGAAATCATACAGGTTAGCTTGGCTACCTTTGGCAGTACTGTTTGAAGGAGTTGAGAGGGGGTTAAATCTAGACCCCCACCTTCTGATTAGGAAGAAGAACAACCTTGATTGAGGTGGTTGGGGCATATAGTGACTGTTGCTTTCTGATACCAGAACAGATACTCATAAAATGCCCACTTTGTTCTGGTCAACAAGTGCACTTAGTGTACATTATTTCCTTAAATATATTATATTTTGTACTAGGCAGACAGTGATCACATGAAATATGTCAAATATGCTTCCCTGTGTAGTAAGTGGAAGCAAAAACACTTAGTGCTGGAATACTGTAGAATCAAACATGTGCTGAAGAGCAGGGGACCCAACTCCCCGCGTTGTTGTTGTTAAAAAAGCAAATAGAGCAGCTATACTTTTTGCTAAGGTTTGGCTCTTTTATGCAATAGCCCTTTCGGCTGCTCACGTCTCTCCCATTTAACAGAAGGAATTTACATTCCATTTCAAACTGCTGCCTTACTACAGCAAATATAGCTTCAAATTAACTTCATGAACCAACATAGTGGTAGTAAATCTTAATGCTGCAGTCCTATACAAGTAGTTCCATTGGTATCTGGGAAATTGGTGCCCAACTGAAGGCCAGTTTATGTTAGCTTAGCAAAGTGTGGGCACATACACAGACTCTTGTCTGTATTAAGGGTACAAGAACGAGGGGAGACCTAAACAGGGAAGCAGTTCTAAAGAGCACCGCTAAGACTCATTTTTCTCTTCACCAGGACCATAAGGGCAAGGAGGAATCTGCTTTTGGTGCAGGAGAGTCCTGGTTTTTAGCAGGTGTTACCAGTAGCTTTTAAATCCACCACAATTTTTGGTATTGCACTAACTTGCTGGTGGCATCTACTGTCTTCCTCAGAAGGCTCTTTACAAATAAAGACCCTATGTAAAATGAACTTAAAGGACACAGAAAGCTGTATTTTTTTTTTTTTGAGGTGGGGGAAGGTATTTGAAAAACACACACACACACAAATAGTATCAGCTGGCCTGTTTACTTTAGCTGGGGAAGGCAAAGTGATATTTAGAATCATAGAATTGTAGAGTTGGAAGGGACCATGAGGGTCATTAATCCAAAGTCATCCGAATATAGCCTGCTATCAGCTCAAATGTTAACTTTGACGTACCATCTCCTAAATGTGTGTTAACATTACTGGCTCTAGTGTTCCTATATAGTTTACAATAGGTAGCTAATCAGGAAGCACAGCTATGGATGATGAGCTGAGATTTCTGGACCTGGACAAAACTCTTTGGTAGTCTAGGTGGGAGACTGTTACAAGAAATACTGAACCCAGTTTTATTCTTCTAGGTATCACTATTCCTGAGAAAAACAGATTGAAATTTGTTGAGAGAATGCCAGCTGTACCAAAGGTCAGGCGAGAGTTCAAGAATTTACGTGATATCCGTGGTCCATCTAAAGAAGCCACAGAATTCACAGAAGGACAGTATGGTATTCTGGTGAGTGTGAGCATTAGTAACCTTGATGTGGCTTCTCAGTTGTATAGAGAAAGAATATGAAGAGATAAGTCATGAAGCTTGGAAAAGGGAGATATCTGTTACCCTGTGATTTCAGAAGGAGTTTGTGTGCCTGACATATTTTCCTATTTCTGAATGGTGAAAATACTTTTTCCTCCCCTTGCCTGCAGGCTCTTGGTGGTGGCTATCTCCGCTGGGGTCATTTTGAAATGATGCGTCTGACGATCAATCGGCACCTGCATCCCAAGAAAATGTTTGCAGTGTGGAGAGTCCGTGCTCCTTACAAGCCCATCACACGCAAAGGTCTAGGGCAGCGCATGGGTGGTGGCAAAGGTGCAATAGACCACTACGTGTCAGCAGTGAAGGCTGGCCGCCTCATTGTGGAAGTAGGTGGGTTCTGTGAATTTGGTGAGGTGGAACGCTTCCTAACACAGGTGGCCAAGAAGTTGCCTTTCCCTGCTATAGCTGTCAGCCGGCAATCCCTGCAAGAGATGCGGGACAAGGAAGAGGAGAGGAGGCGTAACAACCAGAATCCATGGACATTTGAACGCATAATCACAGCCAACATGCTAGGGATAAGGAAATATTTGAGTCCCTATGACTTGAAACTGAAGGGTCGGTATTGGGGAAAGTTCTTTCTGCCTGACAGAGTATAAACAGGAAGTCATGGGACGGGCAGTATTCTGCTCCGAAGCATCAATTCTTCCGCAGACTTTTCCTGTATTTTTGACTTTTTATGGATAATGTGTTATGGATCCTTTCCCACATGTTCTATACTTGGAAATCAAGTAGATGTGGAGGGTGATGGAGTGGCTGTAAATACACAGAGCTTGGTTGAATAAATTTGCCATTTTCTTGTTCATTTTCATTACTCCCACACGGATGCAGGGCCTTTGAGGAGGACTTGTTGGTTTGCAATGCACATAGAATTTGGAAGAGTGATAATTGATAAAAGTATATTCAAAGCCAAGTTTAAAAGTTTTAATGTCTAAATCCTATAGTTTGCAACTTCTAACCTTCTGTAGAGCTCATTTTAAAACCGGAACATTTCAAAGTGCTTGTGAGAAGAGGCATACATAGTCCTGAGGTGGCTTAATTTTTATATACGTTGGTGCTGAATTCTGGCATGTTGCCAGTGCAGCTTGATCAGCTGTGTAGGGTAATAGCTTGGGCCTGGGCCTATTCTTGTAAGTCTAAACGGAGTGGTATTTTAGGGGTCCCAAAAAGAGCTGCTTCTGTACTTTTGAAGTGAACCAGACAAAAGCCCTCAGACTTCTTAGCTGTCAACTCTTGGGAGTCCTTGCAGTAGATTAGGGTGAGGAGCCCCTCCCCTCCGGATATTGTTTGGACACCAACTCCCATCAGCCCTAGCCAGCATGGGCAGTGCTCAGGGATGATGGGAGTTACAGGCCAGCAGCATCTGGAGAACCACCCAGTCCCCTTCCCTATACTAGGAAAATAGGTTGGTTTTGTAGTTTTAGTTCATTTAGTCTTTCACACATAACAGCAGATCAAACAAAACTCTTTATTCCAGAGGATTTCTGAACATCCACGCCTTTTGAACAGTAAGAGAGTAGCTTTCATTAAGTCACAGTTATGGGAAACTGAATAAGCATTTTCCCTTCCAAGTCCAAAGCATCCAGTGGCCCCTCTTGCGCACGGGACTACTAATTTTTATAATTCAAAGGATGGGTCGTCAGGCAGTTGCATATATCTCCCTTCTTCCTAGTGACTGGTTTATCATTTAAAGGGGGGAAAACAACCTGAGGAGTTGCCCCAGCTGGAGAAGGAGCTACACCGTTGGCCAGGATTAAAGGAATTAAAAGTGTTCCAGCTACATGCCCCCTACCAGAGAGGTGACGGAAGGGAGGAAACAACATATAGTTGAGTAAATACAGCTTAAGTTGTTTAAATAAATGACAACCTTTCTTCAAGTACGTGAGAAATTGTGGGATAGTTCTATATACAAGTATACATGTTAATACAACCAGTGTCAAATCGGACAGAACACAATGATTTACAAGGGGTGTGTGGCTCCCCTAGGGGCGTTTGCAGATTGCGCCTCAAGAATGCCCATTCATACAACAGAATAAACGGACTGGGACTAGGACCACAAGGATGGCAGGAGTCTGCGTAAGCAAGATTATTCAGCAGGCGAGGAAACAATCTGGCTCAGTCCATGCCATTATCCAGATGTTCAGTCACACACCTTTTGAGGCTACTGTAAGAAGTTGTATCCCTTTCAACAAAGCAGAAGCAGAAGAAAGCAAACAAACAAACAAAATCACAGGTCTGAAAACCCACAGGCACCTGCTTGCCTACTGTGGATTGTCATAAAGGGAGGTAAACCTTTGGATTTTCTTCCATAAATAACATGAGCCGTTAGGGGTTTTCCCCTAGTGTGTTTTCAATGGTATATAAATCACCTTGAGATGCATGTAAGGAGATTCATACATGAGTAAAATAACAAAAGTACTTGGTTTCACTGGAGAAATCTAGGCAGGAGCAGCAAGTATAAGGGGGAGTAAAGTTCCAATTATAGAGCTGGTTAAGTATCAACAGCAACCAACAAGCTTGGTTGTAGTAGCCAGAAGGCCCCTGTGCTCAAACTGTTCCCCCTCGCTGTCTCACTTGGCTTTATGCTGGTGTACTAACACTTGGGTCCTGCTCTAGCTCCTCCTGCCCTTTCTTTAATCTGAAATCCAGCAAAAGATTTTGAAGGGTAAATGGTTGGCTGTGACATCTCCATAAAGAGAGGAAGCACTGAAAATTGTAGGACCAGGGAAGCGTGTGTGGAGTGGGGAAGCCATCTTGCAAATCCATCCTGGAAGAAAGGAAACAGCAAGGAGCTGAGATGGTTGAAGGTAAAAGGAAACAGATGACAAGTAGTATTGTAGCCTAACAACCAGCAAAAATTATGAGATCATACTACCCTGGAAATGCACAGGAAGTTATCGCCCTCCTTTCATAAGCAGGGTGCTCCTAACGCTCTTGATTTAGAGCCTTTCAGTACATATGCATTTGTGAATTCTGATATTCTACTCCACTCACCCAGCTGGACTGCACAGACTTATCTCCAGGTTGATGGCTCTACCTTTTTTTCCCCCAGCTTTTTTTTCGGAGGGGGTATACCTAAGGTATTCTGCACCATAGCAATGGGTAGAACTATAAGGCAGTTTGGGAAATAAGAGTAGACTGCAGTGTCCATAAAAATGAGCATTACCTTGATTAAACAAACCTCTGGATCAAGCTTCTGCATGCAACTCACCTTAGACAAGTGGTGAGGGACAGGATATGGGCGCTCAGGTAAAGAAGCTGCCGACAGTAGAGGCCAGGATGATGGCAAGAATGATGCAGCATATCATGATCATGATCTTCTTCTGCTCAGCGAGAGGAAACATGAATAGCAATATACCCAGACATCTCACTGGTAGGGGGATGGTAGCAGGAACAAGGGGACAGAGGAGGGGGCTTGTGTTTTGTGGGTAACAAGTGGAGGATAGAATTAAGGAAGACGGGAAACTAGGGACATAAACACACCAGAGTTAAGGAGGGTCTTATGGACAGGGCTGTTCTTTCACAGATGCAGATAGCACTGAGACTTCCGTTATCTTTTTTTATATACCAACCGTATTTTTACATAATAACAGAAGCACTCCATTCCATTTTGGGGTCCTGTACAACCCTTAAGTAGTTTAGATGGAAAGCATATGGGTACTGACACTCTTAACGGCAGCCTCCCTCATCCTTGGGTTCCCAGATGTCATTGGACTATAGCCCCCATCATCTCTAGCCAATATGGCCAATTGGTCAGAGATAATGGGAGTCATAGACCATCTGGGGACCAAGGATTGAGGAAGGTTGACAGGACAGAATCATCTTACCTGAAAGATTTGGCATAATGATAATGGGGAGCGGTGGTGGAATCCAGCCACTTTATGTTCCAGGTGTATTTAAGAGGCAATTCCTCAATTCTTCTGTGTTAAGAATAGCAAACCTTCCCCAAGACCCACACTGCAAGGTGTGTTGCTGAAGCATATTTGGATATGGGCAAAAGCCATACAAGACCAAGAAAGTACACACTACCCCTCAAAACAATAATAATGGCTTGTATGGCTATACCCTGTCCAGAAGTTCAATACACAAGCACAGAGTTTACAGATTATTTGAACATCAAACTCATTTATTAAAAACAAAAACAAAAAAATGCTCATTAAAAAAAGCATTGACAAAACCAAATTCCTATCATCTCTGCTGTCCATAGGCAGCACAGTATTTTGAAATTCAGTCTTCCCCGCTTTGCAGATGGCTCTCACGGGGGATCAGTCCACCAACTTTTTAAGCACCACTTAACAATGTACAGACATCAAGGCCTAAAGGAAAGGACATCTCTAGAAAGACTTTCCTCTTCGCTCCATCTGTGCACTCAAAGAGGTCACTGCCAGTTGGCAGGAAAGTGTTTGTATGGTTACTGCAACATCAACACTAGACAGGTTAGATTCTGGGTGGAATTGAATGGTGGAACAACGGGTAACCGGCCAGATTTTCCTAGTGTCCAGGAGACGGTCATCTCCCCCAGGAAGCAAATCCTCAATTCCAGTCAAAGGGGCTTTCTCTCCCATGGGAGATAACAGCTACAGCAGGCTTTCCGGTGAAGAATTCGTATAAATATAGAACACTTTTGTGTGCATCTGCCCCTTAAATTTCAACAGAAACGTAACTGCCAGGGCCTAAAGCTTTCTTGCTGTATTAATGTCTCTCTAACAACCCTTAGTTCCAGGATGATTCCCCACCTTTGAAGAAGGGAATGTGGTTCATTTAGTCTGTGAGGTAGGCTTCCGTGCAGTGAACGTATTGGTGCTGAAGGTGAAAGGAACTGAAGCATAGGCGCTTGCTTCTCAGAGAAGGGCCTGAGACTTGCTCCCATACCGTGGCTAGCCTGAACCAGCCTTCTGCGCATTTTTGCTAAGCTAGATCACGAGGCTTTCCTAGCCAAATTAATTTCTCTGCCTAATTCACAGTCACATCCCCTCGCTTCTGCGAGTGACACCCGCAGCAGGAGGTCACAGATATGACTGAAAATGAAGCAGTGAGGCAGCTGAATAACTTTTGAACAGGAAAAATAATAGCAAAGGGTTTCTCAGACAAAAACCCTAAAACTCATGTTTGGAAGCAGCAAGACTTGAGCGGGATTTTACTTTAAAAAAACCCACAAAACCACAAAAGCTTAACAACTGCTAGGACCACCCTTGAGGAAAAAAACACATAAATCTACTCTTTTAACAAGCTTGAGGTCTTTTAAATGGGAAAGTAAAGTCTTCCCTGGAAGAAGTTATAGTATCATGAAAACACATGACTTATCTGTATGTCTTATGAACCAACTCACTGCCTTTCTCCACACTAGCTTTTCCTGGCTGTGCAAACCAAACTGGCTGAGTGATGAACAGCAATTTAATGGAGGCAATGTGACCATTCAAACAAGGTAGAAACCCTCAGTAGAAAAACACTTCCAAGCAAACAAAGCCTTTCATTTCTTCCCAATTAGTATGTCATCAGACAAACATGTACACACAGGACTGGGGGAGAGAGGGCACACACAACCATGCCTTCAGCACACAGGCACACTCGCCCAAGGAAAACAAATATTTTAAAGCAGGAAGGAATTGCATTCTACTCCTTTCAGAAATCTGAATGCATTCCAAACAAAGAAGGTTGGCTACCCGTTTTGTAGACCACACATATTCCCAAGGAATGCTTTCCTCCATAGGCATCTGAGGACATCTTTCTGTTCAAACACAGACCAGTTCTAAGTACCCAAAACATCACACCTCTACTGCAATGCTGGCTGCTTTGAGTCAAGAAATTAGTACACAAGCAGCTCAGATTTGGAGGGCCTGAGTACTAGCGGCTATATCCCACCTATGTAGCATGCAGTTGTCACAGCCTAATTTAGGGAAACTGGCTCGATTACCCAGCTGTTTTCATGCCTCGATGGCTGCATTTATGCCTGTGGTCCTAACCCACCATCCCTCTTCCAAGATTGCCTTGATTGACTGCAAACTCTGCCACTATTAAGAAGTCAAGCTCTCTTTGGGGATAGCAGGGCAAGATACACTGTGACATACAATAGGCTAAGATTTGTGTCCTGCAAAATATTTATGAGTCGCAAAATCTGCTCTAAACTCTAAAAAAAAAGAGCAGAATGCTAGCCTCAGTATACAATGGGATGGTGGTCAGCAGTTATGTAGCAGATCCAGTTCAAGTCTTGGCCCTTAACCTGGGCAATTTTGACTAGCAATGTAATGTCTGACATCTTTAGTAAAGACATCTCCATTGTTAAAAGAAAAGAAAAAGGCACAGCTGAAAAGAATGAAGGCACTGAGGTAGGCAAAGGTGTGTCCAAAATTCCGCTCAAGGTTCATTCCACCGTACTAGAGAATATTCTTGAAGGATGGGGGATTAAACATAGGAAATGCTTGACCTGGAAGCAGCAGGTGTTGCGGGAAGGAAGGGAAGGAAGGGTAAGGAGTAGATATGTTGGGAGGTTCTCTCTGGAGTGCCATGAGATTTGCTGTACATCCTGGATTCAGCAAGGTACATCAGACTCTTCTGGCTGCAGAGCTTTATCCGAGGAGGGAACTGGAACAGAATGTAGCTCTCACAGGAAGCACTGGTGCAAGTGAACTCATCCTGCAGGAAGCCATTCATACTAAATCCAAGAGGCCAAAGGCAGGAGGGTAGGCAGGGGAAGGTCACATCATGGTGGTGAGGATCAGGAGGGGGAGTCTTGCTATCAAACCAGGAAGAGCTTGGGAGTGTCTGGAGGAAAGGAAAGGAACAAAATGGGAGGGAAAGTTATTCTCATGTAGGGATGAACAACCAACTCACTATCGCCAGAGGGGTTCATCAAACCTCTAATAGCAGGAGTGGGGAACCTGTGGCCCTTCAACTGACGTATAATTCCCATCATCCCTAGTGGCTCTGCAGGCTGGAGCTGATGGGCACTGAGTTCAACACTTGGAAGATCACAGGTTCTCCATCCCTCCTCTACAGAATCACCGGGAAAGGAAATAAATATACCCCCCACCAGCTCTCTACAGTTCTTAGGGGAAATAGAAGTGTCTCCTTCAATAACCCTCTACCTATTGTCCTGTGAGCTCAGCTGCCATAATCTGTACATAAAAGATTGAGAGGGTGGAAAGAAAACCATGGAGTTTGAGGAACAGCAAAGGTTCACAATCTGAGTGAGGACCAGAGCGGGGAGCAGGAGCAAAACACACATATATATGGGGGCTGTGGGAGAAACAGCTGTCCTTGAGCTGCTGTCTAGGAACTTTGGGGTCAAAGGAAAGTCTCACAGATCAACTAAGGATACCCTCAGATGTGTTGCACTTAGGCATCCTCAACTGTACAATACAGCCTTGAAACACCATCAGATCTGAGAAATGATGTTAAGAGGACCAGGCAACTCCTTGGCCAACACAGAATGGGCTTGTATACCATATGCACAGAATGGCAGGTGCGTGTTCTAGTGATCCACAAGCACTGAGAAACAAAATAAGTGCTCATTTGAGGAAGAAGAGCTAACACGGAAACCATCAGCGGTAGGGAAGATCATTGCTTCAGCCGCAGAGCTGTCACTTCTCTGAAGGGGTAAGAAACTTCAGAAACCATACCTTGTGCATCTAGCAGACCTCAGCCTCTCAGGCTGATCAGACACTCCCACCACATCCCAAACGCTAGGAGTTGAGAACCGCACACTCAAGAAATGAGCTCATATGTACTGGTGAAATTTACAGCACAGAAAACAGAGACCCAAATAAACATACCTGCTGTGAAACCAGAGAACTACATGAAGCTCTATTACTACTATTATGCCTCAAAATTTTAGAATCTGGTGACATCTTTAGAATCTTAGTTTATTATATAATGTTGCTAGTCCCCGTAGTTGCTGATTGTCTATATCAGCTTTATATACTAAAACACAGGAATAAAACTAAGCCTGGCAAAAGCTTCCCTATTGTTCAAGTCAAGTTATTCTATATGATCCTATCGCTTCTCACAAGCCCCAAATCACCAATACCCTGACACTTTATCTATGTCCTTCCCTTATACCCTATGTGCTCAACCAGAAAAGATGGAATAGATTTTTGCAGTACAGCCCAATTTCTGTAGAATCACTTCTTGCACCCACAGGTCACAAAGGTTGAGAGGCTTAATACAGAGCTCTAGCTGCCCTCTAACCTACCCTGCACATTGTAGGAAGAATATTCACACACAGAGAGGAGGAGAGATTCAGAAGCCCATCCGAAAACCAAGCAGGAGAGGAGATGGCAAGAGAGGTTGAAGTAATCCTTCTGCTTCCACAAGCTACTTACAGTTCAGAGCCAGCAGCCCTTCATGTTTTGAGCCCTACTGAAAGTCCAATAATGAGAGCTAAAATTCCCAGCAAGGAAACCACTATCACAATGATAATTATTGTTTTCTAGAAGGGTAAAAGAAAAGGTAGATTAAGTCATTATAAGTAATTACATAATAACAACGGGGGAAATGCTGTGCACACACCTAGAAGGAAGCTTCGGGTTAAGCTAAAGCACTTAGATCGATACCATTTAAGACAAATGGACACTTGCACAGTCATCACTCAAAGGAATGCTACAGCAAGTGATGGCTTGTAAGTGTGAACCAGTCAAAGACACAAACACAACAAAGCATTTGTACTGCCAGACAGTACTCAAGTGGAAGCAATTCAAACATGCAGGTGCAAGTCATCACACAATACCTTATGGAGCGATGGATGTGCATGTGTGAATACCCCATTAGGTACACTGTTTAAATAAGTTTGCATCCAATGACTTTGACTTAAAATGGGTTGTGGCAATAATGGGCCAGGGCAGGGGGGCTGAGCTGGACCAGGACCATGGCATGGCTAGAGGAAGGCTCTAACCCGTTGCCCTGATGCAGTCCTGATTTGACACCACCCCCATTCACAATGGATGGAAAGCACACATTGTCCCCAAGGGGGATTTTTTTCCTATTGCAAATATGAGGCATGACCCTCGATTCCAATCAGAACTGCATGGGGGCAAATACTTTAAAAATACACACACTCGTGCCATGGTCTTGACACAGCTCCCACCTCAAAAAAAAAAAAAAAAACCCTGCATGTGAGGGCTAATATTAGGCATGTGGCAAATATTATGCCTAATTTGACCATGATTGTCATGCTTACATTTTGCCTCAAACATTAAAAATAAAGTAAGAAAGATCAAGCATCCAAGAATTCTGCTCTTTGTAAAGCAAGGGCAGAAGTCCTTGTTCTTTTTTTCAAGTTCAGCACAAAACCCTTAAATGAAACTTAAGAATCCAGTTCTATGCATTTATTCAGATGTCAAGTCCCAAAGAATTTTGTAGGATTTCTTCCAGGTAAGCATGCACAGAATGTAGCACAGAAAAACGATAAAAGACTAGATGGACAGCCCAAAGCAGAAGACTGCAGAGTTGATGACAAGCAAACTAAAGAAAGTTCAGCCCTCAAGTTCTTGAGCCCCTGTTGAGAGAGTTTAGGAGCTGTGAAAGAAGAGACCTTCCTTATTCTGGAGGGGGGATATAGTCTAAGCACTACTGGGAGAGCAAAACAATGCTTAACAAAACATTGCTAGCTGTTCATATCATATAGTTCATTGCATAGCGGGATGAATTTGTGACCAGGCTGCAGGGAAGTTGGAGGAACTGCAAGTAGACAGGATAGGGGGTGGGGAAATGGGTCTTCAGCTAATAAGACTGAACAGGGGTTTTGGTAGATGAGGAAGAGAAGGGCAAGAGGTGCTCCGGTTGCAGAATATGAGTTCAGAAGTAGAACTCAAAGGGCGTATGGACAATAATCCCCCTCAAAGACTCTCTATGTGACCCTTGGGATTCTCTCCAGCAGGTCATGCCCCTTCCCTGGCCACGCCCTTTCTTCCCAGGCCACGCCCCTCTCCTCCAGGCCCTTCTGAGTGCTTTTGTCATCTGGCTGGATAATAATTCATCTCGCTTGCCTGGGTGGGAGGTGGAGGGATGTGTGGGTGGGTGGGTGGGTAGAAACCTTTGACTTTTGCATGAGTGGCATGCCCCCGGAATGAAAAGGGCTCCCCACCCCTGGTCTACGAGGAGGGAAGGGAGGGGTGGACTACATTCACTTCTTCCTCACCCTTCGCGCTTCGCTCTGATACTTTACGGCCTTTTTGGTGTCAGCCACAGCCCGTTCCACAAAGCCTACTGATTGGTCCATGTTGTTCTCTATGCGGTCAATCATGCCTCCCTTGCAGAGGAAGAGGAAAGCCGAAAGCGAAACAGAGAGGCAGAAACAGAAAGTGTCAGCCAGCAAGGCGTCCGGCAGCAGAGAGCTTGTAGTCCACAGGAGAGGCTCACCTTGCGTGCCTTACTCTTATATTTCAGGGCCTTTTTGGTCTCCTCGCGAGCTTTCTCTACGTGATCTAAGGTGTGCCTCAGGTTGAGTTCTATGTTATCTACAATTTCTCCCTGTGGGAAGGTTTAAGGGAAGGGGGTAGAAAAGCAAAGAGAAATAATGTTATCATGCTGCAAAATGCCTACTGCCATGGCTAATACCCCCAGTTTCCCCCACCTAATTCTATGAAACCTTCAGCTTACTTCCCCCCTGCAACATGGATTTCCTGCCATGTAATTCCTGTGCTCTCTTGAATGCTTGCCCTCTCCTCATGCAAGCCAGGAGTTCGCCTCACAGCTGTTACCCTCCCTCTGAATGAATGACTCTTCCAGGCATATGGTTTCCATCGACCATCAACTTGCCCATATTCCCTCCCTCCTCCCACCCAAACACTTTTTAAATTCTGAAAACAAAACACTCACCATAGTTTGACCTGACCGTCATTTCCTCCGCATTGCATTGTGAGCAGAAAACAAGAAATGGGGCCTTAGTAGTATTCAGGCTTCCATACTAATCTCTAAGCAGACCATTTCTGCCTCATAACTGATAGGTGTTAATAAGCACAGTTGTGAAAACACCTTCTTTAGTTTTTGGATAGCATAGTGGAATAGTGACTAGTTGAGAAGATGGTGACACAGCCTCTTTAGTCCAGGAGACAGGGCTCTATCCCCAGGAATGTAACAGGGTAGCAAGCCACGCTCCAGACTAGTCAGACAGGAAACTATTAGCAAATGAAGTTACTCTCAACTAGTATCCAAATTACCTTAATAATGGACTTCATCAGACTACCCTAGCCTACCATTATTTAGGTTCAGTCAGCCACATGCAGACAGTACTCTGTCAACCCCTAGACAAGGGCTGCAAATTATGCTGGGGTGCATGCTTGTTAACTCAGAAGCGCTGTTACATTAACTGGTTGGAAAGCATTTTTGCAAATGCTCCCTGTTAACTTATTTCTCTTCCCTTTAGCATCCCCTCTGCAACCCCATCTCTCTGCTCAACCCCCATTTTCTCTTGTTTCCCATGCCACAAACATCTGCACTCTGACTATATGGACAAAAGCAGCATGCTGTTGGATCAGACCAAAGGTCCATCTAGTCCAATTTTCCTTTTACTCAATGGGCAACTTGATGCCCCTCAGGAAGCTGCCTTTACAGGTTGTCAACCTCATTTCCCATGGTTAAACAGATAACCACCTCTGGGCGCTCTGCTTTTCATTGCCACCTTTGCTTTTTATCAAGGTCTCCATTTGGTGATCCATTTTTCTCTCCACCCCCTGCCCCATAGCTCAGTTACCTGATTTTCCACTAGCATGGCAATATCCACAAACATGTCGTGAAGCTCCTTGATGCTGCTTTCAAGCCGCAAAATGTCCTTATGCCGTCCCTCAATCTCACTCAATGCTTGCTTTGAGATCTGGGAATCCATAATCTAGGAAAGGCCCAAGATTTGTCATTTGCAAATGTACCATAGTAACCATGCTCTGCAGAACATTGCTTCCAAAAGTTCTGCACTGCGGTTTTCATATGCTCCCCTTCAATCTATCCCAGCTCTTCTCACTGGATATACTCTTCCATTTCACAACATGCCCAAACTCAGCCATCTTGCAACTCCAACCAACAAGACTTGGTGCTCCTGCAATCCACAGATATTCTTTTGCATTCTTCTTAATGCTGTATTGTTTTTAACACTTGATTGGAAGCCGCCCAGAGTGGCTGGGGAAACTCAGCCAGATGGGCGGGGTATAAATAATAATTTATTATTATTATTATTATTATTATTATTATTATTATTATTATTCTCCTCTTCTCAACCTTAAACAACCTAGCAGTCACCTTCACACAAACTACCTTCAAACACACTCACCCCAGATGTGAATATTGATGGATTCCCGCTCTCTAGCATTTCCTCCAGCTCCTCATCTGTTGTATTCTTCCCAGCTGCATCCCAGGGAAAGAAACAGGGAGAGAACAAGAGCTTCAGGTACTGCAACAAGAACAAACACTTCCTTGGGAGCTACAAATACTACCAGGGCAGGAAGGGGTGCAAATGCTTCTAGGCAGAAGAACCCAGCTCTAGCATTCAGGATCATGCTCTACCCAAAGGTAAAGGCCAAGGCATAAAGCAGACATACTGATCTCAAGCTGTCGCTGAATCCTTCCTTTGCTCCGTTCCCGGAAGTCGACCTGTGCTTCGTTGTACTTCGTCATCACATCGACAAATTTTCGGGAAAGGACTGAATGCTGGAGACAGGAAGAAGTGATAACTCAAGGGACCCTGGCTGATCTGCCAATTCTCTACTGGCATTATTTTTTGGAAGCTGGAAACTGAAAGATTTTGGGTTTTTTGGAAAACCCATAAGTCTTTGAGTCTGCATTAAAAAGAGACTTAATACCTTCAAGTTTTCAAATGTGTGCGTGTTTAAGTGTTATCTTTCAGAAACTGAAAATCATTTGCATAAGCAAAAGCATTTTAAATATTTAAAAATTACAGTTAAGCAGCTTGTGTGAAACAAACTGCAAAAGATGCAGAGTTCATTCCTCACCCTTCCAAGCTATGGATCAGAAACCATCAGCTTCTTTCTCACTCTCTCCTTTTTTAAAGCTAGCTATCAGGGCCTAATTCGAACTAGAGGGTTCAACTTGGAACCAGTTTTGTTCCACCATGAAAAGCAAGCAGTCCCTCTGAGCATGTGAAAAAAGTCTCATCATTATTAATTTAGTCAATGCTTCATTACAAAAACAGTGCTGAAATGACTTACAACAATATCTCATGGCTCATAAATACATCATTTAAAAGCAATACAACAGCTAATAATGTTAATAATAAAAAAATCCACCCTGAAATACAAAAGTAGCCTCACTTGCTCTTGGATAAACACAGAAATAAACAAAATATCACAAAAGCACAATATTATTAGAGTCCAACTGCCTGGTAGAATAAAAACACCTTTGCCTGGCACCAAATATATGAAAATGTCTCTTGGGGGGAAATGGAGAGAAGGGCCTCAGATCCTGATCTTAGGGTCCAGGTAAGTTTGCACGGGGAAAGGCGGTGTGTGAGGTATTAGAGCCTGAGTTGTCCAAGGCTTTACTGGGTAGAACCAGTACTTTAAATTGGGCTTGGGAAGAACTACAGCTAGTTCCCGCACAACTGGGATTCAGATGCAGGCCTGAGAATGTGGCTCCCAAGAGGATTTGAGTTCCAGATTATTCCCCACTTTCCCCACCACCCCCTGCAGCAGTTAGCCTCTTGTTGCTTTCAGAAAAGTTTTTCTCCCTTCTTTTCTGACCACTGGCTAACAGCGGGCAAAGGCGTCCAACAGTATGGAATTGCCACAGAGCTCTGCTTACCTGGGACTTCCGTATCCGCAGGTCAGCTGAGGATCGAACCTCATCCTGTTCAATATTCCTCTCCATACCTGTGAATGCAGGGAAAGGAGTTGATGGAAAGATGCTCTGCTTCTATCCTGCACAGTGAAGACGTCTGGTGTCCCTTTGCCTAGGCAAATGCCTATACCACTCTCATAGGTGCCAACTACTAGGGGCCGAGGCATTTTCAGAGAACGTTGTACAACATCATGTCACCCTGTCCACTGGAGAAGCTGGTGCCTCTGACCATTCTCCCTCCCTCCTACTACATTAGTGTGCGTACTAGCATATTGCCGTGGTTTGTAGGAACAAGTCCTTTTCTTAAGAGTCTGCATAATTTAATTACTTTGGTGATGAGAGAGGAACATGCAGAGGGGGGCAGCAAGAAGACTGGGCCAGGGTGCTCAGCCTGCAGCTACAGAAGAGAGAGACGCTAGTACAGTGGTACCTCGGGTTACAGACGCTTCAGGTTACAGACTCCGCTAACCCAGAAATAGTACCTCAGGTTAAGAACTTTGCTTCAGGATGAGAACAGAAATCGTGCGGCGGCAGCAGGAGGCCCCATTAGCGAAAGTGGTACCTCAGGTTAAGAACAGTTTCAGGTTAAGAACAGACCTCCAGAACGAATTAAGTTCTTAACCCGAGGTATCACTGTATATTGCTTACACTTTATGCTGGATGGGAATTTTTTCCCAGTAGTGGATGGAGCAAACTCCAAAGTGGGCAAGGCCAGACCCACACAAAATGTCTCTCTCTCTCAGACTCCCACACCCATTCTACTTAAACTTCCATTTTCTCCTCTGATTCTTTTTAAACAAAGGTTATAAAAAAACCTAAAACGCTCTACAATACATTTCTCTGTCCTAACTGTTCAAAAAGCAAAAAAAGTCATTAATCCCCATGGAATAATGCAAATGACATCAAAACACAGCTAGGTTGAAACCCCTAACTTACAGCAATTCAAGACCTCAAACTTCAAAAAGCAATTGCATTCCAAAAACTGCATGCACACAATTGCAGAATTCTTGACTGACTTCTTGCATATTTTCAAGGAACGTAAGTCTACGTCTCTTCTGAGACATTTTCTCTTCTGCTTGATGTCTCTGCAGAGATCAGAGTTGCAACTGCACACTTTGCACAACAAAGCCCTTTCTCCTCTCATCTGCTCTGTATTGAACAGCTGATGAGTAGAAGGTGAGCTGGGGAGCCAGATTTGGTTGCCCATCCCTGCTTTAGGCATCCCCTAAATGAGAGCTGAGCACTATAAATTAGAACTTCCAAGACCAGTCTGCCCGAGGGACATGTTACTTACTCTTAAGTTTGTTTCGGACACTGTTAGCCATTTTCTTGATATCTGCTGTGAGCTGCTCCAGGTCATCCTTAGTCTCTGCAGAACACAAGAATAGACATCAGTGCTGAGCAGCATGAGAACAGCAGCAAGCATCCTCTTGGAAAGAATCCTGTTTTGAAGTCACGACAGAGCAGGGGAAAGAGAAAAGGTTGTCACTTGAGAGCTGCTGGGACCGCAGGGCCCACCAACAATTTGGCTCCCAGCATTTACCTGGTGGCATCAGTGGGAGGTGGCCATTTAATTTCTCACCATGCCCCTATCATAGTATCACTTTGGGGCATTGTGGGAAATTAAACTGGAGGAGGGCCTGCACAAGAGGGAACTTTGTCCACAGCCTTCTGAAACCTGAAAGGAGAGCAGAGGAAGACTCTTCAGGCTGTTTACTTCCAAGTAGCCCCTCACTCTCTTACACAGTATATCAAGAGGCAGGGAGACAAGAAAGGTTTAGCAGGTTTGGTTCTGTGTTCTCAGAGTAGGGGAAAGTCCATAAGAATCATTGCCAAAAATTTCTCTCAAGGGGGTTTGTGTCTTACTCACTTGGTTCAGGGATTGGGGCTGACAGGATGATGCTATACAGCTTTTTTGCCTCTTCTACATTTTCGGAAATTTTGTCAATATTCTGCCGGGTTTCTTCAATCTGCAAAGTTATGGAAACAAAATGAAGAGGAATCTTACCATTACACTGACACCGCTGGGAGGGTAGGTGTGGGGAAATCAAGAGCCTAATCCCTACAGAGTCAGCACCAAGCTCATTCATGCATACCTCACTTTAGCTGTCTCCCTCCCCAGGTCATACAATCATATTTAGGAACAGCTGCAGCCGTCACAGCTTTGGATGCTGTCAATGTATGGTACTTTCCTATCTATGTAATTGTATGTCACTTGACTACTACTCCACATGGAGGAAATGCAAACTGTTAAGGCTCCAGAGGAGACAGCACGGCTAAGCACTGTTGAATATGAGACAGGAAAGTCAAATAATGATAAGCAGAAAACTTCACTTGGCACTTTTAGAACACAATTCTGAATGCAAAGCATAGTCTAGCTTCTGCCTGTACCTGCTTCCCAAGAAAGTGAGTACTTGTCACAAGGGAAACAAATAAACCAAACCTCATTAAAACCCAGCCTATCCATGTGCCCTGATTCTTGGACTTAGTTTTAATTTCAGGTCTACATTTTCTCTCTCCCGGACTCTCCTTACCTCTGCAAAGAATTCATCCATGAAAGCTGTGTTGTCAATAGCGATTTCCAGGTCATCATCGGCATCATCCTGGTCCTGTTTCTGTAAAGGGACAAGATGGCAAGAATTAAAGGAGAAGAACCACACAACCATATTTTACACCAAGTCCAACCTCCTTAGTCCAGTTTGGTGGTAAAGGAAACATCTTAATATTATAGGCTGGAGTTGCATCTTTTCTCTTTTTAATTGGCAAAAATCATTCTGCATTGTCTTTAAGTTACAAAGATTACTCCAGATACCATTATGTAAAAAAACATCTCAGAATACTAAATAGAACATTAAGAAGAAAAAATTCTCACACACTATCAATAATATAAATTAGGGTTGCTATACAGGACATAGCTGGGATTCGGCCGTCGGAAATTGTGTCCTTGCGGAAATTGCTTAAATGTCCAGGGAAATCTGCATGTATGGTAACTCACGTTGGTAGTGTTTTTTCCTTAAAAATGGATCATAAAATCCTCCTTTTTTGTTTCTCAAAAAAGCTCAACAACTTTGGGTAATACACATACCTTGGAAGCCAAACGGAATCCATTCCGGAAGTTCGTTCGGCTTCCAAAACATTCAACTTCCAAGGCACAGCTTCCGATTGGCTGCAGGAGCTTCCTGCAGCCAATTGGAAGCCACGGAAGCAGCACCGGACATTTGGCTTCCAAAAGAATGTTCGAAAACCGGACCACTCACTTCCGGTTTTCGATCATTCAGGAGTCGGAATGTTCAACTCCCAAGGCGTCCGGGAGCCAAGGTACGACTGTATAAATCCCTGTAAGCCACTGAAACACATGAAACACATGAAAAGTGAGACCACGTCAAACCTTGTGATGGAAACCAACCACCACAAACCACTTGATCACTTTAAAAAATGGTGCAAATGCAGAAGGATTTGCCTCCTGTATCCTAAGCTCATGAAGTCCAGCCTTGCCACCACCATCACCAGCTGTCAGAAATCTAGGGAAGGTAGCTCTACAGTAACAGCAAGAGCAGGATCTCCACCTGGTCAAAGATGGCTGCTTCCACTGTATGTTCTGTGGTTTGTGTCCATTTTTCCTACGCACAGAAACTGCAACAGCAAGGGAAATACCAGGATGTGGAAGAAGAGGGTGGTTCTATTCCATTAGAAGAAAGGGCTCAAGAAAAGGTATGGAGGCAGACCACACCTAATGCTGGTAGCCTTCTCCAAACTAGTGAAGAGTTGGAGATACTTTTCCTTTGTGCAGATTAAGTAGAAAGGGAACCAAGGGTCTTTAGCCTCTCCCCCAAAGCTGGATCCCCCTCCCTCTGCTCCTTAGTCTGCTTTGCTCTTCCTGAAATGAAATGTCTGCCTTTATTTAACTATGCACCTCTACAATATTGACTCCAGGCTTCCAACGCCTGCTCTTAAAAATAGCACATCATTCGTCATCACTTGCTGAGCAACAAAAACCAAACAAACTACACCCTCTACAAACTACACCCTCTTAGGGACTCGTTCTGCCTTGGGTGGAAAGGTGACAAAAGGATAACCAGGCCCGAAGGTCAACAAACTACATACAGTAAAGCTGACTGACTAGAAGTCATGCTGCACAGTCAAGGCCAAGGCCTTTCAAGGGCAGGACATAGCACTGATGTTGGTTGTGCATCACAGGTCTCAGATGGAGAGGCAAGAGAACAGAGTGCAGAGAATAAAAGCTAAAGGGAGGAGAAAAGATTGGGTACCATCAATGTTATCACAGAGTTTCCAGAGTCCGGCTTTCAGAGATACCCAAAATATAAGTTTCTTTGATTATGATATTGCATTCTTTGTTTCAGGTGTGGGAGAGAGATTTAGATGCTTTGTTTTTGAGGTAAATATATACAGTACACTAAACCTGCAACTTACATGGGAGTTAGGTTCTGGAGATAGCACCTAAGGCCAAAATTGTGTATAGTCAAAACACATTGGGTTCAATGGTGGGTGGGACTGCCAGTCTTCTTTCCTGGATGCCCACCCCCTTTTATTTTTATTTTAAATTGCCAAGCACGTAAAGCTGAATGTGCACAAGTTAATTTACTTAAATAGTGGGCTTACTGTATTTACAAAATTGAGGAAGAGCAGTCATCTTATCTCAATGTTCCAGCTACTCCCAAGATCACGAGGAGAAAATGAAAACAAAAATCCTTAAAAAGACTGGAAGATCTAGTGACAGATTCAGTAACCTTAGAGGCTGTCAGTTGTGAAGCACACAATGGCTTTTAAGATTCTAATAAATTATTACAGATGGTTGACTTGGATGGCTGCGAGGACTGTTGCCGTAGACCATGTGAGCCATGAGAAGGAAATATAGCCTTCTTGTAGAACGTGAGTTGATCGAAAGTTGGAAGAAAATACAAGGTACAGGTCAGACACAGCTTCTTAATGAAATACTGGGTCTGTGACTATATAATAAAAATTGCTGTCTAAAAAAAGCTGTATACCATACATCTAAGAGGGCCGTGGGTGGCACTGTTGGTTGGACAGAGCCTAGGGCTTGCTGATCAGAAGGTTGGCGGTTCGAATCCCTGCGACAGGGTGAGCTCCCGTTGCTCAGTCCCTGCTCCTGCCAACCTAGCAGTTTGAAAGCACATGAAAGTGCAAGTAGATAAATAGGTACCGCTCCAGCGGGAAGGTAAATGGCGTTTCCCTGCACTGCTCTGGTTTGCCAGAAAGCGGCTTAGTCATGCTGGCCACATGACCCGGAAGCCGTACTTCGGCTCCCTCGGGCAGTAAAGCGAGATGAGTACTGCAACCCCAGAGTCATCCACGACTGGACCTGATAGTCGGGGTCACTTTACCTTTACCTTCCATACATCTACTCTAACAATGAGCAAATTCTTATTGTTACTGATGCAAAATGGTTGGTTGCCTGGACCCCATGCCTCTGCAGGAGTCTTTGTGGCTAGCTAATATGGAAGCTTCCCATGTGAGCCACACACCTCCCACCCTCCCTGCTATTCAAGCATTCTGGCAGTAGCATGGGATCCAGCCACAACAAGCCATAACATATAACATAGGTCTGACAGGTTGAGCTGGAGCAAAGACTCAATAATGAATTACAGGTATGTCCATATTGCCCTTCAACAAAAGTCTAGAATGCCTGAGTTAATTATCATTATCATTACTATTTATTAAATTTGCTTGCCACCCTTCACCCGAAGATTACAGGGCAGTTCGCAACATAAAAATACAAAATGAGAACTCAAACTACGCAATACAAACAAAAACAAAAACTTTTATTTCAGATTTAATTACTGTTGTTTTAACACTTTGTGAGCCACTTCAGTTATCTGCGGTTAGAAGAGCAAGGAGAAATCAATAAAACACACTGTCTTGCTGCCCAACAACATCTACATCTATTCTGTGTGACCCAAACTTGGACAGGAGCAATAGAGAAACAAGCAGAAACGAGCAAAAAAATCTATGTTTGCCCAAAAGTTGTCCAAGGGTACTGAGGAGCCTTCTCCAACCTTCTGTCCCTCCAGATATTTTGGATCACAGCTCCCAGCATGGTCAGTGGGGAAGATATAGTACAAAACATCTGGAAGGAAGACAGCTTGAGGAAGGCTGGTATGGAGGAATGGAATATGCTACTGCTTATGCAGTCAGAGAAATATCAATTCAAAAGAAGAATGCTTCTTCCAGCTTTCAATTCTGAGTTTTTCCTTTCTTCCACAGGTCAAATTGAGCTGGACAGAGAATGCAGATGAGCTTTCTCCATGAATTTATTTTCAAGTTAATAGAATAGCTTCCAAACGCATGTATTTGTGACAAAACAGCCAGGGACAGGCTTTTAATATATGATCGTGTACACATTTTGTCTTGACTCTAAACAGAAAAAAGCATTGTGTGTGAAGCAGCTTGAGCAGAGAAATGTACAGAAGGTCCGAGCCCTGCAGAAAAGAACACTGCGAGTGAAGAAGGGGAGGAAACAGTTCCCAGCTGTAATTTATTGGATGCAAGCAATTTCAGTTCTGAATCTGAAGCTGGACTGGAGCCAGTGACCTAGAATTAGACGATTTCCATCTTTCACTTGCACCCCCCTCAAGCTACCCTCTGCACCTGCTAAAACAAGATTCAACAGTAAAAAAATCAAATGAGAGCTGCCACCCAAATTCGCTTCCTTAGTAAAAGAAAAATTCAGGCAAAGACTCAGGCAAATCATCATGAGAAATGTTGAGGGAAGATGAAATAATTTGTTCCCAGATACAGGATTGGGGAGTTTTAGCAGTTCTGGACAGAGTTGCACTCCCTCTGACAAAATAGGCACACTGTTGTTGTTGTGTTTTTTGGGGGGGGGGCAACTCTAGAACCACCTTTGTCACTGTAGGCCCAAGCAACTTCAGTGAGCACCTATTATCAACTGATTTTGGTGCACCAACTATGCCATTTCCTGTGACCACCATGAGTCATGAGTTCCTCACAACTCATCGACTGTAATATGCTTTATGTGGGGCTCCCTCCACATAACGCTGCCCCAGGCTGTTGAGTGGGACACCTGGAGATATACATAGTACACCTGTTCTGAGGCAGCTTCATTGGCTGTCAGTTAGCTATCAGGTCATGTTCAAGGTCTTGTTGCTAAGATACAAAGCCCTGAATGACTTAAAGACCAGGTTACCTGAAAGACTGCTTCCCCCTATATCGTGTGCTGTAAGATCATCTGAGGAAATTTTACTCACAGAATCACACCCTAACAGAATATTGCAGGGCACTGAACCAAAAACAAACAAAGCATTGCCTCTGGAAAGTCCTTCCGTCTTCCATACATGACACATCATCCACCAGTTGTTTCAGATGTCTTGTAAAGACATATTTTTGTCTAGGTTTCACCGGACCCTGTTATTACCAAATTTCTGTTTTTATATGGCATTTTTGTGAAGAGATCTTAAAGCATTCAGCAGTTTAGAAATGCTTTCAATTAGATAAATAGAATTAAAATGAAATGCTCTCACGGCTTACGGCTTCCCACAGCCAGTATCACTGCTGTTTATTGACTACATTTATATAGCTTCCGCCCATCAATAAAAAAAACCACTTCCCAGATGGCTTACACTATTAAAGACACAATGTACAATAATTTAGAAACAATAGGAGACAGCAAAAAGACTTCCTTGCCATGGAGACTATTACTCCAAAGACCATTTATGGGCAGTTTAGCAGGAAATGTTACACACCAGAGGATAAGCAAGCACAACGTCTCCTTTCTACAGCTTCCTCAGAGAGAAAAGTCTCGTGGTTCAGGCAGCAAAAAGCGGACTTTGGTTCTCTAAGTAGCACAGACAGTCCCTCCAAGGTGCTGCTACTTGGCTCAGTAACTAAAGCCACTACAGTTAAGTGCTCTTCAGTCTCACAAAATGGAGGTCAGAGGTTATGTTAGTGGAAAGGTGACTGAGCCATCTGCATTCACAAGGAGTGCATCTAATCTCACATCTGGTCCTGAACACACACACCGCAAGAGGTATTAACGGATTGCTGCCTGCAGAAGGGCGGGGGCGTCCTGCTCTCACACACGGAGACAGTCTGATCTGCATGCACAGAGACACGTCCCCCCCCCCCCCGCAGACGTTCCCCACATTCCAGCCTTCCCTGTGATGCACTCCATCACTTCCAGGCAATCAGAAATTGCTTACACTTGCACCGTTCCCTTTCCTTCTTCAGCAGCAAATTTACTTGACTGTGCACTCAGGTCTCTGTGTCGTACCAGTGCTTTTTTTCTAAAAAAAATGTTTAGGGGTGCTCTCATTTTCCTACTCATATTGAAATATTGCCCTTCAATGAGGCCAAACTTAGATTCACAAAATGTTTAGGGGTATGCGGACCTCTGCGTCCTCCTAGAAAAAAAGCACTGGTCGTACCTTCTTGTCATGCATTTTTTGCTTCCAATTCACCTCCCTCTAAATTAAAGGGTAATATGCATGTAACATCCCACATGCAGACAACAGCACTTCTTCTTGTCTAGGCATGGAGGTCCAAAGATGAGTGTGCCCCAACTCTGCCTCTACAGGAACACATGATTCATTCCTCAGCCTGATGAAAACCAGGACAGATGGCTAGCATCCTTGTTTAATTGCATTACACCCTCACAGCATGCTCTACAAAAACCCTCTGTCCTTCAGTCCAATGCATCTTGAGGGGGTGTGGGATGACAGCGAACAGTCAGAGCAGCAAACATGGAACGGGTGGATGGCAGAGAGGGGGGACATTTGGGGTGGGGCAGTAATTAAAGGCTGGTAGGAAGGCACTTTGCAACTGGGGGCCCCTGTTAAAAATAAAAAAGGGTGATATCCAGCTTAATCATACTCAAAGCAGACTCACTGAAATTAAATCCATTGACTTCAGTGGGGCTACCTCAAGTAAGACTGACAGAACAATCTTAACCATGTCTATTCAGTCAGAAGTAAGTCTGATTAAATTAAGTGGATCTTATTCCCAGGTAAGTAGGTTTAGCTTGCGGCCTAAGTTGAATATCACAAAGGGAATTTGTTCCACTATGAGTCTTCTAAAAAATAATATTATTTATATTGCTGAAATCCTGCCTTCATCATCAAATGACCTGAGGGCAGGTCACAACAATAAAAATTCAATAGGCAATAAGTATTAGAACAGAAATTGATCTTTTTTTGGCTTGTATGCAAGTCATACAAAGTATTTTTTAAATACAAAAAAAAAGAACTTCATACAAACTTTTCAGACTAGTTATACTGTACTGCATAAGCTCAAAACAGAATTTGGACTGTTTGACCTGGATTAATTTTAAGAACAAACATCTCCCAGTGAAAGCAAGTAGGTACGCTTTGGTGTAAAACTTAGCAACATTACAGGGGCACAAATATAAGCTGTGTTGCTATCACAGCCAGTCCCTTTTGCTCTAAGGCAGCCTTGCCTTGCCATGCCTGGTTTGCTCCCTAAGTCATGGACGACAACGAACAATCAGCTCCAGCATGTTCTGTCTGGGGCTGAAGAAAGTTGTAGTCCAAAACATATGGAGGTCACCAGGTTGGGGAAGGGATAGGTTGCAGTTGCTCAGTGTGTCTAAGCCCTAGCACTGCAAACAGATACTTGGGCTACAGTTCATCAGGAGGTACTTCCTATACAGTCTCAGTCTCTCTCTCTCTCTCTCTCTCTCTCTCTCTCTCTCTCTGTGTGTGTGTGTGTGTAGGTTTGTTTGTGAGACAAAGGTTAGGGCAGTAAGAGAACCTGCAAAAGACTATTCAGCTACTTATTTCCTCAAGGGTACAAAGTTTTCCCTTTGATGGATATAGTTCAAGGATATAGTCAGAAGGAAGGCCCATTAGTGATTAACGTGCACTGACTGAAGGAAAATATTTACAAATTTCAGCACCCTCCATCACATAAGCTGCCAATCCCGCTGGTGTTTGTAAACCATCCTGGGGTAAATATTATGAAGTGTAGGATATAATTACCTTAAATAAATACAAAACAGTGATTGATGACCAAAGGTCTTACTTGATTTATGACACACCACATGCTGAACAAACACCTTCTGTTAATTGCAAAAAGAGGCCCCTTTTAAAAATAAAGCACTGTCATCTGTTACTCAAAAACCGCACACATTCTAAAAACAGACTCAGTCTCACCTTCCTTAATGGTTAGCTCTAAAGAAGTGCCATTTTTATGACCTTCCGTCATGACAAACTTTTAAAACATATGGAGGGGACTTTCAGTTTTCAGTGAACAAATGGAGTGATTCTGAAGAGCGGAGATGAAGCAAGTAAAATATAGGTTTTCAAAATTTCAAGGGATTAAAGAACATGACTAAATGCAATACAGCACAGTGCCTAAGAGGCTGCAATCTCAACCCCATTAACCTGAGAGTAAGCCCTATTTAACTAAATAGGATTTACTTCTGAGTAGACATAGTTAGAATTAATCTGTGAGCTGTGAATAAGGAAGACCCTGGTTCAAATCTTACCTCCACCGTGGACCCACTAAGTGGCAGCCATGCTCTCTCAACCTCAGTTCCTCATCAGCCATAAGGGGGACAATGACACTGGCTTATCTCAGAAATGGGGAGCCTGTGACCCTCAAGATGTAGTTTGGATTACAACTCCTCTCATCTCTGACACTAGCCATGCTGGCTGCGGCTGATGGACTTTGTACAGTGGTGCCTCGCAAGACGAAATTAATTCGTTCCGCGAGTTTTGTCGTCTTGCGATTTTTTTCGTCCTGCGAAGCACGGTGTCGGGAAAGTTTTGGAAAAGCTTCAAAAATCACCAAAGTCTTTAAAAACCTCAAAAAAGGCTACCACACCGCGTTCTATGAGTTGCTTCTCGAAGTCAAGTCGCAACTGTATTAACGGTGTTAAGAAAAAGGAAACAAACTTGCAAGACGTTTCCGTCTTGCGAAGCAAGCCCATAGGGAAAATCATCTTGCGAAGCAGCTCAAAAAACAAAAAACCCTTTCGTCTAGCGAGTTTTTTGTCTTGCGAGGCATTCGTCTTGCGAGGTACCACTGTATTCCACAAGGGCACCATGCTGGCTACCCTTGTGCTATGCAATGTTAAGACTCAACAATAAGGAAGGAAACACAAGCACATTAAGTGCCCTTATTCAAACCTAACTCTGCCAATTTGTGTGGTGAGGAGAACTGATCCATTTTCATACTACTTTGATATTTCACTTGCTATCTTAAACATACGGTACTTTCCAGGAAGTAATTGCCAATTAATTCAGCAGAGCTCACTCGGAATAAATATATGCTTCTTCAGGCTAGGATCAATGATTCCCTAAAGGCAGCAGTCTGTAAGATCACAACAAAATTAATAGAGAAAGACAGTGAAGGCCTATCTCAGAGCAAACTATTGTGGATACTGAATTCAGGTTAAACTATACTTCAGTGTTATTGTACTGAATCTGCAGGTTGAAGGAAAAGCATTACTAAATACTCTCATGTTCAGGAGCCCTAAAAAGCACCATCATGAATGGGCAGATGTCTTTAACACCACAAAGCATGAACAAACCTAGCAATACTTATCCTCTACCTTCCTCGTTCATTCAGTGTTATCACAGCACAAGGCAAGATTTTTTTTTAACCCAGAATACTTTTGGGCAGGCTTCCACACAGTGATCATAATCTACCATGGTCCACAATGAGTGAGCAAACTGCAACAGTAACTATAATATCCAGCAATCACTTGATCAAACTGATCAAATCAAATAATGTTATGGTTTGGGGGACAATAAGCCTTAAAAGAACAAAGTGCAACCACACCCAAGTGTATCACAACTCCACAGGATAATTAGCAAAATAGAACAATGAGTTGTCCTAAACAAGACAGTCTATTAAATTATTAGAATTTACGAAAATGAATTTTCATCTCATTTTTATCCCATATCTTTATAGCTCACCAATCCTTTATCTCTTATTCTTCCCCTGCTTTATTTCAAACCTCCCCAACAGCCATAACAGTTCCAGCACACACACATACCCACCCCACATTATTTGGACAGTTCAATCTTAGAAGAAGAATTCTGCGAAGTCAAGCATGCAATTGCAATATGCAATATCTATTTTATTTATACCACTTTTCTAAAAGAAACTGCACAAATGAAGACATCAACTAATTTCGGAGCAAAAATAGGGGTTCACTTCTTTGGCATCATCTAAATCAGAGTTGATGAACCTCCAGCTTGTGGGCTAAATCTGGCCTGTGAGGCTGTTTCCCCCAAACCATGCCTACCTGCCCCATGCCTGACAGCATAAGTGGTGCCAGGTGTGGGGCAGGTAGGATTGCCTGCACATCAGCTGAAACAAGGAGTTCAAACCTGCTTGGTTGCTAACTCCTGCCACCCCAGCAGGCCACCTTTGACAGGTGGACAGGATAACTCACATCATTGGGACATCAGATGATTGACAGGTGAGTGGTCCTGCCCACCTGTTAAAGTTGACCAATGGGGAGAGAAAAAGATCTAGCCCACAAGGTCAGAAACTTCCCCACCCCTGAGCTAAATGTAGGGAAGGAAAAAGAAGAGTATGAGAAATTGTAAGTCATCAGCACCTGATTTTTAGAGAAGCTTTTCTATATCAAAACTGTATATTTCAGTTATATAAGTTAGTCTCCATGGCGCAGACTACACAGCCCTACCATTGGCTAGGAACACATGAGAGTCAAAGGAGAATTCAGCAGCAGTCATATTTAGGATTCATGCACAATGCTTGAACAAGGAACTTCAACAGGCTGGACGGCAGAATATGAATTGAAGTCAATAAGGCTTTTGAAAAGGATGCATTCATAGGGCTTGTCCACTCCTTACATTGGCATCCAGGACATATACTAGGTTATTTGACTTTTAAAAAATGGGGTAATGAAGAAACAGTGGCGGAGCATATGTCCGCGCTGCTCAGGGCGGGTGCGCTCCTGAGGGGTGTGTGGTGCGGAGGGTGCCCTCCCAGGCGCGAGATAGCCGTTCGGGTGCCCAGAGCGGCACGTGCGCCCTGCAGCTGTGCGAGCCGCCCATGGTGGACATTCGGCGTGTGGGCCACCCACTACTCCCAAGCCTCCCCCAAGCTGTCAAAATGAAGAGAGAAGGGGGGAATGCCACCAGCTAAGCGGCGCAGCTCCCCCCTTCCCCCAGTGGCTCGGGGTAGGCTTGGGAGTCGTGGGCAGGCGGTGCGTCAAATGTCACCCCCCTCTGTGAGGGCACCCGGGGCATCTGCCCCCCTTCCTAAACCCCTGTGAAGAAAAGCAGTGGCAAGCCCTTCAAAAGGCATTGGTATTGTAGCCTTCACGTTTCTCATAAATCATTTTTTCTAACTATTTATTAAGCAGTCCTCTGAGGGAAATTACAGAGTTTACTTTTATTGATGCACAGACTCAGCAGCTATGCTTGCTGCTTAGATTAAATTGCATCTTTGGGTCACACCAAGCGCAAACAGCAAGGGGGAAGCGAGCACGTTCCCCTTGTTTGCTCTGTAAAGTATCTAGCAAGGCAACTCACAAAATGGGAGTTCCTGAAAGTTTGTTGTTTAAACCTTAAGCTCCATTTGCAGGTGAAGTAATGTTTCTGCCTTTGTGGGGGGAACCGCATAGACCTAGTCTAGACAGGAACTTCTAAATACTTAAACAATACTTCTCCACATTCTCCCCAGGCCCATTTCAGTAAGCCTACTTAGGGTTGTGGCTGATGGGTTTTAAAATTACTGTTTCTCATATTTTAGCGTCTGAAGTGAAGAATATTGTCAGCACACTTTGGGATAATTAGCAAATAAAATACATTTGGATCTGGAAGAGTCAACAGAATGGAAGGAGAAAAATGACTAAAAGGAGATGTCAGAAAACAGTGCTTTTAGTTTATGTTGCCAGTAATTAGGATGGACTCAAAGGGAGCTGCCTCAGAAACATAACCATTCCCACTGGCAACACAATGGACTGAACAAGGAGAAAGTTAGGGGTGTAGGAAAAGAATTACAAAGCTACTTGCAGAATTGTAACATTCCAAGAAGCAGAAAACACCTCCCCGAATGTTCTGGCAGGCATTCACATGTCCACAGGCAATTTAAAGATATGAACAGATCACATTTGCTACCATTGGTGAAAATGAGGAATTCCTCAAAATGGCAGTGGGTGAATTTGAGTCCATGCTTTTTATTTATGTATGCTGCCTTGGCTTGGATTCATTTGGGGATGTAGTGCTTCACAGAACTCGTTGAAAGGTGTGGTGATGGGCTCCTTATGGGTCATAAATATGCAAAAAGCCAAAGGGGGGGGGGAGGCCCAGGAACACTAGTCACAGCTCAGTTTGAATTCTGTACTACTCAGTGGGAAGAATTCAACATCGTGTTAAGGTAATCCCCCCCCCCCAGCCAAGCAACCATTTCTGCTTGCCAGATGGAATGATTCCACCTCTCCTCCCCCCCCCCCTGTGAGCTGTACCAGGGCTTCTCCCAACTCCCCTAAAGTCAATTTTGGGGTGTGTGCAGGGGGAGGAGAAGCCCTATTGCGCAACTGGCGGGAATCATTCATTGAACCCGCACAATATTCCTTTCCCCAGCCTTTAACAGTATTCTCTGCTCTATTTACAGAGTTATGGAAATTAGAGATAGACATGGGCTCTGGCGACATCTGCTCTTTTTATCTCTGCCTCCTCACACGCAACGTTCTCATGCGACATCATCTTCCTCTGCTTGGTCTTCTCCCTTGTCACAGAACCTCTAAGGAATACCCAACTCTATTGCTGTATATACAGGAGCTTGAACTCAACACATTCCTCTGCTTGAGCAGCAGAACCTACAGCAGGCAGGGAGAAATAATACAGTGCTGCCTAAAAACGATCTCCTTCAAAGCGGAAAGGAGATGCCATGCAATCTGCCGGAGAAGCCTTTCGGCAGTATTCTGACTGGGTACTCCGCTATGGGAGTAGTTCTCAAACCTTCAAGCTAAGCCATGTTGCCTTGGCAGATACCTTACACACAGCTATATGTCGGTCCCAACTTCCTAGAATTCATTTAACCCATTTTACCTGCCTCTCCACAGCTTGAAGCAGCTAATGTAAACATTAAATCCCAATTTTCACAATAGGCCAATTCTTCCTCCAGTCCACTGCTATCCCAGCAAACATCTGAGCCCCTCCAGAAGTTGCTGGACTCCAGCTCCCACCAGCCTCAGACAGTATGGCCAATGGTCAGGGATTATGGACACTGGAGTCTAGCAACCTCTGGAAAGCCACAGGTTAGCCACACTTGCCATACAGATGTAATGATTTTGTTTAATATAACGAGTCCACGCCAGAGAGAGCTACTATTAGTGATAATGAGGCTCTCTCAGTGGTGGCTGCACAGCTTTGGAACTCCCTCCCTGGAGAAATACATAGGCCATAGGGCTTTGTTGCTTAAAAAAAGAAGAACTATAAATGCATTTTAATTATTTTCTATGTTGGATTGAATTGTGCTGCATATGGGGAGGCAAATGCTGCCAGTGTGTGTGCGCTCTCTCTCTTGCTCTCTTATCTTAGTTTGTGGTTTAAATGTTGAAATTGTAGCTATTCTATTTTAAGGTGTTTTAGAGTCTTGCACACCACCTCATGAGGCCCCTGCACCTTGAAAGGTGGGTTAAAAGTCTTTTAAATAAAACTAAGCTAAACGGCATGGAATTAAAACAAAAGTGCACAATTCAAAAACTGCACACTGATGTGCTGCTGGGATTCCTTTCCTGTGTCTCATGTCCAGTCTCAGCAGAAATAGCTGCACCACATCAGTTGTTCCACCATACTATTAAGAACTGAGAACATTTTGTCAAAAGCAGTCAAGTCCACCAACAGAAATCAGTTTTCAGGCTTACACAGAAGTGCTCCATAATACAGTGGTATCTCAGGTTAAGAACTTAATTAGTTCTGGAGGTCTGTTCTTAACCTGAGGTACCACTTTAGCTAATGGGGCCTCCTGCCGCCGCCACAATTTCTGTTCTCATCCTGAAGCAAAGTTCTTAACCAGAGGTACTATTTCTGGGTTCTGTAACCTGAAGCGTCTGTAACCCGAGGTACCACTGTATGATGTAAGTGTTATAGGAAATATCACATTAATGTATTGTGCGGAGGAGCTTGATCCTGGAAATATGAAGCCTTGATGCAACTTACATATCCCTTGCAGATGAGAGAAGGGGTGTATTAAGGCATTACAGCCCTGAAGTTTAATGGTGCTTATCCCCAGGTAACTGTGTATGGTGGCCCAATTAGCTTTGTGCTGCACATACATGGAGCTCAAGGGTCGCTTCCAACTCTACAATTCTATGATTCAAGTGGTTAACCCAAACCACTAGTCTATGCTGAGGTTCTAGGCCACACTTTCAGGAAGGACCAAACATGGTACAACTAGAATATCATGTGGTTTGTATCCTTATTTTTCAAGGAGATATAGCTTCCACTTGCTTCACTGCTTTCACCTGGGAAAACCACTGAATCAGAGAAAAAGGTCTATTGGGTCTCTCCGGATTGATGGTTGCTCCAGTTTAGCTCTAAAGAGTAGGATATCTGGGGGAAAGTGGCAGGGCAACAGCAAAACCACTCAGACCTGTTCTTTCTAGGCACAGAACAAGCAGAGGTATGTATGAGACCTCAGACAGGATAGCAGAAAGCTGATTTGAGACCAGGGAATGGCCTTTTTTCTGTCTGAAAAGCAATGGAGACACCTGTTACAACCGCATCTTCAAGGAAGTTTATACCTCAAAGGGATAACATCCAAACAAGCCCAAAGCAATAACTGCTTTTGCTAAAACCAATGTCAACAGGAAACTAGGTGGAAAGGTAATACATGACCAGTGGCAAAAGACTAGAAAACTGGAACAACTTATCACCTGATGTTCTCATGAGGTATGACTCCCATGGCACTGGCTACTTCTACTCCTCAAAGGATCCAAGGTCAAGGTATGTAGGCTCTGAGCACATTTTTCACAGCTGCATTCTGTCCTCACAAACAATTCTGCTGAACTTTACTCTCACTACACTCAGCTAAGCACAAGTGCTGATGCAGCTGCCCTCCTTCTTCCTCTCCTTGCAGGGGAGAAGAGCAGAAGAAGGCTGGCTGCCGATTTCATCATCCAGTTCATGGAGCAATAAGTTTCATTCCAACTCTGACCGTCACATGCTCAGAGAGCCAGCCCACCCTTTTTACAAAGAACTAAATTTGAAGTTTCTACTCAGGAAACCGCTGAGAACAGGATGCATGTTGGTCATCTGTTAGGGATTTGTAAGCCAAGCAAATAATCACATATCAGCCAGAGTTTTGATTTCAGAACTGATAGCAGATTCAGCTGCTTTACCAACAGTAGTCATCTGCATTTTTGTCATTTGAGCACACAACTTGACAGTGGGTGTCCAAACTTCAAAGTCCTGCTCAAGTCACTGAAGACTGCTGGGTGGTCTAGAACAAACGGCTATCTCAAAGAGTTGTTATATAGAGATAATTATAATGCACTTTGCATACAAAACCACTATAAAAATAATAGGCCACCACCTCTATTTTCCTTGTTATATATGCATTGTGTGATATACACACTTCCACCTGACTTGCAAAGAAATTGCTCCATCACGTTCAAGAAAATAAATTTTAGGTAAGTGTGTCAACTAATCCTAAGAGTCCGATTTCCTTGCACAGAAACCAGCCCAAAGTACAGATAGCATGCCACAATTGGTTCTGAAATCTCCTCAAAGCATCATGTAGCACCTCCTGCAGAACCAGGATGCAAAACAAGTCTACCATTTGTTGTACATATTGGCAGCCTGGCCCTGGAGAAAACAAAATGGCCCAACATACACACTCACACAAGGCAAAAATAGCCTTGTTTTCTTATGTTACATTCTAACCTTAGACTTACAGGATTTCCATATATTCTGCTGACTACCAGCCACCATAACTGCACAGAAAATTCTGTACACTGCAGGATTGTCCAATGAACACTGCCTAGGATTAGATTGTTCCTTAGAGTAGATTCACAGCCGTGCATTACTACACAGCCCTCTGATGTGTTTATGTGTGGATGATGCTTGTTACCACACAGCACCATTTATGAACTGCAGAAGTATTGTGGAGGAAGTATTGCATGTACTGCTTGCTTTGTGCTAACCCGACCTGCTTTAATCACACCCATTCGCCACCACAATCCCTTAAAAGAAATTGATGTCAAATGATGTTATAGTGCTGGTCAGAGTGCTGGTCCCCACACACCTCAAATTAAAAAGCAGAAGCTTACAGTGACTATTACCACTCCACAACAATATGCTGAGACTTCATGCCCACCTTTCACCGCTGGTGAAGTACAGTCGTACCTCGGGTTACAGACGCTTCAGGTTACAGACTCTGCTAACCCAGAAATAGTGCTTCAGGTTAAGAACTTTGCTTCAGGATGAGAACAGAAATCGGGCTCTGGCGGCGCGGCAGCAGGGGCCCCATTAGCTAAAGTGGTGCTTCAGGTTAAGAACAGTTTCAGGTTAAGAACGGACCTCCGGAATGAATTAAGTTCTTAACCCGAGGTACCACTGCACCTAGCATGCCATGCAGCTAGGTAGCAGCATGCCATGACTTCACCAGCCACTGAAACAGGAACCTTTAGTTTCTCTTCAAGTGCCCTAATAGATCTTGGCATGCTACCAGAAGAACATAATTGCAACACATTATATGTGGAGCTGCCTTTGAAGACTTCCTAAAAACCTCAGAGCACAGCTGCTTGACTATTAACTAAGAGTAGCCTTGGAAAGCCCCTCTTGCCAGTTTTGAAACAACTTCCCTGACTGCCAGCCCACTTCCAAGCACAATTCAAAGTGCACAATGTAAAGCCCTACCTTTGACCACAAGTATCTGCCTGTTTGTTAACCACCTTCGGAGCCCTTGCCTTCCGAGGTGAGGCAGCTGGCTGTAGTACCCCAGCTTTGGAACACAAGCATTGCCTGGCATTTACTCTTAGGTCTTCTCAGTGTTAGGCAGAGACCTTTTTATCCTCCCAGACCTTTTTAAATGTCAGCTTACACATTTTTCTTCTGCTGCTGTTTCAGTTTGTAGGTTTGGCTGCCATGCTGCTTTACTCTTTTAATTGGCTTCACTTGGCCGCGAGCTGCCCTGAAAGCTCTTGCTGAAGGGTAGGGCAGACATCTGCTATATGTACACAAAAACAAAATGTCTTTTCCTAAGAAGCGACAGCCTATCCTTCTGACTCAGGGCTTCCCCTTTGGCTGAGGCTGCCTTTGTTCTGCCATTCAAATTCAAAAAGGAGAAATTCTAGAGAAAAGAAATGAAGAAATACTAACGTAGTGCCTTCCCTAAAGTCACTTCTGTTTGCTAGCCAAAGAAATGAAGCCCTTCAGTTCAGTGTAAGGCCTAAGGCCAGAATGGAGAACCTGTGGCCATCCAGATGTTGTTGGCTTCCAACTTCCACCAGCTCCTGCCAGCATGGCCAATGGTCAGGGATGTAGTTCACAACATCTGGAAGCTACCATGTGGGCTATCCCACTATTTTCCTTTGTTCTAAAGAGCAGGGCACTTGCCCATACAAACAGTCATTTGCCTGGACATGTGAGAAGAGCTATTATTTAAACTTCATAAGGCATGCTTCTGGAGCCACAAGTTCAAAAACTTACAACATTTAAAAACAACTAAGGCTGCAAGCCAAGCCACACTTAGCAGAGAACAAGTTCAACTTAGCTCAGAGGGAAGGGCAGCAGAATCTTAACCATGTCTACGCAGAAGTAAGTCCTATTAAATTAAGTGAAGCTGACTCCCAGGTGAGTAAGGTTAGGACTTCAGTCTTTTTTCCAAGTAGCCATAGAACTTTAGCTGGTACCATAATTGGCTGGAAAGTTAAAGAAATAGCTAACGTCTCAGTAGTTGGCTTTTTAGCTGTCAGCTTCCACTAGTTAACTTTTAAAAACTTTTTTTTAATTACCATATAAACTGTTCTAAAAATGATTTTCAAAGTATAAGTTTAAAAGTTTTGTATAAGCTGAAACACAGCTTTCCCAGAGTTTTATCTGATACAGACCACTCTATGACTTAAAGGAACATTGTAATTCCATATAATAAAAACTCTAGAACTTCTTGTTTGAGAGACAGAGAGTAGTGTATCTTCTATGAGAAAAGGGTCAGATCCACACCATATATTTAAACCACTTTAACAGTCATGGAAAGCCTGGCTTGTTTTGAGGGTGCTAGGAATTGTGGCTGTGTTAGGTCAGCACTCTTAAACTACAGTTCCCAGTGGTATAATAGTGTTTTAAATGTATGCAGTGTATGTGACCATGATCTCTTAAGAACTGTAAGTCCCCAAGTTCCTTAATTCAGGCTGGCATTTTTTAAAAAAAATATTCTATAGCTTTCTGTGAAACTAATATGCTTGATCAACAATGGAAATAATCCACAATTCAAGCACACAGCTTCCCCCAAAGAATCCTGGGAACTGTAGTTTGTTCAGGGTGCTGGGAATTGGAGATCTGTGGGGGGTCAATTACAGTTCCCATTATTCCTTTGAGGGGGGTAAATGTATGGTGTGGGTGTGACTTGTCAAAGGGTCTTCATGCAGCAAACCTGGGACAGAACAGAGTTGGAAATTCATGGAATAGAACAGAAGCCACTGCTGTCACAGATGGACCACAGTGTTCTCAGTGGACAACATGAGTTTTAGAAGAACAAAAGGATAAGAAGGACAAACAAGTACTGATGATCAGAGGTGAAGAGCTTCTCTGATTTCCTTAAAGGAAACAACCACCAAGATAGGTGGGGCAGGTTAGAACAGTTTACCAGAGGCTAGGATTTGTTGATGCCGTTTTTTGTTGAAGTTGGCAAGCCTACAGAGAAGGGAGAGAGAAAGCATACACAGGTCACCAAGTCACCCTAAAGATCACACACACACACACACACACACACACACACACTGCTTCCTACTTTGGGACCTAGATGCTTTTAACAAACAGATCCAAAGGACTACCAACCCCACATATTCAAAAGTTATGAGCCGTGACATCAGCATGTAAAAATAATTATACTAAATAGCTGCAAATTGAGATAAACACTGAGCACAGCTCTTTTGAACCAATTACATTCCGGGTGGCAATCTTTCTCCATGCATGCAAATATAAGCTTGGGAGTTTTGTTTCTTTTCAAATAAAAGCCGAGATCCTCATGATTTTAGGATTTAACAAAGCCAGTGAAAGCCCTAAACCACAACATCTGCAATAATATCATGATAGCTGCCAGGCCAATTGATTCCTTTTACTTGCTATTAGAGGAGAGGAGAGTTGTCAGTTCTCACAATGGGACAAGAAGCACAGCACACTTTACGAAGGGAACTTAAGACCCCTTCAGATGGCCTTTATATTTCATATTTATAATCATTTGTGCACATGCTGCTATCAGACCAGTCACATGTGATTCCAACTGCAATACTGTTTGAGCTTGCAAAAGTTCTGGGGGTGCTCACACTCCTTCATTCCAAATCAGTGCGCATATCCCGTAACTTTCTGCAGAAACTCCGTGGCTTTTCAACACCACAAATGTTCTGGTTTATTCTTCTCCTGCTTTTGCTATGCTATAGCCCCACTGGAGTGCAATAAAATTTGTGGCACTGGGTGAGCATCACAGAACAAGCCGACACACACATAGTTTGAGCACAGTCAAAAGCTGCCATATGGGGAACTTTCAAGGGACAGCTTCTACTACAGTTGCCCACAGCTGAACTAGGCCATTACCAAGCCAGAATGAAATGCAACTAAGACCCTATTCAGGCATTCTGCTTGTGTGTAAAATTGATCCCACCAAGCTCTGCTTCCCTGTTGCCGGACTTGTCACCTTCCAACTTGAGAAGGTGAAAGCTCTGATGCCCTTCCCTACTTCCCAGAAACCTGGTCATACAGCACACTACTGTCACATTCACACCGCACATTCAAAGTGCATGGCTTTCCCATGAAAAATCCTGGAAACTGTCGTTTGCTAAGGGTTTGGGGATTTGTAGCTCTGTGAGGGGTAAACTACAGTTCTGACGATTTGGGGGTGGGGAGAGGAAGCTAGATATGGTGTTGAAGGTAGCTAAAATCCCACTTGAGACCTTTGCCCTCCATGAACAGCAAGGTAATGGTGGGGAGGGCGAGATTCAGAGGCTTGTCCCCCACTTGGGTATGTAGGTTTTACCTGTGAGCACAGCTCTTGAATGGGGCTTATGTCTCTAGGGAGAACCTACGTGCTGAGAGTCCCTCCTCAACACATCCGCCTCCTGGGAAGAGCTCTTCCTTCAGGAAAAGGATCTGCAAGCTGTTCTCTGGAAACGCTCCCCCTCCCCTCGGTTAAGATCTCCCCCTGTCCGTTTGGGACTTGAGTCTGCTGAGGAATAAAAATAAAATTAATCCCCTTCTCTCTCCCAAGCGTTTTATCTCCTCTGGCCCTGGCTGATGGCTTTATAATCCTGACTAAATCCCTGTCACTCCCTCTCCTTTGCTCCCTTTGCCCTGCCCCCATTTCTTTTGAATCATGGGCGGAGAAACAATCAAGTCTCTCTCACAGGCGGGAAACATGGCTCTTTCCTTAAAGATGGGGAAGGGGACAGCCCACACTGTCCCCAAAGTCATGGAACAAGGAAGAGTAACCCTGCTCTAGTTAGGCCAAATGTAGGTGATTCACCTCACAGACCTCACTTCCCTAGGGACAAGGTCACATTGGGTCTTTTGAAGGAGAGGTGGGCCTTAAAGGAATACCTCCCCTTAAAAAAATACTGGGAAATCATTATATAACCTTTGTGACCCACCAGTTCCAAAAAACCCACCTTAGATTTACACTAGAATATAGCAAATGCAGGCCTATACTCTGCATTTCCCAACTTGGTCACAATAGACACAAACAAGAGATGTTTTTTTGGGGGGTGAGGTCCCTAGCAATTGCTCAAATCTTTATTTAAAAAAACCCCACTTCATTCTTTCAGAACTGGGCCATAGCATACAATGATTTTTATTTAAAAACATACACATGGCAGGAAAAGAGGCACGAGAAGCAGCTGCTGCAACATTTGATTCCAACTGAAAATCGGAAACAATGCCTTATCTCTCAGAAATGAACATATCATTCCAGGGAAAACCATCACAGAGCTAAGGAAGCCCTCTTGGTTTTGGGGGCAAAAAGAGCTTTAGTATAGAAATGTAATAATAAAATAAAGCAAAACTTAATATCCGGTTCTCTGGCAGAGCCTATCTGGATTAGGAAAGACAACCAGTCAGAGATGTATTAAATCTGACTTTGTTCTAACAGCCTAATAACCACACACGCATCCAGTATTGGCAATGGAAACTGAGGCCCAGGAGCACAGCTTATTGACAAAGATCTCACTTCAAAGCTCTAGCTCTGCAGGTAAGAAGTCTAATAGACTGGCCCAGATGGGAAAGGCATCTTCTGTCTCTTTATATATAGCATAACACAGAGAAAAGAGTAAAAGCAGTTTTGCAGCTCATTCTGCTATCCCCAGTCCAAAGCCATAATGGTGTCATTGATAAAAAAGGAAGTTTCTATTACTGACTACCTGGCACCTTTCAAGGGGGATCCGTCATCATAGCAGTATTTCTTCTATTGTATTATTGACAAACTGGCTGATGCTTAAGTTCACCTTTAAAAACCTGTCTCCCAATGAAATAGAAAAAGAGCATAACATTCACCACCACTTCTCTCCAAGGTAAAGCAAGGAGGACTTATGGAACATATTCCCCTTTGTTGTAAAGTAAGGAACGAAAGCTCAGTTCTCTCTGGTTCATAGCATTGCTACTTCCCAGCCTGGAGCAATCACAGACCAAGAACAGAAACCTACACTCCCGGAAATCCAGAGATTACTGTCAAGGTTGTGTCATCTCCCCCAATTCCATTCACACACAGAAAAGAAGATAATTCAGCATCCTGTAAATGTCAGCTTTTTCCCTTTCTAAAAGAATGCTTTTCATCTTTAAGTAACAAACTGTGTGTGTGTGTGCGCGCGTGCGTGTGTAATGTCCAGTAAAGTTTTCAAAAGCCAGGAAAAGGTTCTGTTAGCAGCCAGGGAATGGGGCGTCAGTACATTGCAGAGTTCACTGCGTTCCCCCTTGACTTGCAAAAGCATAAAAAATTATGCAAACTGAGATAATAGGTGCAAGTTTGCATAATTTGCGCAAGTTACAGAATCCAGGTTGCTTCAGTGCACTTTTTTTTTTTTAAAATTAACGAAGAGCACACACAATCCAGAGAGCTCCCCTCTGGATACAATTTTTTCCCCAATTTTACAAGCAGGGGGACATCACAGTTAGCAGCCTCCAAGGGCTCTCGTGGCACCTCATACAGGAATAGATTTATTGTGGCACAGCAGAAGGGCTTTGTTAGTAGGTGATGGCATAATATGCTGGAGGGTGGAACAAGCGCCAACAATGTCTTTATATGGTCTACACAGGACGAATTTACACAAAAGAATGAATGGGCACAACCCTGGCATTAAACAACTCAATATATTTAAAAACTCAAAAATAGAGGAATATTTTACTGCAGGACATTTTGATGCTGACCCAGAAGTCACCATTATTTGAAAACCATGGTACAAAGGAAGACAGCAGAAAGCACCAGCATGAAACTGATCCGCCAAGGTTCATCAGCAAATTTGATTCCACTGATTTAGGTCTTCATCAAGACCATGGGTTTTTCTCCCATTATGGACATTACGTTACCACAGCAGAGCTGGGAAATAGCATACCAATTACTACCACTGGTAATAGACTATTTTTTATCAGTTTGAACTTCACATACAGATGCCACATGCTTGCAATCTCTCTCAAGGTCCCATTCCTGCCCCCTGCTGTTGCACCTCTGAGTGTAACACCTCATGGACCTGCACCCACCAAAAACAGTAGCCATGTTATCCTTTCTGATATCCCAAGACTCCCGCCCTTCATTGGTTTTGCCACAATAGACTCGCATAGTTATTGTTCTGGAATTCACAACAGAAAAGGGTAGTGACATCTCTTCTGATATGACAAGGCCACAGGCCCCTCATTTCCTTATGCTGCAGCCTGGTATTAGTTTCTAGCATTAGACAAGTTCTAGTTCAGTTTCAAAGTCGTTCAGATATTTCAGCTCAGCAGTGCTACTGCCCCTCAACAGTGTTGGTGTGTGTGTGTGTGTGTGTGTGTGTGTGTGTGTGGAAAGCAAGGTATGCCTGTGAAACCTGAAGTTTGACTTCATCTGTTTGACATTTCTATTTAACCTGTGTCACTTGAACTGGAAAAATAAGCTAGATAAGCGTTCTATATTCTCTCTTATCGGAGGCATAAGAAAGGTTCCAAGCTAGGACCAGCCCCACCCATTGAAGACTCTTGCCATAACCCCCCTCACTGGATTGTCAGCCTTATCTTCCCGACTGAGTTTCTCTCTTCCCAGTTCTGTCTGCTGCCACTTATCTCCAATCACATGGCCACAGCTCAATCCCAGGTCATATGAAGTGTGAAATCATTACTGCCTGCTCATAAGCAGAACCTATTTGTAAACCACTCTGAGGTATTTTTATTTTATTTTTTACAGTCTAGCAATATATAAATTTTATGAAACAATCTAGCAATATATTGTATACAGTCTAGCAATATATAAATTTTATGAAACAATAAATAAACAAAGTAACTTTTGGTGCCACTTGCTATTTCCCTCCACCAGATTGGAATAGTTTACAGAAAAATGGGCAAGATGTATCTAGGAGTTATTCCTCATTCAAGGGGGACACAGTATATATACCCCTCAGAATATTTACGTGGTCGAATGACTTTTGCACTACAAGCTTTGGCAATATTTCAACTGAACTTGTCACAATCCCTCAAACCTCTTTTTCTGGCTTAAAACAAAAATAAAAAATGAATCTGACACGAGCAAGCACCATGGGCAAACACCATTTTCTCATGACCAAGTTGCAGCAGCCAGCCCTTTGTACATTTCAAATTCAGGGGCACTGGCAGTGTTTCTCCAGGCAGAGCTGAGCACCTCTCTCTCTCTCTCCTAGTCAAGCCATGCCTGTGGCACTAGCCCACTTTTGGCATCTTGCCAGCCTTCTTTCTGGCTAAGCTCTACATTTCATAACTCTGCAAGAGCAAGGAGAAGGGGCACGGTGGCACAGCTACAATTTCCACAGCATCCTTCCTCGACAATTAGGCAACTGGTTAGTCCCAACAGGCAAGGAGCTTTTGTTGCGCTGGAAAGTGGGAGATGAAATAGAATCAAACTCTGCACCCAAAGCAAGCACAAACATAAGTGCCCCTTTCCATTATTGTCATTTACATGCTGTAAGAGAAACCAACGGGTTTTGAACCAGGCCTTTCCATCAGCTGTGAAAGGAGGCGCATGTCCAGGCCTTTACTTAGCCTGGCACACATTGAACTAGTTAACACCTTCTGGCAATAAAATCTGTGAGAAATTAACCTGCGCTGAGGGTCCCACCTTGTTAAGATCACACTATGTGCAGCCCCTTCACACTTACAAGCAACTCTGCAAGGATTGTGCACTTTACGAGAATTGCAGTGAAACTCTCATTGCAAGCTAGCTTTGTGTATTTTATATACAGCTGAAAGGTTAATTTAGGAAACTGGCTTACTTGTCTAAGAAAAAGTCACGTTCTGAGAGAATGTGCATTATGTTCTGCCTACAGTGACCCAAAAGTATGAATGGAGGAACACTCTTTTTCGAATAAGGGCTCCTCCACAGCAGCTATAAGTCCCTGAGGGTTATGTTTCAGGTTATATGAATTTAGTACCGAAGCCCAAAGTGCCGATCCCTTTCAAGACATCTTGCACAGCCATGTCCTGGGGCACATGTTTTAGTGGAAAGTCTGTGCGTGTGGGTGGGGAAAGAGAGAGAGGAGTGTCACATGGAGGGAAACCAAAAGGAGGAAGTGACTAACTCCAGTTTTCTTCATGCAACATGTGGGGGGAGTAGAGGAAAAGGAGACCCCCAACTCCTTCCAAGAATCATCTTCTCAAATCTGCCCCTCCATTAATTCTCTTCATATTTCAGGAAACGACTCCTTTCCCATTGCCTCCCAGCCAGCTTTTCACATTGCTCTGTTGTTTTTAACACGCACATCGAAACTGTGCACACACAAATGCATATTCAACTGCCCCACCTTACAAGTACATGTGCCAAGGATTTGACAGTTGCTGTAGCTCCCAAATGTGCCGCTGTGCCTGTGCAAGCTGCAATAAACATATTTGCTGCTGTGTAGTATTTACAACAGTGCCTAGTCTCACAACCCTTTGCTTCTGCTGTCAGGTGGAAGCAAATTCACCTTTCTGGTCCCTCTGTCAGGTAAAGCTTATAACCTGCTGTTGCTATTGGACTGTAAGCCTCCTCTCTCCCCACCAAACCTCACCCCCCACACTTTTGAAAAACTTCATTTTTACTTCAAAATGAGTTTAAGCACTTCTGCTCCCACAGTGTGGACAGCAGATCCACTCAACCTACTTCTGCTTGTGGGGAATACAACCAGCAAGGGGTGGGACAGCAGGTGCAGCTGAATTATATCATGGTGAGCTACATTTATATCCTGCATTTCCTCCAAGGAACTCAAGGAAGCACATATGGCTCCTCCACGAACCATTTATTATAGGGTCACAAACCGGCTAACCCCTCTCTCCATTTTAATCCTCACAGCAACCCTGAGAGGTAGGCTAGGCTTAAAAACAGTGACTGGCCCAAGGTCACCCAGTGAGTCTCATGGGCAAATGGGGATCTGAATCTGGGTCAAAGTCCAACGCTGTACCCACTAACAGGATCCCTCACTATACAGACCCCCCCCATCTTCAAAATAGACCTGGCCTCGTTGGTTTAGCCCCCCTGGTGGGGCTTCGCCCTTTCCTTTTACGCTGCTAATACCTTCCCGAAGCTCGATCCCTCCCTGTTTACTCGGGAGTAAGCTCGGCGGCGCTCAATGGAGCCCAGCATTACACCCTGCGAGGAGGAGAAGGAAAGGAGGCTCCCCACTCACCGACTTCAGTTGCTCCAGCCGGTCCTTCATTTTGGACAGGTGCTGCTGTGGCTCCTCCTCCTTCTGCTGTTCTCTCCAGGTGAAGCCGGGATCCCCGCCGAAACTCCGCACGGGGAGGAGGGCTTCTCCAGGAAGTGGAGTCCCAGCCCAGAGGGAAGGTTCCTCTTCCTCCTCCTCGCCCCGATCGCTAGCAGGGACGCGCGAGTTTCATCCGTGCAGAGGCTGGGAGGGACACACACCACGCACGCTCACATCCCTTCCTCCCGCGAAGCTAAATCTGTCTCTCCCCCGCCCCCCGTGTGTGTGTCTGATCCTCAGGCGCTGAGCTGGCCGCAGCTGCTAATCCGCCGCGACATCCGCGGAGGGGAGGCAAGAGGGGAGGGGACGGGAGCACAGGCGCCGCCCACTTTTACCTGGGCAGAAATCGCTCTTAAAGAGACATCGTCGCACACCCTCCTTTCTTTGTTTTTTTAAACATATTTTTAATTAAAGATTTCTTGGTTTACAAAAGTATGTGCAATGTCTCTTTTTTCAAGTGACATTTTCTCCATATCAGTTTCATTTGGTACGCAACTGAGACCCTACCATAGCTGTCAACTTTTCCCTTTTCTTATTCGGAATAAGGGGGTTTCCCTTAAAAAAAGGAAAAAGTTGACAGCTATGGACCCTACCTGCCTGCAGACTGTCTCTCCAGAGTGGTGCATGCTCTGGTTATCTCCCGCTTGGACTACTGCAATGCGCTCTACGTGGGGCTACCTTTGAAGGTGACCCGGAAACTACAACTAATCCAGAATGCGGCAACTACACTGGGGACTGGGAGTGGCCGCCGAGACCACATAACACCGGTCTTGAAAGACCTATGTTGGCTCTGAGTATGTTTTCGAGCACAATTCAAAGTGTTGGTGCTGACCTTTAAAGCCCTAAACGGCCTCAGCTCAGTATACCTGAAGGAGCGTCTCCACCTCCATCATTCTGCCCAGACACTGAGGTCCAGCGCCAAGGGCCTTCTGGTGGTTCCCTCACTGTGAGAAGCAAAGTTACAGGGAACCAGGCAGAGGGCCTACTCGGTAGTGGTGCCTGCCCCGTGGAACGCCCTCCCACCAGATGTCAAGGAAATAAACAACTACAGTATCTGACTTTTAGAAGACATCTGAAGGCAGCCCTGTTTAGGAAAGCTTTTAATATTTGATGAATTATTGTATTTTAATATTTTGTTGGAAGCCGCCCAAAGTGGCTGGGGAAATCCAGCCAGATTGGCAGGTATAAATAACTAAATTATTATTATTATTATTATTATTATTATTATTATTTGTAGAGACATTAGTGTTCCATTAGGAAGAAAAGGGGGAAAGAGGTGGAGGGGCCATGGTGAGTGGGGGTGGGGTGGTGATGCTTCTATTCTACTTAATGTATGTGTGGGGTTTTGTGTCAGCATCTTACTATTTGCTTGTGTTCCTTTGGTGGTGAGAGAGGTTGGGGTTGGCCTAAGGTGTGGTTGTTTGTGATTGGCTGTGGTCATCTTTGTTTTCATGTGTGAGTGGGGGGTGGGGTGGGCATTTTTGAATAAGGTTAACCATATTGATTCATATGCTGTTGGTGGATTCTTGTCGTTGTCTTGTTGGGCTGTGTATGTGATAAAGGGGAGCCATACCAGGGTGAAGGTGTCTTCTTCTATTTGTCCCCATGTCAGTTTCAGTTTATTGGTTAGTTTTTCTAATAAGGCTGTTTCCCATACTATTTGGTACCATTGGTCCATGCTTACTCCTGACAGGTCTCTCCAGTGTCTGGCTATGATGTTTCTGGCTGCTGAGAGTAGGTGGGTTATGAGCTCTTTATGATGTGAGTGGGCATTATTATCTTGGAAGATATTTAGTAGGGCCAGTTCTGGGGTGACTTCTAATACTTACTTAGCTATTTTGCATATTTCTTGTATGATTGTTGTCCAGAATAGTTGGATTTGGGGGCATTCCCACCACATGCGGAGGTATGTGCCTGTGGAGCACACCCTCATTTTCTTAGAACAACAGAACTGTAGTTGGAAGGGACCACGAGGGTCATCTAGTCTACCCCCTGCAATGCAGGGATCTTTGGTCCAGCGCAGAGCTTGAACCCATGACCCTGAGATTAAGAGTCTCGTGTTCTAACGATGGATTTGGTTTTCTCAGTCGAACCTGTATCAGGGAGGTTATAGGTTTCCCCACTATTCCCACCACCACCCAGGAACCGTGATTTGCATCTAAGGAAAGTGTAAAAAAAATGCATGGCTTCAGCTGGGAGATCGTTCAGCAAAAGTCTTCTCGGACTGCTGTTTGCTTCCTCTGGTTTTTATTTTATTTTACCAAAGTAGCATAAGAAGGGCCCTTCCTGGTAGAGCAGAGTTTCTCAAACTTGGGTCTCCAGCTGTTTTGGGGCTCCCATCATCCCTAGCTAGCAGGACCAGTGTTCAGGGATGATGGGAACTCTAGTCCAAAAATAGCTGGAGACCCAAGTTTGGGAAACCCCGTTGTAGAGCTAGCTGTCCAAAAGGACTGAGACCAGAGGAAGAAGAAGAAAAGGGTGCAAAAATGCAGCAGCAACGTTTGTTTTGTTTCACATGCATTGATGGGTATAAGGCACTTTTGGAAAGAGAGCTCCAGTCCAGGCGTAAAGAATAGCAGGGGAGAATCGATGGGGTCGTTGAAGGCAGAGTGGCAAACTTGTGGCACTCCAAACATCCTCAATTCCATCTCCCATCAGTCCCAGCCTGCAAGGACAGTGGTCAGGGATAGTGGAAGTTGGAGGCCCATTCCCAGTTAAAGGGAGTATTGGATTTGGAAATACAAGTCAGAAGGCTCCCTGGTTTGCCTTCCACAACACACTAATCTTTCGCATTCCCTACCTTACAGGGTTGCTGTAATAATGAAATGGTGCTCTTTGGTAGAGAAATGAGATATAATACATTTTGGCTTTCTTCAGCCTTTTAAGTGTATAAACTAAAATAGAGGCAAGGGAGAAGAATCCTTGTTATTGTAATACAACAGATCATGTAAACTTGCCCTGGTGGTAATCACAATGCACAGAGATGCTAGCAGACAAGGTCCAGGTGCAGACCAGCGTTCCTTAAAGTTTATTCCTCTGCTGAGATCACTATGATCCCGTGTTATGTTGCTATTGCACTGCTGCAAATCTACTGTTACAAAATTCATTATTCACTCACCCATTCTCCACACTGCAAATTAAACTCAGTTGGGACTGCCAGGCTGGGGAAATTGTTAGAAAGCTGAAAATTCTTAGACAAACAATTACATAGTATGCAAATAATTTGCCTTGAGGCCTTGATAAAAAATCAGGACGCTTACAAGTCTCAGGAAACGTGCAAATTACTGTAATTATATGATGATGCGAAATAACTATGTAGAAATCAGGCATCAAGATTCCTCTGCAGATACCTCTGAAAAGCATTTTCATTTTTTAATATGTGATTTGGTAGACACAGGGTCGACCTGACAAGATTTAAGTTTTAGCTTAGGTGTAAATGGAGATAATCACATAAGCATTTTGTGCTGATCCCCATTCACAGAAAAGGTGGGATGGAACGGAGTTGTATTGATCTGGGGGAAATGCAGAAAGATAAAAGAATATAGGCAATGGGGCTTGCACCTGGTAGACTGTTCCTCTCTGATGAAACCATACTGTGTAATAAGTTGCAAAAAAGAATATGTAAATGGCAGTACAGTGGTACCTTGGGTTAAGAACTTAATTCGTTCTGGAGGTCTGTTCTTAACCTGAAGCACCACTTTAGCTAATGGGGCCTCCTGCTGCTGCTGCTGCTGCTGCTGCACCGCCGCTGCACGATTTCTGTTCTCATCCTGAAGCAAAGTTCTTAACCCGAGATAATATTTCTGGGTTAGCGGAGCCTGTAACCTGAAGCGTCTGTAACCTGAGGTACCACTGTATATGAAATAAAACAAGCAGTGTGAACAACGCTCTCCAGCAGTAGGGAGGGCGGGGGCATATTTATGGATACTGTAAACGAGGGGTAAGCAGGGCAGGGCTGCAGGGCTTCCAAGTGTTGCTGGACTGCAGCTCCTATCATTCATGAGAATTAGCCAGGTTGGCAGGGGCTGATGAGAGTTCTTTTATATATGTATAAATGTTATTTTCTAGTTTTTACAATATAACAAGTACACACCTTGCAAACACAAATTTTGAATACAATTCCATATTTTACTTCTCTCCCCCCCCCCTTGTGGTTCCTTTTCTACTTTAGATTTTTAACACTGCATATTCCAGTTTACTCCATTTTAAAGTTATTGTTCCTTTTATCTTAGTAATATTTTTAACTGCTTGATTTAAATTAATCCTACTAATGAACTTACTTGCATGACAGAACTTTTCAGATATTCTACAAATTTCCCCCTTTCTTTAATAATCCCCCTCTTGGTTTCTTTTTACCTGTCAGGTTAACTTAAACATTATCTTCAGTTCATTATAAATCATTTCCCAGAAAACTTTTGTTCTTTTACACCACATATGATAGAAATTACCTTCCTTTTCTTTACATTTCCAGCATGAATTTGATTTTGATTTACACATTTTTGCAAGTCTACTAGGAGTTAAATACTCATAAAGTTTTCTTTCTATGTGTAACATGCTGTAAAACAGGCACAGGCAAACTCAGCCCTCCAGATGTTTTGGGACTACAACTCCCATGATCCCTAGCTAACAGGACCAGTGGTCAGGGATGATGAGAATTGTAGTCCCAAAACATCTGGAGGGCCGAGTTTGCCTATGACTGCTGCAAAACATGCTGTGAATTTTAAATCTACATTCCACAACTTTTCCCACGCAGCCATTTCAATATTATAACCAATATCCCTTGCCCAGTGGATTTGATGCGAGTTCTATTCCAGAAACATCTAGAAGTTGCCACACTATGGCCAGTGTAAAGATGTCAACAAACTTGGGAAACTTGGGTATCCAGATGTCTGTAAGGTAAATTCTAAAGGTTCAGTACTGTACTTTTCCAGTAAAATGGGGATAATAAGGATGCACGTTATGGAGCTTTTGCATGGCTAAGCGGGAACATAAATTGCTTCATGTGGATAAGGCTATAAATAGCAACCCAGTGCAGAATTTCTGCATAACATCCTGTCTGGTAACTTCCCATTTGAGGCTGAGAGCCTCCTTGGAACTTCCCACACTGATATTCCTATTCTTTACAGCAGGAATGGACAGTGGTGTAATCAGGGATCAAATCATTCTTATGAGGCCATTCTTTTTAACCACATCTTGATTAAAATTTGGTCAAGAAGACAGGCAAATGCACTTTGGGAGGCAGATTCACACACTTTCAGCTGGCAATCCCTGTGCCAGACAACAAATAGTTAACTTT